GGTTTGGTCAACACTGATTCAGTTTCCCGTCTTCAGACGTGTCCCATCATGCCCACGACCCCCTCAGGGTTGGTTCCTCTGGGCGCACCGCAGCCGCGGGTCGACAAGAACGCGTCAAAATTCAGTGCGCAGCTAGCCTGGGCATCTTTCGTTATGTCGCAGCGCAGTGCACGACTACATTGGCTATGTTGGCCTCGAGTAGTCCAATCAGCATCGGCACTTTGTGAGATGATAAGATCTATCTAAAAAACCCTGCAATCACTCAGGGAGTGCTGTTCTGCTCTCTAGCTCACCGATGGACGTCAACCGGAAGGCGAAAAACAAAAAAGCCCAGAACATCTACACTTTCGATGGTATAATGTGACGCAGCGTCAACTTCAATTCTAATAGTGGTTTTCTTCATAAATCTCAACTTCGTTGCGGGTAGACAATTTTGTGTGCGTTTCGCAAGCAGCAGAATTTTTGTTTTCAAACACCTCGGCGATCCGCGCGATTTTTCAAGGGGTTGTGGTGTCTGTCCTCCGGACTACTCTAGGCTAGATTACTCATGGCGTTTGACGCCGCTGTTTGCATGTTGTTGTTGGCGCTGTTCCCATTTCTCCGCAAATTGCTCAAGTTGATGTTCGCATCGCCTCCGCCATTATTCCCTCTAGTATCTCTACCGAGGAGGGTCCACAAATCTTTGTTCCCTGCCTGGAAGTGGTCCGCGAGAGAGGAGGCAGTATTCATACCATCCGCTGTTTCGTCGCGAATCTCGGATGTGGCGACGTGGGCGGATCGGCAGCTGGCGTCCCGCGGTCGGCGCCAGAAAGTGAGCCGTTCTCCCAGGTGGCAGTCGTTTTCGTCGCGAATGGAAAAGGGTTCCAGATCTCCGAGCGTGCAGAGACCTAGCCGCTGGTACTGCGCATCCGCCATGTCTACGGTGTAGGTGCGATAGGTGCGGGTTTGCGTGTCGAAGGTCTCGACGTACACGACCGTGGAGAGGCAACTGGGGTGAGTGAAAAGGCCGGATATACGAAGGTCCGTCGCACTCCTACCGTCGTCGGAAGATGTTGATGACATCGACACAGCTGCAGGAGCATCTCTTTCATCTGCTACTGGTGGGGGGAACAGTGCGGAGGAGGAAGTCATTCCCTTGTTGGACGCAAACCGCTCGTCGCGCCGAATGCCGTCACTGTCCACGGAGATGCGGTCCCCGATCGTGAAGGCCTGCATGTCGTCCTGTTCTGGACTGCCCCCGTTCGCAACCGACCTGTCTCCACGACCCCCTCCCAGGGGTTTCAGCCGGCTCACGGCGGACCAGGTCGTGCCCTGGTCGGTCGATACCAACAGCGTGTTGGCTTTTGCACCAGTTTCCGCGTTCGGCGCGGCCACCAAAATGTCGCCGCCGGCGAGAATCTGCGCGTGGTACTGGCCGCGCAGACTCAGCTCCCACCGCCGCCCCCCGTCGCGCGACACGTACAACTCCGCCTCGGGCGAGACTCCGAGCAAGAGCCCCGGTGCGGACCGGCAGGATTTCGCGGACGGCAGAGACAGCGGTGTCTCCTCCACATCGGTTCGAACCGCCTCCCACACTTGCCCGTTGTCGAACGTGATGTAGGACTCGTACAGAACCTGTTGGTCGTTCACGATGTCGGTTTCATCTTCTTCGAGACCCGCAGCTCAAGGGGTTGTGGTGTCTGTCCTCCGGACCGGGGATTTTCAATGCGGTGGTGCGACTGCAGAGCAGGACGAGGGGAACAACCTGCAGTGGATGATGAATTCCGTAGCTGTAGTTGTACCCTCCCGGAGCAGCGAAGACGAAAAGACATAAACGAACCAGCCATGATCTGAGAAGTCCTCCTCGCATCATGAACTCCCCTCTACAGGATGTTCTGTCACAAAACGTCTGAAGCGTGGGGAGTGTCTGTGCCGGACTCGGGCTGGTTTCTAGTAGTAAGTTAGTGCTCTCCAGGAACTTCGATCAATCGTCGTCCTGCGTTCCATAGTGATCACTTCCATCTTGCTTTTGCGCGAGCATCATAAATTGGTAAGATCAAGAATGGACAACCGCTGGGACTGCTCTCGAAATAACACGAGCAGCTTTCACCAGTTCATTCCAAATGAATCCTGATCTTCGCAGCAAAGGAAATTTTACAAGCACCACTCCATGCGATTTTTCAATGGAAGCAAGTCCGCACAAGACGAATCGTCTTCGTGCTCGATGAATGTTTAGTTACAGTTTACAGTGCCATAATGTATGAGAATAAAAGTTGGCACCAAGGCCAGGAGAACACGTCACGCGTTGTGACACTGAGGGATGGCGGCCCGGCCAGCGCGCGCTTTCTCTCTGCACCTGCGGCTCATGCTTTCCTTTTACTGCAAGCCTACGCCGTTCCATTTCTCGTATGATGTAAGCAGCAGTAGTGTGATTGCTTTCCTGAGAGCGTCCAGAGAATCACTACAGAAATCTGCGAACTCGTTGCGAGTTTTTTGTCCAGGTCAACAACTGGGAGGTTGCTCTTGAAGCATCTCCTGCAGTCCTGAAGCTTAAGCTAACTCTCAAACTTCGCTGTACATTGCAAAGAAAAAAAGTTGTAAATTTACATTAAAAAAAGGCTTCTTTCCCCAAATTTGAAAAAAGTGCATTTGCAGAACAATAGAACAGGAGGAATAGGAAAAGCAACGATCAATAACGAAAAAATTCGTTTGTTTCTAATTCTAAACCGACATCGACCTTCACAAAAAGAAGAACAGGTAAGAACGACGAAATGAGAGAGAGAGAGAGAGAGAGAGAGAGAGAGGGAAGGGATGGATGCAAGGACAACACTTCTGCCCCTACCGTCCTTCCTAAACTAAAGTTAAAAAAATGCAGCATATTTTCAAATACCACTGCGGCTCCTCCCCAAATCCGGCATCACCGCAACATCATCATCATCATCATCATCATCATGATCTTCGCGCACACCGGAACGTTGTGCACATATACAAGAAGCATTGTTAGTGTAACTTTGTGACGCGCAATATGCAAGATGATTGCATCTGTCATGCTGGGCATGCGTTCAAGGTCCATTCAAAAGCGTTTTCACGTACCATCTGCGCATGACAGGCTTCTGGTCTCATGCCAAACAGATTTGCAATGCTGTTCCTCCAAGAAAGTTACACCTACAAGCTTTTTTTCTTGGATAAAATATGCATCTAGTACATTAATCTTCGCGCGGCCACCAGCTTCTTGTTTTTCAGTGGAGCTTCGTGTTGAAAAATTTCAGCGACTGGAGGTAGTTCTTGCTTGCGACGCCCAGCCAACGGTCAGAAAAGTTGGTTGCCCCTGTCTGACGAAAAGGCATTCGCTGTGCATGTTTTATTATAAGTATTATAAGTATTGAGATTGACGAAGCCGTCCGGAAATTATCTTATTTTTCCCCAAAAAAGAAAATAGAACAAGTACGGACGAGAGCGAATCACTTAAAGCACCAGGAAAACCCTGGCGAAACACGCACACCACAGTAATGTAAGTACCGAACGTGTTCCAGCCGCAGCAGGACCAGCCATGGTCGACTGGTCCGAACACGTCCGAGTCGTAATCAAAGTAAGCACTTTCCTTGTCCTCCTCAGTGAACAAGAACCTTTTATTGTTCCCCTGCGCATCCTCGTACACTTCGGCCGCGAATTTGGGATCGAGGACAATGTTTCGCCCGCCCCGGTTCACAACTTGCAGCCGACCCCACCCTGGAGGGTTGACATACCCCACGTGTGTGTCGCCTGGGAGTCCGAACTTCTCGGATAGAAACGAGGACGGAGCACCGCTTCCCCCCGAAACAGCAGACGAGCAGTACTGACCGTGCTCGCCGCGGTCCAGCTTCTTGTCTTGATTGAGATCAGCCCACTCCGGGCAAGCCTCCATCTCCGCGCCCTGCAGGTCCCCGCTCTCGTCGGCGTCCAACAGATCGAACTGCGCAGCGTTGGAAACGTCTTGGGGCCTGACCCTGTACTCTTCTGCGAGGTCCACCTGTCCCAAGAAAAACGCTACCGCGACCATTCTCACTCAATAGCTAAGACTCGACTCATTTTTTTGGAAAAAAGCAAACCACTTTTCGAAACGTCGCACGGCATGCAGGAGAGGTCTCGGCCTCTCACGGAAGACGCCGAGATCTGCGCGAAAAACATGCGCGCTTTTTGATCATTTTTGCGGGCCCCCTTGACATTTCTTGGAAAGTTGGCCTTTTCAAGGAAAAGTCGGGCCCTTCCCGGGGGCGATAGCACGTGCTCCAACTTCGGACTTTTCGCAAGAGATTCTGGCTTTTTCCAGAAGGTCCTGCAAAGGCACGGAAACCCGCACGAAAAGTCCAAACTTCGGGCACGCGTTATCGCTTCCGGAAAGGTCCAGGCTTTCGTGAGAAAAGACCCGGCTTTCGGGGAAATGTTAGCCGGCCCCGGCAAAGATAATCAAAAAAGCGCCACATTTTGAGCGGTTGTCGGGGTCCTCCGCGAGGAGCCTACCCTCTCATACAAACAAGCGCAATTCTAATTCCTGAACAAGCAGACCAAACCAGGAACAAAACCACTCCGGTTGGCATTGCGAATATATTGCCCAGAGCAATGCGAAAAAGCTACCTCTAGCTAAGTGCTACCTGTCCGGGAGGGCGGAGCTTCCTCGAAAAGCGGTTTTCGTTTTTTCCATTCAGAAAAATGGGCTGACTTTCGTCTATTGCTATTGAAAACGATAGCGATGCAGCTTTCTTTGGATACCGCCGTCATCGTGTTCACGTGTTTCTGCGACGCTGCCGCAATCTTGCGCGCTTGCGTAAGAATGCGCAAACGGCGCTTTGGCAAAGGCTTGGGCCCGTTGTGCGTCATCGGGGTAAACGCGCTGGGTCGGTTTGACGGGCTGGACCCTGTTATTCCGTGTTCGTTTTTATTTCAACTGCCGAGCGAGTGACTTCAGAGTCGTTCGCCAAATCAGAATGCATGAGCATCCACATCCATTCTGTCAAATTGCGGTGCGCGATAAAGTTAAAGTGCAAATCTACTTCAAGTCTAAAGACTAAGATAATGAATACCCTTCGTAGAGCCGATTTTGCGACCATACGCCCCCCCCTGGGAGGTCTGCGGCGCTTTCACGGGGCTGAAAATATCGGCCGCTTTATCCACCACGGCCTCCTCCAGGGAAAGCGCGGCCAACGGCAACGAGAGGAACAAGAACATCACACGCATGATTTTTGCCTTTTTTTCCACAAATAAATTGTGAATCGGGAGAGAGCTTCTCTCGTATCCTAGCAGAAGGAATGGGAACGGAGGATAAAATGATGAAGGTGACAGCAACTGAACAAGATCAAGATGACTAAAGTGAATTCCTGCAGACGTGGACGCCCATTTTTGCGCCCCAAGAAACAAGAATAAAGTGTGTGATCTTTTTCTTACAACCAACACGACGGAGAACATCGAATCTCTACCTGTAACTGTATTGCAACAGGCAAGATTAATAGTAGAAAGACCCAACTTTTCTAGCCGTGATTGGTAGGCTGCAGTGCAAAAAGCCATGCAGTTTCCATTCTTACCGCCTCGAATTGGAATTGGTAGGCTAGCTATGTGCGCAGAACAGCTGCACTTCAGCAAATAAATTGACTATCCGGCTTTATTGCGCTACCGGCTCCACTCCGGCTCAACTCTCTTGATGTTTGTCATATGAATGAAGGATGGATACTGACTTCTCAACGGTGCGTGAAACCTCAACATACTCTGCGCGGCTCCGATAAATAGCGAAGCAGAGGCGATCAGGTTATTTTTCCACCTTGGTGTCATTAAACCGACAAAGAACAGCAACAGTGGCTCGGCACCTAGAAACAAAACAACAGCAGGTCGGGCCCTGCCAGTGCATTCCAAATGAATCTTCGCAGCGCCGGGGAAAACTTATTGCTTCCACGGTTTTTTGGTGGGAAAAAGTCCTCCAAAGACGGATAATCGTTGTTTTCGGTTTCTTGAGCATACTTCTGAGGATGATAGCCTCGTCGCTCCAGCGGCGTGCTGTTGCTAAAGTCACGGCTTGCTGGTCCGAGACTGTGACAATTGTCATGGCAATAATCTACATGTTCTTGACCAACTTCACTACCTAGACGTCGAGATGAACCTTTTCCAACGTTTCTTTTCTCTTGTTCGCTTTTTTCTGCGACAAATCGTTCTCCCACATACGGTCTCAAGGCGCGGGGAGGCACAACATCATTCAACGCACTGCGTCGATTCGAACGTGCAGCCTGCTGCCCACCGGTTCCTGGACGAGGACCTGCTTGGTCGTCATTAATCGCGAAATTCTTGTCGTTCTCCAACATCGACGACACACCATGATCAACATCTGCGACCACTGCAACCGCTCGCTTTGCGTGGCCGCTGAGTCGCACGGACCGTTCCGGCTTGGGGCGAAAGGGGAGGGCCGATTTGGTGGCGTCACCGCGCAGCACCAAGTCCTGCAGTTCTTTGTCGGCCGAAAGCGGAAAAAAGTCCGTCCCGACGACAAGATGCGCGGCTTTCCGCTCCGCTTCCGTTTCCCGGATATTGCGCATTGCAAATAAGTATGTCGGGGTCCTCTGGAAAATTCAAATTGTGATGCTGAAGTAAGTATGGAGGAGCCTCCTGGTGCTGCTTTCAAGTAGTGTATCCAAGCATGACAGCTTTAGTTGACCACGCCATGTCTAATGCGTAGCATGCAAAAAAGTAAACGCCTCCTGTGCTGGCTATGCAATACAGATTTTTCAGGAGAATGCAACACATGCAACACAGGTTCCACTTTTCTAGACCCAGACATATACTTTGCACTGGATACCAGACGGTCTCGTGCGCTTCGTAGGGCTGGTCGCAGGTCACGCAGCACCACGCCGACTGGTACCGCCCCCCCTTTTATCCAGTGCAAATATGTCTGGGTCAACTTGTGATGCGCATTTCACTTCACACAGAAATCTGTCATGCATGGAACCCAAAAGCTGCACATTTCTGGCCACCGAAAGAAGGGCTTTGTCATGAGGATTACGCATTAAGACACCTTCTGTTGAGAGCCTGTGATGCTAGGGCGTGCATGCCACACCTTGTTCTGCAGCATGCGAATGCTGCACTACAAACCTCGGCATCCTTCCAGACCCAGACATATTTGCAATTGATACCTTTCCGGTCCGCCGGACCCCGCGCGGGCAGCTTTCCGATAGGTCCGGCGCGTGTTCGGTGTGCGCGGCGCCGCACTGGCACTTGGCGCGCCAGGTGGTGACATCGAACCCCCGGCGCCGCACCAGCCACCACTCTATCAAAGTGAAAAAAGCCCCCACCCCATAGTCAAAAGGTGATCTGCGTTGCTGGATTTATGTACACAAATGAGCTCTGTATTGCGGCAAGAGCTTGTCGGCATATTCTAAGCCCATGAGGGTACGCATCCGGCTAGCAGCTGCGCATGAGAAACAAGACTGACATAGGCGAAAACGCATGACAGACTGGCTGCACAATGCGCCAAATGGGCGCCGTTTGCCTTGTACGCAAGACAAAGCTGGTTTGTGATCACAAATCAGCATCACAAATTTCCCCTTCGATATGGAGAGGGGGGATTTTTCCTCACAATACACTCCCCGACCTCCTCTGGGCGCTTGGGGATGAAGCGGAATCTCGGACACGGGCCGCTGCTGCAGTCGGACCGGCCGAGCGGGGCTTTCTTGCCGCTGCGTTCCGCTGCGGCAATCTCGGTTTGGCAATCCCGGTGCTCCGCAAAGGTGAACCCGCAAAAACAGCGGCTCTGCAAGCCAATCCGGGCGCAGAATTCTTGTCGCGGTTCAGTATTGACGCGCGGGGGAGTAGTGGAGGACGACGAGGAGGCTTCTGCGTATCGCACCGGTCGCCACACCCCGTAGACCCCGAGTTCCACAGCGCGCTTAGCGGCAAGAAACTCCTCGCGGATCAGTTTCTGCGCGCCCTGCGCCGGGCCGTGCTCCACCACCGCCTCCTTGATCCGGGCGGCTGGATTCATGCTCATCGCGGAGGCAACTACATGGCGTTTATTTTCAGTCGTCTTCATTTCTAAAACTAGGGTCGTACACGCAGCACATGACTGTTCGAGATCACTCACTTTTGCAACATCTTTATCAGGTCAATCGCCCTACCTACCGCAATTTTCGACATCAAGTACAAGTTCTCTGATGTACTGCAACATCAAATCACTTGTTGCATTCTCATTCTATCTAATGCCAGCATTTGTGACCTCCGCTAGCTACACCACTAATGCACTTACCCTCGCTGCCAGCACTGATAATTTTTCTCAAGGAAGTTGAAGTTCTAAAACTTCAAAACACCTAAGTACAAGGAGGTACGCCACGCACCTCCCGTTTTCCGGATCTGTGGGGAGTGAAATCCTTTTCCAATAAGGTTCAACTTTTCTCGGTTTTTTGTCACTGTCTTGCGCAACTCTGTGCTTAGCAGCATTCGGAAAAGAAAAGAAATAACGGATCGTTTCTTCAGCAGAGCCTGCTTCCACAACCGTGAAGATCCCTAGTAGTGTTGGTCTTTTAAGGCTCGGGAATGCAGTAATGATCAAAGCAGCACTTCCAAGTGAATTGGCCCCCCGCCGGTCCCCCCGGATTCAGGTACGGGTAGCTCCAGCCGTCCTCTTCGCAATTACAGCCGGAAACCGGCTTCATGGCCGCCGCCGTGTAGTTTCGGTAGGTTTCCCCGCAAAGCGTTTCCGCCTCCATCTTCGAGCACGCCCGCGAGCACGCACTGCACTCGCGCACTTTAGAATGGTGGAGACGCAAGGCGGTAGTCGCGACGTAGGTGTTGGTTGCTATTTCACAAATCGAGTAGTAGAGCAGCACGGTGGCAAGCCGCGCCCGCAACATTCTCGCCGGACGGACCACGATGGGAGGTTTGGTCAACACTGATTCAGTTTCCCGTCTTCAGACGTGTCCCATCATGCCCACGACCCCCTCAGGGTTGGTTCCTCTGGGCGCACCGCAGCCGCGGGTCGACAAGAACGCGTCAAAATTCAGTGCGCAGCTAGCCTGGGCATCTTTCGTTATGTCGCAGCACAGTGCACGACTACATTGGCTATGTTGGCCTCGAGTAGTCCAATCAGCATCGGCACTTTGTCAGATGATAAGATCTATCTAAAAAACCCTGCAATCACTCAGGGAGTGCTGTTCTGCTCTCTAGCTCACCGAGGGACGTCAACCGGAAGGCGAAAAACAAAAAAGCCCAGAACATCTACACTTTCGATGGTATAATGTGACGCAGCGTCAACTTCAATTCTAATAGTGGTTTTCTTCATAAATCTCAACTTCGTTGCGGGTAGACAATTTTGTGTGCGTTTCGCAAGCAGCAGAATTTTTGTTTTCAAACACCTCGGCATTTCGCAGACAACAGAACCTCCCGGAGGATGGAGCAGGAGGCAAAAAGATAATAAATACGTAGTACATCAACTGACTGCACCCGACACCCAAACCGGTCGATCGGTCGCGACGAGTGCGAACACTTTACTCGCTCAAATATCAGGATCTTGGTTGAGGAAGGAGTCCAGGGGTGGGCTTTTGCTCAGCCCGCGGCGGGAAATCAGGCCGGACACTTCCTCCTCCACCTCGGGCGTGTGACTGTAGAAAAACCGCTTGTTCTGGCTAACGTCATATCTGTTCCCGTTTTCCAAGTCGCCGAAATCCACGTCCAATTCCCGACCCTTCCACCTGCGGGAGGGACTACTCCGGAGTCGCTGCACCAGGCCCTGCAACAACGCCGGAAACAGCACGAAGAAGACGAAGAGAATCACCAGCGACGTATCAAATGTAAAAATGTCTGGGTCTGGAAGAATGCAACTTGTGATGCTGCATTTGGATATCTAAAAAATTTGTGTTGCATGAGCAGCAAAAGGATTCTAATTTTTGCTACGCGGAGAGGGCATTTGTCATGCGGAATAAGCATCAAGAATCCCTCAAAAAACCTGTGATGCTAGGGCATGCATCACAAGCGTCATGGCTCATGCAAACCGTGCATGACAAGTCTCAGAATCTTCCAGACCCAGACATTTTTGCATTTGATACGACGCGAGCGTCATCAACACCAGCGCGACCCGGTGGAACGCGTACAACCGGTAGAACACCTGCAGCGGGTTATGCTGAGCAAAAACGTCCCCAGCCCAGAGTTGTCATGCTAGTCTGCATGGTCGAAGCATCTGTCATGCTGCTCCGCAATATGACGCGCAATTTCATCTAGTCCCGTTTGGTAAGTTGTCATGCGCGAATCTTCACGATGAGACAGCGGATCTGTGATGCATCCGCGCTAGAAGACCTAGACAGGACTATACTACATCAGAAACAACTTGTCATGCGCAAGCGCCAAAACTTGTGGATTTGTCTAGCAGACTTCCCATCTTGACTATGGGGTGGCGACGTTTTTCCTGAGGATACGGGTAAAACTCGACGTTGTGTGCGACGCAGGTCTCCCGCATGGGCTGGAACTTCGAGGTTCTGGCCGATTTCGTTTCGATGCACTTGTTACCGGGCATCTTCTCGTAGCCCCGGGTCAGGACCAGTTCCGTTTCCCACCACCGCAACTTGGAGCACATCACCGCCAAATCCGGCTGTTATTCTGAGGAAACATGATCATCCCCCCCCCCATATTGAAAAGATAGGCATCTGTCTGATGATTTGCGTTCTTGCAGATTTTTTGAGACCACAAACCCTGTCCGTCTTATACAAAAAAGCAAAGTGAGAAAGTCCGCCGCGTTTTTATGCAGGCGGTTTGTACTGCTGTAAGGCCTACAGGACAGACCTCTGCCCTTCTAGACGCCTACACCAAAAGGCCCGGCCCACCTAGGATCTGCGTGCGTTTGTCCTCTACTGCAAATCCAATTTGTGTACGCAAATCCCGCAACACAGATTTCTGTTTTGCTAAATGGGGAGGGGGCGTTTTTCATTTTGATAGCTGTCCCTGAGGGTCCACGCGTTCGCAGTAGCTCGCGTCGAGACTGCGCTGGAAGCCAGGGGAGCACAGGTAGTCGCTCGCCGCGCACTCGCAGAACGCGTGGTCCACCGGGAGCTGGTTGCTCATGGCGTTTGACGCCGCTGTTAGCATGTTGTTGTTGGCGCTGTTCCCATTTCTCCGCAAATTGCTCAAGTTGTTGTTGTTCACATCGCTTTCGCCATTACTACCCCTCGTATCTCTACCGAGGAGGGTCCACAAATCTTTGTTCCCTGCCTGGAAGTGGTCCGCGAGAGAGGAGGCAGTATTCATGCCATCCGCTGTTTCGTCGCGAATCTCGGATGTGGCGACGTGGGCGGATCGGCAGCTGGCGTCCCGCGGGCGGCGCCAGAAAGTGAGCCGTTCTCCCAGGTGGCAATCGTTTTCGTCGCGAATGGAGAAAGGTTCCAGATCTCCGAGCGTGCAGAGACCTAGCCGCTGGTACTGCGCATCCGCCATGTCCACGGTGTAGGTGCGGTAAGTGCGGGTTTGCGTGTCGAAGGTCTCGACGTACACGACCGTGGAGAGGCAACTGGGGTGAGTGAAAAGGCCGGAGATACGAAGGTCCGTCGCACTCCTACCGTCGTCGGAAGACGTTGATGACATCGGCACAGCTGCAGGAGCGCCATCTCTTTCATCTGCTACTGGTGGGGGGAACAGTGCGGATGAGGAAGTCATTCCCTTGTTGGACGCAAACCGCTCGTCGCGTCGCACGCCGTCACTGTCCACGGAAATGCGGTCCCCAATCGTGAAGGCCTGCATGTCGTCCTGTTCTGCACTGACCCCGTTCGCAACTGACCCGTCTCCACGACCACCTCCAAGGGGTTTCAGCCGGCTCACGGCGGACCAGGTAGTGCCCTGGTCGGTCGACACTAACAGCGTGTTGGCTTTTGCACCGGTTTCCGCGTTCGGCGCGGCCACCAAAATGTCGCCGCCGGCGAGAATCTGCGCGTGGTACTGGCCGCGCAGACTCAGCTCCCACCGCCGCCCCCCTTTATGGATGTGTCAGAGTTGAAATCGACAAAGTTGAAATAATTTGTCACGCATAAAATGGATGCCAGTTGGAACCCAGTTTCTAAGTGGCGCATGACAAATGATCTCGGCGGTCCCTAAATCCAGTTTGTCATGCTGTTTAGGCAAAGAAGAGTGATTTTCTTATGCTACTTTAGCAGCTCGAGCTGTAACCCCAAACAGGCTTACAATCGGCCTCACTTGCCTGCTCTGCAACACACGTGCCCCGGGTCATGCATTTTATGCATTACAGATTATTTCAACTTTGACGATTTCAAACCTGACGCTTCCATACCCGTCGCGCGACACATACAACTCCGCCTCGGGCGAGACTCCGAGCAAGAGCCCCGGTGCGGACCGGCAGGATTTCGCGGACGGCAGAGACAGCGGTGTCTCCTATGGCGTTCTCAAACGTTACATTCTCAACTGTTACATGAACTTGTGATGCATGACCAGCGAAAGTGAAAGGGAGGACGAGGATCTTGGTTGCAGCTCTTGCATTACAAATTTGGCACAGATTTAGGTGCTGTCTAGCCCTTCGAGAATTTGTCATGCGCAGCCACTTGGTCGTGTGGTTGCTTATGGCAATTTTGCATGACAAATCATGTAACAGTTGAGAATGTAACGTTCTTTGAGGACTCCATATCTCCTCCACATCGGTCCGAACCGCCTCCCACACTTGCCCGTTGTCGAACGTGATGTAGGACTCGTACAGAACCTGTTGGTCGTTCACGATGTCGGTTTCATCTTCTTCGTATGGATTGTAAAAATGTCTGGGTCTGGAAACTTGTGATGCTGGGTGGCGTATCATGAACAGGCCACAAGTGCTGGCTCTGCATGAGAAGCTTTTGGGTTTCTAGATGTTGCCTATTCTGCATGACAAACTGCGACTCTGCATGACAGCAAAATGGGGCTCTTCGGTAACGTGCGTGACAGATTTAAGAGTCATGCCAGACAAGCATGACAAACGTGCACTCTTCCCAACCCAGACATATTTGCATTTGATACTTCGAGACTCGCAGCCGCGGCACCCATTTCTGACGTTGCTCCACCACCCTCCTCCGCGTCCAGCTGGTCTGCAAATGGCAGCCCGATTTTTGTCGCGATGAACACCCCGCCGACGCCGGTGTCGATCCACGAAGGCTGCTTGTTCATGGATTTCGTGACCAAGTCCGGGATCACGCGGCGCATGCGCTGGAAATCGATGACCTCAAAAACGTATGCACTTTTGCAAAAGTATCGTGCTCGTAGGAAAAATCGCATGACAAATTAGCGAAGCATGACAGCGCTTGGAGAAATTTGTCATGGTGAATTACCGTAGAGAACTAGATTTCTCATGCGTGATTGCGCTAATCTTCACAAAGACTACGATGCTTCTTCCCAGGGGATAAAACGTCGCCGATCGCGTGCTCGCGACTCGGATCGTTCTCCGCCCCCTCTTCGCGCCGCAGGTCGGGGGGGAGAACCACGTGGATGTACTGCGGGTGGACCGCGAGGACGCGCAAACCGAGCAGCTGCACGGACGTCGGCGCTTCGTCGTCATTTTCCGTGACCGTGTAGTGAACACGCTGCCAGTACTGCGACAGGTTCATCTGCTGCTTTTTGTCATCAACATTGCGCCCTCCGGTGGCGGAAGTTCCCGTCGTCCCAGAAGTGGTTCCGCTTTGCTGTTGGTCCTCCAATTCTGGTGCTGGTGAAGCCGCACTGCGCGGCGCGGCCCACTCCGTCTCCATGTGGGAGTTGTACTCGCTACTCCCGAACCACGCTCCCGCCGCCGCCTCGTCGCGTGCGTGCTTGGCGCCGTCGAAGCACCACAGAAAGAGCTGCTCGCGCTCCTGCTTGGTCGCGCCCGAGCGGAACATCGATTTCGGCGTTTCCAGCGCGACGGCGAGTATCAGCCCTGCCTCGAACAAGATGCGTGCGGCCACCCGCGGACCGGAGGCTGGTGACCCGTCGCCGATCAGCACCTCGAACGTGGTCATGAAGTCGTCCGACCGCAGCAGGTCGTACCCATGTCCGAAGAAAAACTTCTCCTCGGAGAGCGGAGGATTTTTTGTGTCGCGAGCCCCTGGGGCCGTTGCGGAGCTGCCTCTCTGTAGGGTCTTCGCAGCGGGTCCTGCTGGACGGTCTTCGCTGTTCATCGTTGGAGATTGCTGCTGTAACTGCAATTCAACATCCTCCGCGCCAGGAGTTCTTGATGTCCGTGGTGCACTTGTACTGTTTATCCCGTGCGTGGAAGTGAAAAAAGAAAACGTCGGCCAGGCGGACATGCCGGCACCGAAATTGGCGACAAACTGCATCGGCGCAAGAACCCCGCGTCTAGTAGACGACGACGCGCTATCCGCATTGGTCTCCTCGTAGCCCCCGGCGCGATGCCGTTTCACTAAGTACACTCTGTCTAACTGCTGGTTGGTTGGAGCGGCCGTGAACTGTTCTACGCCAAGGCCCCAGGCAAAGTTGTGAACCCCCGTATCCACCAGCTTCCAGTGCAGCCAGGATAAAGACACGGCGACCTGCACCTGAAACAGCACGCCCCTCTTCGTCAGCACCAGCGCCGTCCCGACGGTGCGCGGGTGCCAGTCCCACCGGGCGAGAGACGTGGTGTTTAACGGTTGCGGCACGGAGGACGCCGCCCGCCACGACCGCCCGGCGTCCCGGGACAACCACAGGCCGGAGACCGTGGCCAGCGCCACCTGGTCCCGATCCCGCTCCGACACGTAAACCTGGTGCTGGTTCGAGGCGTGCTTACTGCCGGTATCAAATGCAAATCTCGATCTGGGTCTGCTCCGTAATGTGAGAAGTGAATGAGAGGCGCAAGAACGCAAGACGGAGCCAAGCATGTTGACAAATTTTTGAGCTCCTATGTGTTGCGTATTCAACATTCCGCACCGCAAACTGCGTTCTTTTTGCATGACAGGTAGGACAACTAGGAGGGCCCTTTGTTCGTTGTTCGTGCTCATGCATCACAGATTCTCGAATGATCATGTCAACCATGCCACCTGACAAATGTAGCAATCTTCCAAAACTACACCGGACACATTTGCAGTTGATAGCCGGAGAACTTCTGCAAAATTGGGCTGGTGGCGCTGGTCCCCGCGAACGCGCTGCTCCCGGGGGTGACCGTAGTGCTGTCCCGGCGCTGCGCAAACGACGTTCTGTGCGGCTCCTGCGTGGGAAGATCTTCATGCTCCTTGCCACCTCCAGTCATTTCTCCGTTGCTGCTAAAGGAACCGCCGGTCGGTACCATGCCGAAATTCAGTGTGAACAACGGATCCACCTATCAAATGCAAAAATGTCTGGGTCTGGAAGATTGGAACTTGTGATGCTCACTTTGGACTCTAGAAAAATCTGTATTGCATGGCCAGCAAGAGGAGTCTAGTTTGTGCTACGCGGGGAGGGCCTTTGTCATGCGGAGTAGGCATCAGGAAGCCCTCTCAAAATCTGTGATGCGCGGTCGTGCATTACAGACATCCTGGGTCATGCAAAACATGCATGACAAATCTCAGAATCTTCCAGACCCAGACATTTTTACATTTGATACCACCACGTTTGCAACCATCTCGCCATTCGCCCCACTGCTCTCCGGCTCCGGGGTGTTCATTTTGCTTTCCTTATCGTAAGGAAAAATGCCCCCTCCTCATATCGAAAAGAATAAAATTTGCAATGCTGATTGATGACCTCAAATCAGCTTTGTCTTGCGTACAAGGCAAACGGCACCCATGTGGCGCATTGTGCCGCGAGTCTGTCATGCGTTTTCGCCTATATCAGACTTGTTTCTCATCCTCAAGAACTGCTAGCCGGAAGATGCGTACCCTCAAATGGGCTTAGGGTACTATGCCGACAAGAAGCTATTGCTGCAATACAAAGTGTATCTGTGTACACAAATCCAGCAACACAAATTGTCTTTTGAATATGGGGTGGGGGCTTTTTTCACTTTGATATTCCTCGTCCGGCGCGGTATTGATCTGCGACAACTGGCCAAAAGCCAGCGGCAACTGCATGCGCAGTATCAAAAGGAAACATCCCCCCACCCCATATCGAAGTGGAAATTTGTGATGCGGAATCTGTGTACACAAATTGGCTTTGTCTTGCAGTAGAGGACTACAGGCAGATAGAGAGCCTGAGTAAGGGAGGTTTGGCGTAGGCGCCTAGCAAGGCAGTCGCGTCCTCTGTAGGCCATACAGCATTACAAATCCCCTGCAGAACGCGGCGGGGTTTTTGGCTTTGCCTTCCTGCAATACAGACACGACTTGTGGTCACAAATCAGCATCACAAATTTTCAAAAGTGTCCCGGGTTGGTATGGGGAGGGGGGATTTTTCCTCACAATACGCAGCTTCTCTTGTTCGGCGGCCTCGCCGCGAGCGAGAAAGTTGCTGTCGACCCGCGACCACTGCTGTCCGCCGTCGTGCGTGTAGAACAAGTCGTCGGAGGTGAAGGCAAAAATGTTCGAGTACCCCCCGCCACACCCGCACTCCGCCGCGCAGCGCTCGAGGTCCGACCCGGAAAGACAGCGGTGCCCGCACTCCGTGTCGCAGTTACCGCTGTTGCCCGCGAACACCAGCCGCTCGACCATCCCGGAAAGCAGCTCGGCGCGAACGTGGAGAAAAGATCCTCCTAGGAGTAATGAAGATGTTGCACTGGTGGCCAAGAATAGGCGCAGAAACAGCTGCAGCCATGGCTGCAGGCGACGAGGCGGACATGAAGACTTCATTGTTTCTCTCTAGACTAGTTCGTGAATATTAACACGGCAGGAATAGTACTCTCCGGAGCTCTTGTGGTAGAAGCTCGTGGTAATCAATATCAACCAAGATCCCGGGTCTATTACTTCAACTTCCCGATGAAGGAATAATATTTGTTATTTCAATCTTCACCAGTCTCTATAAATATAGTCCGGTCTCCTATCTAAAGCTCGCTCCGGGCCCGGGCTGGCACGTGTAAAGCTCTCACAACTCCAAGATCATTTTTTCCATCTTTACGCTCTCACCCTCGACACTGAAGACACACCAGAGAATTCTAGCAGGAACCTGCTACTACACAAATTCTTGAACACCTTGTTTTCAGTGCCTCTTTCAAGACATTCCCTCGCCATCCGATGGCGATTCAACGCTACAACCACAGGTGATTTTAATTTTTGACATGACAGAATCCATATTGAGAAAAGAATTTGTCCGAGAGAAAATGTTGTAAACAAGGAATCAAGTGCAATAGATCATAGTGTGCTGGGGTTACTTAGAGAGCAGACAAAACAAAAGAAAAAGACCAAAAACAAAAAGGGATAGTAGAAAGAAGAAAAAAGTAAAAGGATCAAACCTCCGGTCCTTTATCTAATTGTGTTGTGGTGGAGAATCCTTCTAGGTCCAGGCGAAGCCCAAACCAAGAACGCTCCACCGGTAATCGAGCCAATCTTGATCAACGCCGGAATAAAGTGTCAAAATACTCCTGCTCAGAGTTCATCGACTCCACTAGGCTAAAAATATGCTCCTACGTGTGCTCGTTCAGGAGGTGTGGTAGTACTATGAATGGTGTCTTTAATATTTTCCTCGACACGCGGCACCCTAGTACCCCATCGCTCCTTTTCGTACTAGTAGCTAGCGGAGTTGTTGTACTCTCGTCGTTCTTGCTTGTGGCGCGACGGAGCTTGGCCTGCAGCTTGACCAATCTCACTTGGTTGGCTGCATGCCGAGCCGCCGGCCAATCTTAGATCAAGGTAGTTCAAAAAAGCAGCACACAGCTTGCTCCGGTAGCGTTGTGGCTGCCATCACTTTTCGCGAAGAAAAGTGATGCCGTCCCAAGTGCGACACACATCACGCTAGTCATTTTCATCCAACAAGCGAGGAGGTCGACACAAAGGACAATCGACTGAGAACAAAGGTTTAGGTCTGTAAAAAGAACGAAAACCACGCCTACTAGTTCTCTGTCGATTTCAAGTCTCCTGAAGTATAGCTGCAATAGCAAAAGAATTATAGTGCAAAAAAAAAGGGGGAAGTGAGTGATTAAAAGTACGAGACCAAGATAAAAAAAAGTGCTGAGAGATACAGACAGAAAAGGGGGGCTGAAAAACAGCGTCGATATTGGTAAGGGGCTGAAGAACAGCGTCGGTATTTATTTTGGTAGTGCAAGAAGATTCACATAGTGGATTCAGTAGTAACAGATTCAGATAAGTAAAAAGAAAAACAACGGAAGGAAAAATGTGTAAAATCGAAATTCTTTAATTGCACAAAGGTACTTATGCGTAATATGGAAAGTAAGAGTATGCAAAAGGTTGAAAAGGTCAAAAAAGTTCGCTATGGTATAATTAGGTAAAATGCTGGTAGTTCGATCGAGATCAAACCGGGCACTTGCGGAGGGTGATAAGACCGATTCTCAGCAAGAAAAATCACACTCATCAAAATAATCGAATACGACAAGCTGAAGCTGACAAGGATCATATCAAAGGAACGCCAATCCACAAAAGAAGAAAAGTGCACCACCTACACCTTCTACTGCGTTACTTACACCAGCGCGACCACGTGCCGGTGCGCCCTTCGGTTGAGAATGGTGTCCCGCTTCTTGTTCAGATCCGTCTCCGGGGTGCAACAGTAGACGCGCGCGAACAGCTTGGTGCGGTGCAACCGCCGCCTGCACCGGTACCACCAGGAATGTTTCTCGGCCCTGCGGACACCCCGCTCGTCGTGCTGACCGTCCGACCAGTTGTCGAACGGACTGTCGTCCAGCAGCTCCTTATGCATTGCAAATATGTTTGGGTCTGGAAAGATGCAAGGTTTGTCATGCTTGGCTAACATGACTCTTAAGTTTGTCATGGGCGTGACCCAAGTCTCCCACTTTTCTCTCATGCAGAAGCTCACTTTGTCATGCAGACTAGACAAGACTGTACTAGCAACTCCAAAACTTGTCATGCTTGGCAGTCAACTGAGGTTTTCTTGTCTTTCCCAACCAGCATTACAAGTTTCCAGACCCAGACATTTTTGCATTTGATACTCCTCCGGCTTCTTCGGCCGCCGGGCGCGCAGTTGCCGCCGCAGGTTCATCAACTCCGCCTGCGACATCGGCAGCTCCGAGGCGGAAGACTCGCCTGCAGTCGTGCTTTCTTCCGCACAGGACCCGACGGAGCTGCTCGACTCGTGTTCCCGCCCAGCCGTGAAATCCTGTTCGTCCTCTACTCCTTGCTCGACCTGCATTTGCTCTTCCCCTTCGGGTTTCATCTGCTTCTCAGCGGCGGCTCTCCGCAGCGCCGGGTCCCGCTTCGCGCTCCGGAAGCCCACGGGGGGCGTGTGCATCCGGGCCAGGCGAGCCACGTCGATTTCATGGTCATCGGCGGAGGACGAAGCGGTAGTCGAAGATTTCGAGTTCGGCATTTCGTCGACGCTGGAACTCCTGCAAGAAGTGGTCTCGACAAAAAAAGCTCCGTGTCCACTTCCTGTTATTTCCGCTTCAATTTACTACCTTCCACCTGAGAGGACGACCTATTGAAAGTATCAGCGAGATGAGGCTCTTAATAACAAATCGTCTTTTGTAAGTCGAGGAGAACAGGAAGGTTCGAAAAAATTTTTTGCGTTGTTGTAAATGAAAGCCAAACTACAAAAAGCCAACGTACGTGTACTACAAGAAAAATCGATCTTTGTGGTCAGCAATGTGATGATAGATGATGAGGGAAAATCTTGCGAAAAAAAGTCTTGTGGGAAAATTTTTGGGGAAAATCAGAAAATCCTGCAAGACCCTGTTGGTAAGTAATCAGCTAGTGTTCACTTTTGTTTTGTGACATCAGTCGCGCTTCATGATAGCTACACGCAGGAACCAAGTCAGTACTAAATGGCCACGGTGGCAAGATTGGACGAGGATGCTAACTCAAAAAGAACGCTTTTCGTGAACGACAGAAACGTGCACTCATCCGACAAGTACAGAAGCTGCAACCGACAATTCATTCACTTTGATGAAACAGAAGAAGGCAATGCACGAACCGACTGCTGCTTTATTTCGGTTGTAACGCTACGAAATTCGACACGAATGTCAAAACCGATGCTGTTATATGTTTTCAGAAACCGAGACCAGAAAACGAACGCGAGCGCCACCGAAGTACTAGAAAATAACCATGTGGCAGAGCCAAGTGGAAGATGTCGATGTGGACGATGAAGCGTCTCTTCGTATAAAAGGGCGAAACTTAAAGTCCTTCCTACATACGCGTCAGTCAAACTCAGTCCTGGTGCGTCTCATCGTGGTTATATCATGTGGTCATCTTCTTTACACTTGCTTCTAACTCCATTTTACTTAACCGTCGAACGCCTCGACGAATTCCAGCCAGAGCGCTTTTCCACCGACGTCGACAAAGAGCTTCTCGTCTGCTGTCTCCATCATTTCCAGCTCACTTCCGAGCTTCCGCACGAGTTCCTGCTCCATACTGTCCCAGGACACAGTGCCCGGCTTTTGTTCCGCACCACACATCACCCCCTTCCCCACAATCTGTTCCCCGACGGCGCGCAGGCTGGGCCGGCCGCCCGTGAACATGGAAAATACGTTTTCGCCGCCCCACTTCTCCTTGGCGTCCGATTTTTCAAACGCGTAGGGAAGTAACTGCACCGCGTGCGTCAGCAGGGTCGTGCGGAAGTCGAAGTTGTTGGGGATAGCCTTGTGTCGGACGCCCAGCTTCAAGAAGCACAGGAAATCGGTGACGATCATGGCGGTTCGTTCCTCCTCGGTCTCGCAGTCGTGCGCGTCGTAGAGGCCGTGCAAATTTCCGCCACCCCAGGCGTAGTCGTCGTCCAGCCGCATGCGGTAGCAGTCGACCAACCACTCCGGCTGCTCCTTCTGGTCGAGCTGCTTCGTCCAGTACTGCGCGTTGTCCAGCATGTCGGAGAACAAGGGGGAGCTGTTCGTCGCCTGTTGCTGTCTCGTCGCGCCAGATGAAGTAGTAGACGCGGGTCGTTTATTCTTGGCCGTGGTGTGCGTTTTCTTGTGGGTCTTCCAGAACTCCTTCTGGCAGTCCCGGTCGCACACACTGAAGACGTGGACCACGCCGTCCGGACACTGCGTACATTTGAACGAGGCCGCCGCGGGATCGGTCCCACACTGCGCGCACGGGGGCATAATGAATCTACTATATGACAAGTTTTCTTGGAAACAGTAACAAGGGAAAACTAAGTGCGCAAGTTGGAATGCAGTCACCAGATGCCAGTCTACTGACAAAAGCAAAAGCTGAAAGCCTTGCACTTGTGCTGCCCAGGTCCTGGGCAATCCATTGATCGATACAAACGCACTAACGTCGTGAAGGCGCACTGCCTGAGCTGACTGCATTTTCGAGAACATGGATGGCTCCGCCCGCTGCGCACGCGCAGCGGCCTAGTGCTTACCGTAAGACAACGGCTGAAGCAGATGTTGCCGCGCTATTTCTCACTCCTGTCCGCGCAGTTTGTCGGTGACGCCGGGGACTGGCCCCGCCCGACAATGAAGGCAACAGCGGGCCCAACCCTGAAAAGGCGCGCGCATGCCCCCGTTAAATCGCTTGGGCCCCGCTCAACACCACAAGCCTGCGTCGACCCATTTATCTTGTGGGGCCAGCGGGGGGGCGAGCGCATGCCGGCGCCGCGCCTCACGTTTCGCCGGCCAATAGCAAAGGAAGGCGCGCCCGAGTCGCGGCCGACGGAGCGGGGCTCCCTGCTGAGGCACTACGCCTACCTTTACCGCACTGGCGCAGCCGGCTTCCTTCGGGAGCGGAATAACGCGGGCGGTGCCACCGGGCTCGCCCGAATCTGCTCACCTTAGCAGAGCGCCCTCATACCTGACCAGCAGCAGGGGGCGCATGCTGCTGAGTTTATTGCTGGGCCGCGACGCAGATCCTGCGGAACAAACTCCGCCACCTCTGTAGTCGCGCATCTCGTACCCACCCGAGTGCCAGGCGGCATCCGGCGCGGCCGCGCTTCGGTAGTTGATTCCCTTCGCCGCGATGGCGGGCACCGCGAGAGCCGCGAGCCCCTCTACCGCTTCGCGAACCTCCTGGCGCGCTGATACAATTCGCACCGTTGCGCGCGCCTGATATTATGAAAAGCCCCGCCGCTAAGGAGCACCCAAGGGCCGAGCTGAAACCTTGCGCCGCTTCCTGTCTGATCCAGATGATGGCCATGCAAGACCTCCAGCCCCCCGGCGCCTGCTGCACTGTTCTCCCCTGCGTCCGGGCAGGCCGCGCTCCTCCTGCGCGCTCGCGACCAGACAGAAGTCCTCGCCTACGTGCATTAGCACTCCCCCCACGGCGGGATCTCTTCGGAAGGCGCGACAGCATTGCGGCCGTGTCTGTTGGAAAAGCTTCAGCTTACTTCTTCTATCCCAGATGGCACGGCGCGCGATGTGTTCGCCAGGAGAAGCGCAGCTGGTCCACCAGCCAGGCGCCACGCACCGGCTGGGACCCGAAGCAGTGGCCTTGTTCTCTCTCGGCCCTTCCTATCGGCCTGTCTGCCTTGCTTAGGGCCGCGGTCCCGTCGCCCCCGCTATCAACGCGGGCGCGTCCTCGCGCGGCCCATAATCCAAGGCGCCCCACTGCCTCCCTTCGCTGTTGCCCCCCGGCGCCAAACCGTCGGAAACGGCGCCGCTACGCTCTCCGCCAATCCGCTCTCCATCCCGACGAAGTCCAAGAGCGCCGGCAAAGGCTGCGCCGAGGCGCCGCCGCCAAGGCTGATGGCGCCGATGCGGGCCGCTGCAGTGGCTTCAGCCTGGGCCTGGGGGACCGGCGGACGAGTGTCGCGCGCCGGCCGGAAAGCGGCCCGGAGGGTTTCCACGCTGTGCGGCCCTACTGCGACCGGCCGGCCGCATCAAAAAAATGAAAGAAAATCCAAATGCCAGGGGCTGAAGGCCCCGGGAAGCGCGCGGCGGGCAGCCTAATGACTGCAAACCACTCCGCGTTCCCGGGCGTTCCGCCGTGGCGCTCTGCCTCCGCCGCGATTCCGCCGCGGCCCCGCCGGGCGGCAAGTTTTTTTTTAGCCCTGTCTAAGGCAAGCGTCGCCCACTCGGCCGCCCAGGCCGTTTCCGCACTGTGGGCGCCCTGCAAGCGCTGCGCGCGCTGCGTCATCTCCGTGAACTCAGCGGCGCGCCGATCGCGGGCCCTGACACAACAACGGAGCGCGCAAACGGGCCGCCTCCGGTGCGCTGGGTCTGTGCCCCACGAGAAGGGACCGGGGGGGCTGAGCGCAAAGCGGGCGCGCACTCGTTCCCGACCCTAGTCGGCCACACCTGCGGGGCCCAATCGGGCAGGGGCTTCAGCAAAGCTACCGCGAAAAACGTCTTTGGCACGGAAGGCACACGGATCCCAACTCGCTCACCAATCCGAACACAGCGGCATCAATTCCGTCAAAAGCGCCCAAGTCTTGCGGGGACTTTTCAATTGTCGGCTTAGTGCTTCCGCAAACACAGGTACATTTATTCCAAAACTTCAAAAAATGTGGAATCGGAAACGCATCCCGTTTGCCTTACCTACAACCACTGTACTTTTTCCACTACAAAGAAAATTCTACACGGTCTGGCAAAGTTTTCTACTCTCGCTATAAATCTTTCGAAACTTCTTTCATAATCATTCAGGGTAGAACCGTTTAGGACTAGGTGGGTAGAATATATAAGTAGCAAGGCCGTTGCATCTTCCTTTCGGGTAGCACTAGTAGTGTTTGGGTTGTAATAAATTCACTTTTCACCGGGCTCTGCCTACTTCTTCCGGTTCCGCCTACTCTTCTGTGGCAGATATAATTGCCTCGCCGGGAGTTGGAAGGGCACGACCATCTAGGGTAACATTTTTCTTCTGTACTATCGCGACAAAGTCTTTCACACTAATCTCCCAATGCAGGTCGTCCTTCTCCTTCAGGATTTTCGCCCGCTCGCCATTCAGAGTCGGAATCTTCCGCAAGCCGACGATTGTGCACCACTGCCCCACCTCCGGCGGGACGGGCTTAGTGTTTGCAGCTGGCTTTTCCTTTTTCGACTGTGGGTCGGCTGCAGAAGAAGTGGAGGAAGACGACTTAATATTATTAATATTGGGTTGTGTACCACTTGCTGTGTCCGTTGTACTCCCGCCTGGCTTGTTGTTCCCAGCGGAAGTTCCCTTAGTGCTCTTCGCTGCTGCTGCTGCTGCTCCCCCGGTTTTATTCATCACCGCTCGGTTTTGCGGTGTCCTCGACCTCGATCCCGCAGGGCCAGCTTTGCTCCCGCTATTCACAGCAGAAACTTGCTCATTTTCACCGTCTGACATGGGGTTGAAGACAGCAGAAAAGAAACTGGAAACGCTTGCCACCACGTGCTCCAAAGCGTCGGAGGTTGGATCCCGATTGTTCACCTCCCGATTGTTGTTCACAGCTCCCACGCTTGCAGCCGCTTTAGAAGAATTGTTCGTCGTAGGTTTATTGCGCTGTTGCGCCACGGTCCCCGCCGCGGCTTTGGCGCCACTGGAAGCAGCTTTGCCTTTGCTTCCAATGGTTTTGCTGTTCACGGCTTTCGATTTTTCTGCCGCGTCGGTCGTAGTTCCAGCAGCCGTGGCACAACTACCGGGACCACTCGAGGAACCTCCCGCTGCGGGATCTTCTGTGACACCACTTCCGGCGGGTGGTGGGGGCTTTTTGGCTTGACCGTCAGTCTGGTTATTTCTGTCGCTTTTCTGTCGGGTAGAAGAAGAAGTGAACATGTTACTTGGAGTTTTGTCACCAGCAGAAGTCCTTTCATCCTGTAAACCTGCCTCTTTGTCTTTCCCTCCTGAGTGTACTAGTTCCTCTTTCGGTTCTTTTGGTCGTTCGGAAGCAAACGCACGTCCCTCGTCGCGAAGAGCTGCGTCGGCACTACTCCTTTTTTTCTCCGCCGGCGGCCCTGTTGAGGCTTGATGTACACTGCCGCTATTTTCTTGCCCTTTGAAAAACAGGTCAACAACCGGGTGCGCGGTGTCCGAAAACACCGCGTGCGCGGAAAGCACGTCCGGCATCGGGGACCCAAGGTAATTACCAGTCTCTTCCTCCACCGTACGCATCGCCGGCTTGAACCTCATGTCCGTCGCGTTGTTCGTCCCCGTACCTCCGGAAGTAGTTGTCGTTGTATTCGTCATTCCTATCACCAGCGACGCCTGTGACATCGAGGCTGGTTGTGGTGGTGGCGGTGGTGGAGGTAGCACACCTGGTGCTGCTTGTACACCTACACCACCTGCTGGACAACCACGACCACTGCTACTCGCCCTAGAAGTGGTGGTCATCTGCTCACTTGCTAGTCCCCCCCCGGACTTCGGACTGGTAGCGGAAACGAAGGGGCCGAACGTGCTGAAGCTGCTGTCTGCGGGACTGGGATCGGGCTTGGACGTCCTGAGCGGGGACTTTTCGCTCGGGGACCGGCTGCTGCCCCGGGTCTTCGTGCGCCCGAGGTCGTTCCACGAGGAGAGACCGGAGGAAGAAACTGTGAAGGGCAAAATAAATTGTGGTGAAAGTGTACAACTCGATCTTGAAAAACTCAAAAAGAAACTACTACCTGGAAAAACGTTCATAAAAACCAAGATTTCTCCCCTACTAGTACACATCATGATCACAATGTGTTCTTTCATCTCAATCTGATGTTTGTAAAGGACTATGTATACCTGCACTCACGTTGGTGCCGTCTTTTTCGAGCGCCACCTGGTCCTCAGACGCCGTCCGGCCGAATAAGCGTCCCGACACGAACCGGGTCACGTAGGACGTGAAGCTGTTTTGCTCCCCGGCCCCGATGGGTTCCACGTTCCGGAGGTCTATGTAGTGGGGCTGGTGGTCGGTCTGCCGTGCGAGCTCCTGGCGGAGGAACAGAATCTTGCAATTGTTGCTCTTACTGTCCACGGAGAGAACCTGTTTTGGAGAGACGAATGTCAATGACGTCCTGACAAGGACCAACACAAAACCTTCCATTGATTCCTTGTGGTCGTAAAAGCGGCCACGGCGTCATTCTTGCACTAAGAGAAAAAGGTGGGACAACAGAATAAATTGATAAAAGCTGAGTGACGAATAAATTGCAACACAAACATGCGAAAGTGAGAACTTGAACTACCTCTATACTTACAACAGGAACACTGTACCTTTGCCAGCTCCCCATTCAGCCAGGCAACCTTTTTCAAACCTCTGATGCACACGACCATGCCCGGTTCTGGAGCGACCTTTTCCTTCGCCTCGGTCCCGATTCCATCGCCGTTATTGCCCCCTACTATCCCCCCGGGGCTGCTCTCCGATGCGTCGGACAAGGCGATGGAGGCGCGCTCACTGTCCGAGAAGCACAACGCAAAGCTATCCAGATCGCTGATGCTTAACACCCGACCGCCCCGCTCCGAGGGGATGACTCTCTGCGTTTTCCCCTCGTTAACCACCACCCAGGACAGTCCGGCGCTGTTGTTTCCGCCGGAAACAGCTATTTTGCCGTCTTTCGATGTTGTTCCACCCACGTCAGCCCAACTCCCACCGGAGGGGACCCGAGGGACGACGACGGGAGAAGAGAGTTTCCGCTTCTCTATGGAAACGCTGGGCAGCATGCCAGTGGGGGCGACAGCCGCTGTCGTCGCCATCTTGATGTGGGGCTGGTGCGTGGTTTGGATTTCTCGATTTTCCTTGTCGGTACCACGGACCTAGGTCGTGAACGGTCGTGCCTCCAAAGGGGAACGCTAGGTGTTGTTCCTGACAGTAGTTCGCATGATCATCTTCCACCCGACCGGAACTGCCCCGTCAGCACCTCGACGGCAGTCGCTTCTGCGCATTTTTTCACACAACCAAGGCGTCTTTGTCTTTCTATTCTACATTTTGTTTACAACGATAGTACGACGGACACTCTTACCAAAACTTCAAAAATCACTGTTTTTGCGAATTGGAGCAAACTCAAGCAAGTTTTTTATGAAATAAGAATAAATGCGGTGGAAGGGAGTACTTATAATGTAAATGCGCTGGAAGGGAAAGTATAATGTACAAAGGCAGGTGGAGGTGGGGGTAAAATTAGTATGCGCAAGTTCTGTATTTTGGTTGGGACGCTGTAATAAAGATGCGAGGTGGGAAGCAAGAATTCTTCAGCTGTTCACTTTTGATTTCCAAACCTGTATAAAAAGCACCACGCCTCGTCTCGGTGAGATCAACAGACACGGAGGACGACCGATTCTAAGGTTTAGGTTGTTCTCTTTTGCTGCTGCACACACGAAAATAATATCACCGATTTGAAATCTGGACTTTCATTTAGGGGAACACGAACAACATCAACCACAGATTGGAAAAAACAAACCGAAGCATCTCGCTTAGTCCTACTGATGCAGAGGTCGCTTTGTAGCAACACTTTTGTCGCTTAATACTTGTAGCAAAACACGCTGAAAGCAGCATATGCAGAATTATGCGCTTGTGCTGTTAAAAACTTATGTTTTTCATTGAAGTTGGAAGGGAATAATTGTTCTTGGCTGGGCAGCTATATGCATGACAACTCCAGGGGCGTGTAGTAGGGGTAGTAACTTCTTGAGGCAAAATAATATCAAAGGGCGCGCTTTTACTAGGACAAGAAGAAAGTCAAAGTTTTGTATGAGCCCACTATGCGCTGATAGGAATGTTCTTTCTTGAAAAATTCTTTTATTGCAACAAACCAACTCCGACCTCCCTTCGCTATACATCCCTATCACGCGATCCTCGGCGAAAGGTGACTGTCGATGTACTGTTTCTGGTCCATTTTCTGCACCGTAATTTCGCCGCTCGTTGGGCTCACTGCGAGAACGATCGCGTCGCCTCTTATCACCCCGGTGATCGTGATCAACGGCTCGTCGAGCAGAACGCCGGGGGAAAAGACTTTCAGCTTCAAAATCCCCCCGCGGTGCGACTGGTCCTGCTGGTTCGCGGGGATCTCCGGACGCAGCACCGCTTCCCGCCCTCTGAAAACAAACACGGTGGAGAGCGGGAACGTTTCCCAGTAGTCGTCTTTGTCGTAGACAGAAATTTTCAGCTCCTCCGGGTACTGTGGCGCGCCATAGTAATCCACGAAGTGGTCTTCTTGTTGTTCTCCCGCGTTCAGAGTACTATCGCCCGCCGTAGAAGTAGTTTCGCACAAGTTCAGGACGCGGATGGGGTAGATTTTCGTTTTCAGCAGGGCTTCCGCCTTCAACGCGCATTCGACTTCCAAGTTCGCCCAGGTAATGTCGTTGGTACTCGCCCGGGACCGGTCGAGTCGCAAAACCGGGTTGAGAAACCGCTCCGCCTGCTCCGATATCCCCGTGGTTTGCGTGTCGGCGGGGCTGCTGTGTTTATTTCGACTGTCTGTCGCTTGGGTCGCTGCACCAGAACAACTACCGAGCAGGTCGTCGGGGTCCAGGGTGAAGTTCTGCTGATCCGGCTGCTGCGCCGCGTTCTTGGGGAGGTTGTTGATCTTCATCGCCCCATGCTGGAAAGTGCTGCTGGAGGTGGCACTCTGCTCCTGCTTGTTCACCGTCTTCTCGTTCTGCGTCAGCATATGGTCTGCGAGTTTGCGGTCGTGCGTGTCCGGGTCGGGCAGCCGAAGTAAAGGACCGGCTTCGGGAGCGCGAGAAGTGGCTTGACTCAAGTTGTCCTTGTCGGGGGGTGGAAACCAACCCGTGTAGTTCTCGCCACTATAGTCATTCACACCAGTCGGGTCTTGGGATACAAGTTCGTCGGGGTTTGGGAGGAGGCTGTCGCTGTTGTTACTAAAAAAATTATCGTTTTTAGTTGTACTATCTGGCGGTCTTCCGCGATCAAATGTCTGTGGTAGGTCGTCGGACCCGACGAGGGAGCGCTTCACGTTCCGGTACGCTTCCTCGGTCGAGTTCAACGCGGCGGCTACACTGTCGTACACGCCCGACGATTTCGGTTCATCCTGGTCCTCACGGAGGCTCAGCCGCTGCTCCCGCATTTTCGCGCCGGCGAAGCTCTTCAGCGCGCCCACGCCCTCTTGGATTGAGCCCGGGTACTTGTTCCTGTGGTAAAAGGAGTATAAAAAAGATGAAAAATGTGGCTCTACAAGAACTACTTCTAACACGGTGTAATTTTCTACATGCATCAGACTCAAAAGAACTACTTACGCACGTCACAAGTAGACAGTTGTGGCAGTCTATCTACTACCAACCGTGGTCGAAATCATGACATTACCTCGCCGGACTCATGGGCCTTGAGCTCGACCTGGACCCGCCGCGCTGCTCACTCCCGACACTGGTCCCGACCGGGCTTTCGACCTCCTGGTCCCTCAATTTCGCCCTTGCCTCGTCCGACAGCCGCATCTGCGCGATTTGGTCCAGTTTGTACGTTTATCAATTGCAAAAATGTCTGGGTCCGGAAGATTCTGAGACTTGTCATGCGCGTTTGCATGAGCCATGACGTTCGTGATGCATGCCCTAGCATCACAGATTTTTTGAGGGCTTCTTGATGGCTATACCGCATGACAAATGCCCTCTCCGCGTAGCAAAAATCGCATTCCCTTTGAAGCTCATGCAATACAGTTTTTTTTGGAATCCAAACGAGGCATCACAAGTTGCACTCTTCCAAGCCCAGACATTTTTACATTTGATAACGTTTGGATCTTCTTCCGCGCGGATTCGTACAACAACATCCCGCCGACCAAACTGGCCGCCACCGGCCAACTCCCCGGGAGCAGCAGCGCCCCACCCACGTAGCTCGCCGTGCGGCCGTCCACCCTCCGCTCTGGCCAGATGCCCATGGCCTTCGCCGCAGACGCGGGGATTGTGATGGACGACGCCGCGTCGTCGGAGATGGAGGTGAACTCCAGGTCGGCGCGCTGCACGAGGAGCTTTTTCTGGTGCTCGTCCGCATATGGATTGCAAAAATGTCTGGGTCTGGAAGAATGCGCGATTTGTCATGCAGCTTTTTCATGACCTATGAGGTCTGGAATGCAGGACCTAGCATGAAAGATTCTGCGCGATCTCTCCGATGCCTATCCTGCATGAGAAACTCCCTCCCGACTTGGTCAAAACTGGACGACTTTTGGTGATCATGCAACACAGATTTTTGCATGCTTCAGATTTAGCATGACAAGTTGCATTCTTCCAGACCCAGACATTTTTACATTTGATACCGCAAATTCCTGGACGACTCTGCAGTGCTCCTGGATCAGGTCCAGCGTTTCCTTCTGGCGTTCGCGGGACTGGTTTGGCAGGGGCCGAGAAGTTTTTCCGGCCGCTGATGTTTCTTGTTGATTATAGTAGTTCTCATTGTCGCTATTTCGGAAAACATTTTGGTTTGTTGTCGGCGGCAAATACGCGTCCTTCCCGCCGGTTTGCTGCTGTTGGTCCAATTTGTCCAGCCAAGACGCCCAGCCGTCCTCGTCATTCACAGAGGAGGCGTCAGACCGCCGCTGCTCCGGACTGTTGAAACTTCTTGTCGCGTTGTTTTCTTCATCTTGCGGAGGACTCACATTGTAACTTGGGCTGGTGCCAGTACTGTTGAAATCATATGCCGCTGGGTCTTGCTGATTATAGTTGCTGTACCCGGCGTAATTAGCAGAGCCCTCTCGTCGTCTATCTCTTGGAGATGTGGAAGTGGTAGGCGTTACACTACTACTATCATTCCCCCGACCTCCACGACCCGCAGATGAACCCACAGCGTTCAACCCCGCTTGGACCTCCGCCGTTGCCGCCGCAACATCGATCGACGCCTTCGTTTGCCGCAGGAGTTCGCTGAAGAGCCGCAGGTATAGGATGGACGCCGCGTAAAAGTTCAGAACGTTTTCCTTAGACGCCTCCACGAGCAAAAGCAAGTGCGTGAGCCAGTCCTGTTGCTGCTGCAGGTCCCACTCATCCGAAATGTCCAGCAGGTCGAACCACACCCGCCGCAGCAAAACGGCGAGTTGCGGGACGGAGAGGCACCGTTCCAATACTCCCATCACTTCCTCCACCTCCACCTGGCTGGGGAAAAACCCGGGCACGGACAAGAGTTCCCCGATCAACGAGCGCATGTTGGCAAAGACCGCCTCGGCCTCTTTCAGCTCCCGATTCTCCTCCTCGGCCGGAGCGGTCCCGAAAAGGCTGCCCCACATGTAGAAGAAGTCCTTGGCGGTGCTCCTGCTGCCGCTGCGTGTTCAATACTATAATTCCGTGCAGCTGTGGCCGCGCCAAGGATAGCTGTTTTTCGATATAGTAGCTACCAGGCACTACAGTACAGCAGGGGCAACTGGTACTGGACGAGCAACAAAGAACGTCATCGCATTCTTTGCACTTCCTTTGCACGACCATGATGAAGTGAGGCAGTCGTAGGCGCTGTGGCCATAGCTTGGATGTTGCAGCAAGACTTAACGATAAGGCTGTTCACTTACACTTAGTCGTCGCTCAAAATTTCTTGTGCCGCTTAGTACGCAAAAATGAGATATACCAATTCGGATGCCGTGGCGCAGAGCGTGAAAAGAATAGCACAGTTGAAATATCAGTAACGGTCTGCTCTCAACACCCGCCTCTTCAAGTAGCCTGCTGCATTAACAATACGTGCAAGATGGATTTTTCGCACATGAGGATGACATTGAGATTGATTTTCATCATGCTGATGCTTTTTTATACCGACGTTGATGGTTTAGGATCCGTGGGCATGAATTTGCACTTATTTCTGATCAAAAACCTCCAACATCGACCTGCAATGATCATGCAGACTTCATCATTTCCGAACAAAGTGGCCGCGAAAGAAGGGGCGACATCAACACCGCAAAGGCACAGCAACAGCTTGCGTTTTGATATAATCCTAGAAATACTTATTGTTGTGTCGCTCGTGTTCAGAGATCATAAATATCGATTGTTTGACAAAAAATTGCCCTGCTCCAAGTTGTTGTAGGTAGATGATGAATAATCAGAAATATTTGGCCCTTTTCGCCGAGGGCTGCGCGGCTTCCATGGCATCGAACTTTTTCATGCTGCCCTTCTCCTTCAGTTTGTCTATCGCCTTCAGCTCATCATCGACCGATTTGAATTTCTTTTCCCCGCCCTTCTCCTGCATAGTACCGTCGTTCCCGGATTTCATGAAGAATTTCGCCCCGTCCGTGGTGTCCTGGTCCATTTTGGCGGCGAGCTTCTTTTTCTTCTTTTCCGACAATTTTTCAAATTCCTCCTCCGCCTTCACCTGTGCGGCGATCGTCTCTTTCGTGTGCTGAAACACGTTGTCGTCCGCCTTGTATTCGCTGTATGCTTCGTCGCTCGCCGTTTTCCCCGTCAACCGGGCTAGTCGCTCCTGCGCGAGCTTTTTCCGCTCGTTCGCCCGGTCCGCGAGGCCCTGGGCGGTGTCCAGCCTCGCGTAGTCGAAGTAGTAGCCGGTTTTCCCGTCTCGGGTCGTGAAAATCCAGCCCTTTTTGCTCCCCTTGTACTTCCGAGAGGGGATGAACTCGTCGTCCGCATTCTCTTGCCCGGCGAAAGGGTCCAATCCCTCTTCCAACTTGTCAAACATCCGCTCGTCCTGGACTTCCGCCAATAAAGCCAGTTTGTCCTTCTGCTTCGGCTTCTGTTCTCTGCTGGCTGCTGCCCCAGGTTTCGCAATCGTGGATTTCACCAAATCCTTAAATGACTTCGCACTGCCACCCCCGAAAATGTCGTCGTCACTGTCGTCAGCTGCTGGCTTATTGCTCCTCGAGCTGGTGGTCGTGTGTTGACGCCTACTGCCGTGAGGATGTCGACTGCTGCCGTGCCTACTAGTGTCTCTATCCCTTTGTTCCCTTATTTCCGAGGTAGAACCTCTTCCAGTCGTTCCACCCCCACCACTTAGCGACCTCACGTCGTCCACTCTGGTGGTTGTTCCCGGGAGCAAGAGCCCCTGTTTCCGCAACTTCTTGTTTTGTTTGAAGTCCGCCATGGTCTCCTTGATGTGCTTCAGCAACTCCTTCTCCACATACTCGCACTTGATCTTTTCGTCCAAATCCGGACACTCGGCCTTGCTCCGCGACCCGTAAACGGGCTTTTCTTCCAGATCGAAGAGGTCGGTCGAAAATTGGTAATAGGTCCGCTTCGGCAGAAAGGTGACCGGGCCGGACTTCACCTTGTCTCCCTTGTACAGCCGCGTGTGCATCGACTTCAGGTGTTGCCGGAATCCGTTCTGATCTGGGTGCAGGGACTTCACAAAAGCAGCTTCCACGCGCTGCGCCAGGACGGATTTCGAGGTTTGCTTCTTCTCCAGATTCTCCTTCGCGCGCTGCCGTCTGAGGGGTAGTTTTTTGGGTAGTATTTCTTTTGGATTTACTAGTAGTCGAGATTTGAAAAGACAATGCATATGCAATCAACTACAGGTGATATATTATAAAATGCAACTACGCTGACGCACCAAAAGCTGCAAAACCACGTTCTTGTAGTACTGTTCCATAATCCGTGCATCCGGGTCATTGGTGACGGCCGATCGTTGTTCCCGATCCAGCTCCTTTCTCCTCTGCTGGAGCAGGTTTTCGTCGAGACCCTTGACCCAAAACGTGTGGTCTTATCAACTGCAAAAATGTCTGGGTCGACGAAGATTGGAAGACTTGTCATGCAGGTTTTCCTTGACGCGTGAGGTCTGTCATACATGACCCAGCATGACAGATTCTGTCCGACCTCTATCATGCCTCGTCTGCATGAGAGACTCCCTCTCAGCCTGGTCAAAACTGGACAGCTTTTGGTAATCACGCAACACAGATTTTTGCACTATCCAGAATTAGCATGACAAGTTGCATTCTTTCAGATTCAGACATATTTGCAATGCATAGGTCTGCGTCGCCGCCCATAAATTTCGACTCCGCCGCGGAAATCGCCGAGAACTTTTCCATCGTTTTCACCAGTTCCCCCTCCTGTTCCCGCCTCTTCTTCGCCAGGTCGACATAGGACGCCGCGTCACCGAACCCCTCCTTCTCCTCCTTCTCCTGTTTCGCGTCCTTATTCTGCTTGCCCAGCTCCTTGTATTTCTGTTTCCTTTCCTTCGCCGCCTGCTTCTTGGCGGCTTGCGCGTCGTCGGCTTGGTTCTTCTGCCCGTACGGGCCCTGGTACTCCGGCGCCTCGGCGGCGAACCCAGCGACATTGTTGTTCCTGCCCCCGGACGTAGAGCTGCTGCCCGCGCTCCCCCCGCTCTGGAAAGCGGGGGTCATCAGGTACTGCATCGCTTTTCGCATTGTCAGGTGGTGGAGATGAGGTGCGTAGAATCAAACGAACTATGTGGAAACAAACTTATTTTTATTTAACCAGATCGGTACAGTGAATCAAGCTTCGGATCATATCGAAGGTATGAAAGTTCTTCTAGTCGGAGGTGATGGCCGAGAAAAAAGATCCTTAAAACGTCGAAAAATGCGTGAATTTTACGGGAGACAATAAAAATCTTCAAATCGGGGGTAACACTAGATAGAGAAGTTAGGAAAGGTATTTATAGGTCGCTGCGAACGTCGATTTGGAGGACAATAGGACGGTGATCTACGCCGAAAAACAAGGATCACATCTTAATTCCAGCAAGCGTGTGAGTGTAGGGGAGCTGTCCCAAATTCATCGCTGGAACAATTCCTTCATTGAGCAGTCGGAAACCCTGCTAAAAATGCGCCTGCACAGTAAGTAGGCCTTACTGCCGTAATATTTTTTTTCGTTAACTGCGTTGCCATTTTCTCGTCGTGATGGATTTTTTGAGTTCAAATATTTTTGTACAGGACCAGCAAATCTCGTTGTGGCTCAAAAGAATCCATCTTCCTATGCACCTCACGAGGAGCACGACCTCCATAGTCTCGTCTAACATTCCCTTCATTCGGCTATTCCTATCTTGTAAAGTAACCTGTAATTATCTCAGCTATATCTTTTCCGACCCGCACAATCTCGGCAGTTTTATTTGTGCGAATCAGCTCTGATTAGAATCCATACAAACTGAAATCTCGGAAGCGATTTCGAAATTTTGTTGAATATTAGCAAATTTAAGATCTCAATCTTCTGACATAGAGTTGTACTATCTCAAGGTTTCATCGTTTCTGACAATTATTCGGTTTCAAAGGTTCATCTTGTTCAAAAGGAAAGAAATATATAAATCCTGCGATGCGGCAGGAAGCAAGACTGCAAAAGTGGGCGCAACTTCATGCAGATCCTGCTATACTCCACCTACACTACAGCGGCGGCGGCGCGAGCAGGTTGTGATGTTCATAAAGACTTCATGAAGTTTAATATTTGTATTTCGCCCTAGTCTAATATTACATCGAAGAAGAGTTTTTAACTTCCGCGGATCGCACGCTCGACATTCTGCTCGATCTTGTTGCCCTGCAGGAAGAGCAAGGCGTCCAGCGATACCAGCGGAATGCCGTCATCGAAAAGCTCCAGCGCCGCGTCAAACATGTGATCAAAGTGCTCGAACTGGTAACCCGCTCCCTTCAAGATAGTACGGCACTCCTCCCGGTCGCGTCTTACCAAAAACTCCGAGTCCATAATGCCCTTGATCTCGAACCTGTTAGTACCGCGCTCGTAGTAGTCGTACAAATCAAAATGTTCTTATGGTAACAAGTCGGCATTACAAATTGCATTCTTCATGCTGAGGGAATTTGTCATGCGATTTCTATTTACATACTGGTACGAAGATAATTTTGCCATGCAAACACAGTACCTTTGTGGGTTCAGCAGCGGTCCCGCGCCAATCTCGTCTCCGTAGTTCTGCATATCGGCGCAACTGCGCTTGGCCGGGTCCGGGGCCGGAATGTCGATTCGGACGGATGGGACGCCGTACAGCCTTATCCTGAGTGAAAACGTCCCTATACCCCAGAGTCAACATGGGATTTTGCAGCAACACAAGCCTAGTAGAAGTTTTCAGAGGCACGCATTACCACAAGTCGCAGTCCGTATTCTTAGTGCAGGTTGGCAAGGACGACAGCCGCATTACAAATGAATCCATGTGCTACAACTGCTCAAGTACCCTCATTCTGTTTACAGCATTACAAGTTCCAAAACGACCCGACTGGAAATGCTTAAAAATATCATGGGGATGCACGTCACGAATGTTCCTGTCCGTGAAAATCTCCGTGACAACTCTGGGGTGCTGTGGGCCCCGTTTTTACAGAGGATAAGCCTCTTCGGATCCCTGCTCACGTTTGTTCTTCCCGGGATCGTGCACTTCCCCAGGTTTGCGTCCGGCACATTGTCCGCGTCCGTGTAGGTTCCCTGCATGCACTTAGCCGCGGTGTCATTCGCCCCCGCGGACACAATGCCAAATCCCCGGGCGGGCGTCTGGGTCGTTGGCATTTTTTTGTGAACAAGTACTTCTAAAAGGCACTGCAGTGTAGTTCATATCGCTGCGCCAGCATAAGCATGTCTTCACCTCCTACAGAAGTCCTCCGTGCATTATATTCATCAACGAACTTCGCTATCAAAAGACCAGAAACCTATACCGGATGCGTGCCCTGACAGTAATTTCTTGGCTTTCCGAGCTTTTCGTGGGTCACGTCGCGGAAGTCTGCTAAGGTTTTCCTCCCGATTCTGGTCTTGGCCATCTTGCCGGCCTCATCTAGCGTCCAGTCGAGCGCGCCTGTTGTTGAACGATTTTCCTTTATTTTTTACTCTTGCAGCACAATTTGAAAGTTGAAACACTCTTGCGTGAAGAAATACTAACTAATGCAGCAATCAAAGTATTATATCGCAAGAAAAATTATCACTTCTCCATACCTGCTACGCCGCCCTTCTCGCCGCCCGCGTCTTTTTCTGTGACGCCATACCTGAAGTCTGGATCTTCTATTGCCTGCGGCCATGCGTATTTGCGGTCGGCCTGCTCGCCCGGCCCGAAATTACCTGCATTTTTTGTCATGCGCGACTTCCTGAAGAAACGAGGATGAGAATCTTCCCATTGATTTGTTTTCATCAACATGATGCGCACCATTTATGCATAGTTTAGAAAAGCAAGTCACATCAAGCCAAAAACTGAGAGCACTTCCAGCAAATATTAAAGCTGCATATCTAGAAATAAATTTCTACCGTGTGTGAACCGATATAACTCCGTGATTTCCTTGGTGTCTGGTTCGACGCCTCGGGGAAAGATAATTTCCTTGCCATCCTCGCCGGCCCCTAGTGACTCTTTGCCAAAGCCTGAAGAGAGATTTGTTTCACATTGACTTTTACGCACAGAACAAAAACGGTCGGTATCGCAGCGTGCGGAGTTCTTGGATACAGCGGATTCGGATTCATGATTGCTATACAAAAATTGTAGCAAGTAGTCCACCACGATTTCTACCTACAAACTTCTGCTCTTTCGTAAGCCCAGGTAATTCGTGACCGCGCACGTAGCTATGGCCCAGAGGTTATGCATTGCAAATATGTCTGGGTCTGGAAAAACGTCGCAACCTTGGAATGCATCCTGTGGGTCAAACGAAAAGCTGTGTTGCATGACTGTCAAGAGTTGCCCAATTTTGGTCAAGGTGCGAAGGGGTTTCTCATGCAGAACAGGCATGACAAAGACCTCACCGAATCTGTCATGCTAGGCCCTGCATTCCAGACCTCACGGGGCATGGAAAACCTGCATAACAAACCTTGCAATCATCCAGACCCAGACATATTTGCATTTGATAGAGGTTCCATTTTCGTGCTCTTGTAGACGGACTCCGCACATTGGTTCTTGTATCTGCGGTATTGGTCGTATTGGATGCTAAAAAACTACACATGGATACGAAAAAGCGATGCGACGCATAAGCACTAATGAGAATGTCACTGTGTCGTGTCTTCAAAAATGAAGTTCAAGTTGGTTATACTAGCAAATTCTTCCTCTTCACGCGCAGCTACGTACACATACACAACGATCAAGGTTCGTACTAAAATAAACTCGAAATAAACATCTTTCTACGCTGCAATCCCGAGCAGCAGACCATCCTTGAACGTTCGTTCGACGGTTTCTCCCCTGTCGCTGTGAATACCGTATCGGAAATCATCGGATGGGATATGGATGTGTCGGGATCGAAATCGACAAAATCGACGAGAAAATTTGTGATGCATAAAATGTAAGTAGGACACTGAAGGCCTGTATTGGGAAGCAGGCAAATGAGACCGATTGCAAGCCTGTCCGGGGAAAGACGATGTGCTCCCAGAGTAGCACGACAGGGGCAGTCTTCTTTGCCCAAACAGAGTGACAGACTGGATTTGGGTGCTCCCGAAATTTGTCATCCGCCACTTGAAAACTGGGGCTCCAACTGACATCGATTTTCTGCATCACAAATTTTTCGATTTTGTCAATTTCGATTGATTCTGACACTTCCATATGGGAGCTTCTGGTCCGACAGTCCGTGGTGAACGTGAATCTCACCCGGGACTAAGTTTTTGCGAAACCTGATCCATTTTTTGACAAGTTGCAATGCCGCGTAAGCAGTTGCAGCGAACTTGGAAAACAAAACCTTTCACCGACTTTACCACTGAGTAGCCAAACCACGCTAGTAGAGCGAGAGCCGCATGATCTTCAGACTTCCACTTCCTCGTACGACCCAAATAAAACAATAAAATCCTATTGGTATTATACTTTCTCTGCGATGGCGGCGTTGGTGGCCTGGGGAAGTAGATATCCGACTGCAGATCTCGCTCGGTGGTGTCGTTGAAGATGGATGTGCTCTTTCCCGCGGGCCTCACGCCCGGGACTGGGTCGCGGAACAGACCAGCGTCCTTTTGACGCTGGTAGGAGGTCGTCTCGACCTCCAGGTCGTCCGCCATTTTCTTTTGTTTTCAAAAAAACTAGTGTTCTTCTCCTAAAATGTAAAACATAAAGTGAGCCTGCTGCAAGGACAAAAACTACATCATTCTCCCCGCTGAGATGGTGCAGCCCGGGGCAAAAATCAGCACGAAAAGCGATGTTGATGAACAGGAGTGCTATACAAGTATAACCACGAACAATGCCACCGCGCTCTTCTCACGAAAATCTCGCTCTCTTCGCGCTCTTATGCTCCGACGAGTTGTGCTGCCGGAACTCAAACTCACTCACAGGCCGCAAAGGAACTACTGCAGTATCTGTTCGAACTTTTAGCTCTGAGAATGATGGAACAGTGCGAGGAATAGCTTCGGCTCGTCTGCTTCAAGTTCAAACTATCAACTTTCATGGAAAAGAAAGCAGCGTCGTTGTAAGTAGTATTGTTTCAATGAATCAAAAGTCTTTGCTTTTCTCTGTTGGAATCATTGCAGTTCACGTGATCAGTAGTTGTTTCCATTCAGAAGGCCTGACAAACAATCGGAGCTTGTTCGTCGAAGCACATGACATCAACATCGAGAATTGAAACCACTCTGCCGCCTGTTGATTTCGAGTCTGACATGGCCAGTTCTTGCAACTTCACGAATACAAGATCATCTTGTTCCTTACTGCAGCAACGTCCCAAATTCCGCGTCACTACCCGCCAAGTCCTCCAGCAACACTTTCGACTCCAGCAACACCGCCGCATTCTTGTCCGATGACTCCGCTATCCCACAGAAAATTAAAAGCAGGCGGGGCGTATGGTTTTAATTTGTAATTGTATGTAATGCAAAAATAAATACTTACACAGAAAAATTATCTGCCCTGCGTTTTCTAAGCAGCAGGCTGAGGCGGAGGGATCTTTGAAGTGAATTCATTCTTTGCCTATGCAAATATGCCCTGTCTGGTGCTTTTTTCTGGGGGATATCCGCCGCTTCCTCACCGGACTCAGCTGTCGTCGGGTAGTCCTCTTCGTCGAAGTTGTCGGACAAATACGCTGATGAACTGCAAAAGTATCGCATTCGTATAAATGCGTGACAAATTCCCTCAGCATCATCATCATCATTGAGACGGACCCCCTGTGGTCGTCCTCACGGCGTCGTCTTGGCCCTAGGCTGTTTCGGACAGATGTTGGTTGTGTCCGGCAAGAGGACGGCTCTGCATGGGCAAATGTTGGTAATGTCCAGCAAGAACGCTTCCGTGGCCAGCAAGAACGCTTCCGTCAGCATGAGAAATAAGATTTGTAATGCGGATATACCTTGAGAAAAACATTTGTAATGCATGACTGCAATACGGGCACGATACTTTTGCACAGGATAACGCTTTCAACTCCACTGCGTACTTCTCCAACCGCTTCTTCGCCTCGGGCAACACGGTTAAGGTCTCGTTCAGACACTCCTGCTGCTGCTTGATGTCGTGTTTGCACGTATCGTATTTAAAAACGTCCCCACCCCATAGTTGTAATGCAAATCTTTTTTTTTTTTGATTAGGCCCCTCTTTCTCATATAAATTCATCATTAATTTTTTGCTAGGAGGCCGGTGTGCGTTACTTAACATGTGAAATCTGATCTACGGGATCCAGCCTGTCTGAGCAGAACCGGGCCGACACAATATTTCACACAGTTAAGCAGAAGGCGCGGGTATCTTTGGCGTTTTTCCCGTCTGCACTTACTCACGTCGCCCGATCTTGCAGGGCTCTCGCCCTGTTGGCACTTGAGCATAACAACTCTGCACGCTGAGAGCATAACAACTCTAGTTGTAATGCAAATCTGCATGCTGAGAATGGTTCTCATGCGGAGCCCCATGAGAAGCATTTTCTAGTCGTGTTTGGCAATTTGTCATGCTCCAATCAGCATGGTATGCTAGATCTGTGATGCTGCTGAGCTAGCTCGAACAGCACTACACTACGAATGCAAATTTGTCATGCAAAACAGCCAAAACTTGTGGATTTGTCTAGCCGATTCCCCATCTTGACTATGGTGTGGGGACGTTTTTACTCAGGATAGCACGACCCTTCTTCCGTCATCTTCTGCACCAAGGTACGCTGTATCAACTGTAAAAGTGTCTGGGTCTGGAAGAGTGCATGTTTGTCATGCTTGTCTGGCATGACTCTTAAATCTGTCATGCACGTTACCCAAGAGCCCCATTTTTCTGTGATGCAGAAACGCAGTCTGTCGTGCAGAGTAGGCAACACCTAGAAGCTCAGAAACTTGTCATGTTGAGCCAGCACTTGTGGCATCCTCATGATGCGCCACCCAGCATCACAAATTTCCAGACCCAAACACTTTTGCATTTGATACGCTGTTTTTCCTCCTCCTTCACGTAAAAGTCGTACTCCTTGCGGCTGCGCTTCACCGTGCCCAGCTTGATCTTCAGCTGTCGGGCGTCCTCGGCGGAGACTGGCATGTCTTTGCTGATTGAGAAAAACGCACACGATGAAAAAGGCTGGGGAAAGTAAACTTGATTGAACTTCTTCTGTTGCTGCTCGGTCTCTACGATTGTTTTCAAACGTCTAATCGTGCTGTGTGCGATTGCAAGAAATAAAATCGCTGGCTCTATTTTTCGGCACTTTGACTTTGATTTATTTTCTAACTCGTCCGGCATCTTCAGGCCAATGATTTGGGCTAAAGTCATTTCCAGCAGGAAACACTAGGAAATAGAATTCAGGGTGCGTTTGCAAGGGGTTTCGCTTTTCACTCTTTCTCGTTGGCTAGCAGCTTCTCGTTCGGCTGTAACACGGCACGTATCAAAATGCTGTGAAGTAGAGTATAGCAGGCAACGCATCTTAACAGGTTACTTAGTTTTGCGCGAATTACAACTCCGCTGCATCGCGAGCAATCGGTGACGTGAAAGCTTTGTTTCAGCTTGTAGTCGGAAACCGTTCTTCTATGATGTTTGTGAACTTGGTTCATTTCATGACGCAAAAAGGAACGAACAGTTTTTAACAAGCTGCAAAAACGACCAACAAAAGTATCTTCTCAAGACAGCGCACGACCGTGGTGAGGAGCTCCGTGATGTTTATATTTGAATTTCAATCAAACCGTAGAAAAACTGGGAAATCATTGAGCAGGGGGTCGTGTCCTCTGGATGAAAAATATTTAGTATGACGGCTGTAAGTTCGTACTAACTAGGATCACACAAATATCTCCGGCCCGTTGCCTTCCGTGACCTCCTCTCCGAAGTCCTCTGGAATCATGCCTAGTACTTGCTCCCCGTATAATTCGGTAACCTCTTCGGCCCGTGCGCAGTACTTATCCTTGGCACCCAATTCCCAGCTCCGGTGGTCGAAAAGCATGACGCGCTCGCCCTTCACCGTATGCACTGCAAAAATGTCTGTCTTTGGATTCTAGGAAAATCTGTATTGCGAAAGCCGCAAGAGGCGTCCAGTTTTTGTTACGCAGAGAGGGCATTTGTCATGCGGTATAGGCATCAGGAAGCCCTCACAAAATCTGTGATGCTAGCGCATATTTCACAGACATCATGGATCATGCAAAATGTGCATAACAAGCCCTTCCAGGCCCAGACATATTTGCAGTTCATAGACCGCGAACTTGTACAAGGCCTGCTCCGCGGTGACGCCGTTGATGTTCGTTTGCCGGTTGTTTTCCGCCAACCCAAACACGCCGTGGACGACGCAGTCGAGCAAAAAGTAGTTGTTCCGCTTGAACATTTTTTCTCCCCTCCGCCAGTGCTCCGCCCACATGTCCTTTACAGCCTGGAGCTGCGTTTTCGTGCAGCAGTTTTGGCTTTGGAGATCTTTAGAAGAAGCAGGACTTCTGGATGGAACAACGGCATTCTCATCCGCCTCCGTTTTTCGCTTCTCCACTCGGACTGCATCTTCTTTGATGTCTGCTTTTACGTTTGCCTCGGATTTTTGCTTCTCCTTTTCAGCATTCTTGGCCGCGTCGATAGTTGTTTTGCTAGTATCGCCTTCTTGTTCTCCTTCCTCCTTATCTTCACACAACTTGTTCAGATCGCAGTGGATATCCAGCGTGGCAGTGATCTCAGAGTAGTCGTATTTCGACTGCAGAATCAAAAACTGCGTCTGCAGCATCTCCCCGTAGTTCTCTTCGTACAGGCACTTATCCGGGTTTTTGTTGAATTTCGTCAGACACTTCTCGTTCAAGCTTTTGTACCCATTCGACAACCGGAACAGCTCGGTCATCTGCTTGCCCCACAAGTCGCGGCTCCCCTCGGTGGTGTTCATCTTCAGGAAATTATTACAATGAAAAATGCCCCCTCCCCATATCAAAACGGAAATCTGTGATGCAGATTTGTGGTCACAAATCAGCTTTGTGATGCTAGAAGGCAAAAGATGCGGACTGTAGTGCTGTCTAGCGTGGAAAAGCCTTGCAGCTCCAGGATGACAGGAGGCAACTGGAAGTGGGAAACAACATGACAGATTACCTACAATTTAGTCCTCAGCTTCGTCTCTTGGCCTTCTAGCAATACAAGTTGACTTGTGTACTCAAATACAGCATCACAAATTCGCGCATCTTCCGTTTCCGTTATGGGGTGGAGGCTTTTTTCCCTTTGATAGAAATACCCCGCGTTCGGCGCCGCCAGGACGTGCAGTCGCGGCTTCTCTTCGTAGTTTTTGGTGACCGACTTCGCGATATCAAAAGGAAAAATCCCCCCTCCCCATACCAAACCGTAGATTTGTGTAGCATGATTCGTGACCACAAATCCTTTTTTCATGCTAGAAGGGAAGAGATGCGTTCTGTAGTCCTCGCTGGCGTAGGAAAGCCTAGCGTCTTCAGCATGACAGGAAGCAACTCACTGGAAACGGGAAACAGCATGACAAATTGCCTACAAACGAGGGAGCAACTGCGTCTCGTGGCCCTGTATCAATACAAGTCGATTTGTGTACTCAAATACAGCAACACAAATTCCGTTTTCGATATGGGGAGGGGGGATTTTTTCTCACAATACGCGACTTCTTTAAACCAGTGCGCCATGGTGTCTGCGTGGTAGAAGACCGCGCTGGCGCCCGCAGACCCGCCGGTCAAGATGATCCGGCCGTGCGGACCAATGTAGAAAGGATCCGTCGCCGCGGAAAAAAGCATCTGGAAATAGTTTATGATGTTTCTAAAGCGACGCTCAGGTTTATTTTCTTCTATCATACAGAAGTACAACGCAACAGAAGCTCTTTCTTTTTTCCGAGAGAAAAAGAGCACGATACAACTCGAAGATAGATAGAATAAAGGCACCTAGAAGTATCTATAGATACCACCGAGATTGACTTCATCAGTTCGCGGAGAATGGTGGCGCCTTCGAAGTGCAATCCGGCGACGACAGCGTTGCCAGAAAAGCTTGTACCGTCGCAGTAAGGAACGAAGATGTGCAGAAACGGCGCTGCCATGCGATCTCGCCACGCGGGCCGGTACATTTTTTTCGGGTACGTCGACGAGGAACCGAGCCTGGAGTGATATATTTCAAGTCGACCACGTTTTAATTTTATGCGAATCTGTGATGCGACAGAAGTGCAAGGCTGCACTCAGCGACAACACTTTGAGGTCGTAAATTGATTTCGAAAGAAACACGTTTGTGCACAATTAACGATGAATCGAGTTCGAGACAAACTCTTCAGAATGGCAAATAAAACAGAACTATGTCTTAAAAAATCCAACCGTGTTTTTGCTCTTTTCTGACAGTCTGCGATCGTCGCTTCTCTCGTGTCCCCGTAGCACCAGCCTCCGCCTTGGAAGTCGATCAAGACGCCGTTTTCCAGCTTTTGCTTGAGTAGCACGGGGTCCGGCTCCTGTTCTACGTAGTAGCCCGACGCTGACCCGTCCAAACACCGTCCCCGCAGCAGCTGCTTCCACTTCAAAATCGTTTGCGTGCGGCCGCGGGCTTGCGGAAGAACCAAGCTTCCAGGCAGGAGAAATAGAGCGAAAGTGAGCTGTGCAAACAAGCTGCTTGGAGGACGCCGCGGGCTAGCACTTGTTCTTCGAGCGCCAGGAGCCGCCAGGAACTGCCGTTCCCCCAGCGCTGCGGGAAGATGAAACGTCCGCATGATGGTTTTGCTACGATATTATGTATTTGCAAACGCACGCATTCGACAAAAAGAAGTAAAGAAGTTCCTTCGTGATCTTCGTGAGAGTCTGTAACAGTGAGTAGATACGACCCGTGTGATGTTCCCTTAAGTACTAGTACTTACGTTTGTCTAGTATTGGCTTCCCACAGAAACTTAAAGCGTAGATGTTGGTCGGGGATCGTAATATATCAAAAACCTCGGCTATGAAGCTGCCAAGAAGTCGTGTGCAGATTGTTTAAAAAAAACTTCTGTGGATCTTCCGGGGGTGGCCCGTACAACGCAGCTCGATGAATACAAATTTCGACGGGCACAGCCAAACTGACACACACGAAAAACGCCGCGCGTCGCGACCTCGTCTGTGAAGTTGCAGGGAGTGTGAGGTGCCCCAGCGTCCGTGTGCCAACACCGTACAAGAAGGTCTCATATTCAAGATTTCACAGCACTGCGCAACCTTGTTGCTTCATCTGCTTCAAGAACTATTCACCCAAAAATTCATCAAGCGCCGTTCATAATTTTTTTTCCATTTATCCTCATGGGCATCTTCTGCAGGCCCAGATAAAGAGGACACTAATCCGCAGACTTCGACTTTCACCCCAACAGCGCCTCTTGTAGCTGGAGCTGCGCCACCTCTCCGAGCTCGAGCAGGACCTGATGCGCGATGATTTTTTTCGTGCTGCTTTTCAAACCGTTGTTTCCCGCCACAAGCTTCTCCGCCACCTCCTGCAACAGCCGCGCCGCCGGCCCTGGCGCCCCGTTCGAGGCCAAGGCGTAAAACAGTGCGAGGTTGTGCAACGTAGTGGGAAACAAGCTCGAGGGGGACCTCGTATAGTGTGAAGTCGTGGTAGACGGAACTTCTACAGCATCCCGTGCAGTACGACCAGTTGAACGGAAAAGCGGTAGCTGGAACTTCGCCTCCAACTCCTTCAACGCTACACGCAGCGGATTTTTTTCACGACTCCTCGACGGTCGTTCTTCTTTCGGCTCATCATGTTCTTCCAATTCCACCACCGCCTCAAATTCCTGCAGCAGCGTCCGTGCGTCCTCCCGGACCCAGGCGCAGCACTCGCTCCGCCGTTGCTTGCGGCACTTCCGTTCGCTCTGGGACAGCACGAGCCCGGCACAGGACTGCTCGGAGTCTGCCGCACAGGCATTGGAATTCTTGCCCAGTCGTGCTGTCGTCGTGCTGATGTCGTGGTTCCCCTCCCCCTGCTCTCCTAGTTGTCTTTCCGGCAGCGGCAGCACACCTGGCGATGAAGCAGAAATGACCATTCCTGGCGGGATCTGCTTCTCGACGCGCTGTTCTTCCCGCAGCGCTCTCAGCACGCTTCTCTTCAAGTTCCCGGGCTTCAAAGTGCGGCAGTTTCTGCACTCGGTAATCTCGGCTGGGGAAGAGAAATACCCGATTACCGCCCGGCAGACGCCGGCTGTAGCTGTACTTCTCTTGGTCAGCACAGCATTTTCTATGGTGAGGAAAAATCCGCGCTCCCCATATAAAAAACGCATCAATCTGAAGATTTGCGATGCAAATTTGTAAAACCAGAAATCCTGTTTGTCTTGAAAGAAGGCAAACGCAGAAAGTCCGCCGCATTGCGCAGGCGGTTTGTCATGCTGTTGGGCTTGCAGCATAGACATTTGTCATGCTAGGTGCCTACGCCAAAGGCTCTCGATTCAGGCCCGGCATATGCATGCACTCCTTTACTGCAAGACAGATCTGAAGATTTGTGTACGGAATTCCAGCATCACAAACACAAATTTTCATCTGGATATAAGGAGGGGGGATTTTTCACTTCGATAATTCTTTTGAAGCTGAAAATAGTTTCGGCACGAAAAGAAGGAGCTTCACCATGCTCCTCAGCATCAGTGGCGGCGTCGTGCAACTCGGCGTGTATCAACGGTGCGTAGCGCTCCATGATCGCGCTCAGCTCGCGAGGAGCCTCTGCCGTCGTCGAGACGTTTACTTCATGCGTGGTTCCTCCTGCTTCCACACCCTCTCCTCCTCCTCGCAGTGCGGTGGTCATTCTGTCGATGGCGAGCACGACTTTTTTCGCTTCCTCGTCGGCGTCATAGTTTCTTTCTCCTGCGGATGATGAAGTCGGCACCTCGACATCCGCACTGCGCCCACTCGATGTTGCCTGCCTGATGTCCAGTTGCTCGAACGTTGACGTCGCTCCTTCTGGCGTCACCTCGGAAAAAGCGAGAAACGGGCTCGCTGTGATGTCTTCCGGTGCTGCGGATGAACCTCCGTCCGATGATGTTGGGACGAGGACCGCCGACGCTGGGATAACATCCTCGTTTTTATTCAAGACTTCTGCGCCAGCAGTTCCTGGTAAAAATTCAGCATGTGCATCAAGTACAGCCGAAGGCGGCACCAGCGAAGCGAGAAACCCGCATAACGTTCTTCTAGAGGCGACAGCTGCAGCTTTGTAGCTTTTCCTTGGCCCTGGTGCTGCTGCCTGAATCCGCCGGTACGGCTGAACTACTGTTGCACGCCCTGTAGTGCTGGAGAGCCGTTGACTCATTTTTTCTTGCTCAACAGTCTGCGAAAAAAAAAACCTCTCGCGTTGCTGAAAAATCTGAATTTGAGAATACAGTCATTCGCCAGATGAATCAGGTAAGCTAAGTGGATGAAACACAAATGTAGAATTAGTGTCTCGTTAGTACACACGTCGAAGTCTTTATGTTTATGCCGAAAAGCGAATTTTCACCCTTTGTACGACGTACATCAAGAACCCGACAGTGACGACACACGATTCCGGTACAACGTGATCCGCTAGTACCACGATGGGGAAGGATAAGGAAGCAGCGACGACACCGAAATATTAAACTTAAACATCAATTGGAGCGCAGAAGAAATTAAGTTTCTATACGAATGAGGTCGGAACAGGTAAGTAACTTCTTATTGGAAAAAAACAGCAACTCTACGTTGCCATCAGCTACCAATAAATCATCCGACCAACTCCGCCCGCATTTCCGACACATTCTCCGCAAAAGCAAGTTTGAATTTATCTTCCCCCTTGCTACCATCAAACCGAAAAAGGCAGCTGTTCGAGAATTTCGGAACTTGTGCGCTCGACGCTTGTTCACCAACATTACTCCCTGTGGTTCCTCCATGACTAACCATGGTGGCCGCGAGCTCCTGCAGGAACGGGAGGTGGCCGCAGATCACAACCGAAGAGGACTGCTCTGTTTCGCCGGCAAGGAGGGGCAGGAGATTGTTCTCGAAAAAGGCATCCGCAGAATCCTTTGGGTTCAACCCGTCCTTCTCCGCTACAACTGCTTCCAGCTTCCGCTCCGCGGTCTTTTCTGCCAAAATCTCTGCGGTCTGTCGCGCTCGCAGTTTCCCGCTGTGCCAGAATTGGAGAGGGGCGGTACTAGGTGAGGTCGCGGTGGTCGGGGTGAGATTTTGATTTTCATTACCGATGATTATTTCCTTTGTCGCGAAAAATTCCGCGAGCAGGGCGGTTTCCTCGGTACCTTCTTTGCTCAGCGGACGCTCAGGATTCACATCCTCCGACTCGGCCAAACCGTGCTGCACGAGGTAAAGAACGAGAGACATGAGAGTACTTTATGGCTATCTTATATCTGCGAATGCTTGTTCGTCCTCTCTAGTGGAGTTCTTACCGATAGAGCCTGTCGTTGAAAAGATTGACATCGGTGAAATTTTTACACGATAAATTTCGTAGAGCCAACCTTCTACCGACTAACATCGCACCGAAAAGGGTGTATTATTAAATCGGAACACTATCAATTCGCAGTTCCGGAAAATCTGTTCCACCGGTCCTCGAGAACCAACATCAGCAATTCTTCCTAATCAAACGAGCTCTGGCGAGAAGATGTTGGCGCAAATCCAAGCGGAATAAAGTTCCCTTCCCCTAACGTCAAGCGACGCAGTCACATATCTTCACCACGGAGTTGCGAGACGCACTGAAGGTGGAGCACGAAAGAATTCTCCGGTTGGTATCAATCTCCTCCTGGATTTATTCTTCACGACCGCATGTAGTTCAAGTTCCTCAGAGCTTGACATTACGACCCCCCGCGTGTGTCACCAGTCACGCTTGCCGATACGCCGCAACTTCCGTCTGCGTCATGGGGCAAAGCGGCGGTCCGGTCGTGATTTTGAAGGTCCTTTGGTTAATATCCGCATGCAGCATCTCGAGGAGACGCGAAGATGTAGCATCGAGGACCAGAGGCGGCGGTGCAGTAGTTTCAGAAGATTGTGATGCCCTCGTCTGAGAAGATTGCTCAAGAACTTCTTGTTGTCCGACCACTCTTCCATTACCCTCCTTCCGTCCAGAGCTGCCCCCACCCCGCCCGCGCACTGACGTTTTGCTCCATGCGGCTGTTAGCATCGCCAGCTCGACCGCGGATAGTTCCGAATCGCAAAAGACGAGCCGCTGGCGCGAAAACTCGAATTCGTGCATCAATCCCACTAGCGGTCTCCGAAATCCACAGGTTAGCCCATCGTATCGCAGTTGGGTGAAGGTCAGCGACTCGAGGTTGGGGAAGTATTTCCCCCATTTCCACTCGTCGCCTCCTGTGAAGCTTGTTTCGAGGTGCCGCACATTTTTGCAGCAGGACCAGAACCAATCCGCATCCAGAAGGTCATCTTCGTCATCTGTGATTAAGGAAAGTTTTTGTAGTCCCGGCGCAATGGTCTCTCTCCACAGTTCAACGCCCGCAGTTGTCGTCGGCTCCTCGCCGTCGTTAGAGGTACCCATTTCGTCCATGTCGTCGCAGTCCAATTCCCGGCAGGAAAAAACTGCAAGACGGGTAGTTCTTTTGTCGGGGACAGAAGCAGATGCGACTACACCCGAGGAACTACAACCCGAAGGGGCAGCAAGAGGCACATCCTTGTTCTCCTCCAAATTGTTGCTGTTGTTGTTCCGATGACCGAGCATTGCACACACTAAGCTAGCCGGCTTGACCTCATCGAGATGAAACGCGTCGACCACGTGCAGCGCTTTCAGCCTGGGCAGATGCGTTTTTACCCCGGGCGGGAAGTTTATGGGACTCGTGGCCAGCGCACTGGGGATGAAAAGCGTCTCGAGCTTCGACAGCGACACCAGGGAACGCGCGAAATGGTTGAAGGCCCGGTCGCTAGCAAGAACCACGCTGAGGTACTCTAGGCGGTTATTGTCGGTCGGTGCGCCCAACTGCGGGGCCATCAAGCCAAACTGTCGGAGTTCCGGGCCCATCAGTGACTGCACTTGGTCCAATACGCGGTCGACGTAAACACGGTCGGCGTCCGCGCCCGTGTCTGCACGGAACTCGACGAGGAGGGACTTGACCGCGGCAACATCCACACGCACGTATGCATTGCAAAATCTGGGTCTGGAACAAAAAAATCCAAGTGTGTTTGTCATGCCAGTTCTCCATGACCCACGAGTGCTGGAATCAAGGACACAGCATGACAAATTCTGCGATATCTCTTTCATGCCTACCCTGCATGAGAAGCGCCCGCGCAACTTGGACCACAACTTTTGGCTATCACGCAACACAGATTTTTGCACGATCCAGGCTTTGCATGACAAGTTGCAGCCTTCCAGACGACCCAGACATATTTGCATTGGATAGCGCGAACACGTGAGCCAGGTCGCGGCGCTGGGCCCACAGATCGATTCCGTGGTCCTTCCTCTTGCGGCATTTAAAGCGGATCACCAAGTTCGCGCACCGCAGTTTGCCATCCTGCTCCCGCGACACCGCTTTCCGCGTCTCCGCGGAGACGCACGCAAGGGCGGCCACCTCGGCGCCGTGCAGGAAGCCCAGAACTTCATCGCCGGGTCCGGGTGTTTCCAGAAGGGCGGCAAGCGTTTGGAGCGCCATGGTCTTTCTGCTAGATTAGGGCTACGTAACTGCGGTTTTATGTATGTATTTTTTAGAGACCGGTACGTGCTGAGGCCCAGATTTTTAAACACGATGGCACGGTGAAGGTTAGACTTTTAGCGTCGAGCATACCCTCGGGGAAAACAGGGGGCCCCCGCCCTCCCGCCTCTCGCCCGCTCGGTAGCCTCCCCACAGGGGGGCCCCCGTCCCCGGCTCCCGCCCTCCCGCCCGCAGGGAGGGCCCCGCCTCCGTCTTTCACTGCCCACTATACAGGGGGCCCCCGCCTCCTTGATCGCCCCCCCGCACAACCTTTCGCCCGCTGGGCATCGCGGGGCGCCGACCGCTGGTACCGCGCCTGCAGGGGGGCCCCTGCCTCCTTCTTTCACTCCCCGCGCCCCTGCAGGGGGGCCCCCTTCCCCGGCTCCCGCCCCCCCCCCGCCCGCAGGGGGTATCCCGCCTACAGGGGGCCCCCGCTTCCTTCTTTCACCGCTCACGCGCAGGGGGCCGACGCCTCCTTGCCCGTCCCCCCTCACACCCTTTCGCCCTTTGGGGGTCCGCCTCCAGGGAGGCCCCCCGGCTCCCGCCCTTCCGGCCGCTGGGTACCGCTCGTGCAGGGAGCCCCCGCCTCCTTGCTTGCGCGCAGGAGGCCCCCCCGCCTCCTGCGGGCTGCCGGCCGAAAGCGGCCTCCTGCCCTCCCGCGGGGGGCCCCCGCGGCCCTTCTTGCCCACAAGGGGGCCCCGCCTCCCTGCCGCCCCCGCCCGAAGGGGGCCCCCACTTCCGCCGTATCAGGTCCGGAACGGGCCTCCGCCTTCTTAGTTACCTGCCTGAAAGGGGAAAGTTTGGGGGGGGCCCATTGTCCTGTTCGTTTGGATGTCCTGTTCGTTTGGATGGTTGCTGCCTTGCTGGCCGACTCCGCCCGTTTTTCGCCGCGGGCACGCAAGGGGCCGCCCACTTGCGGCGCGCCCGGCTTTCGGGCCCCGCCCGCATGGGTGGTTGGGGGGGGGGGAGTGTTGTGGGTTGCCCGCTGGTCCGCTATCGCGAAGGGGTGGGGGAACTGCAGCTATTGTGCCTGCGGGCCTCAGCACGGACCTAACCAGTGCGGGGCTTGTGTGTGTTGGGCACAGCTATTGCGCCCGCGGGCCTCACCACGGACCTAACCATTGCACTGCCTGCTTCTGTTGGGCGGCTGGCCGGTCCCCTCGTTGGTGACTGTTCTGGGAGTGGTCCGCTCGTCCTCCCGGGGGGCCGCAACCGCACTGGGCGGGGCGCCCGCGCGCGGCGCCGACGGGCGTGAAAGCGTGCCCAGCAGTAGTGTTGTTGCGCGGGTTGAAGGGAAAGAGAGGGGCGTTGGCAATATTGTATTGCGAAGGCGGGCTGGGTGATTGGTTGTCAATACGGCAGTTGGCAAGTTGGTTGTCAATACGCCAGAGCGACAACTCTCGGGGTCGCGAGTTGTCGCTCTGGCGTATCGTTGTCGTTCTGGCGTATTGACAACCAAAACAACGACAACGAACAGTATGTGGCGCATTGACAACCACAAGAACCCGCGAGACATTCCGCGCGACAGGCAAAGGCCGGCAGTGTGGTGGGGAATACTGCCCACATGCGCCGCGGTGCCGGTCGCGATTCCCAAACGTGGCGGTCGCGACCGACAAACCACGGAAACCGACTCCGGTCGGAAGCCGGCGCGTCCCATCGCGATTCGAGATAAAATCGCAGCGCTTGTTCCGATTTGTGTTACGGCGGGGCACATCGTGAAAAAAACGCCGCGCCGTCGTGATTCGATCGGCTGCGCGACTTGTGCGAAATATCGCGGAAAACCAGGACAAAGCAACTCCGGAAACAGGGCCCGTAGCACCGCGATTCGCGACGCGATTGTTACGCTTTTGCGCGATTTTTTGCACGGTGCAAAAACTCGTGCAAAAGAGGTCCTACCATCGCGATTAGCATAGAAAACAAAGCAACTTTTGCACGATTTTCACCAGTTTCACGACAAATCCCGGGATTCGGGAAATCCCGGGATTCCGGAAAGTCGTGAGTAAAAGACAAAAGCAAAAACCAGAAGACTTTGAAGGGCCAACCCGCATGGTATGGCGCGCGTAGGCTACTGAAATCCTTATAGTTTCGCAGTGTAACAAAAGCCGTGCCACGAGGGCACCGCGCCCGGGTATATACGCAAGGTTTGACCCCAATCAGGGTGCTACGATGGATTTTTCTGGGCCTCAGCGCGTACCGTTCTGATTTTTTAATCGTCTTGCTGAGTGAAGCAGCTGCAGGTTTATCTACTGAGTACAAGTGTGAAGCACAGATAGCTGCATTGTAGGAAAAGCGGATCTATCTCAGATGTTCCAACGCTAAGATGACATCTACGCTAGACACAAGAACGAGCAACCTGATCTGACTTCGGAAAACGGTGTTCTCATCAGATATCGCAAAATCTCAATCTCGATGATCCGCTGAAAAAGAATCACTGTGTCGAGCTCCAGACCCATTCAAGTCCACCAGATCTAGTTCACAGAGCGTTTCTAATTGAGTTGGACGAGGAGGATAATCGGAAACATCTGACAAAAGCACAACGACTCAGCTTTTGCTTTCCCAATGCCATTCTTTTTTCGCAGCTTGGTCTGTGCCACCGTTCGACCAGAAGATCACATACTGAAATCAGGATCGATGAAGTCGTCCAAGCAGTTGATGAGCAAAGTTGTCCTACTTATGTACCAGCAGTACTGAACAGAAGCCTTGTATCTTTTCGCGAGTGGCGGTCGCGCATATTCTTGTTAGACAGCTTATTGCAATCCTCGTGAAAAAAACACCTGAAGGCTGTGCAGCGACTCGTTCTTCACACCAAGTAAAACACATCACGCGGCTTCTCTTCCCGCAGTAACCTCCAGTTCTGCCATAGGACACAAAGGTGGTCCACTCGTGAGCCTATATTTCAACATGTCGGGCTTGTTGTACGTTGACTTCGCAAGCATATTAAGTCTGTGGAGCAATGTCTTGTTGTGAAGAAGCGGAGACGCGCTGCACTTCTTCGCGTCCCAGCCATGACCTTGCTTGTTTTCATGCGCCACCTTATAGAGTAAAGCACCAAACTCTATGGCAGCCAGGCCGAAGTCGTAAAACGCCAGGCGAATTTTGGACAAATCGAGGCTGATTAGAGCCCCTATGATGTCGGGTCGAAATGCCCTGCGGCCACACGTAGCCGCGCCGGCAAAAGTAATCGACTGCAGGCTCGGGAGACGTTCCCGCCAAAACTTTTTCGGTGGTGCCCCCGACAATTCGATGTGCGTTACGTTGCTACACCGAGACCAGAACCACTTTAATTCCCCTTCGTCCCCATCCTCATTGGAGAACTCCAGGTTCCCGCGCAGCGAGAGCTTTCGCAGAGACGGCCCCACCGCTTTCCTCCAAAGCGCTGCGCCCGCGGAGTCAGGCGCTAGACGCCGCACGCCATCCATATCAAAGTCGAAGCAGGAAAAAGCGACAAGACCGCCTTGCGCAGTTACTCCACCGGCTGCGGCTGCACTCCCGACGACCGCGTGGTCGTCTGTTTCGTCGCCCGTACTCGCTTCCTCATCCGCAAGGACAGCGTGAAGCAGAGAATCTGTATCAACATCGCTGAGGTTAAAGTAGCTCATGATATGCACCGTCTGTAACTCGGGGAGCTGCGTCCTGACGCCACCCGGGAAGTTGATGCCCTGCTCTGCGATCTTTCCGGGAAGGAAAAGGGTTCGCAAATTCCGTAAGGCGACCAGCGATCGCGCAAACCGATTGAAAACAGACTCGTCGCACCTTTCAGGGTCCAGATACATACCGAGATCCTCATAGCCCAGCGTGCCCGCTGGCGTTACGTCGTAAACAGCCAGGCCGAAGTGCTGCACTTCTGGAAACATCAAAGACTGGACCTGGGGCAAAATTGGGTCGATATTCACGTCAAGTGCATTTTCTTCAGCAGTTCCGGGGCCGACAAACTTTGCGTGCACTTCGACAAACAAGGTCTTCACCGCCCGGACGTCGACACGTGCAAAAATATGCCCTAAGTCCCGGGTCTGGGCGGTGAGGTCATATGAGCCTGGAACCTCATCGCACTTGAAGCGGATCACCAAATTGATGCACTTCAGCTTTCCGTCCTCGCGCTGCACGGCTTTGCGGGTCTGCTTTGACACGCAGGCCAGGCCTGCAATATCCCCACCGTGGAGAAAGCTCAGCACCTCATCGCTGGGGCCGGAGGTTTCCAGGAGAGCTACGAGGGTGTGCTGCGATGTCATGACTTGATGGCTGCGGGAATTATGACAAGTGCTGTTAACAATCCCACTTCACTATAAATACGCTTAGCGCCGTCACTGAAACTAAAGAACAAGATTGATTGATTGGTCATTTACATGAGAGAAGATTTTTGCTTTTCGGAGTTTTCGCTCGTGTTTTAGCATAAGGCCGTGCAATGTAGATTGATTGGTCATTCGTTGTAAGACAAGGCTCTTTATCTTCGACGTCAGACGATGGTGCACAATGCGCAAACTCATTCAAGCTTTTTGCAATGCAGCGCAAAGAACGGCCTGTGCCAACCACAAACCCTCACTATTAAGGCGACGACGAACAAAGCTCGTGGGCGAGGCTATTGCGGCATTCGAAACAGCGTTTTTATATCGCTCAATAACCTCAATGGCCTCGCTTCCTTTTCTGTGCGGTCGAAAACATTTCATATCTTTTTTGACACGCTACACTGCCAGCCGGCGCGCTTCGTAGCTCGACAAAGCGACCACTAGGGCGGTAGCTGGATCTTTCGAATATGTAAAAGGAATCTGCACTTGGCAATCAGTCTTGCAGTACGTACATCGGGAACCGTGGGCGCGAGAAGGCTATGAGGATCTGCAACTCGATCAATTTTTCATCCTGTGGGCAGTAGCTTCAATTTCCAACATAGGGCAAAGCGGTGGACCGGTCGTAATCTTGGGGGTTGTCGTAGTAATGGGGCTTGAATGAATATCGTCGTCGCCCATCACGATGTCCCCTAATTTCTCCCGCAGCTTCCAGTTGTGGAGCGACGCTGATCCTTTTCGCGAGGGGGGCGCCCAGTGCATACGGGCGTACATCGACCCGAGTTCGACCGCCGATATTGTCGCGTTGTAGAAAACCAGTTGTTGCTTGGAAAAATTCAACGTCTCTAAAACTTCTAACAGCCCCGTTCGAACCCAATTGTCGCTAGCGTATTGCAGGTCGGCAAGTGTCAGCGACTTCAACGCGGGAAAGTTGCGCCCACCGAAAAAATTTTCACCTCCATCGTCCGACAAAAAGTCTACTTCGAGATGCATCACGGCCTTGCAGCATCCCCAGAACCAATCCGCCTCCATGAGGTCGTCCCCATCCCAGTTCGCGCGGAGAGAGAGCTTTTGAAGCGACGGTGCGATACATTTCTCCCAGAGCCTCGCCCCAACAGCTGGCAGAGCTTCGCGCATTTTAATATTTTGGCACGACAACGCCCGGCAGGAAAAAACCGCGAGGCCGCAACAGTCGGACGAGCCCGGAGGCGGAAGGGGTTCAGAAGCTGTTCCATTGCCCGCGGTCTGTGTCTGTCCAAGGACTGCACATACCAGGGACGCGGAGGTAATCTCGTGAAAATCGAAGAAACTGGTGATGTGCAACTCCTTCAGCCCGGGCAGCCGCGCGTCGACACCGGAAGGAAAATCAACAGAGTGGCATGCCCAAGAGCCGGGGAGGTAAAGCACTTCGAGCTGCGAGAGCGAGACGAGTGACCGCGCAAAGTGCTGGAAGGGCTCCCTCTCCGCAGTCTCCGGGTCAACATAGATGCTTTCACCCTCGTGCTCATCTGTATCCAGTTTCGCGCTCTTCACGACCATCAACCCAAACTCCCGCAACCTCGGCCCCATCAGCGACTGAATTTGGTCGAGGATCTGGTCGGCGCGAACTCTGCGGGTTTTTTCCGTGAAGTCTGTACGGACCTCGACAAGGAGCGATCTGACCGCATTGATATCCATTCGCGCGAACACGTGCCCAAGGGCGCGGCGCTGCGCCACAAGCGTAGCTCCATCATCTTCCTCAGCGCACTTGAAGCGTACCACTAAGTTCACGCACCGCAGCTTGCCGTCTTTCCGCGAGACGGCTTTGCGCGTCTCCTTCGACACGCAGGCGAGACCAGCAACCTCGGCACCGTGGAGAAAGCTCAGGACCTCATCACCGGGTCCGGGAGTTTCGAGAAGGGTGGCAAGAGTGTGTTGTGGCGCCATGATTTTTGTTCTGTTCTAAAGATACGACGCAAATGTGTGAAGAATCGTGTGAAAGTAAGTTATGAGGTGAGATTGCCTTCTTCCGTCTAGAGTGCCGCTGTTCTACTGCATCTGCAACTACTTCCTGCCGCTGCTCTCGCCTATATGGAGCATCAAAGACAACTCACGTGGTAGTTCGACGTATATCTTTCAGCCACAGGGTCGGGAACAACAGAAAGCAGTATTAACTTAGCGCCAGGATATACTAAGGAACAGAAAGCAGCCAGTACTAATTTCATCTCCAACGCCAGAATCTACTAAACTGCCCACATTTTGGAACGCGGTGCCAAGATCGCATCGAGTCTCGTCCAATATGAACGGAGGTCGATCCTTTGAAAGGGAAGGAGCATCGAAAACAGCACATGGATCCACCGCCCCCATGATGTGAAGGCCTCCTGACTCGCGCCAATACTTCGGCAGTGGCTTCTTGTACCAGAAGATCTCGGCTCAATGGATTCATTCGGAAAGCACACACAACATCCACGAAGGACACGACTACTTTTTTAAGCGTAACTCTGATGAGAGCAAACATGACAGCGACATTAGATTCCCGGACAGGAGGTCCGTGCAAAGAAGATGATCGATCGACGTACTTCAATAATCTTCCATTGTAACTTCGTGAGGAATCATTGGCAGTAGTGGCGGGCCACTCGTCAGGACGTAGGTAGATGTGTCGATGCTATTTTCCTCTGAAGTGAAAAAAGCCTGAACCGCCTTCCGGAGCGAGTAGGTATTCTTTCTCCGTGTAGGAGCAGGCGACGGACGGACACTCGCTCTGCCGTAGAGCACCCCGATTTCCAAAACGGATAACTTCGCCAAACTAAAAACCAGCCGCCGCTCGTCAAAGTCGAACTCTGTTAGGAGTTTCAACAGCGATGCACGGCCACACTGGGACTTATCGTAATCCAGGTCGCGAAGCGAGAGAGACTCGAGCTTCGGGAAGCGTTTCAGGTAGTCGCACTCGCAGTTCAGGGGTACGAAATCCACTTCCAAATGTGCAAGCCGGGGACAGCAGACCCACATCCAACCTACGGACCAGAGCCTCGAAGCATTGCTACTGTAAGCGAACAGCGATAGCTTTCGCAAGGAAGGCCCGGTCAACTTTTTCCACAGCAGTGCGCCTCCAGCGTCGGACTTCATGTTTTCAAGCTGTTGAATTCTGCTACAGTCGACCCCCCGACAGGAGAAAGCCTTGAGGTTGCTGATCCCAATCCCGCCTCCATCAGCCGAGGACGTCGTCGACGCCTCGGTCTCACTAGTGTTCCGCTCGGAGTTCTCTTCGGTTATTGCAAGCATCCTACACAGCAGCGATTCATGAGTGGCGTCGAGAAGGTTGAGCTCGCTCATCAGGTGCACTCCCCGCAAGGTCGGCACGCGTGCGGAAACTCCGGGGGGAAAATAAATCGGCTGCAGCGCTAATGTCGTAGGTAAGAAGACGTTTTCTAGTCGCGGCAGCAGCACCAGAGACCGCGCAAAATGATTGAGCGTGGCTTTTTCCGGGGCCGCGCAGTCGTGGTAGAGATCAGGCACCGGTGCATCATCGTTACTATCATCATCATCACTATCATCATCATCATGCACGTACATTAAGATCAGGCCGAATTCACGCAATGCTGGACCCAGTAACGACTGGATATGTCCCAGCAGCGGGTCGATGATTATTGGCGGGAACCGGTCCTCATCCGGATCCGCGGGCCTCGCCCGCACTTCCACCAGTAGCGACTGAAGCCCCTGCGTGTCCATTCGCGCGAAAATGTGTCCTAGGTCGCGGCGCCGCACTTCTGGCTTGTCATACGGAGACCCTTCGCAGTCGAATTGCAGCAGCAAGTTGCGACAGCGCAACTTTCCGTCCTTCCGCGCAACCGCCTCGCGTGTGGTTTTCGACACGCACGCAAGCCGTGCCACTTCGCCACCGTGGAGGAAGCCAAGAATCTCGTCCCCCGGACCCGGCGTTCCCAGCAGATCGATGAGCGTGTGCGCCATTTTAGAAGTTCCTGTATAAAAGTGAAAGCGTCAGACCCGTTTAGCTCGTTTGCGGAAACAAGGTGCTGTCAGCGATGGTTTTATCACGACTCTAACAAGATTGCACAGACAAAACTTTCTGAAAAATGAACCAAATGCTCGCGAAGCGTGATTTCCTGGCATCTGAGTAAGTACGTGATTAAGCCACATTATCCAGGCTTCGAGAAAATTGCTTCGGTCTCGACTACATGAGAGCATGTCCCTCAGCAGTTCAAAACAGCGTCGATTTGCTTCTTGGTAGACATTTTCGTCGGATGATCCGACGAACAAGAACACCGGTTATACAAGCAAATGCGCCCACCTTTATTGCGTGCGTTCGTTCCAAGCGGATTCATCCTGCTGAGCTCTCAGTCGTCCAAATACAGCTCCCTTCTGTTCTTGCAAGTGCTTACGCCCACTTTACTGCTTACCAGATTTATTTTTCTTGTTCTTCTGAATTAACCTCCATCTCAACCATGGGGCACAAGGGCGGGCCACTTGTGACCGCAATCATCTTGGCCTCCCTGGGCGGGTCCTGCTCCGTTTGTTGGTCTAATATATCGGACAGCACTTTCCAGAGCTTCCTGTTGTGCAGAAACGGCGACGCTGCTGCGCTGTTTTCCTCGTGTTCGACAATCTCCTTGTACACGCCCGTTAAGATTCCGAATAGAATGCCGAACTCAAGGTGAGAGAGCTCGACACGGTGGAGGACCAGCGCACATTTGCGGAAGTTGAAGTTGCGTACTAGGTTGACGAACGATCCACGGGCGTTATTCTCTCTGTAATCATCACCCCCCAGCCAGTCCCTACCGGCAAGGGTCAGCGAACGTAAGTTGGGAAGAAGCGCAAGCACTTCGTCGCATGGCACGATGTCAACCTCAAGGCTCGTAACGTTCTCGCAACAGCGCCAGAACCAAGTGGCTTTCTTGATAACGTCGTCGTAGTAATTCTGTGCGGTGCTCCAAATAATACGGAAGGAAAGTTTTCGCAACGAGGGTGTCGCGATCTTCCTCCAAATTTCCGTGTGTTTACCCGACATTCCTGTTTGAAACGCTGTCCAATTTCCGACCCTGAACCCACGACAGGAAAATACAGCGAGGCCGCGGGGACCGGTAGCGCCAGCGGGCTCCGGAAGGACAGCACTCAAAAGGGAATCAGAAGAAACACGTCCAAAATCGAAAACGCTCGTGATGTGTAACTCCCTCAACTTGCGCATGCGCACGATGACGTCCGGAGGGAGGTCAATGCTCTGCTCTGCCAAGCAGCCGGGCAGGTGCAGCACCTCCAGAGACCCCCTCAGCGACGACAAGGCGCGCGCGAAGCGAGTGAATGCTGACTGCTCACAGGGCTCCGGGTCCTCCTGCCTTCTCCAATTTTCAGGGACGCTGGCTCGACGCGGTATCGGAGTTATATCGAGCACGATCATGCCGAACTGTCTCAGCTTTTGCCCGCACATCAAGGGAAGAATGTCTGGAATGATGTGATCAATGACAACTGGCGGCTCTTCCGGGTGTTCTCCGTAGTCCGCCCGAACCTCAACGAGTAATGATTGAACGCCCCGCAAATCGACACGCGTGAATATGTGCCCCAGGTCGCGTCGCTGGGCAATCATGAAACTGCCAAAGTCGTCCATCCGCGCCTTACACCCGAACCGGATTACCAGGTGATCACATCGCAGCGTGCCATCATCCCGGGAGACGGCAGCGCGCGCCGTCTTCGAGACGCAAGCAAGCCCAGCAACTTCACCACCGTGCAAGAAACTCAAAATCTCGTGACCTGGGCCGCACTTTTCAAGGAGGTCCACAAGTGTTGTCGTTGTGTGTGCCATTTTACAAAAATGCTACTCAGAGGGTTGAGGCTGCATGAGTGTTACTGTTAGTGTGAAAGTGAGAAAGAGAGAGAGAGAGAGAGTTGTCTTTATATGAAAAACTACTTACGGGCTTGCTTTGGTTTAACGGTCGGCACTGCTCTTTTATTCTTTCCCTTTCTTAGCTCCTCCTACACAGCATACTCATACGGTCGTGATCAAAGTTAAAATCTTAGAGTTTTGCAACTCTATGCCTAAGCTCGGCTACGTAGATTGCCACAGCCCGTTTTCATGATATTCTGTTTCGTCGCTGATGAAGTCTTGGCATTTGGATTTCTTACTGAACAGAGCGCCAGCATTGGATCACGAAGCAGGTCCGCAGCCGCACAGACCTGGACTATAACTGCGAACGCAAAACATAAGCGCTTTGCTCCTGAGTACAACTTCGGGCATGCAGTCTGCGCCGCCTGGAAACTAACCGCGCAAAAATTTGAACGTCAGTCTCAACAACTTATCACTTTGACTTTTTTCGTCCGGCCGAAATATCACGCTCCGTAAGCCAACAAAGCGGCAGACCAGTCGCGATTTTGCACCAAGTTGTTTTCGAATTGAAAAGCTTCGCATCATTCATTATCTCTTCGAGCTTTTTCCGCAACTGCTCCCTGTGCAGCAGCGTCTCGTGGTCCGACGCTGTGTCCACAGATGGCGACAGGATGATCGACATCGCACCGAGCTCGGCTGCGAAAAGTTCCGTATCGTGAAGCACCAGCCGCCGCTTGGTGAAGTCAAACGTCTTCAGCAGCTCCACAACTTTGGGACGGTAACACTTCTTGAGGGGAGTTTCGCGTCGAAAACCAGTCAGGTGCAACGCCTGCAGGCTTGGGAAACGCTTCGATAAGTCCGGCGCATTGGGCGGGAAGTCTAACTCGAGGTGGGTGACACCGCTGCAGCACGACCAGAACCAGTCCGCTTGCCGGAGGCGCTGGCAGAAGTCTTCTTGCAAATCCGCTGACTGATTGACGCGAACAGATAGTCTCCGCAGCGACGAGCCGGCCACTTGCTGCCAAAGCGCTGGGAAGTGGTCTCCAGAACCGGCGACACAGTCGAACCCTTCTAGCGAGACCGTGGTGAGGCTTGGAGCCCGTGCCCCGACACCCCGTCCCAAAACGATCGCAGTCAGAAATGAAGCGCGCGTGACCTTCTTTGCACTGAGAAAGCCCGTGACGTGCAGCTGACTCAATTTGGGTAGCTGCGTGCTCAGACCGGGCCCCGGGCGAAAAGTGAGGCTCGAAACGGCGACGGCGCTGGGAATACTCAGCACTTCCAGGCTCTTTAAATCGGACAAGGCTGTCTGAAACTTCAAGAGAGAATCGAGGTGCGCTGGTGCCACCGGGTTCTGGTACAGGAACCAGTGGTCGGGGTCAGCGTATCGACTCCCCTCCGGGGCCACATCGAGGACAATCAGGACGAAGTGCTGCAGATGCGTGGTCGCGGTCAACAGAGAAGCTATCTGCGGAAGGATCGGATCGATGACAATATGTGGCGCCCCACACTTCGGAATCTTTGCATGCACCTCAATCCGCAGCGTCTTCACATCTGCCAGGTCGTGCCTTAGCAATGTTGTGAGATCATCCCGGGGCTGGGCGCTTAGGGTGAGATCGTCTGGATCTTCTCGAGTTCCACCAATTGCGCCAGTTTTCTTGCAAGAGAAGTTGATCACTACGTTGCGACAACGCAGCTTTCCGTCCCTGCGAACCGCTGCGTGCGCTTCGCGGCAAACTTGCCCCAGTTGATGAAGATCGTAGTTCGTCAAGAACTCAAGTATGTCATCGCCAGGGCCTTCCGGTGTTTGCAGCCACCCTAGAAGCGCGTCAGCCGACATTTTCTACTGCTACTTCCCTGAAAGACTGCCCGAAGTGATTTGTGCTGAAAAAAAAAACCGATAATTGCAAACAACTTTTGACTCTGTGGTAGGTATCAATAATTTCAGATTGCGCTTATGATCACTGGCTGGCTTTATGCTAGTCATCCAAATCAATTCAGAAATTCCTGATCCCAAAACGATTTCTACACAACCCGAGGCTCTTGCGTGCAAAAAACATTCCTCAAAACACGATATGTGGAAGGCGAACAATAATTAATCCCGCGAACGCAAAAAAAAACATCAGCGATTGACACCCGAACCCGAAGCACGACTTCTACGACACAATATTAGTGAGTGTGAAACTTGAACTATCACATAATAACGATGGACGAGCAATACAATCAGCTAGGTACGCGGCCACAGGCCAACGTTTCCCCAGGGGACTCACTCCCGATTTAAACCTAAAAGCAAGGGACAAGAAGAAGATGAGTATACCCATTCACGATTCAACTATTAAGTCTAGAAATTTTTCATCCACGACCTGCCTACTTGATATCGCTAGACGCCACGACCGAGAACAAAACTCGTGAGCAGTGTTTTTCCTGTGCACGCTTCTCGATAACTGCATTCGAATTTAGATATCGCGCCTTCCAAAAATTCTTGCAATACTTTATCTGAAGCGGGACTATCCCATTTTGATTGTTGCGCGTTCGCAAACAGAGTTCTCATTTCCGTGCTGTCAAGCCACATCACAGCAACCTGGCGAAGTTTCAAGTGGGTACTAGCAGTTGTAGCCGTTCCTTTTCTACAAAACCTCATCAATCGCAGCTCCAGCATGCAGTTGCTGAACTATCCCGAGTTTTGTTTTCACCATCTGGTCTCCTATCAATCACCTTCCAGCAATGCTTTTTCACAACATCCTCTTCTACTTGCGGTTTTGATGCGCATACTCTTGCACCTCTTTTGCATCTGTAAATTATTGCACTCACCCTCAATCATCCTCGGTGTTGTCCTGGTCGTCCTACTCCGTGTCGTCCTCATCGGCGTCGCCCTCATCGGCGTCGTCCTCATCGTCGTCGTCCCCGTCACCCGCGTCGTCCTCGTCATTCCCGTAGCCGCCCTCGCCGTCTGGTTTCCTCGGACAAATTTCCACCGTTCGCAGCAGTGCAGCATCGCCAGGCAGGCCCTAGTGTTCTTCGTCGGGGTCGAACTCGTAGAAATTCCCGCTGGCCTTCTGCTATGCACTGAAAAAGTACATCGTAGTTGCTAGTAGAAAGAGCATGACAGAATAATTTGGCAAGTAAAAAAAAAACCTGGGATTTGTAATGCTGAGCCAGCTTCAAATACCACATTAATTTGTCATGCACATGACTGCAATTTGTACCACCACCGTTACGATGTTTTTGCAAAGGCATAGCTGCTCGCGGTCCTTGACGCTGCCGGGTTTGTTAATCCGCGGGCGCAGGTTCACGGGGTCGCGACGGAAGGTGACGTTCATTTCCTTCAAAAACGCGTTAAACCCGTCCACCAAGTTCATCGGCGTGCTGGCATTTGCTTTTCTCCCCGGGGTCCCCGTGAACAGAATCACCTTGTCCGCGCAGGCCGTCATCATGACGCTGTCGTGCTCGATGATGAACGCCGTGCGCTGCAGGTGGTCCCGGACCCACTTCTTGATGGCGCGCGCGACCTTGACGCGCTGCTCGCAATCCAGCCCCGCGCTGGGTTCGTCCAGTAGATAGACCGCGGCGGGTGTGCCGAGACACAGGATGATCGCCAAACGCTGCAGCTCCCCGCCGGACAGCGTTTTCACGTTCATGTCCAGAATGCTGTCGTTGCCCGATCCGCTGGTCAAACTCGCGGTGTCGTCGAACCCGAGAGGGCGGAGCACCAGTAAGCGAAACATGCTGTCGTTGCAGAACGCCTTGGTGATGTTGCGCTCCAGCAGCTGGCGCACGGTGCCCGGGTACCGCCGGAATTTCGGCGCGTAGTCCTGCTTCTTGTATGACATGGAGAACCCCGCGGCCGGTAAAGACGTCGGGTCGGAGATGTATTTCGTGGCGTCAGGTTTAGAAGAAGTTGTATTTGCGTCCTCTTCGGAGGAACCTGCTGCTGTAGAAGATTTCGGTTTGTTCTTCTCGGCAACTGCACTTTTTTTATTACCACTGGCACTTCCCTGACCAACACCCTCCGTAGAGGTTCCACTCGCTACCCCACCCTCTCCACTGTCTTCCACCTTCTTGTCGTGCAGGCCCGCCAAGACTTCCATGTAGGTACTTTTCCCCGTTCCGTTCTGCCCGAGCATGCCGACAATCTGCCCGGTGGAAAAGCTTCCCTCCTCGATCTTCAAAGTGAACGAATTCTCCCCCTCGCCCAACACCTTAGTCATGCCCGGGAAGGTGTGCGTCCCGGTGCGCGCGAGCTGCGACGAGAGATTTTTTATGGCGGAACTTGTTTTTTCGTCCTTCTCCTTCGCGTCTTTCTCTTTCCCCACCACGTCGATTCCGGCGGCCGTGGACACTTTGAAGGTCAATTCCTCGGTGCGAAACCGCATGTTCTCGGCCGGGAGGTAGCCGGAAAGGAAGTTGTTAATCCCGTTGCGCACGCCGGCGCGTTTTGTCACAACGCCGTAAAACCCGGGCTCGCCGTACAGGCAGTGCACGTAGTCGGACATGTAATCCAGAATGGCCAGGTCGTGCTCGATGCAGAGCACGTACCGCGTCTGCAGGGAACTCGCCTTCGCATTGTCGCCCCGCACGGACGGCGCCGGCTCCGGGTCGTCCACGTCGGTGTCCTCGGGGGCGGCCTCGCTGCTGCTCAGCGACGCCGTGTCGTCGGAGAGAATGGGTGGCTGATTATTTCCATCCGCGTTCATCACATTCGAGGGCGACGCGTCCGGGTCGATAGAATCCACTTCCAGTTGCTCCAAGTTCAACTTCTTCTTGGTTCGCTGCTCGGAATTAACCGTACTAAAATTCCAGCTCTCCTCGTCAACTAACCCGCGGATCAGCCGCGTCGCCGCCAACCGCTGTTTTACGTCCAGGAAAGAGGACGGCTCGTCGAAAATAAACACGTTCGCTTCCTTCGGTAAACAGGCGTATGCATTGCAAAAGCATTGCATTGCACTAGCATAAATCGCATGACAAGTTTTTGCATAACAAGATGAAAAGAGGAGTCTGTGATGCTGATTCAAGTTGGTAAAGATAGGTGTCATGTCGGCCTGCAATTTATACCAGTACGACAGTACTTGTGCAATTCATAAGGCCACCGCGATCGCCAGCCGCTGCATCTCACCGCCGGATAAGTTTCCGCAGTCCTCCCGGTCCAGGAGGTGGAGCAGGTCCATCTCCCGCAGAATGTGCAGCGTGCGCGCCGAGTAGGAGTTGTCGAGGCCTGGGATTAGAGTTTATGTAATCATGATGTTCAACAATTCAGAGATTTGTGTTTGAAAGACGGGTTTTCATCGTCCCGATCTGAAGCAAACGGCCTGACTTCTTGAACAATAACCACGAAAAATCTTCCGGCGTCCTTTGTCCTTTTTATTTCCTTTATAAAAAATTGTACCAAAATCTTGCAAAAGCGTTTCCTCCGCCGCCTCCTCGATGATATCTCGCATTTTCCTGCCGGCCAGGCTTTTCGCGTACTGCGAGTCCATTTGCGCCTTCATGGAAACGATCAATTTCCCCTCCACCTGGTCCCGAAAAAAGCTCTGTAGGTCGCTGCCGCGGTAGTATTTTATGATGTCCAGCCAGGTGGGGTTGGTCACGAATTTTTTGCTATTCCCGTCAGATTCCAGTCCCGGCAAAACCCCCAGGTTAGGCTTCAAACTCCCCGCGAGTACCTTGCAGGCGGTGGATTTCCCGACCCCGTTCTGCCCCAGAATCCCCACCACGCAGTTGGGCGCGGGCATGGGCAGGCGGTGCAGTTTGAACTCGTTCATGCCGTACCGGTGCGTGCAGTCCGCCGACAGGTTGCTGGGCAATTTCACCAGTTTCACCGCATCGTCCGGGCACTTCTTCGCCCGGGTTATGCAGGCCGCACACGCGTCCTCGTGGACCAGAATCGGCTTCAGCGCCTTGGTGGCCGGGTCGTGGTTGGGCGCGATGCAGTCCTTGCCGCAGTTGCCCGCGATCCGCTTTAAGTACTGGAACGCGGGCATGTTGGGTTTCAATTTCGCGTAGTCGAGTAGCACCATGTGCCGCTCGAGCTGCTTGTCCGCTTCGGACTTTTTGGTGCGGGAAGGCAGGTATGGAAAGGGGAGAGAAAAAAATCTTGCAGGGGATTGGAATTTCTTGCCCTGGGGCTCAATTGTACTACGTGGTGGTGGCTCTAGTGCCGCTGCCATATGCATTTCTTGCACAGTTGAAAGAATCAGGTTGACTTCTTTGGAAATTCACATTTTCTACTTCGCAGCCCCGTGTGCTGCGGTAACGAAATTCCAATTGGGTTGACTTAAGATTTTCTTCTTGCGTCCCATAAACCTCCAGGCGCCATGTTTGCAGATTGTTTTCGACGAGATAAACTGATCGAAAATCGAGAAAGTACTTACTCGTCGGGCCAACAACTAAATAGTGTGGAATCGCCGATGTTTTAAAACGGGTTCTTGCCGGTGTCCAGGTTCCAGGTCGGGGAGTTCGCGCTTTCGTGTTTTGAGTTTTTACGCTAGTAGAACTAGAATGTCCTTAACGAAGTAAGTCGCGTAGTCTTGCAGATGCAATTGCAAAGAGCAGGAGGGAGAATCAATATGGATCAACGACGCTAAGTAAAAATGAAAACAATTTTTGCGAGCACCTGCTATGTACTAATTGAAGTCCTGTCTATGCAGCTTCTTCTAAAAACTATGTGTCACAGCGAAGCATGAAATTCCTGTTCCTACCGCCTCGACCTGTCAAGAATCAATCAGCGTGTAAAATAATGATTCCGCCGGTTCGCAGTGCGAAGGGATTCTCTTCGTACTGCGTCCATGTCGAGGACGACCGCATAGACCGTGCATAGAAATGCGCGCTTGCCAATCGAATAACTCTGTCTAGAATTGATGTTGAGATCCGCCTTGCTAAGTCGCAATTTTCTGTGCGCCTTTGGGTGCATTTTTCTCATTCTATCGCGTGATCCAGCAGTGGCTCGCTATGGGAGTGTTGCCCACTTCTTGTGTCCGTGGTTGAAAGTAAGCAACAAGAGCCGGGAAACAATAAATTGGGGCCCCCTAATGGGGAACCCTAAACCCTGAAACCTAAACCAAACCCTGGGAGATCCTGCCGCGACGGACGCCCATCTTGTCAAGCGCGATTCCTACATGCAAAGTTTTTTGGAAAAGAAAAGCAAAAAGAGAAGGATGAAGCAAAAAAAAAATCGAGCGAGGCGAGCGAGTCTCTCGGCGGCCTATGAAGGACAATCCAGTGGCCAACCGGAAGTCCAACACAGTAGGGCTTCAGCTGCGCTGGCTCTAAACCTGTACAGAGTACAGACCTACGTACGTATGCGCCGGGAAACAATAAATAAATGCGGGCACTTCTAAAGGCAGCAAACGCCCCATCGCAGACTCGTGCTTTGTCGATAGCGCCGCGCGCTGCGGAAGTAAGTAGTTACTAACCAGACCTGTCCTTCGGGCGGCAGCCGGCCTGCGATCCTCCGGCCGCGGAAGGGCCCGCAGGCGGCGGCGCGGGGCACCCGAAGTGGCTACCCGGTGCGGCGCCGCAAAGCGCGGAAACTCGCGCGCCCGGCGAGGCGGAAGAGGCCCCAAAGAAAGCAGGGGGCACGCGGCGGCCAAAGCGGCGCCGCAGGCGAGCCCCCGCGAACGGAAAGGGGGGGGGGGGGGGGGCGACGGGCCTCCGGGATTAGGGGGACGGGGAACAAGAGGGGGCCCCTTATCAGAGTGGTGGCCTAAGCGACCAGCGGGCGGACACATAAAGCACAGCGTGGGTATATGCACTGCCATATAGGGGGAACGCGACCCATCTCTTTCCATTAAAGGGAGGCAACCTCACATAGTCTGGCCCCCAGGTTAAAACTGTGAGAAAGTTGAATAGTTACAGATCCCGGAAACCTTCATCCTGCCATTCAGCTGCTTAGGCGTCACGTAATCATGGAGGTCCCACGCTATTTAGCGCGCAACGTTGCATGTTCAATATTTGAACTTGCTGCACTTGACTTGATTCTTATAGGTTTCTCAAATTCCAAAAAATTCCAAGAAAATAAAAAATTGCGCAATCTGGAAAAATGGTCAACAGATGAAATAGATACATAAAAAAAGACATAAAATGTCATCACTTTTGGGCTTCCGATTGTTTTAGGTTCCTTAAATTTATAAAAAATGTGATGGCGCCTTATTTTTAAAAAAATTGGAAAAATTGAAAATTTTTTGCCGCAGTAAAAAACTGCAAAAAAGTATAAAAATAAAAGCACTCTCATCCTCAATACGTTACCTGAACATGCATACGCTATACACATAGGCTATTTTTTTAAATTTTCATCATTTGTCACATAATTCAAAAAAAAATTTAAAAAATTAAGATTTTACCCATTTGCAAGATTTGAACACGTTGCCGGGTAAATGGACATAATATATTATAAATATTGAGTGTATTGCTATATATTTGCCATATAGTAGACTTATTGTGCCTGTAAGTCATTAGATGCTATCAATCCAGAAAACTAAAAAAAATCACACTTTTCCAAATCCCAAGAAAAATCCAAGAAAATAAGAGACGCAGCGTGATTATATATAATATATTAAGCCTTTTACGTTGTTTAACTGATATAAACCTGGCACTCTGTGCAAAGTTGGGCAATGGGTGTAATTTTTTGAAAATTTAAAAAAATCAAAATTTTTTGATGAGACGAAGTTGACCAGTGGGGTGCATATATGCACTATGCCAAATGCTCTACAGCAGCTGTAAACAGCTAAGAGGTGATCAATAGTCAGAGAGTGCCTCTGTTTTTCACGTCCGTGGGAAATCTTGAAACTGTCAAAAATTGCAGTTTTTTTAAGGCTCTACAATGGAGGTCATAGCTTTCTCCTTCTGTGGAATCCTGTCCAATAGGGATTATTTTAGTAGATTCCGGGCGGTAAATCAGGTGGCCCATGGGTCCTTTGCAAGGCCCACCGCCTCGATTGGTCCGTACAGGGGGGCGGGGTGGCGAAATCGCCTCCGCGGTCCAGGTATGGGCATTGGGGCATTGCCGTCCCTTGCGCCCTTCGCGGAAGCCACCTCAGCTGTGTTCGGCCGCGCGGCCTTCGCGGTCGCGCGGAATGCCGCCGCCTGGTACCCGGAAAGGCAAGCACTACCCGCACCCGCACGGGGGTCTGCGGGCCGGACCGCCGGGAGAGGCGCGATGGACGTCGGGCAAACGAGTGCTGTGGTCACGCAATGATCGGGCGGGCGTGTTCGTGCCGAGTCGCGTCGTTGTCCGAGCGGTAGAGCGGCCGCGAAACGGGAGCGGCCTGCCATTCGGCGAGGCCGGCCAACCAACTTTGTGCTCCGCAAGGGCGTCCCTCCTCGCGTTCCGCCTCCCCGCTTCTTTGCCCGCCGTGTTCGCGCCTCCACCGATCTCCCTCGGTCGCCTACGTCTACGAATATTGGCCCCGTGCGTCCAAAAATGTGGAGCTGCCAAATTTTCAAGCTGATCGCTTTCGGCGCGTGCAGTGGTTCCCAGCCTTGTGAGTGATCATGCGCGGCCTGCCTTTCGTTCTCTCGGCGTTTGCTTGTTGTTTTGAAGCGGGTGCCGAGGATGAGATCGAGCCTCGCGGGCCTCGGTCGGTGCTCCCGCCCGCGGCGCCAGCCACGTTCTTCGCGGTGCAAAGCTGCCGCAACGGAACCTACGACAGTTGTTGCGTTTTCCCGCCGATCTTGTCCGGCAACGACGGCTGCGACGAGCGCTGCTGCGACCAGACCGCCTGGGACAAACGTGACCTGCTGCAGACGCTCAGCTGCGACGATGTGGCCAACGGACGATGGATCCAGTGGCGCCGCGACCTTTCCTTCGGCACGGACCTGTACAAAGCGGGGCTCACGCAGCTGATCACACACAGCACCTTTTACCAGTGCGGCCTCGGGGGCGCCAGCGCGTTCCTGTCGTACATGGTCTTTCGCAGCGTGGTCCTGAATACCAACCTCTACAACAACTTATCCTGCGAACAAAAAAAAAAACGTTTCCACCACGTAAGCAAGACATTTTTGTATTCTCCCACGCACGTATCATGAACTTCGCACACAACCGCGAAGAACGTGCCCCCGTATAAATCAAAGAGAAATAAATTGCTGCTCGGTAGGCGACGTGTGTGTCTTCTATGTCTGCTCCGCCGGTACTTTGTAATCATCGCTAGTAACAACAAACTCGGTTTCACAGTTCTTCTCGAGCACGCGCGTTGAAAAGGGCCTCCCTGTGGTTACGTGGCGAGGTGGACGTTTTTCCAAAGAATAAAGCCAAAAGCTATTCCCGACGACTCCCTGGATTGTGCGGGCCACCGAGGATACGTTTGAGCCCCTGCTGAAGTTCGACGCGGCAAAGGGCGGTCTGCCGGCCCTGTTCGACCTAATCCAGACGCAGTGGCCGTTTTTCGCCAACATCGGCTCCACGCAGGGCAGCGTCATTCAGGGGGACCTGCTTAGTATCGGGTACCAGTTGCAGATTCCCCCGGATTGGACCAAGGAGGATGAGCGCGATATGAACGAAATGCAGATCGCCTTGTCGCTCCGCATATCCGGCGCAACAGTATTCATTCTTTTTCTGCGTTTATTATTTGCGGGTGGTGCCTACGGCAAGGCCTCCGCATGACGCTACGGTCCGAAGGCAGCGTGCGACGCTCCGGTCTGAAGTGCGGTGCAGTTCACCGGGGGCAGTAAGGGCTTCGCACGACGCTGCAGTCGTATATATTTCGCACAACGTTAGAGCGCTAAGTGCTTCGCACTGCTTTAGCTGCTTAAGTGCTGCGCACTACTTTAGGGCGCTAACTGCTTCGCACTACTTAAGCTGCTTAAGTGCTTCGCACGACTTTAGGGCGCTAAGTGCTTCGCACTACTTTAGCCGCATAAGTGCTTCGTACGACTTTAGGGCGCTAAGTGCTTCGCACTAGTTTAGCTGCTTAAGTGCTTCGCACTACTTTAGGGCGCTAAGTGCTTCGCACTACTTTAGCTCCTTCAGTGCTTCGCACCACTTCAGGGGGCTAAGTGCCTCGCACTACTTTAGCTCCTTAAGTACTTCGCACTACTTTAGGGCGCTAAGTGCTTCGCACTACTTTAGCTCCTTAAGTGCTTCGCACTACTTTAGGGCACTAAGTGCTTCGCACTACTTTAGCTGCCTAAGTGCTTCGCACTACTTTAGGGCACTAAGTGCTTCGCACTACTTTAGCTGCCTAAGTGCTTCGCACTACTTTAGGGCACTAAGTGCTTCGCACTACTTTAGCTGCTTAAGTGCTTCGCACTACTTTAGGGCGCTAAGTGCTTGGCGAGAAGTCAATTCCTTCCTGCGAGGTTCGCAAATCTGCATAAGGAAGTTAGGGCCTAAATGAACAAGCTAAAGCGCAGAAAATGATCCGAAATACTTTTGCCATGCATGCCGCAAACGGATTCACACGGACATGGTCATGCGCCTGTTGCACCACGACCGAGAAGCGGACCCCCGCATGCGGCCGGGAGCGTGCAGCAAACGCATGCCGGCCATGCCTGAGGGGAAAAACGTGGAGACCGAGCGCGAAGCCCGGCTGGAGAGGCTCCGAGGACAGCGGCCGGGCGTCACGGACAACCTGATCTTCGACCTGCGGGACGAGGCCGCGGATTCGGACGCAGCCGGTTCCCCGTTTCTCGGCATCGAAACAGCGACGCGTGAGGCGGATAATGCTGGATTGAGTAACGACCTGCCTAAGGACGAAGATGATATCACACGGAAAAAAATTTCTACTACCGTGCCATGGTGAAAAATATGAAAAGAATCGATACAGGTATAAAGAAAATCTGTCAGCGTAGCTGACAGCCGCTCGCAGCAAGCTCTAATGGAACACTATGCACCGGACAACTGCAGGTCAGAAGAAAAATACGCTATGCTGCAGAATTCGCATGTACTAAAATCATTCTGCATTATTTCGTACGGTATTTGTACGTTTCGCCACGATAGTATCTTCAGAAGAGGCAAGAAGTTACAGTAAACTGAAGCGTGAGATGCGGATCTTGCGGTCGCAGAAGTTCCGGCAGGCCACGCTGTACCTGGCAGCGGCCTACAGTGTGCTGTTTTTTGACGCGCCGACCATTCGGGTGGTCGACACGGAGCACGCGGAACTGCTGCACAAGGAGGGGCAGCGGCTGATTACCATGGCAGAAGAGTGCGTGCGGGACGCCTTTGTGCCCTACGAGCGGCGGTTGCGGCAGTTGCTGGAAACGCCCTTCATTTTTCCGGCGATCCTGGGCCTGCTCGAAACCGGCACGCCCAACGTGCTTCGCGAGCGCGTGCACACCATCCCGGCAACGGACAGCCTGAGCAACGTGGTGCGGGCGACAGGGAAATTGATGTGCACCGAACCGTTTTGGCTCCGGTTGGTCGAGAGCCTGCCCGCGGTAGACCCGCTGGGAGGCGGTGGAACTACAGGTCGTGCAGACAGCCAGGTACTAGGCGCGTCTGGGATGATGAAAGAAAGAAAAACAACCGTCAAGGCAGTAGCAGAACGGATAGGTACAAGCAGTAGCGCGCAGCTGGTACAAAAGTCGCCAGCCGGGACAAGAAAGAGGACCTCTAATACTTCTATATCCAGTGCCGGAGCTGCTGTAACAAAATCTGCGGCGAGCCACCACTGCGGTCGCGCAGCAAAACATGCAATTTCTTCTACGCCGGCACTGCACGGCGCCTGCCGCGAGTTCGCGCCCGTCGCAGACCAAGTTTCCGCCCGCAGAGCGTTTCGACGTAGACGACAGGCCACCGCCGGCCACAATCTTCCCGGGCTCAGCACGATGGCGGACTTGACCGCCCCGGAATTCTGGGACAGCCTGCGGCCGCACGAGGAGACAAGTGAGGAAGGAATTTCAATAGTAGGAGGAAGGACAACATCTTCTGCTGCAATAGACGGTGTTGTGACTACTACTGCTCCAACGTCGAAAACTCCGCAGCTGCACGGTAGCATTTCTAGTACTTCCGCGCCCCTCCACATAGTCGAGGTTGGCACGCACACCGGCGACTGCACGCTCTACGCGTGGCAGAAGTTTGGGAAGCAGGTACAGGTCACCGGGTTTGAGCCGAACCGGCTGGCGCAGCAGACGTTCAAGCGGTCCATCTTCGGCCACGGGGCGGAGCAAAGTATGAAGGTGGAGCACATGTTGGTCGGCAACGACGAGCAGCCGGGACAGAAGAAGTCGCTGTATTTCCCCACCACGCGGACCGCGGAAACGTTTCTGGACACGGAGAACAGTTGCGCCAGCGGCCGGACGGACTGCGAACACGATGTGGTCAGTGTGACCTTGGACTACTACTTTCGAAGAGGGACGTATAGTGCCGATGGTGGAACAAGTGGAACTACTGGACAAGAGCAGGACGTGGACAATAAAAACGCACCAGTAAAAATATTGAACCAGAACCACCTTCCGAAGATCGACATTCTGAAACTTCATTGCCAATTCTGCGAGCTCAACGCGCTGAAAGGTGCGAAGGTGCTGCTGCAGAAAAACGAGATCTGCGTGGTGCTAGCGCGCCCCGCGATGATGTCGACGGAGCGGATTTTCTCTTCGGCGGACAAATTTTGGCGGAAACGAAGAGAAGAACTACTGGAAAAGGAGCAAGCCGCTGATACCGCTCCTGCCGAGCCAGATATCATTCTCAACGGGGAGAGAATTCCAAAGCCGGCGGCGAAAAAACTGATTGACCCCGTCCCGCTAAATGCGGTCGAGAAGCTTTCGGAAGCGCAGCTGGCGCAGCAGAAAATAGAGGAGGAGAAGGAAAGAATCATGGACCGGCAGATTGATCGGGAGTTCGACGACGCAACCCGGCCGCAGGTGCGGAAATTGCTGCACGAGGTACTGCACAAGCACCTACTCGAGAACAACTACGAGCTGTATTTAGTCGACGATCCGCTTTTTCTGAAGGATCCGATGCGACTGACGGAGTTCAACATTCAGGAACAGAAAATCGCAAACGTCACCAAACTGGAGCAGCGCAACGCGGAGCAGTTTCTGGTGAACCGCATGGTGGACAAGATCAAGCTCCGCCGGTATCCTGTGTAAAAACGTCCCCACCCCAGAGTCAAGTTGGGAATTCTGCAACACAGATCCAGAAGTTTCGGAAGTCACGCATGACAAGTTTTTCTCTGTACTGTAATGCGGGTTAGCAAGGACAACCGCATCACAAATCCATCCTGGTATCCTGTTTACAGCTTCACAAATTGCATAACACGATTGAAAATGCCTCTCATGGAAATGCGCATTACAAGTTTTTCTGTGATTGTAATTCTGCATGACAACTCTAGGGTGGGGACGTTTTTACAGAGGATAGCCAGTTCCCGCCAAACTTGAACGACTTCGAGGAAAGACTAGACCCGAGCGAGGGGTATGCATTGCAAAAATGTCTGGATCTGGAAACTTGTGATGCTAAAATGTGGATGTTGGAAACAGTTCCGAATGCAACACAGCATGACAACTTTTGAGAACGCTTTCTCATAGGAAATCCGCATGAGAAACTACGTTTTTGCATGTACGAAAGAGGCTGCGACTTTTGTTGGCTATGCAATACAGATTTCCTAAGTATGGAGAGCTAGCATTACAAGTTGCAACCTTCCAGACCCAGACATATTTGCAGTTGATAAGGGGCTGCTGGTGGCGATTTCTAGAAAATTGCCTCGGTGTCGGAGGTGGCACGAAAGTCTGCAGCGGGTCTTCACCCGACAAGTCCGGGACGCCCAACTCGGATTGAGGAAAAGCACGGATGCGTGGGCGGTCTGAGAAGTGGTGCAGCTGGTTCGTTGTACCTTTTATTGCGCAGACTGACACCAGTCCGCTAGAGTTAGAGAATCAATAGGAATGCTCAAGAAATAAATGGAGCTGCGGCCCACAAAATAATTGGTACTAGCCAGAAGATTCATCTGGCGCGGTCGTTTGCTGTATGATCCTCTGCAACGTGTTGACCGGCTGTAGTGGTTCAGGTGCGTTTTAATGAACTTTTAACTCGGAGGTAATTTCTGCACGACCTTGGAAAATGACTGACAGCTCTGCGTTCAATGCATAGGTAAAAACCAGATGTAGAGAAATGTGAAATGTACTCGACAGCAGGATAATAAAGGACTTTTGTCGGAAAGCAAAGCCTCTAATCTTTGCTCTCTGATGTTCGCTTTCCGCAGTTGAAGAAGTACGGCGCAAAGGTTCTGGTTTATTGTCCTTGCAGCTAATAATAGCGTTTTCGTTTTGTCAGCTCAGTGATACGCGATCAGGAAGAAAAGCACGCCTTTGAGGTGTTAGCGCGGATCCTTTTTTGCACCCGTGTGCCTGGCACTTCTAATGTTTTTCGTTCTCTGCTTTGTGGCGGCTCAGTTTTTCAGATCAGTTTGACAATCAGACGGGCAAGATTCGATTCGATGAATGTTGTGAGGATGTTGAGAAAGCGCGAAACAGGCGTAGCGATTCTCAATGTGCAAAAGATTAATAATGATTGCCGTACTCGCTTGGTGAAAGTCCGTGATTTTGGTTTGGTAGTGAATAATTACCCCGCAGCGGGGTAATTAATTCACCGGCGGTATTCTGTGCTGCCGGTTTGGCATATCAAATTTCAGGTGGTGGGAATAATTACCCCGCAGCGGGGTAATTAATTCACCGGCGGTATTCTGTGCTGCCGGTTTGGCATATCAAATTTCAGGTGGTGGGAATAATTACCCCGCAGCGGGGTAATTAATTCCCCGACGGTATTCTGTGCTGCCGGTTTGGCATATCAAATTTCAGGTGGTGGAAATAATTACCCCGCAGCGGGGTAATTGATTCCCCGACGGTATTCTGTGCTGCCGGTTTGGCATATCAAATTTCAGGTGGTGGAAATAATTACCCCGCAGCGGGGTAATTAATTCACCGACGGTATTCTGTGCTGCCGGTTTGGCATATCAAATTTTAGTTGGGGGAAATAATTACCCCGCAGCGGGGTAATTGATTTCCCGACGGTATTCTGTGCTGCAAGTTTTTCTTTTTGCATATGAAATTTCAGCCGCTAGGGGAATAGATGCCTCCCTTACTGAGGCAGTTTTTTCCCGTTTTCTGTCAGATTCATGGAAGTTCGGTTTTATTGCGTTTTGTCAGTGCGAGCAGGTTATCTTCTGCTGAAAAAATCGAACAGGACAAACAAGGCGTGCTTAGAAAGGTTAAGGTAGAGGTTCATAGAGACAGTCAAAGACACACCTCCTAGAACTCTTCGAGGCTGCACAACTCGAGGACAAGCAATTTTTGAGGTACTGACAGCTTTATTGTTCACAATACCACATAAAAACTTAGGCAGCAAGGACGAGCAACTGTATTGAAAGTACGGCAGGACAGTTAGTGCGAAGAAGGGAAGAAGTAAAAAAATTGCGTAAGAGCAGTAGACTAGCGCCTTGCTTATTTTATATCTTTTAGCAGAAAGAAAACGAACAAAAACAAATCGGTGTAAAGGGAATTAAGATTTGTGATGTAAAGTAGATTTTTTGAAGAAACCGCGAAAAATATAATTAAAGCACTATGGCTCGTTTCCTTCCTATCCATTCCACCGAGGAGGTTGCGCGCAAGGACCAGCAAGGCCTGAATGCGCGTGTGCAGCGCGCTCTGGAGCGAGCCCAGAGCGGGGACGAGCGCGCGCTCAGTCTGGTGGGATTTGGTCTCTCGGAATTTCCGGCTGTGTTGATTCAGAAGGGCAGTGAATATGATTACGACAACGCGCACAATACCAGTGACATCAACTCCGCAAGCATGACCACGCCTGCAGGGGGAGGATCTTCGCAGTGTGCTACCAAACCCGTCGACTTACGCTGGGACAACGAAGATAGCCAAAATAACCGCCCAGCCTCGTCTTCTACCAGCGCGTCGGAAAAGAGCGAGGAGAACTACCGACTGTCCACCACTCCCTTATGGATTGCAATTAGGTCTGGGTCTGGAAGAGTGCAAGATTTGTGATGCAGGTTTTCGATGGCCCATGAGGTCTGGAATGCAGGGCCTAGCGTGACAGATTCTGTGCGATCTCTCTCATGCCTATCCTGCATGAGAGACTCCCTCCAGAGTTGGTCAAAACTGGGCCACCTTTGGTAACCATGCAACACAGATTTTTGCATGCTTCAGATTTAGCATGACAAGTTGCATTCTTCCAGACCCAGACACTTTTACATTTGATATCCCTCCACCGGTCGCAACTCGACGGTCAGCTCCACCACGAGCAGCAAGGGTAAAGGGAAAAACTTCTCCTATCCCGTGTAAAAACGTCTCCACCTCCCTCCCAGAGTCCAGATGGGATATCTGCTAGACAAATGAACAAGCCTTGGTTCTTGTTGCGCATGACAAGTAAATTTGGGGTTGCGGTGTAGTCGTATGTAGCTATCGCAGCAGCATCACAGATCGAGCGCCTCATCCTGATTCAAGCATGACATGTTCCAAAACACCAGTAGAAAATACTTCGCATGGAGTTGCGCATGATGAACAATTCAGTCTTGCAGATTTGCATGACAAGTACTAGGTGGGGACGTTTTTACACAGGATATCTTCCGTCTGAAGCCCAACCCGGCGTTTTTCAACGAGAAGAAGCAGCAGACGAAAGACGTGAAATGGTGGGAGGAGGAAGAAATCCGGCAGATGGACCTGAGTCAAAACAAATTGCAGTTTATTCCCCACCTGCTTTCCGCCTCCCCGCTGTTTCACAACCTGGAAAAGCTGTCCCTGCAAGAAAACCAATTTTTCGGGCTCCCGTGCCAGCACAAGCTGGATGTAGCGATTTCGGGACTGGAGAATCTGAAAACTCTGGATGTGCGGGAAAACACGATCGAATCCCTCGAGGATTTGCCGCTGAACATTGTGGAACTTCTGTGCAGCTGGAACAAACAGTTGCAGAAAATTGAACCGGTGAAAGATACAACAAAAGCTGTTAGTACACCAGGTGGAGGACAAGACAACGGCGTGAAAAACACGACCCCGTGTTCTCAGCTCGCGATTCTGCAAGCGGCCGAGAATAACCTGCCCTGCCCGAACTTTCTCCGGTTCTTCCCGAACCTCGTGCGGGTGAATTTGAAGGCGAATGCGCTGACGGGGCCGTTCGGCCCCTTCGACTGCTTGCGAAATGTGGTGGAGCTGGAAGTGGACAAAAACCGGCTGACAGGTCTGGACCTGACCCTGATGGACAAACTCCGAACGCTGACGGCGTCGCAAAACCAGATTTCGATCGTGCAGTCCGGGACCGTATGGATTGCAAAAATGTCTGGGTCTGGAATGTTGCCAGGTTTGTCATGCATATTTTGCATGGCCCAGGATGTGTTTGTAATGCACGACCTAGCATCACAGATCCTTAGAGGGCTTCCTGATGCCTACTCCGCATGACAAAAGCCCTCCCCGGGTAGCACAAACTAGACTCCTCTTGCTAGTCATGCAATACAGATTTTGTTAGAGTCCAAAGTTAGCATCACAAGTTCCAACCTTCCAGACCCAGACACTTTTGCAATTCATAGACCGCGATGCTCAACTTGGATACTTTGAACTTAGCATACAACCGGCTGCACTATCCAGGAAAATATTATACCATGTATTCCCATCCTCAATTTGTCATGCAAAACATGAAAAATGGCCTGCATTTGTCATGCTAAAACGGATCATGGGGAACAAGGTTTGTTTATTTTCCTATGGATTCACTCGGCGACATGGAGGACCGGATTTTTTTGAACAGCGGTGGCGGTGGTCATGGCCAACACGTAGTCTTCGACCAAGAACTACAAAATGAGTCCAAAAACAACACCGCTTCCCCCTTTCCGAAGCAAACCCCGAGCAATTTGACCGTTTTGATTCTCTCCAACAACCAGTTAAGATCGCTCCCGGAGCACATGGCCCTGAATTTTCCGCACCTCCAAACGTTAGATATTCAGAACAACGACTTGACCTGCCTGCCGACCAGCTTGGGCTTCTCTCCCGAGCTGAAACGAATCGTCACCGACGGGAACGCGATCAAGGCCATCCGGCCGCAAGTGCTCCGCGGCGGTGTGGAGGATTTGAAAAAGTATCTGCGAGACCGGCACAACGTATGCATTAAATAGAAAAGCATCGCACTCAATAGTATCAATTGCATATAGAAAGTAAAGTGTGCTGCGCAATGAAAAATGGAATTTGCAATTAACAGCGACGTCGCTGCAAAGTGCAATCTGTCATACGATTGCAATCAGTACGACTAAGAGTGCGATGCTTTTCTTGCACGGGATACAACAACTCGCATGTTAATAACAATATTGGTCCCTCGTCGTCGTCGTGTAGTTTTAGCGACAACAGCGTCAACATCCCAACCGGTGTAGACGGGTTCGTTGACCTGTCCCCCTTCCAGCAAGAACTGCAGCCAGGTAATAATGGCAGTTTTCAGTCTTCTGGAGGTGGACCGCAATTCGACCTGCCCGACACTTCTTCTTCGCGACAGCAGCAGTACTTACCCGCGGGTAGAAGTTCATCTGGGATGAATACCACTTCTATTGGCGGTTGCACTGGGAACAATATTATTCAGAACAAGAACCGGACCTCGATCACGTCTGTCACTTCGCCCGCGGCGGCGGAAGTCGGCAGTTCTTTTCGAAATGTGGAAACGCCCGTGCTCCTGGGCGCGCTCGCCGGGGTACTGGCCGCGAATAATGGGCACCATCAAACTACCGACAACATGCCAAGGTCCTCCAGGATGAGCCACAACTCCGGTCGTGGGGGATTCGAATCTTCTCCCGATCATTCCGGCGTGGGACGGCTCTCGACAGTCCAAAGTGTGCAGCAGCAGGTCTGTCCTGGAGGGCAGGCTTTTGGCGGTGGAAACAACGACAACAATCCCTACTACTCGACCACGTCTCCGCCTTATTCGGGCAACGGCATTTTTCCGACGGGAACGAACGCGAGGATGCAAAATAATCACAATATAATCCCGCCCCCACGAGGACCCTTTCCCCCCTCTGGAGGAGGACACCATAATAACGAGCAGATCCCCCAACAGAACTTTGCGGGATCGTTACCTCCTTGTCCCCGAAACAGTAACATGAACATGGGTAATATTCGTATTGGCGTGGGCTCTAGCTCTACTGCAGCTCCCACCTACCCTGGCGCCTCCGTAGCGGCAGGTGGACGAGTTCCTGGTAACAACAACATGATCAACGCCTACTACGATAATAACTCGACGGGTGCTCCTACAACCACGCGCGACCCCGCTTCGATTATCCAGGTCCGCGGCGTTTTCAAAAATAAAGTGATTTCCACGATCGACATGCTCGCTCGCGAGCTCGAGCACAATTTGTGCGACGGCTACGCCCCCGAAACTACGTGCCCGCAAGCTCTGCACTTCGAAAACTGCGGTGGCTACGCGCTGGAGGACGCCGGCAGCATCTGTGCGTTTCTGTCCTCCTCGCCGCTGCCGGGTTTCGATTTTAGCCACCTGCGCCAGCTGGCCTTCGTCCGGTGCAACTGGGGCACGCAGATTCACCTGTTCTTACCGTTCTTACAATCTTTGGATTTGAGCCGCAACCGGTTCACTTTACTCCCTGACGTGAGCACGTGCCTGAACCTCCACGAGCTCCGGTTGTCGCAGAACCGCTTTTCCCGCCTGTGCGGCCAGGAAGCAGTGCAAAAGCTGCCGCTCGGGGGAAAGTTGACGGTGTTGGATTTATCGGACAACCAGATCCAGGAGATTACCAACGGAGAAGTGTTCGCCGTGACGAAGTTAAACACGCTGTTGCTACAAAACAACAGCCTGCGGGACTTGCCGTTGTCCTGGGGCTGCTGGGTGGCGCTGCGGGCTTTGACGCTCGAGGGGAACATGACGCGGCGACACTGCGAGGTGCTGGCGCGCCGGGGTGTGGACGGGTTCAAGAAGTACCAGCGGGAACGATCTGGCATGATCGACTGAACGAATCGGATTTTGTAGAAGTGGAAACGCATTATTTTTGCAGAAATGAAAAATCTTTTGAAGCGTAATTATAAACGCATACCGATATTTTACAAGAAGATGCAGCTCCTGTGAAAGAATGAAGCTCTTTATGTTTTGTCGTGTGGTTTATTTCTATATGAAAATAAAGATGTTGAAGAGACTCCAGAGGATGTCAACACTTCAGGCAAACTGGTGGTTTTTTACAATTCAGGAGGTGTAAAGTGAAGTGAGAACATGTGATAGGATTTTACAGGACCGCTGCACAACTGCTGGAATAAAAGACGATAGACTACGACGAGCAATTCTCTTAACGGACGTGTTGCACCACGAGCAGGGACGACAGAGTGAGAGCCATAGTTTTCAAGGTGTTGAGTGAAGCAGCCAGGGAGATGGAGAGGGCGGGTTCTTTTGATCTCAACTGGTGTACTAGTAGGCAACAACCGACTTCTTGTTCTGCAGCGATGTTGAGAGCAAGTCCAGGTTTGAGTCTTTTAATGTAAAAAGAGCTTAACAAATACTCCAAAGAACTTCTTCATACAAGAAGTTCAAAAAAATGGGCCTCCTCGCCTGTGCTTTCGGCGCGATCATCGCGTTTCTCATCATCGCGGCTTGCATTCTCGTCGCGAGTGTAACGCAGTTATCCCCCATCGAGATGGGTTTGAAATACAACTACATCCTCGAGACCGTGGACCCCAAGCCCTACACGACGAACGGGCTCTACGTGCTCCCGTTCGCGACGCTGAAGCGGTTTCCGAAGACCATCCAAACGCTACAATTTGACGACGCGGATATTCTGGATGGGCGCACGTCCGACGGGTTACCGTTGATTCTCGGGGCCAGCTTTCAGTACCGGCTAGACCCGATGAATTTGTACTTGCTCTACCATAGATTCGGGGAGGACTATCTGCGGATTTACCGGCGCGTCGCGGCCCATTTAGTGACCGAGCAGGCGACGAAATTTACCGCGTACCTATTGAATGCAAATATGTCGGGGTCTGGAAACTTGTGATGCTAATACATGCATCACCAACTGATTCCAATACGCAGCCACGCATGAGAAATTATTGAGCGCTTAGGTCGTGCGTAACCCGCATGAGAAATCGCCTTTTTGCTTGACAGAGGAGTGGCGCTATTGCACAACCTGCATCACAGAGTTCACGGACATGCGAGTTCAGCAATACAAATCTCTCAATCTTCCAGACCCAGACATATTTGCAACGCATAGTGCCAGTTCTTCAACGAGAAGCAGGCCATCGCGACCCAGATGCGAGCAGTTCTCGACGAGTATTTCCAGAAACACATCAAATGCAAAAGTGTCTGGGTCTGGAAGATTCCGAGACTTGTCATGCAGATTTTCCATGATCCATGTCATCTGGAATGCAGGACCTAGCATGACAGATTCTGCGGGATCCCTATCATGCCTATCCTGCATGAGAAACTTCCTCTCAACTTCGTCAAAAGTGGGCAACTTTTGGCATTCATGCAACACAGATTTTTGCATGATCCAGAATTAGCATCACAAGCGCCAACCTTCCAGAACCCAGACATTTTTACATTTGATAAAACATTTGTTCGCCCTGGTAGAGTCGTTTCAAATCAACGAGGACGACCTCCCCCCCGCCTTCTACAACGCAGTATTACAAGCTGCGACCACGAAGCAGAACATCACGAAAATGGAGAAAGTTTTGCAGGCGAAGCAGGTGACGCTGTCCACGCGGTTGCTCCAAGCCGCGTCTCGGGCCAACCAAACGGTCACGCTCGCCTTGGGCACGGCGGCGCAGATTCAGCAGGAGGGGAGTGCGCGGGCGGCGATCGAGGCAGCCTACATCGACGCCGACGCCACGGGGTACGGGAAAGTGCGGGAGGCGCTGGGGCTGGACGGGCCGGGGTTATTGAATTACATCTGGAATGACGTGCTGGGCTCGGGGGGCGCAGCCTCGGCGGGAGGCGGGGGGATAGCGAAGCAATTGATCGTCGGAGGCTCGGGGGCCGCGACGTTCGTAAATTCAAATTGAGTTGTTTTTCGTATGAGGAGGTGCGTGCCTTTGTTCCTGCACTAGTCTAAAAAATTCGTTGCACTGTAATAAAATGTCCTGCGATATTAAGAGCGTGCATCTGGTCGCTCTGAAACCGTGATGGAGTGTTTTGCTGAGGCAAGCTGTGGTTTGGTGAAGTTCTGATCGAGTTGTGGATCTTCAAATGCTCGGATCAGGCCCGGTCGATTAAAAGTAACGGCTCTAGAAGTACAAGCCGTTCGTGCTTCGTGTCGGGCCAAAAGTTCTTAGGCAGGGATCTCCCACGACGATCTGCCGCTAGTAGAACGGGATCGGAAACAACGCGAAAAAAAATTGTGGCTCGCTGAAAATACGGTCCCGAGCAAGTCAGAAAATCCACACGACTGGTCCGTGCTACTGCTTATTCTTGTAGTCGCTCAGTTGTAAGCGTGACCCCTCTGATGTCCTCACATCACGTCAGCCAGGCTGCGGCTCGTCTTTACTTTATCATTATAACCACCATTTTTTAGTAAGAGAAGCTGGTCGCCCTAGCCAGACATGTTGTGCAGATTATCAAGCTTTTTGTTCTTGATGTAGGCGTCGACGGCTATTATTTGCAGCTCGTATGGTAAAAGTCATGACAATGACTTCTTCCGCCGATGAAAAATGCTGCGATCACCTGTCCACCCTGCAGCGGCTTTTGGCCAAACAAGCAGCCCGAGGACAGGGGACAAACGAGCGGGGCGCCACGACTTCTGCCACCTGCTGCTCGCACGCACTCTCGCTGCCAAATGCGGAGATTTTAAAGAAGGTGCAAAATCTCCTTTCCACCACGTACTGGAGCGACGCAGGGGGCCGGCCGCTGTTGCCGCAAGCTTATCACCTCGATTGCGGGCCGCGCCAGAACGGGGTGGATACCGACAATGTGCGGACGTGGATAAAGGTGGTTGAGGGTATACGGGAGGCGGGCATGGTAGAGACTGAAGTGGAGGAGATTCTCGTTATCCGGGCACCTTCTGCTTCTTCCTCGGGAATAAAGGTCTTATCCCTTGAGGAAGAGCAATCGGACCATGAAATGCCTTCCAATCGCCGGCTTCTACGACTGACGAACGCGGGTGCTGCAGCAGTGCTGGAGCAAAGCAGCGGGGTAAAGAGCGCGTTGGAAAGGTGCCTTCTGAACACGAGAAGCGAAGTGCTGTCTGAGGCTTCGCGGTACATTCGCTTGGTGAAACTGCAGTGGCCAACTTCCACGCGGGCAAAAAGAAAAAACGGCGACGAATCTTCGCAAGCTGGTGCAGTCAAGATAAGTGAGGAAACTGACGCCGGCGGTGCGGACCAGGAGCTGCACCTCCGGAGATTCCTAGAGGCTCTCGACAAGCCGAACGGCACAGGGGACGAATGTTGTGAGCGGGTCATCAAGCCTTTCACATTTTGCGAGCTGTTCGCAGGCTTGGGCGGCTTCCGGATCGGGCTCGAGGCGCTCGGCGGAAAGTGCGTTTTTGCGTCCGAGATCAACCCGGTATGCCAGGCAGTGTATGCCGGCAGGTGGAACGAGAGGAAGCCGGGCGATGAGGAGGAAGCGAAAAGCGTAGCATCGAGAGGCAACGACAATACAATAAAATCTACAATGGGCTCAGCAGCTTCTAATACAAAACCTCCGAACAACAACAATTACGTACCCGGCCCCGCAGCGGCAAAAGCGGATAGCATTCCTGTTCTCGGCCCGGCCCTCTTGCACGGGGATATCACGAAAGTGCCCTGCTCCGCAATACCGAGCCACGACTTGCTGGTTGGCGGCTTCCCGTGCCAGCCGTTCTCTCGGTTGGGCAACCAAGACGCGTTTGACGAGAAGCGGGGGAGAGGCGTTTTGTACTTGGAAATTTTACGGATTTTGCAGGAGAAAAAACCAAAAATGTTCCTGCTCGAAAATGTACCGGGGATTGCGGATGGGAAGGAAGATACTGAGGTTGAATTTTGCGAAAATATTAGTACCGACGTTGCTGCAGTGGAACAAGAACTTCCGGCGAAGCGGGCGAAGAAAGACGCGATGGCGTTTGGGGACCAGGACAAGACCACTTCATCCAGTAATAAAGTGCAGTCTTCTTGTTCTCAGCAAAAGTCATCGCCCCTGGACATCATTCTCTCTGACCTGAAGCTTGGTGGTCTGTATAACGTTCAAGCGAAGATTTATTCCTCGGCCCCATTAACGGTCCAGCAGCGAAAGCGCGTCTACTTCGTCGGCGTGCTGCGCGAAGAGGGGAAGAAGAAGCGAAAGATTCGGTTTCCAGAAGAAATCCTTCCGGACCTAGGGTTGATCGCCGAGGACGCGATCGAGTTTGAGGAGCCTTCACCCGCTGTGCGCACGGCCGGCGACGCGGAAACGACAGGCGGTGGCGGCAAAGGTTTCGGAAAGCAAAGCGGAAAGACGCCGACAAACCACGACCCCGGTAGATCCCTGCGTCTCTCCCCGAGCCAGTTCGAGAAACTCTGGCACAAACTCCCCTCCCTCCAGCGACAAGGAAAAAACCTGTTCCTCTACCCCACGACAAAGAAGCTCGGGCCGGTGGTGTCTCACTACGGGCATTCGCCGGGTCACGGGAACTGTCAGCTCGTGGCGCGGCCCTGTGACTCAGTGGAAGGCGGCGTTCCGCGACTGCTCTCTGCGGCGGAGTGTTTGCGAGTGATGGGCATCAACCCGAAGGACTTTCTGCCGAAGATGGAAACGGACTGGGTCCCCGGTGCGGTGAAGTTTCCGTCTTCCAAGCCGCTAATAAAGAAGTCCTGCTACCACATCATCGGGAATGCAGTGTGCCCGCCAATCATCGCGTGGCTGGCAGAGAAGGTGGTGCTGCCAGCTGGTGGGTTTGTGGAGAAGAGGGCGAAGGCCTCTACTAGTGAAGCGTGTACAGAAGTAGATGGAACAAAGAAAGGCAGTGCATTGCCTGTTTATCTGAGATTAGCATTGGAAGCTGTGAAAGATGTCACGAACGTGACGCGCGAATGAATAATCGAAAAGCCAAAGAGCTTCTGAAACATGATACAGCCTCGAGTCGTGAGGCGCAAATTTTTGCGGACTGCTGGTATGCCGTGTGTTGTTGTTCTCGAATTGTACGAAGAAAGGTTTGGTTTGGTTTTGCTGGTGGATCAGTTTGCGGCACCGTCGTGGCTGACGCTTATGCACTTTGCGCGCACTGTGGTTAGCAGCCTGCCCGCGTCTTGCCCAGGCTGCGGCGATGGAGATGAGTGGGGCCCGCCCGCGCGCTGGCAGCGGTGCGAGACGCCGCAAACGAACGGGCGACGGGGGCGGCGAGGGCGCGTGGGCGCAAACTTAAGAAGGCCCGGGGGAATCGATCGCCGACCGGCCCCGGCCCTTCCCGGTGGGCAGCCAGGTCAAGGCACGCAGCCCGCGCGCGGGCGGCTTTCGCCCGGTCGCGGGAAGTGTTGGCGCCTCTTGCTCGGGCCTTCACCAAGGGGCTGACGCTTGAGCCTTGCAAGGCGGTGCCCGTTGATGAGGCCGGCAGCCAGGACAAGGGCAAGTTGAAGGCGAAGCTATGCGCGGAAGGCCATCGCTCTACTTTTGGCCCCACCTTGCTGCCCCGGGAATACCAGACGACCCCCGGCAACGGCCCGGAGGCGCTGACTGTGGCGCAGACGCGCGGGCGGCCTACTGTGGCGGCGGGCGGGCCGCATTCTGCGGATGGACTCGGGGAAGCACCTCGCCAACCGGTGGGGGAGCAGTGCGCGGGCTGCCGCCCGGGCCGCGGAGGATGCCGGCGCACACGCTGCGCAGGCCGTAGAAAACGCGGGCGCTGCGCTGTGCCCATACTATTGCGACCGGGGGCAGGAGGCGGCGGCGGCGTCCTTCCGGCGTGGGCAGCGGGGTTAGGGCGTGGCGGCGGCGGGTGCGACTACGAAGGGGCAGAGGGGCACAAGGCGGCCCGCCGGCCGGCCGGGCGCCAGCCGATGGAGGATGTGCGCGGCCCCGCCGCTCGGATCGCGGGGGCCCTGCCGCAGCAGCCGGCCGAAGTGCTAGCGCGGGCGCGAATCGCTCGCGGCGCTAGCGGGGGCAGAAGGGCGGGGCGCGCTGCACTGCGCGCGCTTTGCCGCCCCCGCGGATTCCACCTGGCCAAGCAGGAGCAAGGACGGCCGGGAACAGCAGCAGGGGGCGCGCCCAAGGCAAAGCAGCGACGGGCAGCGAACAGCTCCCGCACAGATTACAGCGCGTTCAACGCGGTTTCTCAGCTTCTGCGAAAGACGCCCGCAGCCTCCTCGCAGCCGCCTGCAAGAAGCGCGCGGCGCTTCGCGCCCTGCTTACCAGCGGCGGGCGCGTTTGGAATTTGGGGCGGGGGCCGGGCGCCTGCCGCCGCCGCCTCGGCTTCGTGAATTTCGCAGGGGCGCGCGCCCGTTCTTTCGCCCCGCGCCTTCCTGCGCCCGGGCCCGGGCCCGAGCAAGGGCGGACGTGGCCCCGCCGCGTTGCGCGGGCCGCCGGTTGCTTCGGCGGTCGCAAATCGCAGCGCCGCTCCAAAACCGGGCGCCGCCGCTCGTTGGGGTGGGGGCTGTTTTCGCGATCGCTATCGATCCTGGAGGCGCGCGCCGTTCCTTTGTTGGCCTTGCGTGAGTTGAAAAGTATGTCCCAGAACAGCGGACACCGCGCTGCTGTGTGTCGTGCCGTTGGTCTAGTGCGAGCAGGAGCAGTCTGTGTTCGTGCCGTTCGGTCGTTTCGTCTGATGGGAACTTCTGTATAACTATTCTTTTTCGCCTTACCGGGATGCCCTCACTCTGTCTTCGCGGTCTTGTGCTTGGTTAGGTGACGAGCCGTGTCCATTTCCAACACCCCCTCATGGTCAAATTCGCTAAAAAGCTCGAAAGCATCGCCAAGGAGGTGGCTTACAACAGTCACGTGCTGGCCTACAAGTCGTTGAAGAAGCGGCTGGAGCAGCTTATTGCCGACGGCGTGAAGGACAAGGAGTTGGTCGCCGATACCGTTCTGCAGCTCGTGCGCCAGGAATTGCGAAAGGTAAACCGCTACACCGAGGTGCAACTGCAGATATGGCTCCAGGAGACCCGCGAACTGTTCCTGCAAATCACCGGCGAGCAAGCAGCCTCGCCAACCAGTCCGGTGCGCCAAGTGCGATTCGACAGTACCGGAGAGCAAACAGAAGAGCTTTTGCGCAACCTGGGGCAGCGCCTCGTCGACTTGGATTGCTACCGGCGGATCAATTATACGGGTTTCCGGAAAATTTTGAAAAAGCTGCAGAAGAAATCCGAAGTGAGTGTTGCGGATTTTGAAAAACAAGATCTCAACCGCTCTTCCTTCCTCGTCGCGGATCTAGATTGGCTGCTCGCCGCGCTCGCACTTCTATGGTCGAGACTGAACCTTCGGAGAGGCAGCTTCTTACCCCCCTCCAGCAGAGAAATTCAACATCGTCCTGCGTTCCAAAAGACGTCGTCGTCGTCGTGGTATGCGTTTGAAGAGACCGAGCGGGTTCCGTTCCTGACGGACTTGGCGAAGCACTTTCCGTGCTGGTCGTCCCCTCCGGGGGACGTAATCCAGGCGAATGTCCTAACCCCTTGCACCATTCCGGACACGGAGGCGATTTCTTTTCGCGTCTGGCTGTGGGAAGCGACCGGGGAGGACTTTGCTGTGCGATGGGAGCAGGAGCAAATTGTCGGAGACGAAAGCAACTACTGCAGTTTTGCCAGCGTGAAAACGTTTAGCGTCTCATCTGCCTCGCGGCAGAATGGGACTACATCAAATCAACCTGCGGGGGCAACCTCATCCACAGCACCAGCCAAATCAGATGCTGGAGAACTCGTCTACTCCCGCGAAGCTTTTCTTACCGCCCAAAACCCTTTTGCGAGTAGGAAGTGTTGCTTTGCGAGGTCCCTGGTTCTGTACCTGAGGAAAAGCATTGAAAATCCAAATGCAACGCAATATAATATCCTCCTTGTCATCCACGAGAAAGTGCAGGTTTCGGATGCAACCCCGGAATACTCGATGCTGGACGCCTTCGCGAACCCGGACCTCGAGCTGGTTCCGTACCCACTGAGTAACTTGAACTTGCTGGAGTGCAGAACGACACGTGATACAGATCGATCTTCAAGTAGTACCACCCTTGAGCAAGAGATCGGCGTCGGCAAGCACGCGGTCGTTGCAGTAGCGACAGGTGAAGAAGCACTAGAGGATTCAGCATCTTTCTCAAGGACCCTTCCTTCTCTCTTCCAGATCGCCTTCCGTCGTGCGCTCGGCTTGGAACCAGCGGAATCTCTACTTTTACCAGACGCACGACCCGACGGCGCACGGATATTAGCAACGCCGCAGGAGCAGGGTGGGGAACGACCCCTGATGCTAGACTTCCTGGCAAATAACGTAGCTCATCCCCACGAAGTAGATGACCAGGCGCTGGACGACTTTCCCGATGACAGCGACCTCAGTCCGCAGACGGGGACGCACGTGTTGCAGCGACTTTTCAACAAGAACTACGCAGACAACGGTATAATTTCCCCGACGCTTCGGCTCCACCAAGCCGCCACGGGGAACAATAAAGCAACCGGAGCAGGTGCTGCAATAACGGCCGCCGATCGTGATTCGCTGGAGGAATCCGCGCAGGAGCTTCGGCAACGGCACCTGTACACGGAGAGCCACTTGAAAAAATTGGAGGAGCGGGCGAACAAGGAGCGCAGCGAGCGCCAGAAGGCGATGGACGAGTTCGTGCGGATTCACGACAATGTGGAATTGCCGCAGACCCTCCGAGACGCGTCCAATTCCCTGGTGCAAAGTCTGGAGCCGAAGAGCTACCTCGCCAACGAGCGGAATCTCGTACAGTGGATCGAGTTGTCGGTTCTGGTACTCGGATCGGGCTGTTTACTTCTATCGACGGCGGACGACTTGGGCGAAAATAGTCTACCCCCCGCCCCCGGCGCCCCGGAGTCCTTAGCGGAGCAGATCTTCGGGCGCAGCCACGCGGAGAAACACGGGGAGCGGTTTTGGGACTATTTAATTGGGCACATGTTGATCGTGCTGGCGTTTTGCCAGTTGTGGGGCGGCTTATTTTTGTACTACAAACGGGCGGAGGCGATTCGGACCAATTTCTTGGACGCAAGATGGTTCGAAACGAAACTTGGGCCCCTGGTGTCGGCAGTTTGCATCGTGGTTGCGTTGGTCGCGCATTTGCTCACTGCGAAGTAATTTTATTTCAAGCGTGGTTGAATAGAGAACATTTTGATTTTGCGGCAACGTGAATGATCTTTTGCGGGATGATTGAGTGTGGCTGTTCAACAGCAATAATGAGTGGCGCGATCAGTAGAACTGTGGGGGAGTTGTTGCGCCAGCGTTAGCACTCTTTTATGCTTAATATCCGCTCTCTTCAAGAGGAGCCCATTTTACCGGGAATATAGTCGGAGAAGCGTGTTGGTGGACGAGAGCAGGAGAGAACAAAATTTGAGCACAAACACTTAGTTCTTCGGATGTACTCGTCGACTGATTGAGTTATTTAGACAATTCGCATCAAACCGCTTTTGCTATAGACATCAAAACCGAAAAAAATCATCAACAATGCAAGCCCCTACCCTCGGCCCCCCGGGCCAGGTGATGCTTGATAAGCAAGCGTTGAAGAGTCGCATGCGCCGAATCTCCGAAAACCACGTTTACCAGAGCAACACAGATCTTGCAAACGCAGCAGGAGGACCACAGCCTAACAGCGGCCTCGCTGGGCTTCCAACATCCGGCGCCGCTTCCGCCCCGGTGACGCAGCAGGAACTGCTTGCGCAGGCACAATTTTCCCAACCCGAGCGGCCGCCGGTGTACAGCGTCATGTCGCCCAGCATCGAAACTTTAGCGACAGGAGGAGGTCAGAACAATTTGTACAACAACCCGGGAACGGTGGAGACCATACCCCCGGGAATGATCGCACCGCCGATGTCCGCAGCCGAGGTTCAACATCAACCCGTCGGAGTTTCCGCCGCCGGTGCTGGCTACACGAGTTTCCAACCCGCAGCAGGGATTATTAACATGAAAGCCGGCGGAACTACGACGATGTTTCATCAAGGTGCGCGGCAGGAGGAAGTACAAGATACAGACGAGGATTACACAGACCGGGAGCCGCAGGAAAAGCTGGCGCAGAAACTTGCGCACGACGAGGAGGGCAGAAGCTACTTCTTGTACTACGACGAGCAGGGAAATAAAGTACTCAACACCTAATAAATTAGACCAGCGGGAGATCTGCAACGTTTCTTTTAATGTTCAAGTTGGTTTTATTTCCATCCATGATCTCTATCTTCACCTCGGGAAGAGAGGCGTTCAAGTGAAGATGAAAGAATGCGAAAAAAGATGAAGATCCCACTATTATCATCACACACAGCGTGTCTTCCCGACCGACCCAGCGTCCCACCCGGGGTTCCGGAATAGTAAACCGTCGGCGGGCAACGTCTCCGCGGCGGCCGAGCCTCCGTCCCCGCGGATCCCCGAAGCGACGCTCGCCGAAGACTGGGAGGACGAGATTTTGCAGCAAAAGCACGAGGACTTGGTTCGGCGAGTGGACCTGCTGGAGGGGATGGTGATGAAGATGGTGCACCAGGAGGAAGTACTGGATGAGAAGGTCCGGGTATGCAAGAAAACAACTGTGTAAGTGTAAGTCTGTGATGCAAACACATGCAACACAGTGTACACTTGTCATGCTAGCCAGCCATAAAGTCCTCTTTTATTATGTGTTTTGACGTGCTGCCTGCGCATGACAGGCTTTTTCTGCCATGCAGAGCAAATTTGTCATGCTGGCACTCCAAGAGTGTTTCACCAACAGTTTTTTTCTTGGGATACCGGGCAAAGCGGGCCCGGGAAAAACAGGAACAGACGGAGCAGCAGATTAAGCAGGGGAGGACCTACGACGTGTACTTCAACCAGGTAAACGACTCGCGCACCGGGAAAACGCGGTACCCCTACCGGGGCGCCACCGACGGCAAGCAGGTCGGGGAAGGGAACGAAGACGACGGGGAGGTGCTCGGCCCGATGTGCGAAGACTTCGCGAGGCAGGTGGTTTGCTGAAAGTGTTTTAGCAGATGTGCTTCTGATAAAAATTGCCTGATTTGATGTTGGCGTGACCACGAGAACCTGTCTTTTCCTCGGAAGAAAAAGAAATACTGTATAGATAATGAACACTGAATCAATACTTCGGACGTACAAAGTAGTGGAAAATATTATACATGAAAATGGGTCACATTTTGCTGAGATTTTTTGTCCAGGACAAACACAAACTTCAACATTTTCTGTGGATTACTTGGGTGTTCCATGCGCAACAGAAGGAGGCCCCGTGGCTTCTTTAGCAATAGAACCATCGCTACAACTGCGGGGTTTTGTTTTTGCACTGTCCCTTCCTGATGAATGCTTCATCATCTTCACCATCCAGATCTGGTCTCTCCGCGAACAAAATGATGTAAAATCTCGACAGAAAGATCCATGTTAACACAGCGTCCGCATTTTTATGCAAGTTCAAAGAAGATGCCACATTCGGAAGTATAACTGTATGAAACGAAAAAGCAACGCTACAACTGTCTCCAACACGTTACTATAGGTCCTGAAAGGGCTGGCTCAGAGGAAAGAAGATGTCTCTGTGAAAAAGAAATCCGTAGTCACTCTTGGAAAAATCAAAAATGCGCATCAAAAGTCCCTGAAGGTCGTTGTTCCTCCCTGCTCCAGGTTCATGCTCGTCGAGAACAAAATTGGAAAGAAAGACATGTCGCCGCGGGCGCGCGGTGGGGGCAATGACGACATTGTCCTCTTTTGTCCGCGCCGGCCGCTGCTGACAGTTTTTTCTCATCCTTTTGTAGGCTGGGTCATCTGACAGAGTACTTTTAATATTCAGCGGCTGGAAAAAAAGAATTGTTCTGCCACTACAGCTCCTGAGAAAAAGTTTTTGATATGTTGACCACACATTTTTAACACTTTCGCTAAAAATTTTGTAAATAAATACTTTGATAGATCGTGATCGAAATTCGTAAACAAGTAAATGGAGTAAGTTACTACGTCATTGTGATAAAATTAAATCTCTGAGCTTTTGCGGGTAAAAAGATCTCGATTCATTTCAATATTGAAGAATTATTTGCAATCAAAAACACCAGGTAGGCGTGCGCGTCACGGTCACAGCATATTTGAAGAGCCTCCTGTGATAGGACTCTTCAGATAAACACACACAATGAGAAATTAGCTATTTGATCGATTTGCGCTGTCGAATTACCTTGTCTCACCCAGAAAAGCTGATATGCCGCGACAGTAGATATGTAAGTCACTTCTTTTGATTTTGAGCTCTTCGTGAGTCTGTCCTCACGGTCGGCTGTGCCACTCCGCGCTTCAACTACGCCGCGACTAGTAGTAGGTGAAGACAGAAATTATCGAGTACAGAACTCCTGTAGAAGAAAGTTTTTTTCTGATCAGAAATAGCATTCTTCTTACCCTATTCTGCTTCTGTAGTTCAGTACAAAAATTTCCGGCTTGTTGCCCTAATATTTTGTACTAGTAGCAGCGCCGACGTCTAGGGATCGCTTATCGTTACTTTCGTGAGCTATAACTAAAGGTAAAACTACTTTCGAATTCAAAGTTCTTGGAATTATACTGCCTTGTGTCCTCACGCTGTATGATTTACATTCTTTCAAAACGAACTTTTCAACTCGAAAAACAATCAATCTCTAATTCTAGTTCTTGAAGAAACAAACTCTGTAGTTTCAATGCCCATTGCAAATTACCCAAAGCATCTCCGAAGAGAAGGTGATTGAAAATTTTTGGGATAAAGATAATGTCACGAGCTTTTTAAGAACACGACTTCCCTCGTGTAGTACTACTAACTTCTACTTGTGCTAGATCTAATTCCTGGATAGGAGTAGGACCCCCCCAACCCCATCGATAGGACTACAGACCCCTTGAAGGCTCGCCGAGCGCGCGCGGTTGGGCGGTTGGATGCTGGAGCCACACGCTGGAACAACGCGAAAAAGGTTTTCGCCAGACAGCCCCCTTTTGAGGAGCTACTTGGCGGATTCGTCGCGCGGAGCTACTTCTTGGTCCGCAGCGTCCGGCACGATTGTAGCACCCTATGGCGTATGCGCGGAAGGTGGAGCAGTGGGGGTCGGCCGTGCTGGAGGCGGCCGCGGCGGACTCGAGTCCGGCCAAGTACCCCCTGTCTGAGCTGAAGGATGTGAGTAGTTTGATCGTCTCCAACACCTCCGGGCGGGAGCAGTTGGATTCCATCCAGAAAGATGGCATCAACCAGGTGCGGCTGGTCCGCGGGGACGGCAACTGCTTCTACCGCGCCATGGGCTTCGCCTTCTTGGAGGCGCTGGCCTGTAGCACGCTGGTAAAGGCTGAGATTGATGTGTTTGGATATACTTTTGATACAGGAAAATATTCAACTATTGAGAACAGAATGTACTACGGTTTGTGCGCTATGTAATTTGATCAAATTCATTCACCGAATTTCCACATATACAACAGTCCAAGGCCGCGAAGCGCGAGCGGTTGGAGAAGTTCCTTCTCCCGCCCGCGTTTGTCACGGAGATCGAGCAGAAAGCGGTGCAGCAGTTTTCGAAACTGCTCAAAGAGCTTCGGGATCTGGTATCAAGTGCAAAATTGTCTGGGTCTGGAAGAATTCATGTTTGTCATGCTTGTCTGGCATGACTCTTGAATCTGTCATGCACGTTGCCCAAGAGCTCCGCTTTTCTGTGATGCAGAAGCGCAGTTTGTCATGCAGAATAGGCAACACCTAGGAGCTCAGAAACCTGTCATGCTGAGCCAGCATTTGTAGCCTCATCATGAGACGCCACCCAGCATCACAAGTTTCCAGACCTCCAGGGATTTTTACTTTTGATATCTGGTCACGGACAGCAAGAAACTCCACTTCACCCTGATGACCTCCCAGCACATGGATCTTTTCGTCGTGTGGCTGGTGCGGCACGGGATTTCCCGCCACATGCGCGCGGAGAAAGATAACAACGTCGGGGAGTTTGGGGGCGGGACGCTGCAGGAACTGACGAAGCTCTCCTTTGGCATGGATCTGGAGGACTACATCAATTCCGAGGTGCTCGCCATGGGAAAGGAGGCGGAGTCCTTGGTTTTAACTTCCGCGGCGTACTTTTTTGAAGCGAAAGTGGATGTCGTCCCCTTGGACGAGGAAAATCCGGAACACACGAAAACCCACGAGTACCCGACGGCAGATTTCCAAGGCCCGGGGGGGCAATTTTTTCTCTTGTACAAACCGGGCCATTATGACTTGCTGTACAAGGACAAAGTGTCCCACACCTTCCCGAAAGTTGTGCCGAAAGCCGGGAACAATTCGGGAATGATGAACGGTACTTCTAGTGTCGGTCCGAGCTTGCAGGAATCTGCGGACGGTGCGAACAATGCGAAACAAGAGAAAAATGCTGGTGAAACAAAAGAAAATAACCCAGACGGTGGAAGTTTGAAAGAGCCGACGTCGGAGAACCCAGGAGCAGGTACAGCTAACAACAAAAAGGACCAAACGAACGCGAACAAGTACAATGGCCTCATGGCGCCCTGTTCCTTCTGCACGGAGGTGTCGGATTTAAGCAAGGGGGTTCTCCTTTCGCACGGGAACTGCTTCCACTGGTTCTGCGAGCAGTGCGCCCCGCAGCTGGAGGGATTGAAGACCTGTCCGTTGTGCCAAACCGCAATTGTCACCAGCGAGGAGGACCACCGCGCGCACGTGAAAACCTGGGGCAGCATCATGCGGAACCAACACTCCGCGGCGGCGGCCGGCAGTTGGGCGGCGAAAGCGAATTCCGCAAAACACATTCAGAGTCCGATAAAACAGGCTCCGAAGGTAAATTTGCTTTATTGTGTGTATGCAGCACAGCACATCATAATTATGATGCTGTCAGGGTTATAGTATAGTTGTACTCATAAGCGGTCTATGACCCATAATCATAAAGCCAATCCACTCCATGATGGAACATCAATCAAACTTCACAAAACTCAGCCCTCCCTTGGTTTTGGCGTACTCGGAATGGACGACGACACGATAATTCGCATGCCATTGGAAGAGCGGAGGAAAACGCTCGTCGAGAAGCTCCGCGCCCTCGCTCAGCAGCTCGCGGACGGGCCGAGCGGAAACAATAACGCCAACAACGCGAACAGCCGAGGAGACCAGCGGGGGAACAATAACCGAGGCGGGAACAACAATAACCAGAACCAGAAGAACAACAAAAACAACATGAAAACTGATGAACGGGTCCTCTACACGACGCATTTCTGCAACGCGGACTGGGGTGCGGACCGCATCACCCTCGCGAACAAGATCGAGGCGAAGTTCATCAACGGGAAGAACCGGGTGACCCGGCAGGGGATCGAGCGCCGGTCGGGGGCGATTTTGGAGTTGCTGGGGAAGCACGAGAAACAGGTCTGCATCGTGATCGGCACCCCGAGGGAACGAGCGGTGGCGATCTGCTGCATTGAGATCATTCGGGAACAGTCGATGAGTGCGGTGTTACACGCGAAGAAGGTCGTGAAAGCGCTGGAGCGGTGTCACAGCTACAAATCGGCGGTGCTCAGGCCGTACTGGTTGACGGAAATCATCATGGTGGAGGTGAACAACGGGCGGTGCCTTAAAAATTTCCCCAACACGCTGAAAGAGAAGGAGACGCAGGCAGCCGGGATCGCGATCGCGACCACCAATAGGGAAGAGTCGGAGGCGCAGTCGACGTGCATCTGCATATCTGCGCTGAACATGGACCTGCTGGAAGGGGCGGTATAAATTTCTATACTGTTTTGTTTCTTTTTTTTGCGAATAATTTGCATGGGTAGTTTGATTTGGCTCGTAAATGACTGTACCACGCCGCGGCTTGGTCGTGTCGTATATAGAAAAAGATTTTTATACCAATACGTCTTAACAGCACAGGACCTTATGCTCTATAAAACAATAACGTATACAGGTGAAGGAGTACCTGAAAACGTTTCCCGACGTGAAGATTGTGGCGGAGAAGCGGTGGAAGCAGCCCACCACTCCGGCCGAAAACCTCGCTGCACAGCAGCCACCGCAGATTGTCCACCAAAACCAGAGGCGAGACCCCAGCCCCGAGAACGTGGTTTCTTCCACCGCGAGTCAGTCGCCGTCCGAAGACACGGGTTTGCTCAAGTCCAGTTCCGACACCAATACGTTAGAAAATCATCAGCAGCAAGTCGGACCACCCGGGATGATGGTGAATAACACTCTGTTAACCTCCGCAGAAATAAACAATCCACCGCCGGCGCAGGTCGTCGGAACTGTCCCCTCGCGGTTGATGGAGCGGCCCTTGGATCAGTACAGCGACGCCACCATCCCCTCCGGTGTGGGCACGCCCTCCAACGGACCGGGGGCTTTTGTAGTCTCGGGAGTTGCGGGGGCAGCTACTTTGGACTTACCCAGCGACATGCAGATGCCACAAACGTCGAACAGCGTTGCTGGTGAGCACCACGTCGAACAACAGAATAGTCTGGGAATTATGCCTGGTGTCGTGCTCGGAACATCTTCACATCAAGGACCACCCACACAGCAAACCGCTAATCCGCCTCCAGAGCTTTTGTCCGACAGCTCGCACCCGACCATTGTCTCTGCGAATGTGAGCAAGCAATTCCTGCCGCCACCGAGAACGAGCAGCATGGAGCAGAAACAACTGGTGGAACAGCAACAGCAGCAGGCACAAGGCAATATCGGGGGCAATGTTATGAATCATAACCTGCCTCCTGCGAACATAATATCTGTTGGTACAACATCTGCCGGGGTCGCGAACGCACCCGTTGGAGGTGGTGCTGGTTCTGGTACAGCTGGTGCAGCTCCTGTGTACGGTACGAACAACAGCAACAACCCGCTGGGCGCAGCGGCAGGTTTGGTAAATAATAGCCAGCAACAGCAGATGGGTCCGGTATCGGTTCCGCCGAATCAGCAGCCTACGCCGCAATGGACATCGCAGAACCCTCCGGGACAACATCTTCCGGGGGCGCACGCCAATAATCTGGGCGGTACTATCCCGCAAGTTGTACAACAACAACCCTGGGAACAACAGACGCAGCAGCAGCAGCAAGGCAGCCAGCAGCAAAACCTGAACCAAATCCAAAACCCACCACCATGGGAACAGAACAAGAGCCGAGCAAATTCCACGGCATCGAATCACAGCTACAATCGGTACAACAACCAGCAGAACCAGCACCTGGGAAAGCCGCCCATTGCTCCGAATCAGACAAGCAGCGGGCAGAATCAGAACAGCAGTAGACCGGATCATGTTGTTGGGTCGGCGTCGGGAGGTGCAACTACTGCTGGTGCACAGGGTGGAGTTGTCGGGCAGCATGTGGCGCAGCAACCGCAGCAACAAATGGTAAACCAGCAGAACAACCTCCAGCAGCAACCAAATCAGCAGCAGCAACAGGGAATGAATCAACAGCACATCATGATGGGGGCCGCGAACAATAATCACAGTACAACTATCTCCGCGCAACAACATCAGCAGGTTGTGGTGCAACAGGGTACTAATGCAATGGCCACCACAACAGGTGGTACTGTCGACGCGCTGCAGCAGAGCCAGAGTCAGAGCTTGCAGGGATCGAAGCAGTCTTTAACTCCGACGGAAAACAGCCTGATGCAAATCCCGCAGCAGATGCCGCCCCAGGTTTCTGCGTTGGAGCAGCTGGCGGGGAACCAGCAAGCGGGGAATACTGGTGCCATGCGTAGTGGCCTAGTTGTGTCTCAACATCAACAGCAGCTCGGTGCTGGGCAGCAACAGCTGCAGCAGGCAAACACGACCAACGTTGCAACTGCGACAGGCACCGCTAGTAACACGGTGGTACAGCAGGGGGCCCCGACAACCTCAAACGCCACGAATCCAGCTACCGCCCAGATGGGCAGCACGCCTGGCGTGGTGGGATGGGCAGCTTCTATGGGGGTCGCTAGTACTCAGCAGCAGCAGCAATCAGGGCAACAACAGCAGCAGTCAGGGCAGCAACAGATTGTGGGCAACAGTAATAATCCACTATCGCAGCAGCAAACAAGTTTCAACGCTGCTGCTCCTGCTGTGTCGAATAATACCACTTCTGGTGTTAATGTGGGGAACGGCAACTTTCTGACGCCGCATCACCAGCATTTGCAACAGGGCAACCAGCGAGCAAACCAGGTCCAGCAGATGAACAACAACCCGATGTCTACTATGCAGCAACACCAGCATAATTTAAACAGTGCCGGTGCACAACAGCAAACGCAACAGCAGCGCGGGAATATGGTGGCGGCGCAACAACACGGTGCTGTGGCGAACATGCAACAGCAGCAACTGTCGACGAATCAACAACATTTGCAGCAGCAGTTTTCGCAGCAAGGCGTTCAACAACAAATGCAGCCGCAAAGTTCCCCTTTCTTAACCGGCACCACGAGCAGCTTGAATTCGAGCGCGGAACACTTCCAGCCCAACCAGCACATCCACACGATTGGGCTAGGCGGACAGAATAATAATACTAGTGGTGGTCAGCAGCAGCAACAGAACAATGCGATGCAGCAGACGCAATTTGGTGGAGCTGCAGGAACTACATCAAATAACCCCGTCGTGCAGAACGCAATGCAACAAGCGGCCCAAATGGGAAATGCGGCGATGGGAGGAATGCAGCAGCAATCGCAAATGCAGCAACCGCAAATGGCGTCGTTCCAGCATCAACAGCAGCTGACGGCCATGCAAGGGCAGCAAATGCAGCAGCTACAGCAGCACACATTCCAGCAGCAGCAGCAGCTACTCGCAGCACAGCAACAGCAACAGTTACAGAACAATCCGTATCATGGAGCTGCCGGCACTACAACAGCCATGAATGCTGCTGCAACGTTGATGGGTCAGCAGCAGCACCAAACAACTCAACAGCAGCAAGCTGCCTTTGGGCAATTACAGCAGCAGCAGCAGCAGCAGCAGCAGCAGCAGCAGATGCATTCCATGTCTACAGCTGCGCAATCGCAACAGACAGGAGGACAGTTCAACAGAATGCAGCAGACCGCTGGAGCTATGACTACGCAGCACCAACAGCAGGCCGCGGCTGTGCAACAACAGTACGGGCAGCAGCAACACCCGTTATTGCAGCAACAGACCGACCCGACTGACCCGCAGCAGATGCAGAAGGTGGCCATGCAGCAGAAGCTGATCTACGAAAACTACGGAATCGCCGCGCCCGAGCTGCAGATGATTCAGTACGTGTTTACCCAGATTTCGTTGGAGCAGGACCCAAACTGGAAGGCCTACCTCGTCGCCTACGGCACGGACATGTGTGATTCGCACGTGTACACGCACCAGGACGGGCGGCCCATGACCGAGCAGGAGCTGGCAAGTCAAGAGGTGAGGAGAAGAGCCTGGATCTCGGACAAGGGGATCAGCGAGGAAGTCTTCAAAAATGTTTTGCATCAGATCAGGCTGATTCAGATGAAACAAAAAGAGATGCTCGTCACCCAGAACCAGCAAAGACAAGTGGGCGTGGTGCCACAGCAACACGCACTGCAGCAGGGCGTCGGTGCGGTCGGAGTCGGTACAGAGATTTTTGTTTTTTGATTTAGATTTTCCTGCTTTGTTTTTGTGCTTCGCTAACACGACCCTGGAGATGATAGATTGGCATTTGCTCGCTGATCTAGAAGTAAAGTATAATAGTAATTGCAGCTCGACGCTAGGAGGCCGCTAGTAGAGATTTTTGTAGCTAAACGAGCAATCAATTATTCGTTCTCTTTCTCTCATTCAGGTTCCATGGGCGGGCATCCGGGCACCGTGGAGCAACAACTGGGGCAGCAGCAGCAACAGCACGCGGCTCTTGCGCAGCAGCAGCAGCAGAATAACCCCGGGGCAGCGGATGCTAATGCGTCGTTGTTCAACCAGCGTCAGGGGGGAGCCGAGTTCCAGCAGAGGTCCGCAGTAGACCGGGAGCGCCAAGTGTCGCAGCAGTTAGCCGCACAACAGCAGCAGCACCAACAGCAGCAGCAGCACCACCAGCACACGACGAATCAAGGTCGTCAGCAGCAGAATAATTGGAACCAGCACACCTCGTACGGAGGCAATGCTGGCACAAACAATGCTAATACCCAGCATCACGGGGGTCAGAACCAGCATCACGGAGGTGGCTACCATAACAGCCAGCACGGCAACAGCCAACAGTACGGGGGCAGCCATTCTAGTAGTAGCCAAATGCACGGGGCTATTTCGGGGAACAACTCGCAGCAGATGCAAAACACTGACTACAACCGCAACTTACAGGACGACTGGCGGTCAGGGCCGAGGCACACGCCCACGGGTGCTTATCCGGCGGCGAGCAAGGGAGGCTACCACGCCGGGAAGCAAAGGCAGCAGCTCGGCGGGGCCAGCACCATATCGCCGCAAGCGCACGTATGGATTTTTTCGATATGGATTTTTTGTGTTTAAAGTATTTATTTTCCATCATACGGGGGATGAAGTCTACTGCGCCTCTTCTCTTGTTTTATTGTACAAAGCAGCTTACTTACTATCCAAAGTTAAAATTCTTTCAACGATCGCATTTATCGCGAAATTCGAAACTACAGGGCCCCAACTCCTGGACGAACAACCAGCAAGGCAACTGGAACAGCCACAGCAACTGGGACCCCAACCAGGGCCGGAACTCCCGTACGTATTCCCAGGGGGAATCTAGTCAGTACGGGAACAACCAAAACTACTACAGCAAGGATAACAGCTACGGGCGGAGCAAAGCGGGCTCGGGGTACTACGGTAACAACAACACTAACGCCGACAATTCGCACCATAATGCGAGTCAGCACTACGACAGCAGCGGGTACACGTCCAACGCCTCCAAGGGGTACGGCGCGGACGCGCGGAACAACGCTTTGGAAAACGACGGACCGGGTGTCGCCAACATCCAGGATCTGGCGCGTCGCGTTGCCGCCATGCCCCCCGTGGAACCGAACAAGCCCAGCTCGCGGGGCGGCACGGACGCGGGCGCAACCGACGGAGAAGAAGGAGGTGGACCACACAACAATAATACTCAGACCTCCTCCGCGACGCCCAAGCCGAGCTTCTTGCCGCCGCCCTTGCCTGAACAACAAGACGGGTCAGTTTTGCAGGGCAAGAAAGGCGCGGCAGGAGTGGGGAAGGGAGCAGGTATCATGTTGCATACAACTGAAAGAGGTCCTTTTTGTGGTTGTGGTTGATCAGGTTACATGGATTATTTGTGTGGGTGCCTGTTAATATAGTACCGGAGGATTTTTTTCAACCGTAGCCATGAACAGCACTCGCGATGTAGTAGTACTACGAGAAGTTCTTGTACTGGAGATGAATAGGAACAGCAGCATATCAAATGACCAAAAATCTTTACAGGTAGAAGACACGGCAGTGGTTCTTGGCGACAACCCGAGACCGAGGCAGGGGCCGATCCCGAAGAGGAGCTGCCGTCCTTTGCAAACCTGGGACCCCTAATCGCGGCGATGGAAGGTATGAAATGTGGGAAAATTATAATCGCAAATGAACTTTTTTAAAATTTTTCAATTGCTGGCCGCGCAGATGCATGATCTTGATTTTCATACCATGTCGAAGTCGGCATCTTGACGATCTTCGTGTCCAAGTAAATGCTGGTTTATTTTCAGGTCCAAAACCCAAGGAGCCTGCTACCGCCGGAGAAGATGATATGCCCGCCAAGGAAAAAACCGAACAGAGTCTAGAAGTGCCAGTTGAGGAGGTACTTATAGTCTTTTTCTTTCTGTATTTTCTGTTGTATTTACAACATTTCCACAAGGTGCCTAATCGCTCGCGAAAATGTAATGAGTTTGTTGCGTATGATTGTGATTCCGGAAGGAATTGTGTACTGCTGAAGCTTTGTCAACCATCTGAGGCACACCAAACCACTCTACAACGATTAACAGACGCCCCTCGTAACCCCAAGCGACATGGCTGTATCGACCACGACCGCAGCGACAGGAACGACCGCGACCGCAGCATTGATAATACCTGCTTCATCTTCACTTCAGCAAGAAGGAACTACAAAAGAGTCATCCTCCACTTCCCTCGACCAACGTAACGCGCAAAGTAACCAGCACGAAAGTAGTTATAGCAGTCTCTACAACAGCACCAAAACCAGTACAACTGGGGCAGCAGGAGGTGCAGCAGCAGGAACTGTTGTATCATCCTCCGCAGGAGGAACTGTTGCTGCTTCAGTCCAACAACAGCATCATGGCGACAGCTCTTCCTCGCACAGTAAGGAGGGTGCGGATTGCGTAGTTTCCCCAATCGTTTTGCAGCGGAACAAGGGCGCCGTATTATCTTCCTCCACTTCCACCAGCGACAAGAAAAAAGCGACCCACAGCATTGCGCCTTGGGCAAATTTGAACCGAAACAAGGGCCCCGGCGGGGGGGATCCGGGAAACAGTCCAGAAGCTGCTGTAGGGGCTCCTGGGGGCGGCAGTAATTCAGGAACAAATCAATCCCAGCAGCAGCAGCGACACGATATGAACCCGGCGACGGCAGCGGGGAAAACCTTATCCTTTCCGCCTTTGGGAGGCGCACAGGCTATCACCGGAGACCCGGGTAGTCCGGAGGCGGGTCTGGGTGGAGGTGTTGTTGGTACTATCACGTCCGCGACCAACAGGTCTTCGAGTAGTAGCACTGGTGCAGCAGGAACTTCTACAAATAAACACGACAGTGCTGGCCTTGTGCAGCTGCAGAGAAATAACGTAGAGCAGAACAGATCCACAATGTCAGCGTCCTCGACCACGACCGTTCCGCAGACCTCCGTTGGTGCCGCGCCGGACGCGCGGAGTGGTAGTCTGCAGTCCTCTGGGCAGGAGGACACACTGAGCTCGGGGATGGTGGACGAACAGAACCCTAACGTGTTTCTTGCCTCCAACAAGCCTAAATCCGCGTCCAGTAGCAAAAACACCACGACAAGTTCGTCTACGATGAAAACGGTGGTAGATCCAAGGCTAGGTGGTGGGGGAGGTAGTTCACTCCCGGCACAACATCAGCTGCACAACACAACCGGGTTGAGTAATAGTAGCCAAATAAGCAACGGGGCCGCGACTATGAACCAGCAGAGTGCAGGAGCAGCAGCCTCCAATACCAGTAGCAGCCAAACTGGTCCTAGACAGGGCAACCGGAAGAAAGAGGCGAGTCAGGAGGTCAGCCTCGACACATTTCGCGATGACCTGTTTGCGAAGGCGACGGTGGGGCTGTTGGAACCTATGGGCTTCATGCCCTGGCGCACGATACCGGACAGCATCATTTTCCAAGTTTCCGATGACCAGTCGAGGAACCCGCGCGGCGGGGGAGGCGGGGGCAACAACGCCCGAGATCTCAGCCTCCGGAGAGACAAGTGGGCATTCCTGGCGGAAAGAAAAGTCCCGAATCACATACAGAGTATAAGAAATGAATAATTTTTATTTCATCTACATGCTCCTGTTAGTTTTAAGTTGACTGCAGGGCGGCTCGTCTTGGCAAGCTGCTAGTACCAATCTTCGCGGAATGTTGGAGGTTCTTTCCCCCTCACCAGTCGAAGAATTCTGAGTTCTTCGCCACGGCGTGCAATTTTTCATTCTGAGTTTGACCATCTTGCTCATTGTTATCTTCACCCAAGAATTATGATATAAAAACAGACTGCCGATTCGAGAACCCAGAGGACCTGAAGCGGTGTGCGACAGACTTCGAGTCCAGCGTTGAGCCGTATGGAATCGATCGCGTGGCGCTCACTTTTGACGAAGTCGACTTCCTATTCTCACGAAGCAGGGCGGAGTACAAAACCGGCCATGAGCGGGTACCTTTGAATATGAGTTCATTCGTTTGAAATCGAAGAAGATCGATGTGTAGAAGTTGTCCTCGCCGCAGAATTCAACATCGCTGATAGATTGAGATAAGTAGTACTTTGAAACTGATGAACACACCATTCCTCAGGCCGACGTGTGCCAGACGGTTACGGGCGCGAAGTTGATTTGTCCCGGCAGCCACACAGACTGGAAGAAGAAGGCGAATCTTTTCCCCGCGGCGATCATGGGAAACAAGACGGACCGGAAGCGCGCCCGGTGCCTGGTCGCGCTCTGGCGGTTGCAGGCCAAAATGTTCACCGTAGCGGAAGGCAGCTCCCCGCGGCAGGGGAAGCGGGCCATTTTGGACGTGACGGATTTGCTCGGGCTGCCGGAGGTGCAAGCGCTTCCCGTGTGGGACCGCCCGGAGTTAATCCGGCTGCAAACCACGGAAGCGTTTCCGCAGAGAAAAATTTACGATCTGGAACACCACTTCAAAAAGCAGGTATAGAAGTTTCTTTCCAAAAATAAGCGGCTATTTTTGCTGTTGGTCGTGTAGTTCAGAAGGTCGTGCACCGATTGGTGCTTCAGCTTGAATGTCGAAGATTTTCGAGACATGGTACGGTTTGAATGTTGCAACGTTGTAAAGGTCAGCGCTTGATGTTGAGCATACCTACCCCATGTTTTTTTGCGCGTACTTGTCCATTTCAAAAAACCCGGAACTACGTGCCTCCAAAACTGTCACTATCAAACCACAGCTCTGCGTGTTTCCCTGTGCGAAGGCCACGCCCGGGAGCACGGACAAGCGCGAGTTTTTCTTCTACATCATGCGCGCAAGGGACCACAAACCGCTCCCGCCGGGGCCTGGAAACCACCAAAATCATAGCAACGACGGGACTGCCTGCGTAACGGATGAAAACGTATACTTGACCACTTAGTACCTGTTTTTTTCTTGTGTATCAGTATGAGGTTTCGACGTTTGGGACGTGTCCTCTTGTCTTTTGGAAGATGTTCGTTATGTGCTTCGAAAAAAGAAGTATTGAAAAAAATACGTACTTAGTCAAGATTCTACTCAAGATTGATGAAAATCATCACAGCTCGCCGCCTACATCAAAGTTCATTTTGCCGCGCAGTCGGTGAATGGGCGGATGGCCGCGGAGCCCCCGAACCCTTGCCGGAAGGGCGACAGCCGCACGAAGCTCGCGCTATCCCTATCAAATGCAAAAATGTCTGGGTCTAGAAGATTACCAGGTTTGTCATGCATATTTGGAATGGCCCATGATGTCTGTGATGCATGCCCTAGCATCATAGATTTTTAGAGGACTTTGCGATGCCTCTGCCGCATGAGAAATGCCCTCTCCGCGTGCCACAAACTGGAGTTCTCTGGCTGGTCATGCAATACAAATTTTTTACAATCCAGCGACAGCATTACAAGTCTAGAACCTTCCAGACCCAGACATTTTTGCATTTGATAGTCCCCCAAGGAGATCGAAACCCTGCTGGGGAACGGGGTGGAGCGGCTCGGCGTCTCTGCCAAAGCCGTGGGGGATGACGCCATGATTTCACGGAAGTTGATATCCTCAGCAAAAACGTCCCCACCCCAGAGCTGTAATGCAAATGCGCAATGACAGGAACATTTGTAATGCGCATCCCCATGAGAGGCATTTCTATTTCTAATCGTGATTTGGCATTTGTAATGCTGTAAACAGGATGAGAAATTGGCTTTCTCATGCGGCTTGCCTTGCTAAGCACCACTATACTAGAGACGGAAAGAACTTGTCATGCACAACTCCCAAAGGTTGGGGATTTGTGTTGCAGATTTGCCAACTTGACTATGGGGTGGGGACGTTTTTGCTTACGATAGTTGAAGGACTTGAAAAGACTCACGTACGACGAGGGCAGGCCGTTGGATCGGAGGTTCATTTCTCAGTGCGAGGGAAAAGCAGTAGATATTTTCCATCTGCAGTGCATCACTGGTGGTGGTAACAACACCGGCGGAGGGTCCAGCTCTAGTTCATCTTCCAAAGGGTCCAGCAACAGCGGCGGTGCGACACAGCAAGCACAGAACTCTAACACAACAACTTCTGGGGCGGGAAACGTCACTCCTGTAAACGCAAATTCCGACAGAGGTTTAATATCTTCCAGCAGTACAACTACTGCCAGGACACCCACGGGAGCGACGTCAGCAGCGGGTTCTGGTAGTGCGCCGGGAGGAGCACCAGGTGGTGGATCAACAGGAGCTTCGGGCAATAGCAGTGGTACTAACCAAAGTGCAGCAGCAATAGGGGAACAACATCAACTGCATCAACCCATACCTCCGGCCTCTCCGAACAACCCGGGATCGACTCCTGCTCTGTCCGCGACGGATCTGGTCGACTGGTTCCAGCAACGAAAAAAGATTCTCGAGAAGGCGACCGGGGTTACGGATTCCGCAGTGGTGGCACTAACAGGGAATAATAGTGGGAACAGCACAAGTCACTCCCCAACGGCTAGCTCCGTCTCTCCCTCGGCGAATGGGGGCATGCGGGCCGCTGGAAAAGGGGGAAAGTTGTCGGATTCCCATTTTTACCAGTACTCCGCGAACCACGACGGGGACAGTCTTTGCGTGGTGGTATTCGGCGAGCTATCAAACGTAAAAATGTCTGGGTCTGGAAGAATCCGAACTTGTGATGCTGCATTTGGATTCTAAAAAAATTTGTATTGCATGACCAGCAAAGGGAATGCAATTTTGGCTACGCGGCGAGGGCATTTGTCATGCGGAATACGCGTCACGAAGCCCTCAAAAAGTCTGTGATGCTAGGGCATGCATCACAGACATCGTGGCCCATGACAAGTTTCAGAATCTTCCAGACCCAGACATTTTTACATTTGATACGAGCTAGAACAGAGGACGAAGTTCAGGAAACTCTTGCTTGCGGTCTACAAGGCGTTTACGAATAGTGGAACGGACGTGTTTCACATTTTAGATTCGTGTCTCTCCCCGCCCTATCCCATAGAGATGTTTGTCTACGTCACCTCGGCGAACAATGCGGGGAACAAACCTGGTGGACAAGGCAAGGCGTACGCGAAAGGAAGCAGCCCGCATCTGGTCATGGGGGAAGTTTTGGTACTTGTTTATAAATATGCTCCTTGAACAGTTTCTCTATTATATCGATTCATTTTCGGTGGCCATGATTTTACGCCCCTTCGATTATAGTAGTGAAAAAAATGTTGAAAATTTATCTCGGGAAGATGTTGAAAAGCAATTACCTACACAGGACCTGGAGAGCAAAGATCAGCTGAAACTGTGCTTCAGTGACGCGCAGCGGACAAGGTACCAGCTAGTTCCAGTTGGGAGTAAGCCACCGGTAGATGACAAATGGAGCTACAAGGTAAGTGTGCCAACAAATACAACCTCGGCGTCCTCTCCCATCTGAAGACAGTTTCGTTGTCCTGGACGAGCAGCAAGGACTGAAAACCCCAATAGTAAAGTTCTTCACATCATGTAGACCCGCTCGGAGTAAACACGACGACCCCTAGTAGATAAGAGTAAAGTTGTGCTGGTTTTTCTTTTTACACGAAAATTGGCGACGATATTGTACCAACTTCTTCCCCACATGTAAATAAAATAGTCGGCGACGAATCTTTTTCCCCGTTTTTTTTGATTTAAATCAGACGACGCATAGTTATTTTGTTGTGCTGGTGGATCGTCGATACTGTGCTAGAAGAACAGGAGCAGCTTGCTCCTCTGCGTCGTCCGCACGGATAAACCTGATCCAGCGTTCTTTCTCGCCGGCGCTGGCACAGGTCAGCATGGCTGGTAGCTTTGCGGCTGTTCTAAAAATAGAGTACTTTACAAACAACTACTCTCTTTCCATCAAAAACCTAAAAGAACAATGGGTCCAGTGATACGGACTCTACTTTCTGTCCGGAAGTATACAAAAAAGATATCCGAAGAGCAAAACCCGCTTCAGCAGTGTGTTTTTTGTTATACTTCGGCTAGTCGTTGTAAAAGCTTCAGCAACTCCAGGCGCAGGAGTACTATTATATGCCGAGGCGAAAAACAACTGATTCTATACTTTGAAACTGATTATTTCTGAGACACCACTTGGGTGGATATTACAATTACGTATCTAAATTATTACACAGCACGACGCCAATCAGCACACGCAAACAAATAGGACCAAGAACAGGCAGCGAACTTTTTTTGGTCTTAGTTCTTCTCGTTGTACTTCTACCTTGCGCTGTGCGATTGGTCGTTGTGAAAGCACCAGTTTTCAAATTTTTCTCTCTGATTACTTCGAAAAAATAAAGTATGCGACGCTATTGAGATCATAAATATCCGTCGGTGCAGCTGTTGAGGATCTACTTCACTGGAGGATGTTCACATTAGCGGCATCATATCATAAGCCAACGATTTATTCATCGTTGGCCTCTACCTACGCAGAAGATCTTACTCACTAACTTGTCTCAGACGCTGTACCCCCGACAGAATTAGGTATCATTCGATGTAATTTATTTCACGACAATAAGAACTGAACAAGACGCACGGGCGCCTCCACAAAAGAGGACTTCTCCTCTTCTGTGCGGCAATTATCAAGCTTTTTTCGTCACGAGGGACATGTTTAATTCTGTTCAAGTTCATCTCATCCGCCTTGAAGCTGTGGGAATGGAAGCTTGCGGGAGCAAAATTACAAAGTAGCGAAGGGCTGCTTTGTTTGGAGTAACAACAAAATGAGAATCCGATGGCAGCATCAACGCGGAGAGTGTGAGATCCGACCGAAATTTCACAGCACTGACACTGAGTAGTGCTTGGAGAGAAGCGCGAGCTGTTGAGAGGTTTTATTTTGAGAGTTGTAGTTTTCTGAAGATGTTGAACGTGCGGGGGTACAACTAGTTCTTGGCTAGTTCTTGCAGGGTTTCTTGGCTTTAGGTCGCGCCTTTTGCTCTCACTTCTTCCACAAAATAAGTACCTACTGCTCGTTCATTTACTTCTGGTTCGAAAGGCTCTTCCGTAGCAGGTTTCTGCAGTTTAAGTTTCGTATTGATTTTTCAATTCCATTTCCAACCAAATTGCAAAAGTATAGATTGGAGGGGGCGGGCGAGCATTTCGTGGCAGTTGTTCCGAACGGAACCGGACCGGCCGCCGATTTCTTCGCGATTTTTGCGATAGTCGTACTTGTGGAGCGAACGACGAGCACGAAGAGGACGACACCAGCTACTCCTTCGTGGAAGTTGACAGCCTAACCGCTGTCCCGACAAAGAACCATGGGAGCTTTCGATGGTTTTTTTCCATAAAAAGATGCGAACGATGTTAAAGGCTGTGTGTTTATTTGATGATATCGTCCCTTCATCGTGATCGTCGTGGTGAGAGACATTAATGTGGCTTGTATCTAGATGCTTACATCGAGCGTTCTTCCCTATCAGGTACGACTACCGGATTGCAAGGCGAGCCCGATGCAGCTCCGGAAGGTCGTGCAGCCACTGCGTTCGGTGCCAGCGCGCAGGATCATGCGGAAAATACGAAGGATTTAGCTGCAGAGGAGCTACCGGCGGGAAGTACTTCCAGTCCGGATCAAGCGAGAAGTGAGGACAATGATTTGCAAGCCTCACCAGCGTGCTCGGAGGAAAGCTGCAGTGTAGGAGCAACAACGGGCGAGCAGAATAAACTAGCGGTACAGGGAGAAGATGTGCTGTTGCAACAAGAAAGCGAAGATCTAGGGGATGAACTACACGAGGAGAGGAGCGACGGGGCAGCTGCGCCCCCGGAAAATTATCATGCGGAACAAGAAGAACGGCTGCAGGGCGGGAATCAGGATGAGGAGAATTGCAACAACCTGGCAACTGAAACAAGTTTAAGCACGGAGCAAAACGAAAATGTAAAGGAACATAAAGAGGAAGACAAAAAAGACCACCGCGTAGAAGTTCTTGCAACAACTCATCAAAGTCTACCTCGTGGCCGCGAGCAGAGCGAGGACATCCCGCACATTTTTGGGGAGGAGGAATTAACTAGCGAGAGCAAGCCACCCGCGCAAGAAGGGCAGGTCTGGCCCAAGAAGCCAATGAACAGCCGGGTGGTTCTTGTCGGTGGAACTGGTACAACAGCAGAGGCCGCAGAAGTCTCTACTGCACGAGGACCGGGTCCGCGAGTAGAACTACAGCAGTCCTGCTCCTCTGCCGCTGCCAATGCCAATATCCCTTCTGCTAGTCCGACTGTTGTTCCACCTTCGGTGGTCGACGGGCAGTTCTCTCTCGGGCAGCTCCCCCGAGGGCACGTGTTGGAGGAACTCGACTTGGCCGGGAAGAATGTGGACGCCGATGTGATGCAACACCTCTGCGATTTGCTCTATGCATTGCAAATATGTCTGGGTCTAGGAGGTTTCCACTTGCCATGCTAAGTCTGCACTGTGAAAAAATCTGTGTTGCATGGTTACCCAGAGCTGTCCACCTTCGACAAATTTGAGAGGAAGTCTCTCATGCAGGCTAGGCATGAGAAAGAAGATCTCACAGAATCTGTCATGCTATATCCCGCACACCAGACCTCACAGGGCAGGGAAAACCTGCATGACAAATCGCAATCTTCCAGACCCAGACATTTTTGCATTCGACCTGCTGATCCAGCACCGAATTTCCATCCGCTGTCTGCGGCTGGACCACAACAAATTGTGCGACGTCGCACTGGTCTACTTGGCGAAAATCATCTTGCTCCAGGTATTTATTTCATTACTTTTACATTCATCGCAAATATGTCCGGGTCCGGATCTGTGATGCGAAATCTGAAGGACAGCGAGGATTTGTGACGTATCAATACGATTCTTGCCCAGTTTTTTTGTCATGCTGTGAAAGAACTCAGTTTGTCATGCAAAACATGCTCTTCATCATTTCATGCAAAAATCGCAACAGACGCACCCTTTCCGCGAGATTGTCCTCTCCGACAACCTATCCTGTGCAAAAGTATCGTACTCGTAGCAATTGCAATCATGCATTGCAAATTTTTTCCTTAAGGTAAATCAGCATTACGAATTATATTTCTCATGCTGAGGAAATTTGTAATGCATTTATGCGAGTGAGATACTTTTGCAGTTCATACAACCAAGTGACGCCTTTAGGCGTTTTTTCCCTCCTTTTCGCTTTTGGGTACCTGTCTCACCTGTACCCGCAATTGGATCGGGACGAGCAGAGTGGGCGGGAAGTCTTCACTCCCTGCGTGTTGCGGTTAGAGCGGAACAGAATTGCGGCTTCCATGGTCTCCAAGTTCTCCTCGCTCCTGCAGACCACGCATATCAAGTATTTTTGTTTGTATGTTGTTTCCGATAAAATCATATTCTCTTTCCGTCTTCATGCGGATGACGGATACAAAAACAAAATCAAAATCAAAATGAAAAACCACCAAAGGTTTTCCTTCGTGAAAGAGCAACACTCTAACCGGTCTAGCTGCGCGGCAGTGGCTTTGGTGAACTTCGATCAGCAGATCTTGCAGCACACGGACACGAATCTGACGGTGATGTTGCGGATAGCGCGGGATCAAATTCAGAAACTATACGGAAACCTGCGCTCGAAAATGGTGCAAAACCGGCAGAACGTCCCAACCGCTGCTTCCATCCCGCAGAGCTTTCATCCCGTGAACGTCCCGGGGATCAGCAATTTGTCCATGCCCACCGCGTCAAATGGGGGTGAGGATAATCACAACGGGGCGACAGGTGGCGCTTCAGTAGACAATGCTGTGAACAATAACGTGAATTGCAACGCCCGAGGCGGTATGGGGCCGCCTGGAACCGTAGCTCCGATGAACACTAGCAACGCGCAACAAGGTAACCCGGGGACTTTGCAACACGGACCTCCTCCGCAACATACCTTTCCGCAGCACATGTCGATGCCCACCGGTAATATGGGTACAACTTACAACCAGTACAACAATACTACTAGCCCGAACATGATGTACCCACCAGGCGGCCAGCAGCCAATCGGCACTATGAACGGTCCTATGCCGACTGGATTCTATCCCGCGCCACAAGGGGCGCAGCACCAACATCCGCATAACTACGGCGCACCAGCACCTCCCGGAGGACCTGGAGCTCCGCACATGATGGCACATGGCCAAGCAGCTGGTGCACACGGAGGACCAGCAGGTGCTTATAACAGCCACGGGACATCACAGCCGATCTACACTGCGCAGCCGCACCATCCGCAAAGTTGTAACTACTTTCAGCAGCAACAAGCCATGGCGACGGCGCAGATGCAGTCGCAACAGCACGCGGCGTATATGAACGCCTATAACGCCACCTGCTACAACTACGCGAACGGCGGAGGTTTGCCGTACGGAATGCAGCAACCGAATAATGCTGCTGGAGTGTACCCAGGAGGAGCTGCTGGAGGGTTACAACATCAAGGTCCTGGCGTTGGAGTTCATCCTCACACTGCTCCTTCGCACATGAACGCAGCTGGTGGTGGTGGTTATCCACACAGTTGTACACCGCAGGGCAATGTCGCGGTGTCCCCGTCCGGGCGCATCATTCCAGCGGCTGCATCAGTCCAACCTGCTGGGGCAGCATCTTCTTCCGCAGATGGCATGAATCAAGACAGAACTTCTGACCTTCCGCTCGAAGAACCGAGTTCCTCAACTTTGAACAACAGTGTTATGGAAATGTCAGGATTGAAATCTTCAAAGTTGAAATAGTTTGTGATGCATAAAATGCAACCCACAAAGTGCCTGTCTTGCAAGGTAGTCAAGTGAGGCAGATTGTAAGCCTGTTGAGGGGTAAGAAAAGAGATGCTAAAGTAGCATGACAAAGGGCGTCCTCCGTACCCAAACAGCATGACAAACTGGATTTATGCTCTTCCTAAATTTGTCATGCGCCACTTGAAAGCTGGCCGCCAACTGGTATCGGCTTTATGCATGACAAATCATTTCAACTTTGACGATTTCAATCCTGACAGATCCATAAGTGTTCAGAATAAGTCGAGTTCCAACAGCCTTCTCCGTCAGGCTCGAACTCCAGTGGCCGCGCGAGCGGGTTCGCCCTGCCAACTGACCAGTTCATCTCCGGAAATTATCCAGAAGCTGTCCCTCTCCTGCCCGCTGGAGCAGCGCCGACGGTCGGAGATGCTGTTATCTCCGGACACGGACGACTCAGGGGAGAAGTCCTCGGATGGCTTCTATGCAAGGGAAGATGGTGGCGCGAGATCTGCGAGCCTGCGGCTCAACACCACCGCGCCGCCGGGAACGCTTTCTGCAGCGGCAGTCATGCAGGCGACGGAAGGGAGAAGTAGGAAGAACCAGAATTCATCATCACAACACTTTTGCAGTGAAGAGGCAGGCAACGCGGAAGTAGATCGTGTGGTTGACACCAATGTTGAAACAGAAAATATCTACTCGTTAAAAGTTGCGCACCAGGTGGAGCAAGACCCACTAAGTACCTCTCATTCCTCGTCCCTTGCCGGCGCATCGACCGCTGCCTCGGGCGTCGGGAGCAATGTCGTCGTGGCGACGACTGGCCCAGACCAGCACCAGCCCCCGAAAGACGTAAGGCACTCGCGGACCGCGATGCTGAAGGTGAAAATGGCTTTCACCGCCGTAGAAAAAGCGAACGGGGGTAGAGGTTGTAATTCTTCTTCGCAGGAGAACAAGGAAGGCGCGACCAGGTCGGGGGAGCTGCAGGAAGAAGTATTGCTGAGCGTACATGATGGCCAGAACAAAAACAATCTCGAACTACATAAAAATCAGCAGTTTGGTCGAGGGATCATGAAAAACAATCTTCCCTTCCTCCCGCGCACCATGCCCTGTGAGTTGCTGAAAGTGCGGGTGTTTCTCGGTTTGCTGTACGACGTGGAGAAAACGCAGGAACTGGTGCTCGGACAACCTTTATCTCTGATCCACCAGCCGCTCTCCCTAATCCAAGCGGCGATGCTGCTCATGGTAGCGCTGAAGCATCGGACGTGGTGCTGGGTGCGGTTACCGACGTGCGTGAAGGAAGTGGACAACTGGTGCGCGGCAGCGTCTTCCTCGAGTCCGGCTGGCGGGGCCGGAAAAAGTGGTTGCAATGACAGTACAACCACTCAACATCAACATCATCAGCTCCCCGCAGCAGAAGACGGGGAGAGCAGCATCCTCTCTGCGTCGAATACAGCTGAAGATGACAACACGTCTATTGGAGAAGCACCTGCTGCTGCTGCTGCTGCAACGATGGCCACTTTACCAAAACACCTCGCACTTGAAGCCGTTATCTACGAGTTGACGGGGATGTGCAGCTTGAATTTGAATTCTTTGAAATTCTACAACAACAACGAGGATTTTGATTTCCAGGACGATTTTCGAGACCAACGAATGTACCGGATCTCGCTCTTCGAGGGCTGGAAATTACTCTCCCACTCTCCCGCTTACCGGCGTATCAATTGCAAACATGTCTGGGTCTGGAAGAATGCAAACTTGTCATGCATACTTTGCATGCCCCACGAGGTCTGCAATGCAGGACCTAGCATGACAGGTTCTGCGAAGTCTCTATCATGTCTATCCTGCATGACAAACTGCCACTAAACTTGTTCAAACGTGGACGCCTTTTGGTAATCATGCAACAAAAATTTCTGTACTATCCAGAATTAGCATGACAAGCTGCAACCTTCCAGACCCAGACATTTTTGCAATGCATACGGCAGCCGGAAATGCAAGCGATTGTGAACCAAATGAACTTCATCAAGGAACTCTTCGAGAACGAAAAAATTCTGAGCAAGCACAAGGTAATTTTTTCGTTGTTTGATACTTATTTAGTTTCACTGCAGTTCGTTCGTTCCCCTGAGACCATTCGGAGGTACAAGTTTCTCCTTCCTTGCTCATCTTCATCATTCAAATACAACATGCAGAAAATGCAAAAAACCTCCAATCCCACTACAGCTGGAGCCGTGGCTCTACGCCTATGCCTGCGAGCGGCTCGGTGTTCGGAATTTAGAAGAGGATAATCTACAGGACCACAGCATTTTTCATTGCCCAGGAACCGGAATGATGAACCAGTGCACGACCACCGGGGGGCAACAGCAACAAGCTGCTAGACCCTCAATCCTGACAGCCAGCACCAGTCTGACTGCATCGTCTTCCGGGACGAGTAAGTTGGATAGGGTTAATATGAATCAACAGCAGGACAGCCACAGCGCTGTCAACACCGGCTCTACTGCGTCAACGACAGCACCATTTGGCACATCAAATACAGCAGGTCTGGCTGCTGGTGTGCCTCTCCCTCCCTACCCGCAGGACCACGCCGACTTATCCTGAGTAAAAACGGACCCACACCAGAGTCAGGATGGCGATTTTGCAACACAAACCTAGGAGTTTTGTGAGTCACGCATGACAAGTTGCACTCCGCAGTGTAGTGCAGGTTAGCAAGTGCAGCCGCATGACAAACCCATCTCCTCATCGTGTTTACAGCATTACAAATGTCAAAACACGACTGGAAATGCCTCTCATGCAGATGCGCATTACAAATGTTCCTGTCGTTGCAAATCTGCATGACAACTCTGGTGTGGGTACGTTTTTACTTAGGATACGACTCCGCGGGTCCTCAGCGGTGGATGACCAGCTGCGGGCGCGGACAGACAGAAATTAGTCCCTATTAAGGCTTACAGAAATTAGTTCCTACCCTTGTTCCCGAAAGCTTAGGTTTGAAAAAAATGGAAACAAACCGCGAGGGGGGTTTAGCTTGCACACTCTCGCAGTCGCTTGGAATGGCCGAAGGCCATGAACCCTGTGGCTGGGAAGCAGCCAGCGTGCGAGCTTGGCGGAGAATGGGCAGCCGTCTTCGGCGGGGCTGCCGCGCTTGCTGTGCTAGTATGTTGCAAGTGATTCGTGTTCAGCGCCAGGTCGTTCAAAGCAACGCGCCTTCAATATAAGGGGTCGCCCTGCAGCTGCCACACTTTAGCCTTTCGGAAATGCGTTCCCAAGGTTTGCCGGAAATTCTGGGAGCACATTTCGGCAAGGCCCCCACGTCTGATTTGTGCTCTGGCCGGCAGTAGGTCTGAAGACCTCGCGCAAAATCATCCGACGTCTGGGAGATAAAGAAGCGCGCTCCTAAGATTTTCGCCGCGTCGAGACCTGGGATCATGGTTCTCCTAAGCCCCCGCCCAAGATGATGTTGTGCGGGTTTTTCTGTGTTTCAAGGTCAGAACACAAACTCGGATAGCATTCTCGTGCTCTGGCCTGCAGAAGTGTGCACCCCACATCCGAGAACTTCTCGGATGGCACTTCACATCCGAGGAACTCCCGGACGTGAACTCACATCCAAGAATTCCTCGTGTGTCAGCTCACATCCGAGAACTTCGCGGATGTGCGCAGACATCCCAGGAGTTAGTATTTGATGTGGCGAAAATCCTTGGGAACAAATTGCTGGAAGTCACCTGCGTAAGATTTGTGGTCCGATCGGCAATACCTATTGGAGCACAAACCCTACGCAGGTGAGTTACGGATATTAGCTCTCAGGATTTCCGTCGCATCACGAAATTCTTGACGCAGCGAAGATCCTGGGAAATAATTTCTGTAAGCTACCTGCGTAAGATTTGTCTTCTCACTGGTAATACCGATCTGGGCACAAATCTTATGCAGGTGACTTACAGAAATTACTTCCCAGGATTTGCGTGCTGCGTCTCCAATCGCCTCACTTGGAAACGAGGATCATCAGTGTGTCCAAGTGTGGCGACTGGAAACGCAGTACGCAAATCCCAGGAGTGCATTTCTTTGAGGCACGAAAGCCGAAGCTGTAGGCGCGCGAGTTCTGCTGTGCTCTTAGGTAAGAAAGCTCGCGCAGCAGCTTTTTCCTCCTGGCCTTCTAGAAGCGTGCTCCTGAACACATGCACAGAAAGATCTACTTTTTCTTCTAGGAAGAAAACGCAGCCTCTTCTAGAAGAAGAAGCGCCTTCTTCTAGAAGCTGCGTTTTCTAGAAGAAAGCAAAGCTGTGTCTTCCACAGGAAGGCCAGCCTTCTAGAAGAAGACAAAACTTCGCGCCTTCTTCTAGAAAAAGACGCAGCTTCTTCTAGAACAAGAAGCTGCGTTCTCTTCTAGGAACTCAGTTTCTAGAAGAAAACTTCCGGAAAAAGTGTTCGGAAGGGGGGTTTGCAAAGGGGTCTTCAAAGGGGTCGCGAAAAGTGCCTTAGTCACGACCTAACAAAGGGTCAACGAAAGGGGTCAGCGAAAGGGCCTCTGGAAAGGGGTTTCCGCGAGACCTTTTCTAAAAGAAGTCAAGAAGCCTTCTTTTAGAGTCTAAAAGAAATCCAACGAATTTCTTTTAGACTCTCAAAGGATTTCTTCTAGAGTCTCAAGGTGCATCAGAGGCGCCTTGAGATTCTAGAAGAAATCCTGGGAACTAATTTCTGTAAGTCCGTTGCGTAGGATTTGCAGTCAGGGCGGGATTACCGGTCGAAACGCAGATCCTACGCAACCTATTCACAGAAATTAGTTCCCAGGATCCCACATACAAGAATTCCTCGGATTGCAGCTCACATCCGAGAACTTCGCGGATGGGAGCCGCAAGAGAACTTTCGCGCGCAAAGTGCCGAACTTTGGCGCCCTGCTCGTGAAAGTTCGATCCGGGTGTCCAAATGGGGTGATTGCAGAAAAAGCGCGGAAATCCTGGGAACTCATTTCTGTAAGTCGCGTGCGCAGGACGTGTCGTCAGACCGGGATCATCGGTCGAAACGCAGATCCTACGCACCTGCTTCAAAATTTTTGAAAACCGAAGCTTTTGGGAACTGCTCTGGGAACTAATTTCTGAAAGCTCTAACCCTACCCGCAGGACGCCGACTCCGCGGGTCCCCAGCGCTGGATGACCAGCTGCGGGCGCGGGCAGAGACATCCTATCAAATGTAAAAATGTCTGGGTCTGGAAGAGTGCGCGATTTGTCATGCAGCGTTTCCATGACCCATGAGGTCTGGAATGCGTGACCTAGCATGACAGATTCTGTGCGATCTCTCTCATGCCTATCCCGCATGAGAAACTCGCTCCCGACTTGGTCAAAACTGGACGACTTTTGGTAATCATACAACACAGATTTTCGCATGCTTCAGATTTAGCATGACAACTTGCATTCTTCCAGACCCAGACATTTTTACATTTGATACATCCAAAGTTGAACCTAAACTTGCCGCCGCCCCCACCAAGAGTCGGCGGTGGCCCGACGATGAACACGACCAGTAGTGCATCGTCTACATCTTGTATCGCAAGAAAAAAGTGTTTCACTGTAAGGATTTTGCAAGTTTTCTATCACAGGTTTGTTCTACTGGACAGCGAAAACCTGCCATGCGAGGTTCCTAAGGGAAAACGCAGCGACATATCGACTGTCTTGCATGTTTAGCAAGACAGACACTTCTGAGATACATTTTCTGCATTACAAGTTTACATCGAAACAGTTTTTTCTTGCGACATCTTGTTCCGCACAGCAGCAAGGACAACTTCATCTGCAAAACCAGCACAGTAATTCCTCCGCCCCGACGCCGAGTAACGCCTCGGAACGTGGTGGAGGTCCCACCCCGAGCTACAATCCAAACCGGCAAAGCAGTATGGTGAATCAGCAACAGCAACAGCAGCAGCCCATGGAACTCTGTGGCGGGCAACAGCTGTCAACACAGACAGCACCATCATCATCAGCAGGCGGTAATGGTACGACTATGATGAGCACGACATCTACTTCTCTGCGAGCAGGAGGCCTTAATATTAATAACGCATCAAGCTGCAACTTAGGACCGCAGCAAGGGCAACCGCAACATCCAATTGGTATTAATTCGATGCAGCACCAAAAGCAATTCATGCAGCAGATGGCACACGAGCACCAGCAACACCAGCAGTTTATGCATCGGCAGCATACCATGCAGCATGCTATGCAGCATCAGATGGGTAGTTGTACTAGCAGCTCCTCGTGGGCGGGACCAACAGGAGTCCCAAGCTGTTACAATAACGGACCTATGCCCATGTCCATCGACAACTCGCAATACCATCCGGTTGTGCCCGGCGGACCGGACGATAAGCAAGGTATAGCTGCATTTGGCGCGTTATTCCACAAAAAGATTTTGGATCCTCCTGTGCTTGTTTTCTTTCGGGTGGTGCCGACTTCACTCGACATGGATCTTAACATGAATGTCAACAATTATCGAAGGTACTATGATGTCACAAATGCCCCTCATGGCAGCTGGACCGACGATGGGCGGTGGTCCAATAGTACCGGGGGCCACAGGGATGCATTTTCTGCCCGCCGGAGTACAACAACCTCCGGGCGCATCAAACGCTGCCATGCCGTGGATGACTATGACGATGCCGAGCGCCTCCAATCCGGGGCTCTACGGAAGTGGTTGCGCCGTACCGGGAGGTGTGAACAAGGGGTCTTCTTCTCAAGCAGCATCCCGAGAGGACGCTGCTGGTTCTAGTAGTGGTCCGCCGGAACTACAACAACCAGTGGTTTATCAGTAGCTACGGCCTGTTTCGTCGAAGACCTCAGAATTATCGGTTTATTTCGATAGAGTTTAATAACCTAGTTGCTACGTTGGTCGCGCTGCGTTTTTTCGGTAAAAATCGCCTGTCAAGCCGTCCTGTCAAGTTGGGTACTTACTTACTACGGGGAAAAACAAAGTTGCTTTCGAACCTACAGCACCGGAACAGTGAAATGGAAAGGGAAAATGAAATACAAATACTACGGCCTTTCAAATCTACTTCCTGACTCGAATATTAGAAGCGATTTGATATTCATCTGAGGCAAAAAATGCAAGCGGCGGTTTTGCCATGTACTTTGTTATCTTGGAAAAAAGTAGAAGTTCACCCGCGCGGCTCTACTGCCCTTCACAAACTTTCAATTTCCATGTCAGATTCGATATTTTTGTAGCTGTTGCATTCACGACGACCCCCTCCGGCCCTACCACAGGCATACATGGAGTGAAAACCGGCTACGGCTCGGGTTTTCGGCGGATAGATTATGTAGTGCTATCACCTTTGGATCCTGAATGCTGCAAATCGGTACACCTCTAGTTTCTCGGTCTCAAATGCCAAATGTCTAAGTGCGATGCAATCGGTTCTCGCCTTCCGGCCTTACCAGAGGCCTGGATGGAGACAAGATCGGCCATTCCAGGCACAAGTCTTCCCCTACGCTTTACGACTGCGCCCGTGAGGGTGCATTGGGCACTGGGTTGCTGGCTTCCCGTCCGCCATCGTTGGCCACTAGAACTGACTGCCTTGCCCGGCACTCCTTGCCTTTTTCGGTAGCGCGTGCAAGCGCTCTTACTGGACGACCTGAACTACCGGACTTCTTGGGAGGCGCCACTGGGCTGCTGCCCGACCGGACGTCCAGGCGCGGCTACGCCCGCAAGACTACCAGGGCCGCCATGTTTCCCGACCTGACGGACCTACTCCATTGGCATTGCAGTGCTCACCCCTCCGGCCCTACCACAGGCATAAGTACTTGGAGTGAAAACCGGCTACGGTTCGGTTTTTCGACGGATAAGATACATCGCTGCTATCACTTTTGGTTTTGGATCCTGAATGCCCTTAGTCGGTACATTTATACTTATTCGGTCTCAATAAATGCCTACTGTCTATTATCAAATCGCGATCGGTTACCCGCTTCCGGCCTTACCAGAGGCCTGGGACGCAGCTGTCGCACTTGCCTCCATAGCGGGCGGGTAGAGCAGCAGAGAACTAACACAGACGGACTCTGGTCTCTACACACTGCCAGCGCATACCAGTCCTACCATATTACTCCGCCGCGGTCGGGTTCTGTTTTCCTTTTCACCGGTTCCCAAATCGGTTCAGTGAGTTCGCGACTCTTCGGCCCTGCCACAGGCTAGCATGGAGAGACGGTGGCCATTTCTCGGCGCAGGTCAGTCTTTCCCCACTATTCGGCGCACGCTTCGTTCCCTCCAGGTGTGCTGAATCTGGTGCGTGCATTCAGAGCGTGCGGGCAATACCAGTGGCGTGCGACCCACTCTGATGTGAGTGTGTAGCGTGCAGCATTTCTGTCTAATTTCGGTCTGCATACATAATTTCGGCATCGCGCATTTCGGTCTGCACGCCCTGCGTGTGGACAAGGGGCGATCACCGCGCCTACCAGGCACGCGATCCAGATGCGCCAGCCCCCCGTCGGCGAACGAGCAGGGGGACACAGGGATATCCCCCAACTACCCCCCGGCCGCGCAGATCCTCGGAGACCGACCAGCACCCCCAGTACGACCTCCGCCGAACCTGTCTTCGTCGCGGCGTGCTCTCGTCAGTCCGCGACACTACCCGACCCCCCGCCGCCTTCCAGCGGCCAGCTACTGCCCGTTCCGCATCATGCTTGGGCTGAGCGACACACCGCTCTCTCGCGGCACAAGCGCCGGCGCCACGTCAGTGGCACTTTCAATTTCCATGTCAGATTCGATATTTTTGTAGCTGTTGCATTCACGACGACCAGACACACCAGTCGAGTGTATCAGGGATTGATGCATATCAGGTATAATTTCGACCAGAAATTCAATATGATTTTTTTTCCTCCACTGCGTTGAGAGACTCGTTTCTGTTTTCGTTTTTGCTTCGCTATCAAAGGTTGGCAGCCCTTCTCGAAGAAAAATAAGAAAACCTGACGCGAGTTTGATGTTGAAAAGGTTAACTAAGTTTCTTGGATAGAACAGTCGTTTTTACAGTTTACGATTTTTATACCTGCCTCTATTTCCTCTTCTTTTTCGCAGTGCAGTCAGTCGGTCCCTTCGCACCGCTGCACTGTAGAAAAGGTTTTCAAGCTTTGATAACACGTAGGAACAGCGTTGCAGGTCGAAGAAGTTCAAATTTACTTGTTTGCGGCCTGGTATGTAGTTGAATCAGTACTATTTGCTCTGCTCAGGTGGTTTTGCACAGAATTAGGAAGATTGTCCTTACTTTTGGGATACAAAAAAGTCAATTTTTCGAGGCGTACTATGTATGGGTATGTAAGAACAAGCTATCGTCTCTGTATTTTGGTTGAGTCCCTTTCGATGACTTATTACGATTTTTTTGCTTCTTTATACTACAAGTACAACTCTTATTGAATATATTGTTGGGTCGCTTTCTCGTGGACACAATACCAGCAGAGCAATCAAAAATTTTGAATTTCAGATTTTAGAAGTATCGGATTCGGAAAGACGATTTGTCATTTGCGATAGCTTGTATGGTGAGAAATTTGCTTTCCAAAAAATTTATATTTTCTTCATGATTTAGAAAACTTGACGCTACGAATAGAAGCGGGGAAGGCAGTCTGTGATTGATGAAAATGAATGTAAAAATTTCCGAATCTCCCAAGACGTCTTTTTTTTCAAAAGCTTGGGAAGCGAGACTAGCAAGTCCAAGTCGCGAGGGCCGCGTGACGAACAGAGTCTTGACTCGAGTTGTGCATCGCCATTGCTACTGTTAGCAACAAAACATTTGTGCTAATTGCAGGAACGAAATGTTTGTGTTCTATCGTTCTGAGATGATACCTTATGATGTTGGTTTACAATCTCAAAAGAAACTTCTTGGAGAGAAATCAATGGCAATTGACTACAAGTAAAGTTTTTGCACTAAATAAAGTAATGATCAGTTTGGATAAGAAGTGTCTCCACGAACGACACTGCCAGGTCCAACTTTTTTCTCCATTTCTTCTCTAAAGAGCTTTTCTGTCAATCTAACCGAATCTTCACAACTACAGGGCTGCGGCATAGAGGAACAAAGTTAGCTTCATAGTACGATATTAAGTAGCAAAGAAATAGTAAGAAGCTGCAACAGCGGCAGCAAACTGTGAAGTAGATAGCATCTTAGTGTATTTACCGACGCTGTTTATACAGCAGAAGTAAAAAGAGAACTATAGACTCTACGCTTGAGAGGTATATAGATTGTTGCTGTCGAAAGAAACCATGGCAACTGCGAGTGCGCCAAACGATTCTGACGTTTCCATGTCCCCCGCGGATGAGCCCATGGTCACGTCGTCGTCCGCTTCCACTGCTTGCGCAGTCGACACGGCAAGGTCAAATGAGGGGGAGGTGGAAAGGCTACCGCCACCGGTATGAATTTTTTTTTCAGCGGAAAGATAATTAAAGAAGGACGACTTGTTTTTGCAGTCGCTTGTGTTTGGTCGCGTGATCTACTTCTATATTGCATAATTACTTTTGTCTCGATCCTTCCTTTCCTTGGAGGTGAATGAACACACTTTCACCATGTTTATAAACATGAAAATAATTTTATAAACAGGACTTCACCAAATTTGATGCGAAAACCTTGCAGCAGATTGTGGCGAACTTGAGGAGAAAGCCGGGGAAGCTGGGTGAGGAGGTAGAACTTTTACTAAAAGATCTCCCCACCGCGTCCTCAAGCTCAACCGGTCCGTCTGGCAATAAATCAAGTGCAAATGGAACTACTAGTTCAGCTACAGGTTCAACATCTTCCTCTAAGCAGCCGAACCACGGCACCACGGCGAAGACCACGGAGGAATTAGAGAAAGAGGCCGCCGTATCCGAAGAAAAAACTGTTTCGCTGTGATGGTTTTGCAAGATCTGCATCACAAGTTTGTCAAACATGACACAGAAATTTTGCCATGCGCGTTTCCCAAGGGAGAACACGCTTAGAGATCCATTGTGTTGCGGGTCTAGCAAGACAAACGCTTTGGCGTTTCGTTCTCTGCATCACAGGTTCACAGTGAGACAGTTTTTTCTTGCGATATGCCGCACTGCAGTACCAGGAGATAAAATACGGGGACGGAGAAGTGAACGACGATGCGCTAATGGCCGATGCGGATTCGGCGACCATAAACGACCAAGAGATGAGTTTTCTGGACCGGAGTAAGTTCGTTCCGATACGGCTTTCGTACAACGAGAGGCCCTATTTGAGGTTGATAGAAGGGGCCACGGCAGTAAGCAGCTACACGGATAAGGTCGACGGCGTGCCGGTGGACCCAAACAACCCCAGGCTGGCGATGAAGCGAACCACGATAATGATGAAGCAAATGTGCGCGTTGTTATCGGGAATATTGGTGTCGCAGGCCTACGAGAAAGGGCAGCAGTTGCTGAAGACCAGGGAGTTCGCAGAATATCGGGATTTTTTCCGGGCGGTATTGATGGATTTGAGCCCTGACAGACCACTTTTACCGTCTTCATCATTGGAGCAGTGCAACGAACTAGTGGCACTACTTGTTTTGTTGCGAGTACCTGTGGTCGCTTCGCAAACTGAATGAAATCATCAAACAGGTTTTCGAAATCGGGAGGAGGTATAAGATCCTGAATCCGGAGCGCATGCGCGAGGCCTACGGGAAGATGATGTATGTCATGCAGGACAGCAACAGCAAGGACATCAGCGAGCTGCTCGGCTTCTCATGCGTTCAGGAAGTCCGGACCGTGTGGGACGTATTGTTTTCATTTGGAGTTTTTGGAGTTTTGCTTTTGGTATATTCGCATGATGACAAACATTCGGCACGTAAGTAGCTAGGTAGGAGCAGGCACTACAAGTACAACTCGTATTTTCATGTACAACTACGCAAAGGCATCAATTATCCCACAAACCCCCGCCAGGTTCTGTCCCAACACCCGTCGGGTATCAAGCTTCTCTCCGACCCTCTCCTGCACCAAGCCACCATGGAAATCCGCGATAGGGGCAGGTCAAGAAGAGAAGTGGAGAAAGACTTGCGGACGAAGCAAAATGCGAAAAAGTCACTGCAGAGCAAGTACGCGACTTCTACAAGACGGGTCGCGCCAAGATACGGGTATTTCCGCGGCTACGACGTCCAGGGGGATGACACCAGCACGATAGGCTACCATGGGAATTCCGAATCGTTGGATGAAGACACAATAGAACAGTGCGTCGCCTCTTTGGGTGATCACAGCACCTATCTGCGGTTCAACCGGGAACCGTGTGACAGGTTGCTGGAATATTTGAAGGAATTCTTCTCCCCGGCGGATCCCGGGGACGATCCAAAACTGACCTTGTCCATTGCAGAGGGGCAGCATGGCGCGAGGCTCAGCCACACGCACGAACGGCAATACAGGTATTAAATTGTGTTGCAGAATATTAATGTTGATTCCTTGATGCATCCTTTGTCTTTCATGGGGTCACAACTCCCTTCTTTTGCCGAGAAAATTCTACCCAGAACGATGCTTCCTCGACGACACTGCATATAGGCACTGCGGAAGAAGATGCAAGAAAAAATCTTCATATATGCAGAACAAAACACAGGTTCGTGCTCCAGTCTCTCCTCCTCTGGCGCGAAGTTCTGGCCCACATGTTCCAGCTGTGGCACTACGCAGAACACGATCTGCTTGACCCGGATCACCCCTACACCCTAACTTCCACCGGCCAGGGCCTGCACCGCGTGCAGCCCTGTCAGCGCGTGCAGGCGGCCATGAGCAGAATATTAGAGAAAGTGCAGAAGCAGGTCGGCGTGTGGATTGGGTCCAACCAAATCCACCTGGGCGACCACAACGTCCCCAACGCCTTGATGTTCATCGACAAGTACGCCCAAGTGCCCAGAATATGTCAGCCGATCGTGTTGTGCTTGGACAAAATACCCAAGCTGTACAGCGAGGTGGGGGAGCACAATAAGGGGTATAATATAAAAAGTTGTTTTCTACTGACTGTTTTTTTCACGACACTACGTACGAAGAAATGGGGGCGGCCAGGGAGTCCGCTCTGTCTTTGGTTGCAATTTACTCGTTTTCATCCACTTGCAAATCATAACAAATTCACCCAAAATTGTCGACTTTATCAGGCTGATCGACAGCTTTGGCGGCGTGAAGCGATTGCAGAAACTAATCCTCGCCGACTTTTTCCGCCACGCGTTCGATGGGTCCGGCGGGGACAACTTCTTCGACGCCGGTAGTTGCGTGGACGGGAGACTCACCTCCGCCTGGAACTGGTGCTCCCAGATCGAGCGCAAGCCCTACTTCCCGGTCTTTCTGCTCACCGGGTTTGTCGGCTTCGACGGGGAGGATGGGTGGGACAAGTAGGTCGGCGGTGACGGGGCGTCCTCTGCGCCTTTGCACGAGGTTTACTCCCTCTCATATGCATCAGCTGTTGACCACACATAGCTGTTGTACCAAAGACCCACACCCAGCTCTAGAAGTTGTCCGGCGACATTCTTGTCACGGCACTACAATGGCGACACTTATAACTTTTCAAGCGACGCAAAGGGAGCGTAACTGAGTTACGTATTACCTTCATAGGAAATCAATTACATAAGTACCCAGTTCTTTGCAATATATTTTTCACTTTCATCGCTGGGGGAACAGCGGTGAAGTGAAGGTCCGGAGCAAAACCGTGGAAAACCAGTGTTCGAGTTTCTCGCCGAGAATGGATCTTTGTCCCGCATATTTTAGACGCTAGTATGTGTGTCAATCCGGAACTGAACTGATTTGTGATCACGAAAGAACTTTACTTTTTGATTACCAACAGAACACAGACTGAGGTGCACTTGCTTACTCGATTTCTCCCCACGCCCCACCGAGTATGCCTGTTTTTTGACGGAACCTCGTTCCTTCGGTATTTTTAACCCGCGCTACTACTAGTACAACTTTTGATGTATCCAAAGCCCCACCTAATTTATTCACAATTTGTTTCAAGTACAAGTCGACTTTGAAGTTGAATTTCACTACCCATTGCCAGTCAAACTTCTCTTGTGAATTGTCTCGTAAAAATGAAGCCCTTGCTGTCGCGATGTCGTTTTCTCTGCGTAGTATTGCTCTCCGCAGTCTTTTTCCCCATCCCGGCCATCGCAACAGCCGCCGCCGCCCCGCCCGCGACGACGACGAAAACGATTTCTTTTTCCGTGGCGCCCGACGGCGGAATTCTGAACGCAGCAACGGGGGAAATCGTGGAGGAGAGCCAGCTGAAGAAAATTCGGAAAAACGAGTTGCCGCCCAGTTCCGTGGAAGCTGCTGGGGATGATCTACTTCCAGAAGGAGTGGTGCATGAGTCACCAAGTACAGCAGCTGTAGGAGGTAAAAATACTGCAGTTCCTTCTGCAGACCACGGAACTACTACGGGGGAGGGGAACAGCAAGAATGTCGGAGATGTTGAACAGGAGACCCAGAATGCGAGCAAGTCGTGGTGGAGTGGATTGAGCAACTACATGTCGGGAAAAAGGAAGAAAAAGTCGACCTTCCTCGCTCCGTTTCCATACGTAAAGATAGTGATGCATAATTGGTTCTTCTCCTTCTGCAGAAGCATGTGTGACTATGAGTAATTTCGTATACAAAAGCAGATTCGCATTCGACGCGCCCAGCTTTTTTATTGCACTGCACCGGATTTTTCATCAATTATGCCATCTATCAAGATCAAAATCGAAAAAAAACCACAACAGCTGGTGAAGTTCTTTTTTTTCTGGTGGTGCGCCATCCTTCTCTCCGTCGTCCTGCTCATCGTGCTAGACCATCTCTACCTGCGCTACGTGAAGAAGAAAGGGCACCCCGTGGAGTGGCTCTGTCAAGTGCAGTTGCCGGTCCCTTTAGGAGCGAAATCGGCGAATTCGTATAAAGATGTTGTGTTTGACTTGCTTACCGACGTGCCGAGTTGGGACGCGGAAACGCATCCGACGCTGAAGTATGCAAAGATTGTCGGGGAGAAGCAGAAGCTCGAACAGGTAATGTTTTAATTTTTGCGCCTACTAACAAACCGGAGTACTATGATGTTTGTGATGGCAAAAATAGATCGCGGCGACGGGAATCACGCATGTGTAGTTGTGGGAAGCTGCAGCATCTTTCTTGCAAGTGTCGGACTTTTTGCATTCCCTTTTCCTAGTGTGTTTGAATTCCCTTACAGGTCGGGCAAGTGATGCACCTCTGTTCAAAGGACGTGGAGTTGAGTGAGGAAGAACGCCGGGAGTCCATCATCACCAGGAAGCTACTCGAGTACGAGAAGGGCACGAAACTTGTGATGCAAACGCTGAACGACGCGAGTGTGGCGGAGGGCGGGTTTACGACCGTGTCGAAGACGAAAATTAGTATTGAGTTGTCGACAGGAACGAGCAGTGCATCAGGTTCCACATCCTCAAGCAGCAGCAGCAGCAGCAGTACCGAGCCATCAGCCACTTCCACGCAAGAAGGAGAGCAGAATAAATCGCAGTCGGAAGCCCGACCTCCCTCTGGTGACACAAATAAACAAGTGGTAACGGCTGTCGTAGCCGGCACAGGGGAGACGGGGTCGAGGCTGATTTCGTGGTGGTTCCGACTCGCGAGACAGCAGGAGGACGGGATCTTCGAGTATTTCGGGGAGTTGAAGCTTTGTGCAGACAAGGTCTTTTCGCAGAAATATCGGTGTAAAGCGAGCACGGAAGGAGTCAGTATGATAAGACCACCGACGTAGAGTAGAAGAGTTGTACTTATTTGGAATAAAAACGTACAGTCAGTCGCAACTAAGATGAAAAATTCGCTTGAGAAAAGACGAAGATCTAGTTTTTCCTACTAGAGCGCGCGATGTTCTTCCCTCGCGATGATTCTTCCGGTGAACAGTGTTCATCCCGATGGAAACTACAGTGATGCTTTAGTTTTTCATGATGTGCGCAAGGCCACCACGGTACGTAGGAGTCGTTGCAGGTACAGGCAAAAAGATGGATATGAAATGCGGTAAGAAACCAACCACAACCAGGACCCCATCCCCACCCGCTAATATGTACACCGTTTCGTTTTCCTGAAATAAATTCAAGATATTTTCATTTTGTTTCGCATTTTAACAGCAGCTAGATTCACCATACATTTTCGCAAACAATGACGTAACATTCCGAATCCCCCACACCTTCCCGCATGTTTCCCGCGGTGATGTGTGTGAGGCGTGAAAATAAAGCCGAAGTAGATGCTCTCAGACCATGGAGGTGCGTCGCGTGAAAACAAGGAGAGTAGCATGCAGCGGTAAAGCCCTATACACTTGTTTCTCGCACAATAACCCCAAAACTTCCCATCTCTGCTGATGGAGATCGCGACGATAAGCCAGTGCGTTCTCTGCGGGTCTTACCACCTTTTCGTCCTGGACACTGTCGAGGTCCACCCGACGCTGACTGGGCAGCTGAAGCGAACGCTTCACGATGCCGAAAGCGAGGAAATCGTCAAGCTCGTAAAGCGCCGGATTCTGGACAGGAAAGCACATGATAATGCGAGTAAAGCAAACGTCCAAGTACAACAGCGTCTCCCCGCCAACGGGTATACCCTTACCTACTATCCGTGTGCCACCTGTGTGGAGATCAAATACGAGGAAGCTTTTGCGGTCGTCGAGCAGAGAGAGGAATTTTTGAAAAACCCCATGCCTTTAACCCCGCATATCCCCGTTTTGTTCGAAAATTGTGATTTTTCCACAGGAGGAGACCGAGAAGTCGATGATAAAAATGGCGAAAATTATAACATCAAAAACCACTACTGCGCTCGAACCATTCCTATCACCCCCGCGTACCGAAATATCAACGGCAAGTGGACGCTTCGCGAGGGTATCGGCCCGAAGGTTCTCGACACATACAAAACCGGGTCGCCTTGGCGGTTACCGGCGGCGCAGTTCAAAGTATTGCTCCCAGGGTTTGTTGCCAGCACGGCAGAAGGACACCAAAGCGCGGCAGGTGCTTGTCAGCAGCAGAATAAGGGGAAGGATAGTTGTAAAAAATCCAATACAAATTCCAGTGGACGAGCTGCTGCGCCTGGAGCATCGACGTCGAGCAGCGATCGGCAGGAGTTTTTGCGCTTGCTCTGGAACGAGGAAGTGGATGCAAGTAGTTTGTTGACCGTGCAACGTCTGATCGATGATGACTGTATTGTGGACGACGGCGAGAAAATATACGTGAAAAAACCGGTTTTTTGTGACCCGACAGTGCTTACCGAGTACGCGACCGGATTAAGTGAGTTGATGACGTGAAGAAGAAGATTTTCAAAATTCAAGAATAAGTATCGTTCGGACTATTTTTGCAATAAGTTGCAAGCTAGTATCTTCGCATACGCACGGCGCAAAAGCATAGTGCATAAACATGCAGGCACTGTTTGCTGCAACCCGAGGGAATAGAAGTGTTTTTTGTGGTGGCTTCTCCATCTTGTGCCGGCGGTGTTCCTCTTCGTGTGAAGAAAAGATATGAAGAAGTACTCTTCAGTTCGGATGCCTTCAAGATCTTCGCGTTCGACGGCTTTTTGAAAGATCTTCGCTGCCTTTTGAGAAATGCAAGCCGTTATCTGATGTTGCTGTGCGGCGCGGCATCTGCTCACGGCCACCCTTGGAGAGAGCCGCCGCGAGCCGTCCGCCAGCGTTTTCAGTGATTAGAAAAGCCGGGGGCGCAGGGCTCCGGTCTTCGAAGGCGCGCTCGCGCCATAGGGCCGCACCTGTCTGGCCACTAGATGGCCCCGGGAAGAGGGTCGAGGGCGCGCCCTCAGGAGGCAGGCGCGGGTTCACACACGTAGCGCGCCCATTTCCCGGGCCCCGAAGCCGCGCCGCGTTCGCAGGGGTGCGCCGTTGCATTGCTGCGCGCCCGCATAGGGCGCAAGGCGTCTCTCTGGTTCGCAGGCGTCGGGTATAAACGCGATAGCCACGCGCCTGGGTGATGTGGTGGGGCGGTTGCGGGCTTTTTTATTTCGGGGGCCATCGCTGCCCGGCGCTGGGGAACTTGGCAACGGACCTGCACAAAGGCCCTAGAAAGGCGGCGGCGCGTTAAGGGCTGTCGCGGCGCGACGGAAGGCGCGGCAGGCTGCGGCCCCGAGGAAGCGCAGGGCTTGAAGTCCAAGCCCATGCGTCTGAGACTGTGCTCGCCTTTTTGCTTCCTTCGTCCAGGAGTGGGCGAGCGGTGTGGGGCGTGTGTGTTCCCGGGCCCCCAGCTTCCTCTGCCCGCTGGCAGTTTACCGGCCACAAGAATCCCGGAACGGTGGCGCTTTGCACTTGCTGCCGACGAAAACGCGCCAGCCGCCGCCCTTTGCACGGGCTGGCTTGTGGCTACTTGCAGGCGCGGGCGGGCGAAGCGGTCCGGGCCTCCCTGATTTGCGCCGAAGGAGCTGCGACCCCCATCCAACGAGGGCGGCGGGCGCCAGCTGCTTGGCGATTTTCGGCGCCCGGACGGGGCGGGCGGGGCTCGTCCGGGGTGTTGCCCATTTGCATGGCGGGGCCACGGGCACGCCGGGGGGCACCCAGGACGTTCGTCGCACTGACCCGCGTGCCTGCGTCGAATTGATGTCGAACAAGGCACATGGCAGAGCGCCCCGGCTGCTCTGGCCCCCCAGCCCAGTTGCCGGCGCCCGGACTGTTCACCCGAAAGCTTTGGCGCTGCCTTCGCCGGCCTTCTTGCGTGTGCGCGCGCGGGGCCAGAGCGATACCGAGCGCAAGGCCGGCCAGGTGAAACCCCTGCAGCACGAAAAGCAGGGGCCCGGTTAGACCCAAGAAGAAACCCCGGCTACTTGAAAACCATGGCAAGCGCCGCGGTAATTCGCACGACAGAGCAAGACCGCGAGCTGGCCGGCGCTTCTGAGCAAATTTATCATGCCGGAGCTCACGACGCCATTTTCGAGCTCGGAAATTTAGCGGAAGGCGCTGAATGCTTCGCGCGTTTTAAGGAGTACAAAGCAACGACCGGGAGCAGGGCCCCCGCAGGGATAGACGCAAATCCCGAAGAGGTCAAGCGCATCAAGAGCGAGAGGCAAGTATTGGCGGCCGGGCCGGCGGGCCGTCCGTCGCGCATGGGGAGGCTTTCGGCAGTGGCTGCGCCCGTCCTACTGTCTGCCAGCCGCCCGGCGCGGCCCCGGCTTGGCGCGGCACTTCAGCAGGGGCGGCGACGGCCGCGCGCCGATCTTCCGCACTTCGCCGGGGCGCGACGTTGCCGGCGCCTGCTTTGCCTCGCGCGTCGCTGCTGCCCGTGTAGGATGGTGCGTGTTGGTGCCTCCGCTGTAGGTGTCATCACTTTCGGATAGCCCCCTTTTTTATGGGAGGCCGCATCTTGTTCTTTGCTCGCAGCGTAAGTACCGGCTACGCCGGCCCGTTTTTAACTGGTGTCGCGTTCGTTGGCTTCTACTAGAACGCCCCAGAAGAATCACCTGGGCCATGTTTCACATGGCGGGTCTAGTATCCCCGCGAGGGGCGGCGGACTTGTTTCAACATTGCGGTTTGTTTCATTGCCTTCAACGAATTGAAGTTGTTTAAGTCGTCACTTTTTAGTTCGCTGCAGAAGCATCAGCAAAGAAACAAATAGGAGCAAGACGAATGGCGTAAGGGAGAAGCACGTGTTTTTGCACATACAAGGACGCACATATACTGTTCTCTTCAAAGGACGGAAAAGAAGCAAAAGAATGGCCGCTTCTCCCGCACTAGCGGAAGACGCGGGCGGCCCGACAAGCACCATGCCCAACGCACCAAAGTCGTCCACTCCAACCTTTCTCGAGCTTCGTTTCGGCGAGGCCGAAGATCGTCCCGAGCGCGTGATCAAGCTCCCGCGGAAACCGCTCTGCGAGAGCTTGCCCATGCTGGCGAAGGTTTTGAGTTCTCCCCTGGACGACAGTCGGGGCGGCGAGATCAATGTGGTGGACATGGGCAAGCTGGGTATTTCCTTCGACGAATTCTTGATTGTTCTGCACCGGGTCTCCGACACCCCCATTCTCACACCCCAGGAGGAGTACAAACTCCGGCGCAAGCACAACATCGCCACTCTCGACGAGGTGGAGCTGAATTCTGGGGCGCATTATCTTCCGAAGATCCCCGCTTCATCTTTGGAGAGAAAGCCGGGCTGTGCGGGTAGCGAGACCGGCACTGCAGATGATGCTGCTGCTGGTAGTTGTGGCGCTGCTAGACCGGCGTTCGAAGAGCAATTAGCTTCCTCTCCTGCGACTTCCACTCAGGCGTTTCAATCGCAGAGCCAAAATGTGTCGCCACGGTCGCCGTGGGAAGTTGTGACGCTGCATACCGACAGTGAACACGGGTCTCCTGCAGACGATCGTCCTGCTGCACTTGCGAGTAAAAATTCGACGCTTGCAAATTATTATACCGATGGAACCGCCTCCGAAGGAGCAGGAACCACTGAAACGACGGATGACAGTAGTACTGAAGAATGCTGCGCGTCGGGCTTCACGCGGTCCATCTACGATTTATTGTCTCTGTTTATGGTCCCGGGGTGTGTCGAAACGGAGTTCGTCGATCTTTTTTTTCGCCAAGACATGACTGCAGTGTTGCGGTGGGAAGATGAACAAGAATCGAATAATGTGCTGCACCATCGCGGTCGGCACAGTGCACCGCGGCCCGACGAGCCACATTTGATCGACCTTCACAATACCAAGGGGTTCTTGCAGATCCGGAATCGCACCGACGACTTGAAGTGGCCCCGCGACGTGATGCGGTTGGAGCCAGTAGAGAACAGGTTGGACCGGGAGTTCAAGCTAACGTGTTTGGCTGAGTCCCAGCATAAGTTGGCACGCACTATGGGTGACAGCGGGCTGTTCGGGATTTTCTTGGGTATCATTGATAACATGGCATTTTCGGTGCACCGGGATATGCGGTGGGTCCTCTGCGGCGGTGCGGTCACCAATGCTCTGACGCAGAAGGATCCTGACGACTTCTCCGGAGATGTTGATCTTTTTTTGGTAATGCCGCATATTCAAGATCTCCCACCCGAAAAACGAGAAGCGGAGGCACGAACCTGGTGCGAGATCGCAATCGAGCGCTTGGCCGACGAGCTGAGTAAACTGAGACATGGGCCACCACACCTAGAAGTACGCGGACAACCAGAACGAAGATTGCCGTCGATTGGGGATAATATATTGCGCGTTAAGTGCATACAACGGTCAGCGCACGCGCTTACCTTCTACACAGAGAAAATACCTAGTTGCTTTGGTGGAAGCAAATTTCCCCCGATTCAGGTGATCGGGTGGTACTCTTCATTGACGAACGTTCTCGAGTCGTTCGATATTGCAGCCTGCCAAGTCGCTTACGACCGTGGACGCTTCTACGCTAGCAGGAAGGGCGCAACCGCTCTAGCGACGCGAACAAACCTGGTTACCGTGAATGACCTGTCTCCGCAGTACATCTATCGGCTGGGAAAGTACTTGGCGCGCGGGTTTGGAATCGCGGTACCCCTCGACAGGCAAGTCACCGTCGAGAAAGTTCCGATGGCCACGAGGTGCGCAAGGTATCAGAAACACGCACACGCGCGAGGCGAAAAGTGCGCACGTCGTGATGAAATGGGCCGGCTTCTGCAAGTCTTCGAAGATCATATGGAACAGAAGCGGCACAATCTCGCATCATTTCTCGTAGAGCACGCAAATCTTTTGCAGCCACGCAAATCTTCAACGCTGCCACGTACACTGGTGTATCCAATTGAATGCAGCAACAAATCTCGGGAGAAGGAAGCAGTGACGGCAAAACTGCGAGAGCTGCGCCATTCCATGTACCAGACATACATGCAAAAGACGACAATCCCCGAGCGGGTACCCAATTTTCATTTTGCTGTGCATCTCTGCACTATAAACGAATGATATTCATCAATGAAGTATATTGTGAAGGAGTTGGCTCGTATGCGTATCGTGACTGAAGTCCCCGTTGTTGTTTGTTCCTTTCGGTGGAGCAACTAAACGTAAGTGAACACGCGCAAGTCTAATCGTTCTATCTTATCAGGTGATATTGATGGCACTGCAACGCCAGAAGAGCGACTCGCTCGAAGCGAAGGGGTCTGCTGCGGTTCTTAATGTCGATGCTGGCGGTCATCCGGCAGTGCCCCCGTGCGATACGGCCATTTGCAGAAACCGGTATCCTGTCCATGCACTGGAAGTAGCCGACACATTCGCAGTGTCTCCTTCCTCCGAAAGCAATAAAAACAGTATCCCACTCGTGTGCAATCATAGACAAGCAAAAGCCGCACGCTGTGCCGTGGAAATAGGAAGCCGCGGAGCATGGCGCGTGAATAGCGACTGGTATGGGCCGGAGCATCAAAATAGCTCTATGGTTTCCATTCTGGAGCGCATCGAGTTCCGAAAAGTTGCGGCAAGTGTGGAGGAAGGTACCAGTTGTGGGGTTCGCTTGCTGGGGGACAATGTGGACTCTTCGTTCGCGATACATTGCAAGTCGCTGTACGCCCAAGACAAGGAGCAAACAACCTTCATCACGGATAATTTGAAATACGCCTTGCGGCCGGAAAGCGGCCACGCACTGACAGTCGGTATGCCAGAGGGTGTCGCGTGCCGTTTCCCGCTGAACGAACGCGCTTTTCCTGAAACTGCGAAATTTTTTCGTGAAAAACACGGCGAGGCGTGCATGCTGGTACCGAAAGAGCTTCGTGGGTATTTCGAAATGACGCAACGAGACGGGAAGGGGAGCTTTCAGAAGAAGCACCCTGACGAAGTGATTCAGTCCGGGCAATGGTGGAGCAAAAACATTCACGGAGAACTGGACTTTGCCATGCGTTTACTGTTGGGGTTGCCGGATGAAGTGGTGTAGATGAAGCAACGAAATCAAATCGAGAATTTTCATCTAGCATATCGCCAATAACCGTTGTTGGTGTTAGATGTTTGTGACTTTTGTGGCGGAAAGATTGGAATCAACAACAATGTTGGCATTAAAACGAAGACGACAGGAGCATTAAGTACCCCGTGCATCAAAATGAACGAAAACGTTTCCAAGAAATAAAAACCAAAAAACCGTAGAGATTGAGCCACGATGCCCTTCGTGCAGCATGGCGCTGCAGCCAGTCTTGTAGCTATTTCGACGCCTTGTGTTCTACTCGACGAAGCAGGTCGTTCCGTGATTAGGCTCACCTTTTCGCACTTCATCAGATCCGCTGAGCCTGGACTGACCGATCTCATTTTGACAAAGATCCTGAATTCAGTTCGATAGTATGGCGGGCAAAAAACCCTGATCGTAATATACACGATCGCTTCTTTCTGTTTCTACATCAGGCTGTGAACAACTTGTAGGATTTTTTCAACACAACAACGCTATTCGAAGATTTTATTGTGTAGTTTCAACAACTTCTTGAAAAATTTGCTTTCACAATATTCCAAGAAAAATAAGTAAGTACATGGTCCTCCGTTTTGAAATAATTCCAGTAGGTGCCACTGAATTTTTCACCGACACTCTGCTTTCGCCTCTTGAGCGTCGCATCGGGCCGTTCTCCATTTCGATGCGATAAGTGGCAGGCAGGATGGCAGGACTTACCAGCGACTCTGGACGAGGACGCAGCAGGAGGTAGTTCCCAGCAGCCTCGAAAAGCTTCTTTGAAGAAGCTTTGTCACGGTGGCACTGTTCCATCCGGGCATTTATTTTGGAGCCTCGGTTCTAAATAAAAATGCAGTTCGAGGACCAGCACCGCCTCCTCGACGAGGCGAATGCCGTCGTCCGCGAGCAGGCGTTCTACATGAAACGGGCCATTGACAACGACAACTTGAGGGAAGCCCTGAAGCACGCGAGCAACTTGATCTGCGAACTCCGCACCAGCTTGCTCAGCCCGAAAAATTACTACGAGCTTTACATGCTGGTAAGACCGCGAAATTTTGTGAATGGTTGTAATGCGATTGAGCATTATGGAGGCCTATAGTTTGAAGGAATACCATTGCAAGACTATGAGTCAACGAAACGAAACCCACCTCAGGTTTTTCAAGAGCTGCAAGTTCTCGCCAGTTTCTTTGCCGACTCGAGGCGGCACAACAAGCGCATGTGCGACCTGTACGAGAGCGTACAGCACGCCGCGAACATTCTGCCGCGCTTGTACCTTCTCGTCACCGTCGGCGCCAGCTACATTAGTTCAAAGGAAGCGAGCGCCGGGGAGATTCTGAAAGATGTATCGGAACTCTGCAAGGGCGTGCAGCATCCAACGAGGGGGCTGTTTTTGAGGTACTATAAGTAGAAGCGGTACGAATCTGGCATACAGAATCTGGCTTACCATGCGACACTGCATTTCAGCATGACAAAAAGCTTCAACACTTGCATCTTCTATATCAGGTACTACATCTCGCAAATGATGAAAAACAAGCTCCCCGACGTCGGGTCTGAGTACGAAACCTCCACGTGCGGCATCCACGACGCGTTCGAGTTCATCCTCGGAAATTTTCTTGAGTCCATGCGACTGTGGTGCCGAATCCAGACCCAGGGCAAGGACCGGGCAAGGAGGGAAAAGGAGCGGCAGGACTTGTCCGCGTTGGTCGGCGCGAATCTCGTGCGGTTGAGTCAGCTGGACGGCGTGACCTGGGATTTTTACAGAGACCACGCGCTGCCAAAGTTGGTCGAGCAGTTGCTCCAGACGAAAGACGCGATCGCGCAACAGTACCTGCTGGACTGCATTATCCAGGTATAACCGAGAGATTTTCGATCGCCACGTTTGCGAAAGACACGAGCGTCGTTCTCGTTGTAGGATTGTTTGGTTGAAAAATCAGAGTCACCACACAGCACATATCCAATCCTAAAATTATCAGGTTTTCCCCGACGACTATCACCTTTACACTTTGGAAAAGCTCCTCGGCGCGTGCACACAGGTGCAACCGGGCGTGGACCTCAAGCAGGTGGTGGTCACGCTGATGAACCGGCTAGCCCGGTTTGTGCAGAACTCCCAAGACACCATTCCCGACGACATTGACATTTTCGGTTTGTTCAACAATTTTCTCTCCCAAATTGTCGACAAGCCCGCGACACCATTTTCCGGCGCCACGCAAACGCTCGAAGTCGGGCCGTTGCTGGAGTTGCAGGTACATCTATTATGGGGTAGTCTATTATGGAAATTCTTGTTTCTGAGGGATGAGCATGAGCAACAGCATGGGCGATCAAAAGATGACTCAAGATGAACAGGTTTTTCATCTAAGTGTTTGTTCTCACTACGTGTAGGTTCATTTCCTTTTCAAATGCTGAAATCAGGTCGCCTTCATGAACTTCACCCTTACCCTCTACTCCAAACCCCCGCCAAGTAGTTCCAGTCCGACGAGCGGCACATCAGCACCAGCAGCGGTCTCCACCCCTTTACCCGCTATTCGCTACGTGGATATCATCCTTTCCAGTTGTGTCAATCTTCTCCTTCGCCACCTTGGGTACGACAGCGAGGAGTCGACCTTGATGAAATTGGAAGATTACCACGCAGTGGAATCCGTCGTAGAAATTCTGTCCGAACCGGTGAGAGCATTGGGATTGCAGGTCTTCGCTTTGGAACACTACGCAAACTTGCTTCAATTGCTCCACTTCGGGGGGAGAAAGAAGGTGTCACTGGGATTACTGAAGATCGTCCTGGACAACGACATCCGGCTGACAAACGAGGACGACCTGAAGAGGCTGCTGCGGTTGTTGACTCCGTTGTTACAAGACGATCCAGAGCAAGGTGGAACACCGGCCAACCCGAACAACCCACGAAGTAGCCAATTATCGAGTAATTCGGGAGCGGTACCAGAAGAAGAGGAATTCGCTACCGAACAGGAGCTGGTGTGTAAACTGGTGCACCAAATAGAACACCAGGATACGGACAGACTCTTCGCTTTCTACACGGTGCTGAGAAGCTTCTTCGGACCAGGCGGCCCAAAGCGACTCGCGTTCACGCTGCCGACGTTGCTGTATTAGATACGGCATTTCTACTTTGCTTTCTTTTGCTTTGGGTTTCAGTTTCTAGATCCAGCATTGATTTCAGCGATGAAATTATGTACCTGCTTCGTGCCAGTCACCATGGGTAGTTCGTATGATGATCTTGGAAAAACACTCTATCAGGTACAAAATCCTCGACCTGCTTCCCCGAATCCGGCTTCGTGAGCTTGCCGCGCAAAACGGTGTGGTGGACCCCGTCACGCAAGTCCCTTACAAAATACCAGAGATCAGTTCAAAGAAATTCTTCCTTTTCGTGCACAAGACCCTTTCCTCCGGCTTGAACGGCAATGCCTCGGAAACCGCGGTGCAAATATGGCTGAAGTCCGCGAGCATAGCGAACGCCATCGACCAGGGGTCCGGTGCCTTTGCGGAGATCTGCGCAGAATTTGTAGAACAGAGTCTAGCGGTTTTCGAGGAGGACATACAGGAGTCGCGGGGGCAGTTCCGCTGCATAAATCTCTTCGTCGGCGTGCTGGAGAACCTGTCTTGCTTGGAAGAAGCTGTCTACGACGGATTCGCAGCAAAAGTGACGCAATATGGGGCGAAGCTGCTCAAGAAGCCACAGCAGGTACTTATTAGTGCGCGATTTTGAAGTCATGCGAACAAAACAACTGTCTTGGAAACGAAAAGGATGAGTATCATGCTTGCATGCTATTCACACCACAATATTCTCTATCCACTATGTCTTACAAAAAATCCGTCTCTAATACCCAACGACACAGGTGAAGGCCATCAACATCTGCTCCCACCTCTTCTGGAACAAGTGCCGGCAAACCGGCACCAAAGTGCAGGAATGCCTCCAGAAATGTATTGCAATGAAAAGTGCCCCCATCCCCGAACTTGAAAGCATTTGTATTGCAAACCTTTCCAAATGAAACATTCGCCTTCTTGCATGTATCAGCATCACAGATTTCCGATCGTGAATAGCAAAAATTTGTATTGCAAAAGATCCCGGCAAGAGCGGTGCTTGTCATGCAAGCGATGCGAAACACAAGTAGAATCTGCATCAGAAAGATTCGTATTCCTTTCATGCATGACAAAAAGTTTCCATTTGGAAACTTCGCATCACAAATCTTTGCGACTTTGGGGGTGGGGGGCACTTTTCACTGTAATAAAATGCGTGCGCGTGTCCGAGCAGTGCGTTTCCACCAATCCGAACATGGTGATTCTGTTCATCGTATTGTGAGGAAAAATCCCCCCTCCCCATATCGAAAGCGGAATTTGTGTTGCTGTATGTGAGTACACAAATCACATCTGTCTTGCTAGAGAGGACTGCAGACCCATATCAAGCCTGAGCAGAGATGCTTTGACTTAGGCGCTTAGCATGAGAAGCGTCCGTGATGTTGGCTCAACAGCATGACAAATCGCCTCCATAATGGGGCGGAAGCCTCTGCCCTTGTCGTCTTGCAAAACAAATGCGATTTGTGACCTCAAATCAGCAACACAAATTTTCGGAAACATGCCTTTTCAATATGGGGAGGGGGGATTTTTCCTTTTGATACATCGAGACTCTTGACAACTACATCTACTACTACCAGCACGGTTGTCCGGAGATCAACATGCTCCAAATCAACACGCTATTAACGATATGTCGGGAGCACTGCCGGGCTTTGATGGCCGGAGGGACCTCCGCCGGGATGGCGGACGCCGATGCGCGGGAAGAATTGAAGGAGTACTTCCAGCAAATCCTGAGCTGCTTGCGGGGGAAGATTACCGATCCGAAGTTCTTGGATCTGGATAAGAGCCTGCTGGGGGACATTTAAAATCACCAGTGAGAGGGGTGATAAGTATTTTGCTAGTATTCCTTGCTTTTCTAAAGTTTTTCAGGGTGTCGAAAAGGATACACCCTCCAAATCCGAATTCCAAAACTAAAACGTTGTCATACACAAAAGGTTTTCGAACCAAGTCCTATAGAAAAGTGAAATCAACAAAAGGACCCCGTGGTCAAGAGGTTTTCTACCTCACATCCGCGTGGCAAGGTTTTAGCGTAGAGAAATTTTTTGATAAGCAGCGACAATCACAGACGACGAATAAGGGCTGCACTTTCCTAGAAGATGGCTCCTTCTTTGTCGAAGTGATATTTATAATACTACCTTCAGTTGTCTAGCCTTCAAAGTAAGGTGGGGTGGAAGAAAAAAAGAAGAGCAACGAAACTTTCGCAGGAGTTTCTTTTTGCGGTCGTGAAATTGTTCGGTGGCAGATCATGAATCAATTGGTTTTTGCCCTCTGTTCATCAATTTCTTGGTGTAAGTCGTACGCAATTTATTTCTCTATTCGTGTCTTCTGTCGTACTCGTATCTACTTTTTTTCTTCGTCCAAAACTTCGTGTCCGTTCGTCCAGTCGTCCATATCTTATCACCAGCTGGTCGTGAAGCTGAAGTGTCATCTCGTTCTTGTGTCTGCACTTTTTTTCGCCCTTTTTTTTTCCCTGATTCGTTTTTTCAATTGTCAATGTCGTCCTTTCATCGCTGCTGCTCGCAGGACAGGCACTAGTGTCCCGTTTCTTGATAGAAACATAGGCACCGCTCCCCGAGCCCTTTCTGGCGCGCGGAAGTTTTAGTCTCGTCCTGAATCGTAGGCGTTGGCATGTTATTTAACTACCCTATCGCGGACCATTGAACGCAAGTGCGTCGTGTGTTTCTACAATAAGAAAATACAACAGAAAAAGACAACCGGCTCAGCAGCCAAAAAGAAACAAATGGCATCTCACGTCACGCCCTCCCCCCGCACGCCGATTCGCACGGCGGGGGAGACGATGTCATTGCGGACCATCGACGCGCGGGAGGACTACGGGTTGAAGTTCCACACGAAGACACGACAAGAGTCCGATAACCTGCGCACCGACGACGTTCAGGGCGCGAGGCCTAAGATCAAGTTCTACCAAACCGCAGCGACGCGGGCACCCTGGGACCCGAAGGAGCTGCAGCCGACGAAACATGACCTGACGAGAAACCGGCCGCCGGCGTCTTCGCTGTACACAAAGGACGTAGAATTTGCGCAGCCGAAAAAGGACCCACTGTGGAGACGATACGATTTAACGAGGGGACGTATTGTCTTTGTTTTTTGCTTGTGATTGTGCTAAATTATTATTTGTGATGCTCATCCTCACTCGGAAATGAGTTTTAGATCGAGTAACACGACATCTATGTTTTTTTCTATCGCATTTCAACACTACTGCAAACCCACCACATAAACAGCCCCCTTGAACCCTCTGAACCCGCAGTACAAGCTTGCGACTTCCCACGAACCGGCGCCGGAGGTACCCCCATACCGGCAGTCGACGAAGCCAGATGGGAAACTGGACGAGAAAAAGAAGATCGAAATTCTCCGCCAGGTGCCACAGGAGTTACTGTCCATTCCGTACGCGACTCCGAACTACTTCCGCAGGGTGCACAAACCCATCACGGAGGAAACGGTCCAGGATCACTTGAAGCAAACACAAGCAGTTATCCCCGGTAGTACACCCAGGAAAACACCGCGGTCGAACCGAAACCCCTTGACGCCAAAATACACGATGGGCGGGCCGGACCCGGAGATCTTGGAGCAATACGTCCGGGGAGGGATTCCGGTTTTTGAGTCGAGCAGTCGGAAGCAGATGGGGGAGAGTGATTTGAATCCGGACGGAAATCTAACGTCTCACTGCAACGTGAACATCGGGAATTTACACAACGGTTGTGATAGACCAACGGATCATCCTCATGCGGGACCTGGTTCCACTATTTCCGCAAATATTAACAGCAGTTCAGTGACGCCGAGAAGTTCGGCGCAACTCTCCCCGGGCGGTAGAACTCCGCAGTACGTGAAATCGTTCAGCAAACCGGCCAGTAGTTGTGTTTTGTCAGGTATGAACTACGAGGACAACCCGCTCGTCGCGGAAACCGTCTGGCGTCAGAACAAAACCGGCAAGTGGAGCGAGTACGAAAGGAGTGTTTCGATGGGATCGCAGCAACCGCATTTAGAATCGGTGGTGTCACGAGAAGATTACGAGTCGAGGTTGAATGAAGGAGTGGAGTCGGGTGCTGATATAACTCCTTCCAGGCGCGACCGCGAGCGGCGTTCCGGCAACTCCAACGAGGAGTACTACACCAGCCGCGGCAAGCGGCAAGCGGTTTTGGACACAGAGAACCGGCAGTGGCACGCGGAGGTTTTTTCCAACCACGACCGATCCCAAGTGAATGACACGCAGAGCAATTCGGTGTCGCCACGACGGAGCGCGCGGGTGAGGGCGCTGCATTTGGACGACTTTGTGGAGGGCGGTGGCGGGAATACAACTAATTTTAGTACCAGCAGAACACCAGCGCCAGCAACAAAAAATCCCGGTAACAACAGTATGAATCAAGACAGCATCATCGCTTCCAACAGGAAAAATGACCCGCGTTGTCAGCCGCAAGACCCGCCGGAGAAGTGGACGAGTAGGCGGTTTGAAGAGACGGATGGCGACGTGTTTCAGCACCTGTTTCTCGAAGATGAGGAAAGAAGTAGAATGGAAAAGCAGAAACACAAAGAATACATCGAAAAGGGTCCGGTTTTTGCCCACCAGCAAGTGGATAACGTTCATTCGACCAGCTTGCGGAGCAATTTGTTGTCTATCGGCCACGATCCGCAGCCGATGAAGAAAGACGGAAGAGATTTAACCGAGTACAACACGAACACATTGTTGACGGAAAACTCGGACTCCCCCTTCTCTGGTAGGAATAAGGGATACGGATTTGACGCTCTCGGAGCGTATCACAGCAAACAGCCGCGCACCCACGCGATTGTATATGCCGTGCAAAAGTATCGTACTCGTATCAATGCATGACAAATTCCCTCAGCATGAGAAATAAAATTTCTCATGCGGATTTACCTTGAGAGAAAAAATTTGTAATGCATGATAGCAATTACTACGAGTACGATGCTTTTGCACAGAATATTATAGGTGGAAAGACGATCTACGACGAGTTGGAAGGCAGGGCAAAATTGACCGGGAGAATTCCGATAGGCTTATCGGAGAATTCCGATAAGCAGCATCCTGTAGATCTACTTCAGCAGCAAGCAACTGCGCCCCCGAGCAGTGTGGGTACTTATACTAGCAACAGGAATATTAACCACGTAGGAGCTGCAACAGAAGGTGGCAGCATCAATAACAGCAGCCGGCTGCAATATGAGATAGGCCCGATCGCGCTGAATTCACCAAGGAAGCTCTTCTACGAACGCAAGGGCGTGAATACGGTCGATAATTTGCTGACAAAGGACATTGACGGAGCAAGTCCGCGAGTTCCGAAGAATGCGCTTTTGGAAAGATTCAGGACGCACAAGCGGTGGGAGGATGTTTCTGACATCAATCGGCCGGTGCGGTAGAGATAATGCACTCACGATGTTCTTTAGCATAGGCGTACTCATTTCCTAAACTTCTTGAATTCGAGATTTGTATAATGTCACTTGTTTCTGAAATGTTTTACTTCTGCAAACTTCTACTCCGCGCTAGCATGCATGTGCACAGATTGAAATTGCTTGTATCTTTTCAGTTGTGGTTTTCGAAGTTGGCAGGTATGCTTTTAGCCTGCGATTGGCCATCAATCATTTTCACCGAGACAAGGTGGTCGTTCTTGTTCCGTTGAGCGAGATACTTGGAGAAAGCGACTGAGATAAGAAAGTCGAAGAACTTAGTGCTTGAGCTTTGAAATGCGAGACTGTCATTCTCATCCAGGGTTAGCGAGAGTTCGCGCTGCTGCGGAGTTGATGAGGAAGAGAGTAGAACTCGTGGTTTCGTTCCGTCTAAACTATTTACAGGACCTCAACTTCTATTCCGAAAAGCTCCCATTTAACAACTAGAAAACCAAGTACCTAGCTGTCCGGGACGAGAGAAGTGCAATATAGTGTTTTTGTTGAAGAGGCTCTGTTTTGCAGGAAGGCCGAAGTTGCTTTCTCTCACCCAAGGGCCTGCTGACTTTTCGCTGTTTTCGCAGCCTTGGGCATTTTCATTGCATCCAGCACCAATAGAATGTCAGAACCAGAACAAGCTACGCATCAGGTGCTCCGCCGCTAGCGCAGGTCTGATTGGCTAGGACCGTCGAGGGCCATCGCAACACTTCTGGCATACGTCAGCGCCACTTGTACTCCGGTCCTAGAGCGCAGCAACACAGACAATCAAGGGAAGGAGCTCCGTTACTGCGGAAGCATTCTGGAGTACTTTATTCCCCGCCCTGTTGTACTAGTTTCTTGACGAGCCCAATCCATCTTCGCCCACCATGTCGAATATGCGGGCGTTTCCGATCGCGGCCACGAAGGACCACCACCGGAAGGATTTTTCCCGGCCGGACAATGAGGTGGGGACGACGACCGGCATGGGCCGAGAGGATTATGAGCACCTGAAATCCATGATGGGAGATCGCGGTGGGCACAGAGCCGAGGAGTCTCACCGTGTCCGCGCCCCCGGACCCATGGCTGCGATGGCCCCGAATTTCGGTTTGGTGCAAACAATGAGGAGGGGACGTACTGATTTTCTTGTGTGTAGTAGTTTCGTTGACATTTGAAGAAGAAAGAGTTGAAAAATCAATCGCTCATTGATTTCTGCATTGTATGATGAATGTTGTTGTACTAACTTCTCCGGAGGACTACACGCATTGAAAAGAAAAATTCCACACAATATCAGCCGGTCTCTCCGCACCCGTAGCAGTGAGCTCTCCTTCCGCAGTGTCCCCAGAAACTTCCCCAACCGCTGCGAAAGCAGCCGGCCCGGCCCCGCCGGAAACGGAGCCGGGCAAGCCACCAAGTATGGTCGACTCCGCTTCGGTACCGGCTTTGCAGCGCGTGGACTCGGCGGTATGATTGGTTGGTTTTTATACACTTGTTACTCAACCTAGCCTATGGGAGGCATCACTTGACTTTTTTTTCGACACAAAGTTCCGTATTGACGATTCTCCTACTTCTTCTCACACCCAGATCGCCGGCATCCAGCAGCAAACCGGCGTGGATCTCGCTGCGGCCCAGGTCGCGCTCCCCCAAAAGCCCCCCGCCGAGCCGCCCAGTCCCGAGGGCCCGGCGACGGCGGAAGAGGCAACGGCGGATAAACCGTTCGAGGTGAAGACCAGAAGACAGCGGCTCTACGAGGAGAAGCAGAAGCAGATTTCCGACTTTGCGACGAGAAAGCGTTTCGTCGACTTCTGCGTCGAGTTCCTCGACACGGTGAGGGGCGGGGAGTTTAACAAGTGCGTCCGTTATGCATTGCAAGAGCATCGTACTAGTAGGAACAGCATATACAAATTTCTCCAGAAGGAAAAATGTTGGAATTTGTAATGCTAAATTGAACGAGATGAAACCAGATTTGTCAGGCTGGGCTGCCATTCGTACGAGTGCGATACTTTTGCATTTGATATCCGCATTCTGGACACCATCCAGCAAGTCGATCGGGTCCGCGACCCCGAAGCCCCGGGCGGCCGGACGTTCTTCATGCAAACCCGGATGCTGTCCAACAACGAGAAGTCGTTCCACACCTACGACGACACGCTCTTCGAAGTGGTCAACTACGTCGACCCCCGGAACAATTTCACGCCGCTGCTCTGGGCCTGCATGCACGACGACCACCGGATCGCAGATTTGCTGTTAACCTGCAAGGCCAACCCGCAGGTGCAGCATCCGCTTAAAAAATGCGTGATCTGGAACCGACCGATGTGCGCGGAAGTGTTGGTCAGGCACGGTGCGGATAAGTTGCAAAGGGACGAGACGGGGAAAATACCCTTCGACTACATCGGAGTCAAGAAAACAGAGAGCATTTGGAACAAGTATGATAAAACTTTTTTTTTGATGTCAGGGGTTGTTTCTGGAGCCTGTTCTTCTCCTTGGTTCTGCAGTCTTTGCTTCTCAGGCTGCAACACTGTTGAACAAGCGCACAAATGTAACAGCACCGAGGACGCCGAGGGCACCGGTAGCGAGGCCGGGAGTCCGCAGAAAATACAAACTGCGGGGAAGAACAGCAAGAAGAAATTGGCGGCCAAGGTTTTCGACACGGCGACGCAGAAGGCCGCGGAGAAACAATCTTTCCTCGAGGATGACCAGACATTTATGCGGGAATTGCTGAAACCCACCGAAGAGGATTACGTCTTCTTGCGCAAAAAACAGCAGGAAAACGAGCTGAAGCCGATTCAGCTGTGGGCCTCTTCGCTGGAAGAAACCGCGTTTGTGCAAGATTTGACCCAACCACCGCTGTTTTTCGCAATAACAGCAGACTCGAGCGTGACACTACGGGAGCAGCCGGGGTTCGAGCACGCGACGTCGGGCGGAAACGTTGTGAAAGCTGCACCGGGGACGATGTGGCAACAGATCGGAATAGAGCCGGTGTATGGGGAGCCGCTGTGTCACTGGGTATAGATAAGGACGGTTTTCTTTTCTGCTTGGTCGGTGCTGCGAGACGACATTATCATATTTCTTTGCATGCGTTGCTTTTATTTGATGCGTTGCTTTTAGTTTTACTGCTTTTTACAGATACAGATGATTTGACTGTGCCAACCCTTGTTTGTTTTCACAGGTCTGCCTCTCGAACGGCATGCCGGGTGTGAAGGGCTGGACACTGTGGGACCGGCGCGCGTGGCACCACGAGGCAACCAGGTTGGGCATTCACACGGGCGACAAGAACAGCAGTAAGACCCTGCACAAGGAGATGTCGCTCGCGTTCGTGAACATGACGCTCGCCTCCGCGCAGCAGTCGGACGCCTGGAAGTCGGTTCCGGACTTGATGCCCATCCAGATTTTCAACAGCATGATTCGGAAAATCGTGCAGCCTAAATCGGCGGTCCCGCTTCGCGCCCGGTCCGGCCCGACGCTCGCGGATTGCTGCATCGTGACCGGCCCCGCGTTCAAGGTGGGCGAAAGTGTGTTGTGCGCGGGGCAGATTGTGCTGGACGGCGGTTGGGTGTTCTACCAGGTGAAGCGCCGACACTACGGCGAGCTGAACCGGGAGTGCAACGGGAACGGCTGGCTCTGCGCCCGCGCGAAGGACTACGTGACCGTGGTGCTCAAGGCGTAAAGGCGTGGTGTCCTCCTGTGGGGGAATGTATCAAAAGAAGCTTGTCTCCGCTTTGTATGATTGACTGTTGTACAACTAGCTCTTTCCCCATTGCAATCTCCCAATTGTATGAAAAGCATTTATTCAATTTTCTCTGGCTGACCCAAAATGAACGGAACTACATCTTCTGCGCATCCAATGTTTCTGACATTCTTTGCTTGTAATTCTGACCCCGTACCATCATAATGAGTAGAGGCATTGAAGCAGGAACTGCAGGAAAAGTTCAATCCAGAAACGGAGAAGTGGCAGAGCGTGTTCGAGGCGGTCAAGCTAAAGCCTTAGGTGTGGTTGCGACTCATACAGTCATGCGCATCGCTAGCCTTAGGTGTGGTTGCGGTGCGTGTTTCACCATGGGTTTTGTGCTTTATTTCGTGCTGAAATTGAGAGATAGCCCTTGACTCCAGGAGGTTGGCAACCTACGACCGATTTACAGTGCTTTCAGTTGTGTCTTTTCAAAGTATTTTTGTCTGTCCTAATCGAATCGCGTACCGAAGAGGGTAAGTTAGTATGCTTTCTATTGAATAGGAGATGAGAGCTTAGCAAGCTGCAGCGTGCAGTCGCGCACCTCACCAAGCCTCTGAGTGGTTCAATGTGGCACAATTTCAACTCTCCAGTGCTACGCCTCTTCGTCCTCCCGACCCTTTCCATTGCCGACCCCGCGCACTTGCGCGCGCGCATGAGCAGCGAGTGCCACAGTTCTACCTTCTGTGGGAAAGAAGCAGAGCAGTTCTGGAGCGTGTATGAACAAGAACACAACTACGCGCACCACCTTCCGTGGTTCAAATCCTCGCGACACAACCTCATCACCAGCGCCCTGTGGGGCCAGGAGTCGGACCCGAAGGTGAATCAACGCCTCCGTACCTGGCTAAACGCGTTCATAAAGGAAAAAAAGATCCGCTCTGTCGTGGATAGCGGGTGCGGGCACTGGCCCACCAGCTGGCAGCTGTTCGTCGACTGGCCGCAAAACGTGCGGATTTTCGCCGTGGATTTAGACGCCGCCATGATCCAGTCGACAAACGGCCGAATTGAAGACGCGAAGAGGAATCTGACACAACGCAGCTACTTCTGCCAACACTGCAATTTGTGGAAGGAACTGCTGCATGACAAGAATGCCACACTGGATTTCCGAGTCGGCGACGTGACGGACCCGGAGGTGTTTCCGAAAAACGAAAATTTCGACATGGTGATGACCTTCGACACTTTGAACATATTACCGGAGCGAGCACTGGTGAAGAAATGGCTTTACAACGTTTTGCAGCCACCGCTGACATTCAAGTACATCATTTCCATCGGCACCTCGTGCTACGACCCTTCGGTGTTGAACCACAAGCACATCGGGTGCAACCTGGAGCCGCACAACCGGAATTTCGGTCCGGTGGATCTGTCGAAAGAGCCTTACAGCGGGTATGTGGAGGAACTGTTGTTAAAAAGTGGAAAGGTAAACCGTCAGAAGGCACAGGAGCTTCGAACCGCCGGACGGTTTCCAAAGTTCAAAACCGTTTTGGAAATGAAATCTTTGAACCGAAGAAATTTCGCGGATAAGGACGTACAACTTCTAGATTTATCGGAGGTGTATAATGATGTGGTAGAAATAAACGCACCAACACCATAGCGCCATCTTTTTCAGAATGAACCAGAACGAGCGCAATACTGAATACTTGAATACGCAAACGCAAACAAAACGCTTTGGGAATGTAGTACGAACGACGCGACATTGCAGCTGCTGTGATGTTGTAAACCCGTAAGCCTTGAGGACAGTGTACATTTCCGCGAAAGAGTGCATTTTCACTGCCGCGTTCGTGTGTTCTAGAATTGTTCTCGTTGACATGCCGCATGGCAAGAACTTCAGAGTTGAAGAGGGAAACGAGAGGAAAATCAGAATCCCCAATACAAGATCAATTAATGAGTAACACCTGATCCGCTTCCCGCTAGCGCTACGCTTTTCGAATTTTGATCGAGAGGTGGTTTTCGAAAACAAGATGTGAACATCAATCCGTACGCCCAGCCGCTCGCGCGGGTTGGAGGTGACGAAGCAATCGATAAACCGGTACTGCACAAGAAATAAACGCCGGGGGAAAATAAACACTTGCCGTGCCCGCACGAGGAACCGCAAGCCATGGAGAGCGGTGAGTCAATCCGGGTCCCGTCCCAGCTGCATGGTGGCGTGCTTTCCCCGTCGAAGAGTAGTTACATGCCCGCACTTATCGACTGCAAAAATTACGTCTGGGTCTGGAAGGATACGAACTTGTGATGCATACTTAGATCACACAAAAATCTGTCGTGCTTGGACAGCAAAAAGAGCTCTTTTTACTGTCGCCGAGAGAAGGCGTTTGTCATGCGGATTACGCATTGGGAAGCCGTCTCAAAACCTGTGATGCTAGGCTTTGCATGCCACACCTTCTGTGTCAAGCAGACACAGCATCACAAACCTCAGCAATCTTCCAGACCCAGACACTTTTGCATTTGATTGCACTGATCGAGGTCGGGAATGAACGAACCAGGAGGTTGCGGAGTCTGCACGAGATGCAGGGGAGGCGTATGCATTGCAAATATGCCATCTGGTGTTCTAGAAACAAGCAGAGGTTTGTGATGCAGCCTCCGCATGACTCAGAAGCTCTGGCATGCATGCCCTGGCATCACAGGTTTTGAGCACGCTTCTCAATGCCTGGTCCGCATGACAGATCCCTGGTTTCGGTGCCCAGAAAATAGGGGGCAACTTTTGCTATCTATGCATGACAGATCTTTGTGTGTTCTGAGCTGCCCATCACAAGCTTGCAATCTTCGAGACCCAGACATATTTGCAATGCATAAAGCGGCAGGCGGAGCAAGAGCGGAGTCCGACGACCGAGGTGAAACCGATTACAATAGCCGAGATGCAAGAGAGGGATGCGGAGCTGGCAAGGAGAATGATACGGAAGTGCAAGTACCGGGAAAAATACGTGCTGCAAATACTATTCGAGCACGAGAAATTGGCGAAGCTGCAGGCCGACTTCGACAGAAACGACGGCGTGCTGGATCTGGAAAAGTACTTTTATTTAGGAGAGTTTTTAGTACGTTATGTCCGTATCTGTCTTGCTCTTGCATCATGCCAGTAGATTGATTATGCATGGGTCTTCGTGCAGCATCTCGTTGAATAAACCATAACTTTAGGTTTTTAATCTCCGTGCTTGTCAACTTCGAGCTTTTTGTCGGCACAGAAGAAGAAGAGATCGAGCACGATTCTGGCGAGGATGCGGAAAGCGTCCATGGCAACCAGGAAACCGAATCCCAGCCCAGCAGGCCGCAAAGTCGACAGGTCGGGGCGAAAGGCAGTGGGCCCCCGAGTGAAATGCGGACACCCTCCGCCGCGGGTACAACTTCTATGGTGCAACAAGCACAAGCAACAGCAAAAGGTACTAGTAGTTCAGCAACCGGGAGGATAAGTGTGACAGGAATTACCGGTGGCGGCGCCGACGAGGAGAAAGCAGGGGAGGAGGGTGGTGAGGTGAAAGAAGAAAACGAAGAAGACGCCGCCGCAAGAGAAGCGGAGGATGCGCTGCTGTTCAACATAGCGTCCATAGTGGAATTGTTTCGGGAAATCGATGTGCACTCGGTGGGAGAAATCACATGGGAGGAGTGTAGCTCTCTTCTGATAGAACAAGGCAAGAGTCAAAGCAACGAGATGGACGGGTAGAAGGGTTTTATTGTTTTGAAAGTTCATTTATCATTTCATGCATTTGCTATTTGCTTTTGGATGAATCCGGTGCAACTACCGGTCGGCATCGAAAGGCTGGTATTATAATCTTCTAGTTCTGGTGTTCATCAAACCAAACCACAGCGCTGTCGCCCAGCTGGAAACCAAAGCCTACCAGGAAAGCAGCGTGACCGATTTATCGAAGCACGAGGCGAACGTGGAACGGCTGGTTTATTTACCAGAGAAGAACTACCTCGCCTGCTTTTCCCAGTCAAGAAAATTCCGCATCTACGATCCGAAGAAACTCCATTTAAAAGCGGAAGTGGCCGGGCATAGGGGCTCTGTGATCACGTGTATTTACGTGGAGCCGATGGATCAAATCGCCACCTGTGCCGCCGACATGACGATTTGCCTGTGGGACAGCAACAGCCTGAAACTACGCTCTCGGGTCGTCTGCCGGGACGTGCAGATTTGTCTTGCGTACAACTCGCAGGTAGACCCGAGCTGCATCTACTCTGGTATAGAGTTTGTTTGCTAACAAAAACAAGCCACTTGCCTTCCCATAAGGAAGTATCGTATTTGTTTCCTTCTAAGAAAGAGCAGTGCAATTCTGTCAATGTGATGAACTCACTACAACTACTTACATCAGGTTCTATCGACGGCACCGTGAGCAAGTGGGACTTGACCACGCTGGCGTTAAAGGACAGCAGAAAAGCGCACAAAGCGGAGGTGAATGACCTCCTTATGCTTCCCGACATGCTCCTCATCGCGTCCGCCAGCTCCGACTGCACGATTTACCTCTGGGACGTGCAGAGTTTCAAGCCGAAAAAACACTTGAAAGGGCACAAAAAATCTGTGCTCCAGCTCGCCTACAGCATGGGCTGTTTGTTATCCGTCGGTCTGGATCAGGAGGCGCTGGTGTGGAACCCCTATGTGGACATATCCCACCTCTTCAAGCTGAAGGGCCACACGCACAGCCTGGTCGGGATACAGATCGGGGTGGGGTCCTACCCGCAGATTATCACCGGCGATATCGGGGGAATTCTCCGCGTGTGGGACGTCAGGAACTTCGGCTGCTCGCAGGTATGAAAATTGGTGTTACGCTTCTACTAGAAAGAAAGGTTAAAGTGATGCGATGAAGTGCAGCACCGTGAGTGCTTTATTTCACTCCTCCTGCTTATTTATTTGCTTCTGCGAACAACATGCTGGGTTTTATCTAACCCAGGTCTTCGGCGCTACCGACGCAATAACCGACCTCACCAGTTTCTGCGTTATCCCAGAGCTAAAGAGGATAGCGTGTGGAATCGGGAACATCCGGCTCTACGACTACCTTGACAGCAGGGAAGGAGAGAACGCTGCGGGGTCCAACGAGGACGAAAAAGTCACTGATGCGCTGGAAGTCCGCGCCACCTCCTGGGATGGGCACAGAGGCAGGTTTTTCACTCTGAGCCGGAAGTCGATAAAAATCTGGGACGCGGAATCCGGGCGAATGATACAACTGCTGAAGGATTTGCAGTTCACAAGCGCCGCGACAAATCTCGCCGCCGGAACGACAGCGAAATCCTCATCCTCTTCCAGCGGGGAATTAACTGCGTTTGTCGTTTCAAATAACAATCGGAAACTGATCGTCGGGAACAGCCAGGGGAGCATTGCGAGCTTCTCTATGATGGGGAAGTTGCTCCGCGAATTTTCCAGCCCGAACGCACCCGGGGAAGAGGTCACCGCGATGGCTTTGTACGACAGCCCACTAGACGGCCCTCTCGTCCTTTCCGGCAGTGGGAAAGGGAGCGTGAAGATCCACGCGGACACCGGCTCAGCCTTGCCGAATTTCAAAACCGAGTACCAAGCGCACGGCGACGCGGTTTTGGGTCTAGCGGTGGGGAGAGAAACCGCTGCTAGTTGGTCGTCGGACGGGACGGTTTGCTTGTGTGATTTGAAGTCACTCAAGCAGGAGCAGGTTTTAACGGTCTTCCAAGACCTCGTCGTCGGTTGCGATTTCGTCGTGAAAACGAACAGCTTGGTGTGTGCAGAAGCGGGCGGGAATGTTTCGATTTTTGAAAAACCAGACAGGGAAAGCCCGTGGAGAAGAACGTATCTATACTGAGTAGTTTGCGACGTTGTTTCTTCAATCCTACTGCGTTGGAACTGTTTCTTTGATCCTCTCAAGAACAGGAACAAACGCAATGCTTTATCGTGCATTAGAAAATGAAAAGTTTTTTTCGTTTCATCAATAAGGTACCAATTTCACCAAGCCGAAGTCCTTTCCGCCTACGTGCAGCAAGGCGATTTAACTTGCCTGAAACTCCACCACCCCGCCGCCGCCCCCGACCGCGTGCACCTGTTCCTCGGTGACATGAAGGGCCAGGTAAGGGAGTACGACCTGACTTTTTACTGGAACAACATCCTTCCCAACGTGGCGAATCCCTCTAGTTCCGTCGGGTTCATGAATAAGCAGTCGAAAAACGAGAACAAGCCGTTTAGGCTGCAAGAAGCGATTCTTCACGAGGACAGCGTGCAGAAGATTGCGGTGCTGGAATTCGTGTCGGAGGAAGAAGAGGGAACATTAGTGCAGGACGCGGTTGTGAAAACAGTCGGGCTGGATAAGAGGGTGAAGGTGTCCACGTGCACCGATCTCGGGAAAAGCCGAGGTACTTTAAAGCTTGTGATGGAGAAACTACCGGATGTACTGACTAGTGCGAGGACCACGAGGTAGCACGATGCGGCCACACCTTTTGCAGGTAAAACTTTGTTCGTTTTTCACTCCCATGATCAGGTGTCCTCTGCAATGCGGATTCGAAATGGGAGATGTTCTACGCGGCCGGCACGCTGAAATACGCGGAAGCGGAGAACATGATGCTCTCATTGACGAAAAAGCTCAATCAGAAGTGGCGGGAGGTGAACTTAGTCCATCCCCCAGCAGCACTTCTCGCCGCTTCGGACAGCACAGCCACGCAAAATAAAGACCACAGTCCAAACGCCAGCGCGTTTGGACACAATCAGAGCACAAGCAGCAAGAAGACCCAGCGGCTGATGGAGCAGTTGCTGAGACACAGCGGGAAACCAACCAATTCCGCCACTCTAGAGCAGTTATCGCAGCTGGATCTGGACGACATAGAGTCCACAGATTTCAACCACGTGTGCGATCGGCTGGGGGCGAAGGGGAAACAGTTGTCGATAGAAAACTCCATGCAGGTATCGAGTGGTCCATCGAGTCTGGCGCCGGCAGCCAAGATGCGGCAGAGAAAACATCCGTTGAGCGAAGGAGAGCGGGCGGCGGCCGAAAAGCTGGCGAAAGCACTGGAAAGATTGTGATACAGTGCCTCTCAGTAAGTACTTCGTTCAACAAAAGTCCATGCTATGAATACGCGCAAAATATAGAGATTTCGTTTCAGAGGTTGTTTCCAGCACAGAGGTCAGATGCAGTTTCTCGTCGTTACTAAACGACTACGAGATCGTTGCAATTTTGAATCAGAGTTTCGTACACGGTCATTTTTGTAGAATGCGTGACGCGTGGTCGACGTCATGCTCATGCCGCTTTTGCAAGACAGAGTCTAGTAACCGTAATAGCATCGTTAATGCTGTGCACTAAAAAGACTGCACAAGAACAAGAAGAGCAAAGTTATACATTGCAAGAAAACGTCTGAGCATAGCTCTAAGCATCGTTTACTATTCAAGGGGTCGTAGGTACGTAGCGTAGACACGTGTTTTTTTCGCCAAAAAAAGTCAGCAAACATGGTCAAACGAAGGCAAGCAAATCGACAAGATAAGTAGAAAAGTCGTGCGCAACGTGCAAAACGTCCAAAAAGGTATCGAAGGCGTAATCGTACAAAATTGAAATTCCTTAGCCGTACCGTACGAAAATTTCTAGCATCGTGCAATGTCGTGACGTCGGCATAGAGCATTTGGATCTACCCACGACCCCCCGACTTCGTGTTCCCCTCCTGAAACTGCTTTCCAAAGAGTCAAAACAGGTCTGATTTTTTTTAGTGATAAGTACTAGGACTTGCTAGATTTAGTCGGGTGTATGAAAGAGTACAAATGGTTGTGAGATTTTGAAAAAACGAGAACCAGCATATCATGACGCATTTGAGAAGATCGGTTTGTTTGTTTTCCTTCTGTGTGAATAGGCATTAGATTTTTTTTGAAAAACAGTTCTGTCCTGTTGCACTGTCGAGAGAAGTAGCACCGAAACAAGTCTGACAAATCCATGTGTTTGTGTGAGTTGTTTGGTACTGTGTAGCATGTCGCGCGAATCGAAAAAAAAAGGTTCAATCTTTCGTCTGCTTTCATTCCAAAACTTCCATGACCCCGTCCCTTGTGTGAACATCGTGAACCCAATCCCAATCCAAACAACAATAGGTTTTCTTGTTTTTTAGATCTCTGAAATATTTTTCTATTTTTATAGGTACTCGGATATTATTTAGGTCACTTTATATTTACTTATCGATAGACTATTCTTATAACACTCTGATAGATAGATCGCAAACACTTATTTCTCTCTCTCTTTATTTTTCTATTTTTATCGCATCCTATTGACATTTTATTCAAACTTATTCAAACATTTTTTATCTGATTTTACTATTCGCTATTCAACAGACTATAGTCGAGTCTTATTTCTTATTTACTTTATTTCAATTGCATCTTGAAACAATCTGTACAAGTTACTCTTTTTGCTGGTTTAGTGTTCATTACTTTTAAGTAGGTACCCTTAGTATCTCACCAGTAGAATAGGTAACTTTTTGACATCTTATTACTCTTATTACTTTTCAACAACTATTACTCAATTCAATACTCTAAAAATTCACCTACCCGTACTACTTATGCACAACTTCACTATACTACCTCACGATTTAAATTTCTGTTACCCTACAAATTATTTCATACCACTACGCAACACCTTCCATCAAAAATGAAGTTTTTTTCCTCACATCTAGTTGCCGGAGAGCGGATTCTCGTCGTGGGCCGCCATCAGATGCAGACCAGATTCGAGCAATGCAGGTGGTAGAGGCGCCACCACACCGATCCAGGGGTCGCAGGAGATGGGTGGACCCTGCCGACCTCGGGTGGCTCGACCCCGCCACACCAAGCTGCTCGTCTTCTAGTCGATTTTGTCTCTCTTCTACGTCAAAACCGGGAGCGGATAAAACTGCATCAAAACCGGATGAAGACCACAGCAGCGTAGCTGCAACAACTTCAACGACGGAGGAGGCTTGCGGTGCTTCAGAAGATGGAGTCGTGTTTCAGAACTCTCATTTCCGGAGCTCCGCTGGTCTACTCTCCACGACCAGAATAGAAGATGATACGTCGAAACGGAGGAAAAAACGCAAAAGCTACTCCAGTTACTACGACAACGATACCGCGGGGCGGAGTAGAAGAGAAGAAACTTATTTTGCGAAACAAAATTTCTCTTTCGTCGAACTCGTCTGGTGTTACTTCTTCGCCTTCGTGTCTTTCCTGCAGCGGATCTGTTGGCAGCTTTTTCGCCGCATAAGGAGAGCAGAGAACGAAGAAAACCAACAACAACGGCAAAATAAATCCACGGCTTCTGTTATTGGCAGTGACAGAGACCGTGTCGATGCTAGTTGTGATAACGACGACGAAGGATCATCATCATCTCTCCACCAAACGGCAACAAATGGAACAAACGGCCACATCAGACGGGCGTCGCTCTCCTGGCGAAAGCCGCTCGTTGTGTCGCCTACTTGTTCCACTTCAAGTATAATTCAGAGGAACAGAATAAGGCGCCGGAGAAAATCGAGAATACGTCGGGTGAAGAGGATGGCGAGTTCTTTATCACAGCTTCGGAGGCGGAGTCTCGTGCCGCCACGGAGTTGTAGTGCTGAAGAGATGTTCGCAGTAGAGGAAAACAATATCACAACACCGACATTATACCAGCACACGAACCACAAAAGGATAAAACGGAAAATGAAGACCACTAGTAGTCCACCAGCAACTTCTTCGAAACAGACCGTCCTGATGCGGATCGTTGCGTTCTTTTCGCTCCTGACGGAAATCGCGCAGGCCTTTGTGCTTGTGTCCAACACGGGTGCGATCACGCTCCTAGGTCCGATCGATATCGATCCGCAGGGGCAGTCGATCGACAACAAATCTGCCCAAGCCGGGATCCGGTTCCGCTACGACGGGATCCGGGAGTGGAACATGCACATGCAGGAGTGGTTCGACAACCGCGAGGCGTTTCTGATCTCGAAGGAGATCTTTATACAGGCCAGCGGGGAAACGGAAGGTCCGGTCTTGCAGGAGTACAAAACACTCATGGCGCTGACAAGGGATCCGAAGGAGGTCTACGTCGTGTCGTCCGCAAATGTCGAGGGTGCTGCGATCTTCGGACAGACGCTCTCCGTGACCGAGCAGTCGTACTTGATGGGGATGCGCACGAGTATTGGTTCCACCCAACCAATAGAAGACCCGGCGCACACCGTGGTCAATTCGAAGATGAGCATCGGAAACGACGTGCGTATCGGGTCAGACCTGAGCATCTCCGGCGACGTATTTACTGAATTTTGGTTTTTCATAAATTCGAGTTCTCGAAGATTGTGTGGCAGTTTTGACGCGAACTACAGACTGTCTTCGTCGTATGAAATCGAAGTATAGATGAATCCAATCTGTAGTTCTATGCACACATCTCATACATTTTCCCAAAATCGAAACCCCGAAAAATACACAGGTGAAACTGGGTGAGGCCACCTCCATCCAGTCGCGCGCGTACCCGCCGCTCGGTACGATCCCTATCACGGAGCCGATCTACCTGCCGCAGGACTACATCACGCTCAAAAGGAACAACGCCCTGAAGCGGTTCTGGTCCTACCTGTCCGTCGCGCAGATGGGCTACTTCGGGAACCAGCTGTCGGTCCGGTATTTTGCCGGATTCGGGGAGAAGCTCTCGGTCTACGACTTCATCTCCTTCCGATCAGCGGTGTCGTTGCGATCCTTCGCCAGGCTAGGGAGCACCTTATCCTTGACCGGGTTCGGTCGGTTCGGCGAGTCCGTGTCCGTTCTCGGGTGCGCGCACCTGGGTAGCTCGCTCTCCTTAGGCAGACCAGGGCCACTACCCGTGGACCAGTTCAACCGGCCCTACTACCCGTTTGTGAGACTAGGAACTTCGTTGTCAGTCTACATGAAGACGATTTTGGGTTCCTGCCAGTCGGTGCTGAACTGCGTGGATTTCTCCTCCACGTTGTCCATCCGGATGTGCTCGAAGCTGGGTTCTGGGCTTTCCGTCTACGGCGTGCAGCGGTACGGGAGTAGTTTGTCGGTGTTGGACTACCTCTTCCTCGGGTCGAGCTACAGTATCAGAACCTTGTCCCGGTTCGGGTCCGGGGTATCCGTGTACGGCATGACGAGGTTGGGGAGCTCTTTGAGTATCATGGACTACTGCCAGCTCGGGTCGACTTTGTCGGTGAGAACGATGGGCAGATTAGGGTCAACCTTTTCCGTCTTCGGGATCACGAGGATCGGGTCGATGCTGTCTTTACTCGACTACCTGAACATGGCGTCCTCCCTGTCCCTCCGCTCCTTCGGCCGCCTGGGGTCCGCGATGTCGATCTTCGGCATGAACCGAATGGGATCCGGGTACTCAGTGTTGGATTTCGTCCTGATCGGGTCCAGTTTGTCGTTGAGAAAGATAGGCCGGTGCGGAAGCAGCATGAGTGTGTACGGGCTGGGCAAACTCGGCTCCGGGTGCAGTATCCTCGACCACATCGCGCTCGGCAGTGCGATCAGCTTACGGTCGTTCTCGCGGCTCGGAAGCAGCCTGTCCGTGTTCCGGATTTGCACGATGGCGTCGAATCTGTCGATACTGGATCTGGTGTCCATCGGCACCGCGGTCTCCTTGCGGTACTTCGCGCGCCTCGGGTCCGCCTTGTCAGTGTACGGGACGGTCAGATTAGGGTCGAACCTGACCATGCTGGACTTCATGGGATTGGGCTCCTCCCTCTCCCTCCGCGCGACGTGCCGGTTGGGCAGTTCCCTGTCGATCTACGGCTTCACGAGGCTAGGGTCGATCTGCTCCGCGTTGGACTACTACCATCTCGGGTCGTCGATCTCAATTAGGCGGTACACGCGGATGGGAAGCAGCATTTCGGTCTACGGGTTGGCGCGAGTCGGGTCAACGTTGTCGATTTTAGATCAGGGCAACATGGGTAGTTCGATGTCTCTCCGCACCTTCTTCCGCGCGGGGAGTACGTGCTCGGTCTTCGGGAACACGCGGATGGGCTCCTACCTCTCCGTCGGCCAGCAGGGCTACTACGGATCGAGCGTGTCGGTGCAATCCTTCAAGAGACTCGGGTCCGCTCTGTCCGCCTTCGGGTGCGCCAGGTTCGGGAGCAGTCTGTCCGCGCTGGATTTCGTGACGATGGGAAGTTCTTTGTCGTTGCGGTCCTACAGCCGGTTCGGGTCCACGTTCTCCGTGTACGGAATGACGAGGTTAGGATCGCTGGTTTCCCTGATCGACTTCACGCACTTGGGGTCCTCCGTGTCGCTGAACCGGTACTGCCGGGTTGGGTCGACATTATCCCTCTACGGGATCTCCCACCTCGGCAGCAGCCTGTCTCTACTCGACTGCTCGCATTTCGGGTCCGCGCTGTCGTTGCGAAATTTCGCGCGGCTCGGGAGTTGTCTCTCCTTGTACGGCGCGGCGCGACTGGGAAGCTCGATTTCCGTGTTGGACTTCGTGCACTTTGGGTCCAGTTTGTCGACCAGAACACTGGCGAGGTTAGGCTCCAGTCTGTCCGTCTACGGGTGCACGCGGTTAGGATCTTGTTTGTCGCTTCTAGACATGGCGCACATAGGATCTACGACGTCATTGAGGAGTTTCGTTCGGATCGGATCCTCGATCTCCATCTACGGGATTGCGAGGTTGGGGTCCAGTGTTTCCGTCCTCGACGCGGTGTTTTTAGCCAATCACTTCTCGACGCAAGACATGTGCATGGGTTTGTCGATCCGGAATTTAGTGCGGATGGGCAGTGCGATGAGCTGCTACGGGATTCAGCACATCGGAAGTTCCTGCTCCGTGCTGGACTCGCTGCACATGGGAAGTTCGCTTTCCATGCGTGCGTACGCGCGACTCGGCCATTCCGTCTCCGTGTACGGCATGTCGCGGTACGGCTCCGCGATGTCGATCCTGGACTTCACGCACTTCGGCAGCAGCTTCAGTTGCAGAGGACTGGCGAGGTTGGGGTCTAGTCTGTCCGTGTTCGGCGTCAGCAGGATGGGTTCGTCCATGAGTGTCTTGGACGCCGTCGCGGTCGGCAGTTCCATGTCGTTGCGCTGCCAGATGCGGTTGGGGTCGGCTTTGTCCGTGTTCGGGATTGCGCGGCTCGGATCCAGCTTATCTTTACTAGACGCGGCGATCTGCGCCAGTACGTGCAGCGTGCGGACGTTCTCCCGGCTGGGGAGCTCGCTCTCCGTGTACGGCATGGCGAGATTCGGTAGTGCGATGTCGGTGCTGAATTTCGTGGAGATGGGGTCCGGGTTTTCCGTCCGGAACTTTGTCCGGTGCGGCTCCGCGCTCTCCGTGTACGGAATGACGAGACTAGGTTCCGCGATCTCGGTTTTGGACCAGGCGTACCTCTGCTCCTCCATGTCGCTGCGGGGCTTTAGTCGCACCTGCCGGTCCATGTCGCTGTACGGCATCTCGCGGTGCGGAAGCAGCATGTCCGTGTTAGACGCGCTCTACATGGGGTCCAGCTACTCTTTGCGGTCGTTTAGCAGGCTCGGGTCGACTCTGTCCTTGTACAGCCTGTCGCGGATGTCGAGTTCCATGAGTGTGTTAGACGTGCTTATGATGTCCTCAGCGCTCTCAATCCGGAACATGGCGAGAATAGGCAGCAGCTTCTCCGTGTACGGTTTTTTCCGCATCGGGTCGCAACTGTCGGTACTGGACTTCGTGCACGTAGGGAGCAGCATTTCCATCCGGAAAGCGGCAAGATGTGGGAGTTCTCTCTCCATGTTCGGCATGGCGCGACTAGGGTCAACACTCTCCCTGCTCGACTGCGTCAGCATGGGGAGTGGGTTGTCCGTCCGAGGTTTGTGCCGATACGGATCCGCATTGTCCTGCTACGGAACGGCTAAATTAGGTTACAGTTTATCGCTACTGGATCACCTACACTTAGGCCAGGAGTTTTCCGCGCGGAGCTACAGTCGCATGGGATCGGTCTACAGCATCTACGGAATGACGAGACTAGGATTGCAGATGTCGCAACTCGACTACATCACCATCGGGTCTTCCGTCAGTCTTCGGTCCTTCTTCCGCATGGGCAGCGCCATGATGTTCTCGCTCTACGGTGTCGCGAGATGCGGTTCGAGCTTGTCCGTTCTCGATCTGGTCCAAGCGGGGTCTTCGATGTCGCTCCGGCAGTTTTTCCGGTGCGGATCCGCGATGAGCTGCTACTATTTGGCCAGGATTGGAAAGGAACTGTCGGTCCTCGACTCCGTGCACCTCGGGAGCTCGCTGTCCGTAAGGTGCTTCTCTCGCTTCGGCAGTGCCATTTCAGTGTCTGGGCAAATGCGATTCGGCAGTTGCTTGTCGATCCTGGACTTTTACAACGTCGGAAGCAGCTTTTCCACCCGCGGGTTTCTGAGACTAGGCTCTGCGATCTCGCTGTACGGAGTGGCGCGGCTCGGGTCCAGCATGTCGGCTTTGGACCACTTCAGTTTAGGTAGCGCATTGTCCCTGCGAAGCTTCTCGCGGCTGGGGAGTTCGTTGTCCGTGTTTGGGTTCAGCTCGATCGGCAGCAGCTGTTCCGTGCTGGACTACTTGGCACTAGGGCAGATAAGACCGCGGAGTTTCACCCGACTGGGGTCCACCGTGAGCATGTACGGCATCGGGGCGATGAAATCCCAGATTTCCGTGCTGGACTTCTTGCAGATTGGCAGCTCCTTCTCCTTAAGGTCTGTCGCGAGGCTGGGGAGCTCTTTATCCCTGTTCGGGTTCACGAAACTCGGTTCAAGTGTCTCCGTCGTCGACTGGATCCACTTCGGCTCCGCGCTGTCACTGCGAACGTACAGCAGATTGGGCTCAACCGTTTCCGTCTTCGGCATGACGATGTGCGGCTCGGGATTGTCCGTTTTAGACGCCGTGTGGCTGAGCAGCTCTTTATCCCTGCGGACCTTCGCACGGATGGCTAGCTCTTTGTCCATCTACGGCGCCTCGAGACTGGGCAGCTCGTTCTCGATCCTGGATACGATCTCCTGCGGGTCCAGCATGTCTATGCGGAGTATTGCCCGGTTAGGATCATCCTTATCCTTCTTCGGCATCAGTCACCTCGGGTCGGCCTTTTCGCTCTGCGATTACTTCACGTTAGGGTCAACCCTTTCCGTCAGAACGCTAGCGCGATTGGGTTCCGGAACCAGTATCTACGGGTTCGTGAAGCTCGGTTCATCCGTCTCGATGCTCGACTACGTGCTGTTCGGATCGTCTTTGTCCCTCCGAGGCTTCTCCCGATTCGGCTCCGCGCTGTCCGTCTACGGCATCAGCAGATTGGGCTCGACGTTGTCTATGGTCGACTACGTGTGCATGGGAAGTTCCATCTCATTGAAAGCGTTTGGCCGACTAGGCTCTATGCTCTCCGTCTACGGAACGACCAGAATTGGTTCCAGTTTGTCCATCCTGGCCTTCATCAGCATCGGATCGTCGTTATCAGCCCGTGGGTTTTTGCGGTTAGGGAGCTCCTTCTCCAGCTACGGGTTCGCGCGAATGGGATCCTCCTGTTCCGTGCTGGACTTCGTGCAGTTCGGATCCAGCTTTTCCGTCGCGAGCTTTTCCAGGTTGGGGAAATCCTGTCTCTCCCTGTACGGAACGGCGAGGTTCGGCTCCGCACTTTCCGTGTTGGATTACGTGAGCTTCGGTTCTTCGATTTCGCTCCGAAGAATCGGCCGCATGGGGTCCGCGCTGTCGATCTACGGGTTCACGAAGCTGGGGTCAAGTTTGTCCGTTTTAGACCTTCTCCACCTCGGGTCCTGCACGTCCGTCCGATCGTTCATGCGGCTCGGATCCGCGATGTCGGCGTACGGGTGCGCGCGGCTCGGGTCCGCGTTCTCGCTGCTGAACTTCATCCACTTCGGGTCCTGTATGTCCGTCCGCTCCTTCACCCGTTACGGTTCTTCCTTTTCCGTGTTCGGGTTCGGAAAGCTCGGATCCGCGATGTCGCTGGCGCAGTGGTGCACGTTCGGGTCGTCGATTTCTGTACGGAGCTTTGGCCGCGTCGGTTGCGACGGTTTCTTCGCGAACTTCCAGATCGCGAAGTCGCTCTCGTTTTTCGGAACGAGCAGGCTGGGAAGTAGTATCTCCGTGCTGGACTTCATGAATCTCGGTTCTTCCCTGTCCCTCCGGACGTACGGGCGAGCGGGCGGCTACGCGTCGGTGTACGGCATCGCGAAACTGGGATCCAGTTTGTCCGCGTTGGACTTCATCGAGTGCGGGAGCACTTTGTCCATGCGGAGTTACTCGTGGTTCGGATCCACGATGAGCGTTTTCGGCGCGGTGATGCTGACCTCGAGTCTGTCGCTCCGTGGGTGCACGAGATTCGGATCTTCGTTTTCTGTGTTCGGGATGGAACGACTCGGGTCTTCTGCCTCGATGCTAGACTTCGTTTCCTTCGGGTCCAGCATCTCGATCCGGATGGCGACGAGGTTGGGCTCGTCTGTGTCCGTCTACGGATTTCTACGCCTCGGTTCCCAGATGTCCGCGCTCGGCAGCTGCGTGTTCGCATCGTCCCTATCTCTCCGTTCCTTTGCGCGGATGGGAAGTAGCTGCAGTGTGTACGGCTGCACGAAGCTCGGGAGCTGCGTTTCTGTACTGGCGTTTGCAAGTCTGGGGAGTACGTTTTCCACGCGGTACTTCTACCGGATCGGCTCGAGTTGCAGTGTGTACGGCGTCGCGCGATTGGGGTCTGCGGTTTCCGCTTTGGAGTTCTCCTCCTTGGCTTCCTCGCTGTCCGTCAGATCCTTCTCGAGATTGGGCAGTTCTCTGTCCATCTTCGGGGTAATGCGGTGCGGCAGCACGATGTCGATCCTGGACTTCATGAACTTCAGCAGCGCACTGTCGGTAAGGACGAGCATGCGATTTGGCAGCAGTTTGTCGCTGTACGGGATCAACACGATGGGGATGAGCGCGTCGGTGTTGGATCTGTTCCAACTCTCCAGTTGCATGTCCATTCGCAACTACTGCAGGTTGGGCTCCTCCCTATCCGTCTACGGCTTCACGAGATTCGGGTCCGCGTTTTCCATCATCGACCATTTGTCAATCGGTAGCAGTATGAGTCTGCGCTACTGCTTCCGGATGGGATCGAGCTTGAGCGTCTACGGGATCAACAGATTGGGCTCGTTAACCTCCCTCCTCGACGCCACCGTTCTCGGGTCTGCGTTTTCTGTCCGATCGTTTTTCCGGTTAGGAAGCGTGGTTTCGTTATACGGGTTAGCCAAGCTGGGGTCGAATCTGTCGACGTTGGACAATTTACTACTCGGGAGTAGTTTATCCCTGCGGGGCTTCTGCCGAGTCGGCTCCGTTCTGTCCATCTACGGGATGTGCCGACTCGGGTCGCACTTCTCCGTTTTGGACGCGATAACCCTCGGGTCGTCGGTTTCCCTCCGGTCCATGGCGAGGTTGGGGAGCACGCACAGCTTGTACGGCATGGTGCGAATCGGATCCAGCTTCTCGATCTGCGACACCTGTGCGCATTCATCTTCCCTCTCGGTGCGGATGTTCGCGAGGATCGGGTCGAGTTTATCCATGTTCGGGCTGGTCCGACTCGGGTCGCGGATGTCAGTTTTAGACGCGGCGAGCTACGGGAGCGGACTGTCGATGCGAAGTTTGGTCCGGATGGGCTCCTCCTTTTCCGTTTACGCCATGCAGCAGATCACGTCGAGCATCTCCGTTCTGGACATGCTGAGCCTCGGTTCCGGATTGTCCATGCGGAACTTCAACCGGTTTGGAAGTAGTCTCTCCGTCTACGGCTTGGCGAGGTCTGGGTCCACGATCTCGCTCCTGGACTTCATCGTGTGCGCTAGTAGCTACAGTCTAAGGTCGTTCGCGAGATTAGGGTCGACGGTGTCGATCTTCGGCGTTGCGAGACTAGGGTCCGCCATGAGCAGTCTGGACTTTTCCTGGTTCAGCTCGGCGGTCAGCCTGCGGTCGTTTGTCCGACTGGGCTCCAGCATGTCCGTGTTCGGGATTTCCACATTAGGGTCGAGTCTGTCCGTTCTGGACGTGCTGCAGTTGGGCAGCTCATTGTCCGTCCGCGGGTTCTACCGAGCGGGATCCAGTCTTTCCGTGTTTGGGGTTTCGAAATTAGGGATGAACGTGTCGATCTTGGATTTACTCTCCCTAGGCTCCACGGTCTCCCTCCGGTCCTGCTGCGCGAGATTCGGAAGCAGTCTGTCGGTGTACGGGATTGGCCGGATGGGGAGCAGTGTCTCGTTGCTGGACTACTTATACATCGGGAGTTCTTTATCGCTCCGTACCTACGGGCGGTTCGAGCAATCTTTGTCCGTCTTCGGGATCGCGCGAATCGGGTCCGGGATGTCGATTTTGGACTGCGTCAGCCTGGGCTCCAGTTTTTCCATCCGCGGTCTGTGCCGCCTGGGCAGCACGATGTCGACCTACGGGTGCAGCCGGCTGGGAAGCAGCATGTCGCTGTTCGACTACTTCACGATCGGCTCCCAACTGTCGTTGCGAAGCTACAGCCGACTCGGGAGCACCTGCTCGGTGTACGGACTGACGAAAATCGCGTCGGTTTTGTCGATTCTGGACATGTTCCACATCGGCTCGTCGATCTCTTTGCGAGGGTTTATTCGGATGGGCAGCGCAGTTTCTGTGTACGGGCTCGCGAGGCTGGGATCGTCTCTTTCTATTCTCGACTACGTGTCCCTCGGCAGCACGATGAGCGTGCGGATGTTCGCGAGGATGGGCAGTTCATTATCCCTCTTCGGCATTTCCCGGTTCGCCAGCAGCTTCTCCGTCATGGACTACTGCGTTCTCGGTTCGGCTTTGTCAGTCCGGAGCTTTATGCGCATGGGATCGACGATGTCCGTGTACGGTTGCCACAGGTTCGGATCAGCGCTTTCCGTGTTGGACTTCGTGACTTTTGGGTCGTCCTATTCGCTACGGTCTCTGCAGGCGCTCGGAAGCTCGTTGTCGATCTACGGGTTGTCGCTCTTCGGGTCGAGTTTGAGCGTTCTGGATTTCGCGGTGTTATCCTCCGGTCTGTCGATCCGAAAGCTGTGCAAGATGAGCAGCTCTCTATCCGTGTACGGGATCAGCCGACTCGGGTCGCAGTTCTCGCTGCTCGACACGATCAGCTGCGGGTCCGCGATCTCCGTCCGCGCATTCAACCGGTTGGGAAGCAGCACCTCCTGCTACGGCCTCATGCAGATGGGAAGCAGTTTGAGCGTCCTCGATTACCTCTTCGTCGGCAGTAGCTACAGTCTGCGGAGCTTCGCGCGCATGGGAAGTACTTTTTCCATCTACGGGCTGTGCAAGCTCGGGTCGCAGGTGTCCGTTTTGGATTTTCTGTCCTTAGGGAAATCCTTGTCGATCAGGAGTACTCTGCGGATGGGATCTTCTTTGTCCCTCTACGGGATGAGCCGGTTCGGATCTGCCATGTCCGTAATCGACGCGATCCACTTTGGGAGTTGCATGTCCCTCCGGTCTTTCGCGAGATTGGGTTGTGAGATGTCGATTTACCAAACCATGACGCTCGGATCTTCCTTGTCCCTCCTGGACCACGTCCACTTCGGGTCCATGTTGTCGATGCGAACGTTCGCACGGTTTGGGTCCAGTATTTCCGTCTACGGGCTGACCCGGATGTCGTCGGCGATTAGTATTGTCGATTTCGTCCACTTCGGAAGTTCCATGTCGTTGAGAAGCTACATGAAGGCCGGATCTACGATCAGCGTGTTCGGCACGGCGAGACTGTCCAGTTGCTTGTCCGTGTTGGATTACGTTTCCTTCGGTTCCAGCCTTTCCGTCCGGCACTTTGCGAGAATCGGCGCGGCGTATTCCATTCACAACAACGCCGCGAGCAGGCACCAACGGGGCAACGTCGCGTTATCTCTGTACGGGATGGCGAGGCTGGGGTCGTGTTTATCCTGCTTGGATTTTGCGACTTTTGGGTCTTCTGTCTCGTTAAGGTCCTTCTTCCGCGTCGGCAGCTCGGCTAGTTGCTACAAATGCGCTCGATTGGGGTCCTGCCTGTCGATTTTGGACTTCGGCGTCGGTGCGAATGAACTGTCCGTTCGGAAGTTTTTCCGGTTAGGCTCGGCTTTGTCCAACTACGGGCTCGTGCAGCTCGCGTCCAGCCTGTCCGTGATGTCGTTCTGTCAGATGGGATCGAGCTTAACGCTGCGGTCTTTTGTCAGACTGGGTTCTTCCTTCTCAGCCTACGGGGTCGCAACCATCGGAAAGAGTCTCTCCGTGTTGGACTTCGTGAATCTCGGCCGAGGGATGTTCCCGACAAGACTCGGTGGCGGACCTCTCACGGGAAAACTGTCGATCACCGACTTCATTCAGTCGGGCGTCGCGTCGCTTTCCGGCGGGACTTTAAACGACATCATTTTCCCGGACCCGATCGGGGGGACGGCGACCGACGGTGTCGCGGTGTCTGGGAACGGGCAGTTTGAGGTGACTTTTGACCTACGGGATCAGCACCCGTTTGGGTTCGAAGTGACCGGCGCGGACACGGACTACATCCAGAACTACTTCCAAGCGTATTATACACACGATTTCGCGGTGACAAGCGCGACAGTGTGGAATCGGATTGAAACCTTCCACACCGGCACGGTGACCTTCGGCGAGGCGATCGAGAACCCCCGGTACGTGATGGCGTACTTCCCATCCACCATTCTCGCGAACAACCAGAACGGTTTCCACTTCCAGTTCCGCGGGAATGTGCGGGGCGGCGGCGCGAGAGTCCGGCAGTTCACCAGGATGGGGTCGAGTTTATCGCTGTACGGGCTGGCGAGGTTATCGAAATTCCACCCGTGCTCCGTGTTGGATTCCTGCTACATCGGGTCGGCGCTGTCCTTACGCGGTTACGCGCGAATGGGATCAACTCTGTCCATCTTCGGCGGCGCGAGGTTGGCGCAAAGGCACTTCGACTGCAGGGACCCAAACCGGTGTTTATCCACCTTGGACTTCTTCCAGGTCGGGAGTTGCTTGTCATTACGGATGTTTGCAAGGATCGGGTCTTCTATCTCCGTCTTCGGAATGCAACGACTGGGCTCCTTCGTCTCCGTCGTCGATTTCAACTCGCTCGGGTCGACCATATCGCTCCGGACGTTCGGAAGGTTAGGATCCACCTGCTCCTTCTACGGCATGGGCAGGATCGGGAGTTCCTTGTCGGTGTTGGACTTCACGCATCTCGCGTCGAGTTTCTCTTTGCGGTCGATGGCGCGGTTGGGCAGCTCGATCTCCGTGTTCGGAATGGCGAGGATGGGCAGCAGCTTATCCGTCTTGGATTTACTGACTTTGTCCTCCACCTGCTCCGTCCGCGGGTTCGCCAGACTCGGCAGCTGCGTGTCCATCTGGGGCATTTCCAAGCTCGGGTCCGCGTTGTCGATCTTGGACTTCGTGAACATGGGCTCCGCGTTCAGCACCAGAACGTTCTCCAGACTGGGGAGTAGCTGCAGCCTCTACGGGCAGATCCGGCTGGGTTCGATGTTGTCCACCTTGGACTTTTCCCAGGTCGGGTCGAACATTTCCACGCGGTACTTCTGCCGACTGGGAAGCTCCATGTCCGTCTACGGGATCGGGAAAGTGTCGAGTTGTTTGTCCATTCTCGACTACGTGCAACTCGGCTCTTCCTTCTCCTTCCGCAGGTTCGCGCGACTGGGATCCTCCATGTCTTGCTACGGCATGGCGCGAGTGGGGTCCGCTTTGTCCGCCTTGGACTTCAACAGCTTCGGGTCGGTTTTATCCACGAGAAACTTCTTGCGGATCGGAAGTTCCCTCTCCGTGTTCGGGCTGAACCGGCTCGCGAGTAACCTGTCGTTGTTGGATTTCCTCGGCGTGGGAAGCACCATGTCGGTGCGGAACTACTGCCGAGTTGGATCAACGTTGTCCGTGTACGGAATGGCGCGGATTGGCACAATGCTCTCCCTAATCGACATGCTGGCGCTTGGATCTTCCATGTCCGTGCGCAGTTTCGTCAGACTGGGGAGCAGCTGCTCGGTGTACGGGATTCGGGGACTCGGGTCGAACATCTCAGTTTTGGATATCCTCCACATGGGCAGCTCCATCTCGGTCCGCAGCTTCGCACGATTCGGGAGCTCCTTCTCGGTGTATGGTGCGACGTTATTGGGAAGCAGATTGTCCGTGCTCGACACACTGCAGTTGGGTAGTTGCATGTCTTTGCGGAACTTCCTCCGGATCGGGAGCAGTCTGTCCGTGTTTGGGTTACTCCGGCTCGGATCGTCGTTTTCCATCCTGGACTGCACGCACATCGGCAGCAGTTTGTCCGTCCGGAACTTCTCCCGGATCGGCAGTTGCTTGTCCGTCTACGGTCTGTCCAAGTTCGGCAGCTGTTTGTCCGTGCTGGATTTCCTGCACGTCGGCAGCATGATGTCGTGCAGAGCCTGGTCCCGAGTCGGTAGCACGATTTCCGTGTTCGGCGCGGTATCATTATCTTCCCAGTGCTCGGTTCTGGACTACCTGCAGATCGGCTCGTCGATTTCCATGCGGAACTTTTACCGGTTAGGCTCCAGCTTATCCGTGTACGGGATAATCCACACGGCGTCCTCCATGTCGGTACTAGACTGGCTGCAGCTCGGCTCCAGCTTCAGTCTGCGCAACATGCTGCGACTCGGCAGCGGGCTGAGCGTATACGGAATCACGCGGTTGAGCTCGAATCTGTCGCTGATTGACACCATTCAACTCGGATCCTGTCTTTCCGTCCGGAACTTCTTCCGATTGAGCTCCACTTGCAGCATGTTCGGAATGACGAGATTGGGTAGCAACTTGTCCGTGTTAGACGAGATCCAGATCGGCAGTTCCTTCTCCGTTCGGAACTTCGCCCGGATGGGAAGTTCGCTCTCGGTTTACGGCATGGTGAAAATGGGCTCCGCGACCTCCATGATCGACTTCTTGAGTCTTTCCTCCACGATCAGCGTCAGAACCTACGCACGGTGCGGCTCGTCTTTGTCGATTTACGGCGCGGTGAAATTAGGGTCGTCTGTCTCGTTAATCGACTACTTCTGGCTGGGGTCGAATCTCTCCGTCAGGAACTTCGCCCGCCTCGGTAGTTCGATGAGCGTCTATGGGATGCAGCGGATGGGATCGAATATCTCGGTGTTGGACATGTTGGAGCTGGGGTCCAGTATCAGCGTCAGGTACTACGCGAGACTTGGCTCCTCCATGTCAATTTACGGGATGAACCGGATCGGGTCGGTGGTCTCTGTGTTGGACCTGATGCACTTAGGTTCTTCCGTTTCCATGCGGTACTTCCTACGGCTCGGGTCCAGCACGTCCGTGTTCGGGTTGACGAGGTTAGGGTCAAATTTGTCAATTCTGGACGTGCTCGAGCTCGGCTCCAGCTTGTCCTTCCGGAACTACGCGCGACTCGGGTCCACTTGCAGCGTGTACGGCATGACAAGGCTGGGATCGTCGTTATCTTTGCTGGACCTTTTACATTGCGGCTCGTGCGTCTCCATGCGGTACTTCTCGAGGCTGTCCAGCGGAGCGAGTGTCTACGGAATCTCGAAGTTGGGCTCCTCCATGTCGATCCTGGACATCTGCCATTTAGGCAGCACATTGTCCGTCAGGTCCTACATGCGACTCTCTTCCACCGTCTCCGTGTACGGGATGAGCAGACTCGGGTCCGCGGTGTCCGTCCTCGACTTTTGCCAGCTGGGGTCAACGTTATCCACCCGATCCTTCGCCAGGTTGGGGAGTACGATCAGCGTGTTCGGCGCGACGAGACTCGGATCCGCGCTGTCAACATTGGACTACGTCCAGATGGGCAGCTGCATCTCCGTCCGGAACTTCTGCCGGGTTGGAAGCGCAATGAGCATCTACGGGATGACGAGACTCGGGTCGAACTGCAGTTTAATCGATTTCATCCAGTTCGGATCCACGATTTCGGTAAGATCCTACACGCGACTGGGGTCCACTTTGTCCATGTACGGAATCAGCAAAGTGGGAAGTTGCTTGTCGGTGCTGGATCTGCTGGAATTAGGGTCAGCGATCTCCGTCCGGAACTTTTCCCGGCTTGGCTCTAGTGTTAGTCTCTACGGAATGTTCCGACTGGGCAGCGGGATTTCCGTCTTAGATAGCACCTACCTCGGGTCGTGCCTGTCGCTGCGGAGTTACTTGCGTCTCGGGAGTGGCGTGTCGATCATTTCCCGTGTGGACCAGACCTACAGCTTCTCCGTGTTGGATTTCACGGATATCGGGTCAAGTTTGTCCGTCCGAAACTACCTCCGCATCGGGTCGACGTTGTCCATGATTGAAAAGGTGCGGCTCGGGCACCATCTGAGCGTTTTGGATTCCGCGCAGTTGGGCAGTTCTCTGTCGCTAAGACACTGCTGCCGGCTTGGGAGTAGCTTTTCCGTCTACGGAATGTACACATTGGGGTCGAGTATCTCGATTTTGGACATTTTACCATTGGGCTCCACCTTGTCCATGAGATCCTACACGCGCCTCGGGTCCGCGCATTCTGTCTACGGCATGACGCTGTTGGGCAGTACGTTGAGTGTGTTGGACATCCTCCACTGCGGCAGCAATTTGTCCCTCCGGAGCATGATCCGACTGGGGTCGGCGATTTCCGTCTTGCAATGGGCGAGAATGGGGTCGAACGTCTCTTTACTCGATACGCTCCAGCTCGGGTCGAGTCTGTCCCTTCGGTCCTACGTCCGGTTCGGCAGCACGATCTCGCTGTACGGGATTGCGAGACTCGGGTCTAGTTCCTCGATATTGGACTTCATCAACCAGGGATCGACGTTGTCCCTCCGTTGTTACAAGCGACTGGGCTCTGTGGTCTCCGTGATGAATTGGTGCCGCGTGGGGACGACGATTAGCTTGCTGGATTTCGTCGGGCTGGGGAGTTCTTTGTCCGTCCGGAACTACGTCCGCTTCGGCTCCACCACCTCGATCATCAACACGCTCCGCGTCGGCGTGACCATGTCGGTTTTGGACAGCACGCAGCTGGGTAGCTGTTTGAGCATGAGAAGCTATATCCGTTGTGGATCTTCCATCTCTGTCTTCGGCTTAGCCAGACTCGGGAGCACCCTCAGTTTGCTCGACTGCTTGAACTTGGGGTCAAGCTTGTCGATGCGCCATTACCTCCGGTGTGCGTCCACAACCAGCTTCTTCTCGCAGTGCAGGCTGGGGAGTGTGTTATCCGTGCTGGACTTCACGCAATTATCTTCCGCCATGAGCGTCCGGGCGGTGTTCCGGTTTGGAAGCAACTTGTCGGTCTGCAGTCGCGCGACGTTTGGGTCCCGGGTGTCGATTTTAGATATGGTGAACTTGGGGTCGAACTTGTCTTTAAGGAGCTATTTGAGGTACGGAAGCGGGATGAGCTGCATGATGGAGGGAACGCGGTTCGGCAGCTGCCTGTCCGTGCTGGAGTTCTCGCAGTTAGCGAGTTCCTTGTCTATGCGCAGTTACTTCCGCTACGGGTCGACGGTATCCGTTTTTGACAAGCTCCGGTGCGGCAACACCGGCGTGGCATTGTCGGTTCTGGACGCGGTGAGCCTCGGGACGACTTTGTCGCTCCGGTCGTACCAGCGACTCGGATCCATTGTGTCCGTGATCAACTGGGCAAGATTGGGGTCCACGACGTCGATTCTGGATTGCCTGCACCTCGGAACGTCCATGTCTTTACGCTCCTACATGCGGTTCGGGTCCTGCTACTCCGTTATTAGCAAAATGCAGTGTGGCACGACATTGTCCATTCTTGACGCGACGCGTTTAGGGACCTCTTTGTCCCTCCGGAACTACATCCGACTGGCGTCTGCTTGCAGTGTCTACAGCGAGTTCCAGCAAGGGAGTAATTTGTCAATCCTAGACGCGGCGTTCTTCGGGTCGTCACTTTCCCTGCGGAACTACATCCGGCACGGCTCCGCGATTTCGGTGTTCCGAAAAGTGACGCTGGGTTCGAATTTGTCGATTCTGGACTACGTGCAGTGCGGCACGACGTTGTCCTTGCGGCACTACATGCGGTTCGGGTCAACGATCTCGGTGATGAGCAAGACCAGCATGGGCTCACAACTCTCCATCATCGACATGCTGCAATTAGGATCCGCTTTGTCCCTCCGCTCCTTCGTCCGTTTGGGCTCCAGCTTCTCGCTTTACGGGTGCTGCCGGTTAGGGAGTGTAGCAAGCGTGCTGGACATGCTGGTGCTGGGATCCTCCGTGTCCTTGCGTCATTACTCCAGAATGGGATCAGGTGTGTCCGTGTTCGCGAAACTGACCCTGGGAACGTGCTTGAGCGTGTTGGACAACGTGTACTTGGGATCAAGTTTGAGCATCCGGCACTACCTCCGTTGCGGGTCTTGCCTTTCCGTGTTCGACCAGGTGAGGTGCGGATCCCGGATTTCCATCCTGGACTACGTGCAGCTGGGCAGTTCCATGTCGGTCCGCCAGATGCTCCGAATCGGGAGTGGCTTCAGCTTGTTCCACAGCACGAAATTCGGCTCGTCTTTATCCGTCCTGGACTTCCTACACTTAGGCAGCACTGTCTCGCTCCGGCACTTCTGCCGGATGGGATCGGCGTACAGTCTGTACGGGGTCATGACGCTGGGCAGCAGTTTGTCTGTGTTGGATGTCATCCACATCGGCAGCAACATGTCGCTCCGCTCGACCATCCGCCTTGGCAGCTGCCTGAGCGTGATGAGCCGGGAGACGTTGGGTTCGGTCTACTCCGTGCTCGACTGGATGCAGCTGGGAAGCTCGATGAGTCTCCGTGCGTACAGCCGGTTCGGATCGAGCTTGTCCGTCTACGGATTGAGCCGCCTGGGTTCCTCCGCGTCGGTGCTGGACTTCGTGAACATGGGTAGTACCTTGTCGCTCCGCAGTTACCAGCGCATGGGATCGGCAGTTTCGATTTACCGGAAGGAATATTTAGGTGGAAACCTCTCCGTTCTCGACCGCACGGACCTCGGATCCAGCTTGTCGCTGCGGGGGTACATGCGAATCGGGAGCTCCTTGAGTTTGCTGAGGAACGTGGGAGAAAACAGGTTCGGCAGCGATCTGTCGGTGTTGGCGATGACCGAATTTGGATCTTCCATGTCCCTGCGAAGCTACTTGCGGCTCGGGAGCAACTTGTCGGTCTTGCAAACCGTGCGGATCGGCTCCGCGACGGGCGGAACTGGGGTTTCAGTTTTAGATTGGCTGCAGCTCGGCTCGTCTTTGTCCTGTCGCCAGTGGGCCAGATTCGGTTCCAGCGTTTCCGTCTACGGAATGTGCAGACTCGGGTCCCAGATGTCCGTGCTCGACTGCTTGCTGCTGGGGAGCACTTTATCCGTGCGGCATTACAGTCGGTTCGGGTCCGCTTTATCCGTGATGTCGCAGATGCGGGCGGGCAGCACGTTGAGCGTGCTGGACATGCTGCAGCTGGGGAGCTCGGTGTCCTTAAGGCACTACGCTCGCTTCGGAAGTTCCTTGTCGATTCTACGTTGCCTGGGCTACGGTAGCAACCTCTCCGTCCTCGACAGCGTGCATTTAGGGTCCGCTTTGTCGGTCCGCAGCTTTGCGCGACTAGGATCTGCGGCGAGTGTTTACGGCATTCTCCGGTGCGGCAGCTCGCTCTCCGTTTTGGACGCCACGAGTTTGGGTAGTTCGATGAGCCTGCGCGGGTTCTGCAGATTCGGATCCAGCATTTCCCTCTACGGGAGTGCAAGACTCGGTTCCAACATGAGCATACTGGATCTATTGCAACTCGGATCGTCTTTGTCCCTCCGCACCTACATGCGGTTCGGCAGCAGCATTTCCGTGTTCGGCACGGCGTTACTCGCCAGCCAGTTGTCGGTGCTCGACTCGGTCATGATGGCCAGCACGGTATCCTGCAGAAACTTCGCCCGGTTCGGCTCGAGTCTCTCCGTCTACGGGCTATTACGGGTTGCCAGCTGCATGTCGATGCTGGACATGTTCAGTCTCGGATCGTCCATCAGCTGCCGGAGTTTCTCCCGGCTTGGTTCCTCCATGTCGACGTTCGGCATTGCGCGGATCGGCTCCAACATCTCGATATTGGATTTCGTCAGCATCGGCTCGTCCGTCAGCCTAAGGAACTACGCGAGACTCAGTTCGAGCTGCTCGATTTACGGCATGGCGCGGATCGGCACGGCGACCAGCTGCCTGGATTTCGCGACGATGGGCAGCTCGGTTTCTTTGCGGAATTTCGGGAGGCTATCGAGTTCCTGCTCTGTGTACGGCATGAACCGGCTTGGATCAGCAATCTCCTTAATCGACATGCTGCACATTGGCTCCACCGTGTCCGTCCGGTCTTGCGCGCGATTCGGCTCTAGTCTCTCCGTTTTCGGCGTTTCGAGATTAGGTTCTGCACTGTCTTTGATCGACTTCTGCGCCATCGGGAGTTCAATGTCGATCCGGAACTGCGCGAGACTAGGGAGCTCTTTATCCCTGTTCGGGATGAGTCGCCTGGGGTCGACGATTTCCCTGCTCGACTTCCTCATTTTGGGAAGCACCGTTTCGGTCAGGAACTGCATGCGGTTCGGGTCCAGTTTGTCTGTGTACGGGGTGGCGAGACTGGGCTCTTCGTGCTCCTTGGTCGATTTATTCGGCTTGGGCTCTGCGTTGAGTGTTCGCAGCTACACGAGACTGGGCTCCGCGGTGTCCGTGTACGGGATGAGCAGGATGGGGAGCATGCTATCGGTCCTGGACTGCTGCGAGATCTCCAGCACGTTGTCCCTCCGCCACTACTGCCGAATGGGTTCTAACCTCTCGGTCTTCGGCCCGCAGCTGAGGATCGAGGCGAGGATGAGCTTGTTCGATTTCTGCGTGCTTGGGACTTCTTTGTCCACGCGGCAGTACAGTAGAGTTGGATCCGCTTTGTCCGTCATATCGCTTGTCAGAGCCGGATCTAGCTTGTCCGTGTTTGACTTCACGGTGCTCGGGTCCGCGCTCTCATTGAGGAACGTTCTGCGTTGCGCGTCGGGGATGTCTGTGTTGGGGTTAACCAGGTTAGGCTCACATCTTTCCACCGCGACGTACACCGCACTCGGCAGCTCGTTATCCCTCCGCAGCTACCTCCGGATCGGCTCCACGTGTTCGGTGATCAGAAAGTGCACGCTCGGCGAAGCGTTGTCCCTCTCGGAGTGGTGCACGCTGGGAAGTGCGCTTTCGCTACGCGGGTACGCCAGACTCGGTTCTACCCTCTCCGTGATCACAAGAACGGAGTTCGCGAAAGACGTTTCCATCCTAGATCAGTTCGCCATGGGCAGCTCGCTGTCCTTGAGGAATTACGCGCGCATCGGGTCGCATCTGAGCGTTTTATCCTGGAACCGGATCAGCAGCAACATCTCCGTGTTAAATTACGTCACGTTCGGCTCTGCGATCTCGCTCCGGGGCTTCCTCCGCTGCGGGTCCTGCTACTCGTTGGTGGGAAAAGTGCTGTTCGAGCAGCCGTTCTCCGTCGGGGAAGCGCTAACTCTTGGAAGCACTTTGTCCTGCCGAAGCTACACGAGGTTGGGCTCCGGGTTGTCCTTACTGACGAACTTCAACGTGAATTCGCAAAAGATGTCGACCATGAGCTACACGTATCTGGGTTCTGCCCTCTCCGTCCGGGCCAATGTGCGGATTGGCAGCCGGATGTCGATCATGTCGCAGACGAGATTGGGGGCGGAATTCTCCATGCCGTCCTGGGCGCACTTCGGGTCGAGCTGCTCGTTGCGGGGCTTCATCCGGACACAATCTACCATGTCCGTGTTCACGACGACGAAGCTGGGACACCGAATGTCGATCATCTCCTACCTGCACATGGGAAGTTCGTTGTCTCTCCGCACGGTCCTCCGCCAGAGCAGCGCCATGTCGCTGTTCCACCATTTGAAACTCGCGAAACCCATGAGCGTGTGCGACTTTCTGCAGCTGGGAACGGCGCTGTCATTGAGGAACGTCTCGAGGTTAGGATCGGAATTGTCCGTTCTCGCACTGATGCGGGTGGGGAGCTGCATTTCGGTTTTGGATTACACGCACTTCGGCTCTGCGATGTCGCTGAGAGGGTTTTTAAAATTCGGCAGCTCGGCGTCGGTGTATGGCATGCAGCGGCTGGGGTCGAGTTTATCCGTCCTGGATTTCCTCACCCTCGGTTCCACCATGTCAGTGCGGGCGTACATGCGGTTCGGGTCGGCTCTATCCGTGTACGGAAAGGTCAAGGCGGAATGCGGCAACTACGAAGTCTGGCGCGCGAACGAATTTGGCGTGGAGCTGGGGAACGTGAAAACGTCTTCCTGCTTGAGTGTGAGAAGCTTCGCTAGACTCGGGTCGTGTGTCTCGATCTACGGGATCTCCCGGCTCGGTTCGGCGCTGTCTGTCTTAGACTACATGAGCTTGGGAAGCACGTTGTCGGTCCGCAGTTACATGCGGTTCGGCTCGCAGTACTCCATCTTCAGCCAGATGCGCGCGGGCAGCACTTTGTCGCTCCTGGACGTGACCAACTTCGGCAGCGCTCTGTCCCTGCGCAAATACTGCAGGCTGGGGTCTACGTTCACGATCATGTCGCAAACACGGGTCGGATCTTTACTCTCCACGCTCGACATGTGCTTTTTGGGCAGTGCCATGTCTTCGCGCAGCTTCGCGCGAATGGGATCCACGATCAGTCTGTTCGGCATGACGCGGCTCGGAAGTTCGATGTCGTTATTGGACTTCATGACGCTGGGCAGCAGCTACTCGCTGCGCAGCTTCGCGCGCGGCGGGTCCAGGCTCTCCGTCTGGTCGGCGCAGATCTTCGGCAGCACGTTGACGGTGTTGGACTTCTGCAGTGTCGGTAGCGCGATCAGCGTCCGAAGTTTCACCCGGTTTGGTAGTAGCTGCAGCATCTACGGAATGGCAAGGTTTGGATCTACGCTGTCGCTCGTTGACACCATTCACCTCGGGTCCACCATGAGTCTCCGCGGGTTCGGCCGGTTAGGTTCGAGTGTCTCGATCTACGGGTGGACGCGCGGCCAGGCGACGGTCTCTGTCCTCGACATGCTCCAGTGTGGGTCTTCCTTCTCCCTGCGCAGTCTCGGGCGTGAAGGAAGTTCGATCTCCCTGTACGGACTACTGCGACTTGGTAGTAGCTGCTCGATTCTAGATCAAAGCTACTTTGGCAGCGCCTTGTCGCTCCGGAAGTTCGTGCGGTTCGGCTCCTCTTTGTCCATCTACGGGACGCTGACCCTCGGGTCGCGGTTTTCGGTCCTCGACGCGGTGAACCTAGCGTCTTCTGTCTCCATCCGGATGCTTGGGAGATTAGGCTCTACAATGAGTCTTTACGGGATCGGCAGAATCGGGAGTCAAGTGTCCATCCTGGACAGCACGTCGCTCGGATCCACGTTGTCCTGCCGCAGCTTCGCGCGCCTCGGGTCCGCCATGTCCGTCTACGGTATCAACCGGCTGGCGTCGCAGCTGTCGATTTTGGACGCGACCACGTTCGGCAGTACGTTATCCGTCCGGTCCTACGCGCGGGTTGGATCCTCACTGAGTGTGTTCACGCGGTTCCGGAACAGCAACGACCGGACGAGTCTGTTGGATTTCCTGCACATGGGGTCCTCTGTTTCCATGCGGTCGTACGCGCGATTCGGCAGCAGCATGTCCATCTACCAGATGGGTCTGCTCGGATCCGGCGTGTCGGTTTTGGATTTCGTGCACCTCGGATCGTGCCTGTCCGTGCGGGGGTTTGCGCGCTTCGGTTCCGGCTGTAGTTGCTACGGCATGGCGCGCATGGGCAGCACGCTGTCCTTGCTCGACACGGTTTGTTTGGGTTCGAATTTGTCTGTCCGGTCGTTCGGGAGACTAGGTTCTGCGTTGAGTCTCTACGGGGTTTCCACTCTCGGTAGCACTCTATCGATGCTCGACTTGGGCTACGTGGGGAGTGCGATCTCCCTCCGTTCTATCGGGCGGTTTGGAAGCTCCTTATCCGTGTTCGGGATCAGCAGGCTCGGATCCGCGATCTCCCTGGTCGACATTTTCAATCTCGGGTCGACGTTCTCGACAAGAAGTTACACCCGCATGGGCAGCGCGATCAGCATCTACGGCATGACCAGCTTCGGCAGCCGATTGTCAATCTTGGACATGCTCACGCTCGGGTCCGCTTTATCCCTGCGTCACTTCATCCGGTCGGGATCCGCGCAGAGTGTGTTCTCCCGCGTGAATCTCGGCTCGCGGATATCCGTTTTGGACTGCTTGAACCTCGGATCGACGCTGTCACTCAGAGCACGGCTGCGATTAGGGAGTTGCCTGTCCGTGTACAAATCCGAATCCGTCGGGTCGTCGTTGTCCATCATCGAAACCGTCTGCCTGGGCTCGGTCTTTTCCCTTCGCGCGTGCGCGAGGTTCGGTTCCTCGGTGTCGCTCTTCGGGCACATGCAGATGGGCAGCCAGTGTAGCGTGATTGACAGCAGCCACCTGGGATCCACGCTGTCCGTCCGGGCCATGGTGCGATTCGGGTCCACGGTGTCGATGTTCGGCCGGACCAGACTGGGATCTGACATTTCCATTCTCTCCCAAGCGGCACTGGGATCCGCACTGTCTGTCCGCTCGTTCTCGCGGTTTGGCTCGCAACTGTCGATCCACACGCGGGTGAACAAGGGAAGATACGACACGTCCATTCTCGACGCAGCGAACTTCGGGTCGACGCTCTCCTGCCGCTCTTTCGCGAGATTCGGTAGCACCATTTCAGTGTATGGCATGACCCGACTGGGGTCGAGCATGAGTCTTTTGGACCGTGTCTTCTTCGGGTCGAGTTTAAGTCTGCGGAAGTATGTGCGACTGGGGTCGTCGTATTCCATGTTTGGCAAGTTCCAACTCGGCAGCATGATGTCGCTGTGCGACTACACGAACTTCGGTTCGGGCATGTCCATGCGGCAGATGCTGAAATTAGGCTCGAACTTCAGCTATGGATTGCAAAAATGTCTGGGTCTGGAAGATTCTGAGACTTGTCATGCACGTTTTGCATGAGCCATGAGGTCTGGAATGCGAGACCTAGCATGACAGATTCTGTCCGGTCTCTATCATGCGTTTCCTGCATGAGAAACTCCCTCCCAACTTGGTCGAACGTGGACAGCTTTTGGCACTCATGCAACACAGATTTTTGCATGATTCCGATTTAGCATGACAAGTTTTAATCTTCCAGACCCAGACATATTTGCAATGCATATCAGCGTGCAGGGAAGGATGAACTTCAACCAGCCGGTGTCCGTGATCGACTACTACCACATGGGCTCGGCGTTCAGTATCCGCGCCGTGATGCGCCAGGCGAGCGGCTGCAGTTTATTCGGGCAGGTGTGCTGCGGTTCCAGCATTTCTTTACTCGATCACCTCGGGTTGGGTTCGGCGTTCAGCATAAGGTCCTACATGCGGATGCAGAGCTCGATGAGCCTGTTTTCCCAATTCCGAGCAGGGAGTAGACTCTCGATTCTGGATCACTTAACCATGGGATCCACCCTGTCCATCCGCTCCTACTTCCGGCAGGGCAGCCACTTCAGCGTCTTTTCCCGGCAGACCATGGGCTCCACGATCACGGTGTACGACATGCTGAATTTAGGTTCCGCTTTGTCCGTCCGATCATTTGCAAGATGCGGTTCCGCGGCGTCTCTATACGGACTCGCAGTGCTCGGATCTTCAATCTCGTTGCTGGACAACAGCTTCTTGGGCTCTTCTTTGTCGATCCGGTGCTACGCGCGGTTCGGAAGTTCCTTGTCCTTGTTTAGCAAAGCCCGCATGGGAAGCGCTTTGAGCACACTCGACTGCGCCTGCTTTGGAAGTTCGTTCAGTATGCGGAATTTCGCGAGGTTCGGCAGCACTTTATCCATTTACGGAATCGCGACGATGGGATCGAATTTGTCGGCGCTGGATTTGCTGATGCTAGGTTCTTCGTTATCAGTCCGGTCGTTCATGCGAATTGGGTCGACTTTGTCGCTCTACGGAATGACGAGGATCGGATCCAATTTCTCCTCGCTGGACTTAATGACGTTCGGGTCCTCGCTGTCCATCCGCAACTTCATCCGCGTGGGAAGCTCGATCTCTGTGTACGGCTGCACGTTGCTAGGTAGCGCGTTGTCCGTTTTGGATTCGAACTGCCTGGGGAGCAGCATCTCCGTCAGAAGTTTCTCACGACTGGGGAGTTCTTTATCCATCTTCGGCATCACGAAGTTGGGAAGTTCTCTATCGATCCTGGATACCGTCGGGTTGTGCTCCGCGCTGTCCCTCCGATCGTTCTACCGCGGTGGGTCGAACACGTCCGTGTTCGGCGTCAGCCGGTTCGCCAGCACCATGTCTGTGCTGGATCAGATCGTGCTAAGTTCCAGCTGTAGTTTGAGAAGGTACTTGCGACTCGGCAGCACTATGTCCGTGATGACCACGCAAAGGCTGGGCTCGATGTGCAGCGTTTTGGACGCGACCTACCTCGGTTCCGCGATGTCGTTGCGGTCTAGCTTGCGCATGGGATCTACTCTCTCCGTCTACGGGTTCATCCGATTTGGCAGCTCTTTATCCATGCTCGACTACTTCCACCTGGGTAGCAGTATCAGCCTCCGCTCGTTAGTCCGGAAGGGAAGCGGGTTCAGTCTGTACGGAATGACGACGTTGGGATCCTCTCTTTCCAGTCTCGACTACGTGCAGCTTGGATCTTCTTTATCCATCCGCGGCTACCAACGGTTGGGATCGAGGCTGTCGGTGTTCGCGGCGTTGAAGTTGGCTTCCACGATCTCCTTCGTCGAGTGCGCGGTGTACGCCAGTTCGCTCTCCCTGCGGAGCTTCAGCCGACTGGGGAGCAGCTTCTCGGTTTACAGCATCGGAAGGTTTGGAAGTTCTTTATCCGTCTTGGATTTCATCCACATCGGGTCGACGATGTCGGTACGCGGCTTCTCCCGCCTGGGCAGCTCCCTGTCCTTATACGGGGTGTCGCGGTTCGGCTCGGCGATCTCCGTTTTGGACATGGTCTGCATCGGCAGCATGGTGAGCATGCGGTCCTTCTCGCGGTTCGGATCTGCGCTCTCGTTGTACGGAACGTCTCGGATGGGCAGTTCTCTGTCGCTTCTGGACTTTTTACACGCGGGATCGGCGTTTTCCGTGCGAACGATGTACCGCCAGGGATCTGCGGTCAGCATGTTCCACAGTTTCCGTTTAGGCAGTTCTTTATCCGTGTTGGACCACTACCACATCGGGTCGGCGTTATCAATGCGGAGCTTCACCAGGTTCGGATCCGCGTTATCATTATACGGGATCTCGAGGTTGGGCTCCCACTTCTCGGTTTTGGATTCCATCCTTCTCGGCTCCACGATCTCCATCCGGTCCATGATCAGAACCGGCAGCACGATCAGCGTGTATGGGCTAGCGCGGTTCGGTTCGTCCTTGTCCTTGCTGGACTCGATTCAAGCCGGCTCAGGCTTGTCCTGCCGCAGCTTCATGCGCATGGGGAGCAGCTTCAGCATCTACGGACTGACGAGTTTGGGTTCTGGCTGCTCTTTGCTCGACTACTTTTGCTGCGGGTCGAGTTTGAGCGTTCGCTCACTCGCGCGGTGCGGATCGACTTTGTCCGTGTACGGAATGTCGAGATTTGCGTCCAGCATTTCCGTGCTAGACTTCGTGCACTTCGGCAGCGGATTCAGTGTGCGCTCCATGTTCCGCCTCGGCAGCTCTTTGTCCGTCTATGGCATGGCGTACATCGGCAGCACCCTTTCCCTCCTGGACTTGATGCAGGCGGGGAGCGCGATCTCGTGCCGTTCGTTCGCTCGGTGCGGGTCCGCACTGTCGTTATACGGGCTCGCCAGACTGGGGTCCAACATGTCGATTTTCAGCCAGGTCAACCTCGGATCGGCGTTCAGTCTTCGTCGGTACATGCGCGTGGGATCTGCTTTGTCTGTGTACAGCCGGGTAAGGTTCGGGAGCTGCATGAGTGTCATGTACCAGGCGGAGCTCGGGTCGACTTTGTCGTTGCGGAATTTCGCCAGGGCCGGCTCGCTCGTATCCGTCTACGGCCGAACGATGTTGGGAGGAACTGAACCAACGGGGCTCGCGATGTTCTCGGTTTTGAACTGCGTGCACTTCGGGTCTATGTTCTCGGTGAGGAGCTTCTTGAAACTGGGGTCGACCTTGTCCATCTTCAGCCACGTGCGGGCGGGATCGACGTTGTCGGTCCTCGACGCGGCGAACTTTGGGTCCGCGTTGTCTGTCCGCGCGTTCATCCGCTCACAATCCACCGTGTCGATCTTCGGACAAGTAAGGCTCGGTTCGCGGTTTTCCGTGCTGGACCACCTCCACATGGGTTCGACCTTCTCGATTCGCAGCTTTCTCCGGTGTGGCAGCGCTACGAGCGTGATGGACTTCGTGAACTTCGGCTCGACGTTGTCTCTCCGGGAATACGCAAGGTGCGGCTCGGTTTTGTCCGTGTTCTCGCAGTGGAGGATGGGAAGCTCTTTATCCTTGTTGGATTGCAGCAGTTTATCCTCCGCCTTGTCCATCCGTGGTTTCATGCGCGCCGGATCGGCGTGTTCCCTGCTCGGGTTCTGCAAGATCAGTGGCGAGCACTGCTCAGCGTATGGTCGGCACCAGCTCGGGTCATCGCTTTCTTTACGTGCTTACACGCGGATGGCGTCGGCGTTCTCGCTGTTCGGCGGCTGCAGGATCGGCAGCACGTTCTCGACGATGGACTACCTGCAGTGCGGCAGCTCGCAGTCGCTACGGAAGTTTATCCGCATGAGTTCTGCTTGCTCCGTGTACGGGCGCATCAACATGCACAGCGGGTTCTCCGTCTTGAACTTCGCGGCCTACGGGTCCGCAGTGAGTCTACGGGGGACAGTGCGTGTCGGTTCGATGTGTTCTGTGTTTGGGATGCTCCGTCAGCAGGGCTTCAGCTACTCGCTGTTGGAGCACAGCATGGTCGGATCCGCACTCTCACTCCGTGCCATCGCGAAGATGGGCAGCGCCACGCCGTCCGTGTTCGCTCTTGGTCGGTTCGGTGCGGCGTTCTCCATTCTGAACAGCGCGAATCTCGGGAGTTCACTTTCTCTGCGTGTGTTTGCGCAGAGTGGCGGGATCGTGTCCTTCTTCGACTTCCTGGCTCTCGGCAGTACGATGAGTCTGCGGCAAATGGTCAAGTTCGGATCCCGGGTTTCGTTGTTCGGCAGGATTCAGATGGGCAACGCGTTGTCGACGCTAAGTTCGGTCCACGTCGGGTCTGCATTGTCCGTCCGGCGGTTCATGCGGTGCGGGAGCGCTTTATCCCTGCTGGACTTCGTGCACCAGGGCAGTGCGCTGTCTTTGCGGTTAACCGCTAGAATCGGTTCGACGATTTCCCTGGAGAGCCGGCTCCGGTTAGGTGGGGAAGCACAGCTCAGTACCTTCAACGCGATCACGCTCGCCAGCACTTTGTCGCTCCGCGGCTTCAACCGCGTAGGGTCAACTGTGTCGGTTTTTTCCCAAGTCCGGTTCGGCAGTTGTCTGTCGACATTGAGCTCGCAGCAGCTCGGGTCCGCAATCAGCATCCGGGCGTACACGAGAATGGGCTCCGTGTGCAGCTGCTGCGGCTTATTCCGGACGGGAAGTTCTCTTTCCATCCTGGACTTCGCGGCGGTCGGGAGCACGATCTCCGTCCGGGGCATGACAAGTCTTGGCTCCTGCTTCTCCGTCTACGCACCGATTGTGAAAGATCAGGGGCTGTCGATGCTGAACTTCTTTGAGCTCGGATCGTCCTTGTCCCTCCGCAGCGTCGTCCGCTGCGGACACAACGTATCCACCTTCGACTTCATGAACATGGGTTCGGCCTGCTCGCTCCGCAACTACTTGCGGATCAGCAGTGCCTTATCTATCTTCGGTGCGTTCCGGGGCGGGACTTCCACCTCGATTCTGAACTTCCTGAACCTCGGGAGTAGTTTGAGTCTGCGGTCGATCATCCGGGTCGGTTCCAGCTTGTCGGTCTTCGACGCGACAAGAGTTGCGAGCACGATCTCCGTGTTGGATTACTTCCAGATGGGCAGCTCTTTATCTCTCCGCGGGTACTGCAGAATGTCGTCGACGTTCTCGGTTTTCAGCACGACGAGAACCGGCTCTGATGTGTCCATGATGAATTTCATGACTCTCGGTAGTTCCATCTCGATCCGCGGCGGCTGGCGGTGCGCGGAAACGCTGTCCATCTACAGCCAACTGCGGTTCGGCAGCACGCTCTCCGTGTTAACTTCCGTTTTGCTCGGCAGCAACTTGTCGGTCCGAGCAGTGGCCCGCCTCGGCAGCTCCATCTCCATCCGGACGAACGTGCGGTTTGCGGACTCGATGTCGGTTTTAGCCCAGGTGACGGTTGGGTCTGGACTCTCACTTCGGAAGTACACAAGGTGTGGATCCACTTTGTCCGTGTTCACGCGGGCGCGCGTGGCGGAACATTTGTCCATCATCCAACACGTGGATTTAGGGAGCCAACTGTCGTTAAGGGCAAGACCAAGGCTAGGGTGCAGCATGTCCACGTTTGACTACGTAAACCTCGGCTCTTGTTTTTCCCTTCGCGGCGCCACCAAGCTCGGGTCCACCATGTCCGTCATCCGCGCCATGCGGTTCGGCGACAACATGTCCGTGCTGGAGTTCTGCAACCTGGCGTCCACCTTGTCTGTCCGCGCCTACCAGCGGGCCGGGAGCACGTTCAGTCTGCTCACCCGCGTGAACCTCGGGGAGAAATTATCCGTGATTGACTACATGCAACTGGGCTCCGTGATCAGTCTCCGAAGCTACGCCAAGATGGGCTCGGTCATGTCGGTCTTCCAGAAGTTCCGCATTTCCGGGAGCTGCAGTTTGCTGGACTTTTTGAACCTCGCGTCTTCTATATCCGTGAGGATGGCAGTCCCGTTTGGAAACCGGGTTTCGGTCCTGGACGTGACCCACTTCGGCAGCTCGCTGTCCATGCGGTCCTACATCCGGCTAGGGTCGACGTGTAGTATCACCGATCGGATCATCACACGGAAGCACTTTTCCGTGCTGGACCAGGGCGCTCTTGGTTCGAGTCTGTCGCTTCGGCAGTGCTTGAACCTGCCGGACTCTGCGTCGGTCTGCAGCTACTTCTTCCTCGGTTCGTCTTTGTCCCTCCGGAACTACTTCCGGATCGGCAGTTCGATGTCGCTGTTCAACAATTTGAGACTGGGAAGCTCTCTGTCCGTCTGCGACGCGGTCAACTTCGGGTCGGAACTGTCCCTCCGGAGTGTGACGAGGATCAGTCATAGAGCCTCCGTCTTCGAGACTCTGTTCCTCGCGAGCTCGTACTCGCTGCGGGCGGCGATGCAGATGGGGTCAACCCTGTCGATCTTCAGCATGGCAAGGTGTGGGAGCAGCATGTCGATGTTGGACATCTGCCAGCAATCCAGTAGCTTATCCTTGCGGAACACCCTGCGAGTCGGCAGTTCCTTGTCTGTTCTCCGGAAGACGCACATCGGAAACGAGGTCTCGGTGTTGGACGCACTGCAATTATCCTCCAGCTTCTCTTTGCGTGGGCACGTGCGGTGCGGTAGCGATCTGTCCATCCTGAACTTCATCCAGTTCGGGTCCGGTTTATCCCTTCGCCACCTCGCGAGGTGCGGGTCCAGGACGAGCTTTGTCGAGTTTCTGGAGCTCGGGTCCAGTTTCTCGTTGCGCTGTGTCTTCCGACAAAACAGCCAGATGTCGCTGTTCAACCGGATGCGCATGGGGAGTCAATTGTCCGTGCTGGATTCAGTTCTCGGCGGTAGTGCTCTGTCGATCCGGAGTTACATGCGGTTCGGCAGTTGCTTCTCGATCTACGGGCAGGGCAGATCCGGCTCGACCGTTTCGATTCTGGACTTTTCCCAGTGCGGATCATCTTTGTCCCTGCGCGCCTACATGCGGCTCGGCAGCGAATTTTCCGTGTTTTCCCAACAGCGGTTCGGCAGCAGCATCTCCCTGCTCGACTTCTCGCACTGCGGGTCCGCGGTCTCGCTCCGGTGCGTGCGACCGCTGGGGAGCAGCTGGTCCGTTTTTTCAAGGCTGAAGTGCGGTTCGACGTTGTCGATGGTGGATTACCTGGGTCTTGGTTCCACTCTCTCCGTCCGCGCGCGCGTCCGGCTGGGCGCAAGATTGTCGGTGTACGATAGAGTGAGCTTCGGTTCCTCCCTCTCTCTCCGGTCGGCGTTTCGCCTCGGATCTTCTCTATCCATGTTCGACGGGCAGATGCGGTTGCACGGCACGTTGTCCATCGTGGACTTCGCCTACTGCGGCAGCACGCTGTCAGTAAGGGAGAGGACCAGCTTCGGCAGCGCGATCTCCATGTTCGATTACTTCCACTTAGGCTCCACGATCTCTCTGCGGGGTGTGCTTCGTCTGGGATCTGCAATGACGGTCCGGAACATTGTGAAGTTCGGTGGCGTGCCGTCCGTCTGCGGGTACTTCGAGCTCGGATCGACTTTATCCGTCCGCTCGTACATGCGGTGCGGCTCTGTCATGTCGTTGTTCAGCCGGTGGGCGATTGGATCCGCTTGCTCGGTGTTGGATGCGGTCTACGCCGGGTCTTCCCTCACGATCCGGCACTACATGCGCGCGGGAAGTGGTTTGTCCCTCCTCGGCCGGATCAACGTCCCGGGCCCCGCGCCGAGTGTGTTGGATTACATGGAACTGGGGTCGACGTTATCGCTCAGACAGTACACGCGACTCGGTTCCACCTTCTCGATCTTCGGCAACACGCGAGTCGCGGTGACGGCATCCGCGTTAGACTATACGAACTTTGGTTCCAGCATGTCCGTGCGAGCCAGAACCATGCTCGGAAGCGGGCTTTCCATCTTCGGGGCGCTCCGCATGGGGACGCGCATGTCGCTGGCGATGAGCCAGGAACTCGGGTCAACGCTGTCTTTGCGGGGGGTTGCAAGGATGGGTAGTGGTATGTCAATCTACAGCAGATTGACCACCGGATCCAACATCTCAGTGTTGGATTTTGTCAACTTCGCGTCCGCGTTCTCTTTGAGAAGCGTGATGAAGTTCGGCTCCACACTGTCGGTGATCGCCAGCATGAACCTCGGCTGCAGCTTGTCTGTTTTAGACTCCACTGGTGTCGGGGAAGAACTGTCGATCAGGAACATGGCAAGATGTGGCACCTACATCTCTGTCTTCGACTTCCTGTCCATCGGCTCCACTCTGTCCATCCGCCGCTATGTCCGCGCCGGTAGCGGTTTGTCCGTCTACAGCCGGTATAAAACCGGCGACTCTTTATCCATCCTGAACTTCGTCCACCTAGGTTCCGGAGCGTCCGTCCGCGGGTTCTGCCGCATCGGCTCGACGCTGTCCGTTTCTCGGTGCACGTTTCTCGGTGAGGGTCTGTCCGGCTACTCCGCGCTGCACTTCGGGTCGACGACGAGCTTACGGGCGTTTGCCAGGATGGGCAGCAACTGCAGCATTTTCAGCGCCGCGACGCTCGGATCGAGTTACAGTGTGTTGGACTCCGCCTTCCACGGAAGTTCTCTCTCCCTGCGCGCGTGCACGCGGATGGGCAGCAACTTCTCCATGTTCAGCAAGGTGGTCATGAGCAGCTGCATGTCCGTGTTGGATTGGTTTACCCTCGGCTCCTCTCTATCCGTCCGGACCTACTGCCGGTTCGGTAGTCGCTGCAGTTTGTTCGGCGACTTCCGGTTCGGCGGCCCCAGCGGCACCGGGATCTCCACCTTCGACTACATGAACCTCGGTTCCGCGATGTCCATGCGGTTGATCGGGAAGATGGGCAGCAATTTGAGTCTGTTCTCCTATTGCAGACTCGGCTCCACGATTTCCACCTGCGACTTCATGACGATGGGCTCCTCGTTGTCCATTCGCGCGATGCCGCGGTTCGGATCCCCGGTGTCCGTGCTGGACTTCGTCTACATCGGCAGCACCATGTCCATGCGCGAGGCGAACCGGCTCGGGTCCAACATCTCGATCTTCAGCCGAGTGAGGTGTAGTGAGGGCGGAAATTTATCCGTCCTCGACTACGTGACGCTCGCGAGTTCTATGTCGCTGCGGCACTTCGGGCGGTGCGGGGGGCAATTGTCGATTTGTCAGTTTGCGCAGATGGGGTCCGGGATTTCTCTCCGGTCGTTCTGCCGACTCGGATCGACACTGTCCTTCGCGGGAAAATTGATGGGCGGATCCTTTTCGATCATTGACCACACCACCACTGGCTCAGCGTTCAGTATTCGTGGGTTCGCGCGCCTCGCGTCCGGCTTATCGATCCACGGCCAGGTCCGGGTCGGGTCGGCGTTTTCCCTGCTGGACTTCTCGAACTGCGGGGCGGAATTGTCGGTGCGCAGGAGAACCCGGATTGGCGAATACTTATCCGTGTTTGACGCGGCGACAATCGGATCCACTTTGTCCATCCGGTCGTTCCAGTCTCTCGGAAGTAACTTCAGCTGCTTCGGGCACATGATGATCGGCTCGGCGATTTCGACGCTGAACTTCTACCACGTCGGATCCTCGCTGTCCGTGAGGCAATTCGTCAGCTGCGGAAAAAACTTCTCGATCTTCGACTTCGCGTCGTGTTCTTCGAATCTGTCCCTGCGCGCCTACGTGCGGTGCGGCAGCTTGTTGTCTGTCGCGAACGGGGCGAAAGGAAGATTTGGCGCCCACGTTTCCATCCTCGATCGCGCGCACTTCGGGAGCTCCATGTCGATGCGCGTGGTCGCGAGAATGGGATCCTCGTTCTCCCTGTTCGGTTGGACGCGATTGGGATCCAGCTTATCCGTTCTCGATGCGTCCTGTCTGGGGTCGAATTTGTCCCTCCGGAACTATATCCGGATGGGCTCCCGGGCGAGCATCTTCGGCTGTGGCATCGTCGCGAGCAGCTGCTCGTTGCTCGACGCGGTGATTCTCGGGTCTACAATTTCCGTACGGCAGGTCGCCCGGCTGTCGTCTTCCTTCAGCACGTTTGCGAAAGTCCGAGCGGGCAGCGGCGCTTGTTCACTCCTGGACGCGATGCTGCTCGGTAGCACACTGTCCCTCCGCGGCTACAGCCGTCTGGGGTCGACGCTGTCGGTTTGCAACGCCTACAGGGGCGGCGGCATGTTCTCCGTGTTGGATCGCGTGTCCCTCGGGTCGACGTTGTCCCTCCGGAAGGGGGGGATGTGCGGGTCCAGATTGTCCATCTTCGACTACATTACCGGCAGCTCCAACATGTCCATCCGCAGCTACAGCAGGTTAGGGTCGCGTCTCTCCATGTTCGGCGAGATGCGGGCGAATAATTGCGTGTCGGTCTTGGACTCGGTGCATTTGGCTTCAGCCATGTCGCTGCGGTCATATGTCAGGCTCGGCAGCTCCTTCTCCGTTATGGGTTCCGCGGGGATAAACGGCGGGGGTTGTTCCGCTATGGAATTCCTCACATTAGGTAGCAGTCTCTCCATCCGTGCGGGCGTTTCTCGTTTCGGCGACGGAATTTCTATGTTGGACATGGTCCGCCTCGGGAGCACACTGTCCCTCCGGGGGACCGGGAGATTCGGGTCCAGTTTGTCCATCTTCGGCGGCATGCGGTTCACCTCGTCCCTGTCGATGCTCAACGCGTTCGAATGCGGTTCAGTGTTGTCCCTGAGGAACTACGCGCGTTGCGGCTCGCAGCTGTCATTGTGCAACGGATTTCGGGTCGGAAGTGCGCTGTCCGTGTTAAACCACGTCCTTTGCGGATCTAGCTTATCAATTCGTGCGTTCACGCGAACGGAGCGGGTTTCCGTGTTTGCCTTCACTAGTGCAGGGTCTGCGATGTCGCTACGGGGGATTAGTCGGATGGGGAGTAACGTTTCCGTCTTCAAATCCGTCATGTTCGGCAAAGCGCTCTCCACGCTCGCCTACCAGGCACTTGGCTCCAGCTGTTCCCTTCGCGCCTTTTCCCAATGCACGAAGGCCTGCAGCGTGTTGGACTTCATGGCGGTCGGCAGTTCAACTTCTGTTCGGAATTTCCTGAAAATCGGATCGGCGTTTTCCCTCTACCGCCAGGGCCTGCTCCAGAAAGTCTCCGTGCTCGATGCGGCCTGCATCGGCAGCACGCTTTCCGTCCGGGGCGGGTTTGTGCAACTCGGGGAGCGGTTCAGCATGATCGACTACTTCGCCGTCGGCAGTGCGATTTCGATCCGAGGGATGTTGCGCGCGGGCAGCACGTTCTCGCTTTTCACCAAGTGCTGCCTCGGGTTGCACTTAAGCATTCTCGACAATTCCGAACTCGGATCGTCCCTTTCGTTACGGTCCTTCACGCGGCAAGGGTGCAGCATGAGTGCGTTGGACGCGACTTTTCTCGGATCCGCGATTTCGATGCGGTCGCAAGCGAAGCTGGGATCGACGCTGTCCATGTTCAACATGAGCAGACTGGGCAACGTTTTGTCCGTTCTATCCCACCTACATCTCGGGTCCTCCATGTCTGCGCGCGCAACGTTCCGGAGTGGCCACAAGTTTTCCGTGTTCGACCAGTTTCTGCTCGGAAGCTCGTTGTCCGTCCGGGCGTACGTGCGGTTCGGTAGCAATTGCAGCTTCTTCGGAACGTCGAAGATCAACAACGCAAACTCCGTGCTGGACTACCTGAAGCTCGGATCCAGCTGTTCCGTCAGGAGTTTTGGACGGTTTGGAGAATCTTTATCCGTGTTCAACTTCGTTGAGTTCGGCAGCACATTGTCCCTGCGGTCCTACATGCGGATTGGTTCCCACTTCTCCGTGTTCGGGCGCACCGACGGCGGCCACCAAGTGTCCTGCTTCGGCTACATGCACTGCGGGTCGAGCTTCTCCGTCCGAAGGTTTGCGCGCGCGAACGAGGGCGTTTCGCTGATTCAGTTCCTGCGCGTCGGATCGGTGGTGTCTCTCCGGTCTGTGATCCGCATGCAGTCGAACGTCAGCGTGTTCAGCCGGCTCAGATTAGGCAGTGGGTTGTCGATGCTGGATGCGACCAATCTCGGGAGCAGCCTGTCCGTGCGCAGCTACGTGCGACTGGCGTCCACCTTCTCGCTGTACGGGCTGAAACCGGAAAAGGCGCTGTTTTCCGCGCATTTGTCAATCTTCGACGCGGTGAGTTTAGGTTCCAGCTTGAGTTGTCGCATGGTAACGAAGGTGCAACCAAGGGCATCGGTGCTGGACTACTGCGAACTCGGATCGGTGATCAGTTTAAGAGCGACACAGCGAATCGGGTCCACCCTCTCCGTCTTCGCCCGCGCGATCACCAGTCACCAATTGTCCGTGATTGACAGCCACTGCTTCGGCAGTGCGCTCAGTCTCCGGTCTTGCGTTCGCTTAGCGTCCACCTGCAGTGTGGTCGGCCACGTTCGGTTGGGCTCGTGCACTTCTATTTTGCAGCACGCGCACTTCGGGTCGTCGCTGTCGATCCGCGGGGTGCAGCGCCTGGCGAAATCTGTGTCCGTCCTCAGCTTTGTGCAACTCGGCTCTGCCGTCTCGCTCCGGAACGTGGTCCGGGTCGGGAGCACGTGCTCGGTGTTCGGTGCGGCGACCGCGGCGCACCAGATCTCGGTGGCCTACCAGATGGAGATGGGAAGCAGTCTGAGTCTGCGCAAGTTCACGCGGTTCGGCAGTTCATTGTCCGCCTTGAGCTTCATCGAGCTGGCGTCCAACTGCTCCTTAAGGAATTACATGCGGATCGGGTCCAGTCTGTCCGTGTTTGGCGCGCGGATCGATCTGGCGGCGAACTTGTCCGTCTTGGACAGCATGTTCATGGGATCGGCTTTATCCCTCCGCGATACTAAACGTGTTGGTTCCCCCTTCTCGATGATCGACTTCTCGCACGTGGGGTCCGCTTTATCACTCCGTGCGTACGCGCGACTGGGATCGGCCTTCTCGCTGCAAAGCATCGCCCGCTGCGGCGGCACGGTTTCGGTGTTAGCGGAAGTCAGCGTCGGCAGCACGCTCTCGTTACGCAGCTACGGTCGGTTCGGCGGCAGAATGAGTGTGCTGGACTACCTGCACTGCGGGTCTAGTCTCTCCCTCCGGGCGTACACCCGGATCGGGTCGGCGTTGTCGATCGGGACGGGGCCGGCGAAGGAAAGGAATGTCGTTTACGGGAAGCTTTCTGTTCTCGATTTCCTGACCCTCGGAAGCTCGATTTCGGTCCGGCAAGCGGTCAGAATTGCCGGCTCGGTCTCTGTCATAGATTCAACCATCCTCGGCAGCTCGCTCTCGATCCGGCGCATGGCGCACGCGGGCAAAGGCGGCTTGTCCGTCTTGGACTTCGTCAGCGTCTCGTCCGGTGTCAGCATGCGGGCAGCCTGTCGGTTCGGCAGCGGCATCAGCATCTTCAGCCAGTTGCGCGTCGGGGGGAGTTTGTCCGTCTTGCGGCACGGGGAGTTTGCCAGTTCGTTATCGTTGCGAACGTACACGCGATTAGGCAGCAGCTTGTCCTGTAGCGGCATTGGGGTGCGAACGGAATTGCTCGCGAAGGTCTCCATCGTGGATAAGTGCCACTTTGGCTCCACCATCAGCCTTCGCAGCTGGGCCCGGTGCAGTTCGAACGTGTCGACGTTGTTCTACTCGCATCTCGGAAGTGCGTTGTCCATTCGTGCGTACGCGCGTATCGGATCGACGTTGTCCGTCTGCGGGCAGCACTCCCGCGTCACGTGCATGACGTCGATTCTGGACCAGACCGCCCTCTCCAGCTCCCTCTCCCTGCGGCAGGCGGCACGTGTTGGCGCGAAATTATCCGTTTTACAGTTCGCCCACTTCGGCAGCAGTTTGTCCCTACGGTCCTCCGCCTACGCCTGCAGCCACTGCTCGATTCTGTCCTTCGCGTATTTATCCAGTTCCATCTCTGTCAGGAATTTTGCCCGAGTTGGTTCTGGCCTCTCCGCACACGCGGTCTCCGGCCGCGCGCACGGGACTTTATCGCTTTTAAGTCACATGGAGATCGGCAGCAGCATGAGTATCAGGAATAACGTGAAGATCGGGAAGAGTCTTTCGCTCTTAGACTACGCGGTCTTAGGTTCCTCCTGCTCCGTGCGGTCACACGTCCAGATCGGCCGAAGTTTGTCCATCCTGACCTTCGGGAACTGCGGATCCTCGTTGAGCTTAAGGCACGTGGTCCGGCTCTCCTCCGGGCTCTCCATCTACGGGACCTTCAAAGCGGATCACGGGTGCGGCGGGACAAGAATGTCCGTCACAGCATTGTGTCAGCTCGCGTCGTCGCTGTCCGTCCGGAGTTGCACGCAGATCTCGAATGCGGTGTCCTGTCTGGGCTTTTCCACACTGTCCTCCTCGATCAGTCTGCGCCGGTTCTCGCGCCTCGGCTCCGCGATCTCGGTGTATGATTCCAGTAGGGTACACGGTCGGATGAGCGTCACGGACATGCTGCATTTAGGGAGTACTTTGTCCATCCGGGCTAATAGTTTGCTGGGGTGCAGCGTCAGCTTGGTCGATTACCTCCTCCTCGCGTCCTCTCTCTCCATCCGGAACTTCGCGCGCATGTCGGATTCCATCAGTGCCGTCGGGATGCTCCGCGCGGGGTCTTTCTCCGTGCTGGACCGGATCGAGATGAGCTCGACCTGCAGTCTCCGCAACCTGATCCGGCTAGGTTCCAGTATTTCCACCGTCGGCGCGGGCGCGAAGCTGTACGGGTTGTGCGGAAAGGACCTGTCCGTCATGAACTACGTCAGCCTTGGGTCGTCCATCAGTTTGCGACGGTACGCGAGACTGGGTGACAGCCTGTCCGCCTACGACTTCCTGAACCTGGGCAGCTCGTTGTCCGTGCGCGTGTGCGCGAAGGTCGGGTCGGCGTTCTCGGTGTTCAGTAGCATCCGGGGGAACAGCTTCAGCGTGTTGGATTTTTTGAAACTGGGGTCCGCGATCTCGTGTCGCGCGTTAGCCGCCAACGGCTCCGGCTGCAGTCTGTACGGCAGGTTTAAGACCGCCGCGTCATTGTCCGTCCTGCAGCACAAGTTTGTCGGCAGCTGTTTGAGTCTGCGGTCGTTTGGCCGCCTCGGCTCCGGCATGTCGGTGATGGGCAGCGGCACGATGAGTGCGAAGACGTCGGTGTTGGACTACTTCTCCATCGGCTCCACTTTATCAGTCCGCACCTACGCCCGGTGCGGGTCCGCCGTCAGTCTGTTCGCGTCGACGGTGCAGTGCGGCTCGACGTTATCCATCCTCGGGAACATCGATGTCGGGTCTAACCTGTCCATCCGCGGGATGTTGCGGAAGGGAAGCAGTCTGTCCATCTTCGGCCAGAGTTTCCTCAGTTCCAACATGTTTTCCGCTCTCGACAGCTTCTGCCTCGGCAGCTCGTTGTCCCTGCGCGCGTACACGCGGATCAGCAGCTCCGTGTCCATCTTCGGCGCCATGAAGCGGTCCGCAACGGACACGCCGGTGTCCGTGTTGGATGCGAGTATGCTGGGTTCTGCTCTGTCCGTCCGGGCGTTTGTGCGATTGGGCTCCAGTCTCTCCGTGAAGAACCTGATCCTGTTCAGCCACGACTTCAGCTTGACGCACGCGATGTTTTGCGCGAGCAGTATGTCGCTCAGGTCCTTAGCGAGAGTCGGTTCCTATTTCTCCGTATTCGGACGAACCAATCTCGGCGACAGCCTGTCCATGCTGGGTGCCCACACCGCGGGAAGCGCCTTATCCCTCCGTGCGTACTCGCGCATCGGGAGCGGATTCTCCGTCCACAGCGGTGCGAGAGTAGTAGGAGACGGCCGGTTCTCGATCATGGACTACTTGAAGTGCGGCTCCAGTCTGTCCATCCGCAGTACCGGCATTCTCAACTGCTCATCCATCTTCTCCCCGGTCATGCTCGGAAGCTCTCTGAGTCTCCGCGCGCTGGCAAGGTGCGGATCCAGCTTATCCGCTCTCACGGCGGTGAAGCTCGGGGGCAGCTTCTCGGTTTTAGATGCGGTCACGTACGGATCGTCCTTATCCATGCGGTCCTTCAGCCGGCTCGGCCACGACTTTTCATGCAGCGGCTGCTTGAACGGGGTGGGGAGCATCACGTTCCTCTCCCTCTTCGAGTTCTTCGAGATGGGAAGTTCGCTTTCCATCCGCGGCGTGAACCGCATGGGGAGTCGAGTGTCTGTCTTCGACTTCATGCAGATCGGCTCCGCGATGTCCGTCCGCGCGTTCTCGCGCTGCGGTTCCGCGCTGAGTGTCGCCACCTCGGGCACGGTGTGCGGGGAGCGATTGGATGTGACGAACACGTTGTCTGTCGGCACGTATAGCCGTATTGGATCGGAAATGAGCATTTACGGAGCTTTGAATCTGTCGAGTTCAATATCGCTTCGCGCGAACGCAAAAATGGGGTCCATGTCGATCCTTGCGTTCTGCCAGATGGGATCGTCGCTTTCGATCCGGTACTTCTCCAGAGTAGGCAGTGGCGTTTCCGTCATCGGGAAAAACACGCGTGCGAACAACGCCTTCAGCGTGTTCTCCCAGACTGAGATGGGATCAGCGCTCTCCCTGCGCACCATGTCGTCCTTCGCGAACAAGATGTCGATTCTCGACTGCATGAATCTCGGGTCCACGCTCTCAACCCGCACGTTTGTCCGCATCGGCAGCGGCTGCTCGCTGATGGGCCTGTTCCGCCCGGGCAGCTGCGGCGCGACCTCCGTGATCAACTGTGTCCACCTGGGGTCGACGTTGTCCATGCGGCAGATGGGCCATTTGGGTTTGGGAGGCCTCTCCGTGATCTCCTTCTACGATCTCGGTTCGCAGCTCTCGCTCCGCACCACCGCGAAGATCTCGAGCTGTCTTTCGATTTACAGCAGCGGGCACGGCAGGATCGGGCTAAAAACCTCCGTGATGGATTTCATGCAGATCGGCTCCTCCTGTTCCATCCGGGCTTTTACCCGCGTCAGCTCACAATTCTCCCTGCTCGACAGTGTCACCGTCGGCTCTAGTGTCTCTGTACGCAGCTTCACGCGGTTCGGCTCCGCGATCTCCGTGCACGGCCAGTTCGCGACCAAGAAGCTGGGCATCGGCATTTCCGTCTTCGACCAGCTCACGATGGCGAGCTCGCTCTCCTTGCGGGGAAGAGGGTACGCGGGGAGTACGGTTAGCGTGTTCGATTTCCTGAACCTCGCTTCCGGCTTGTCGGTCCGGAAAATCGCGAAGTTTGGCAGCAGTGTCTCAGTCGTGGATGCGATATACTTGGGCTCCAACCTCTCCCTCCGGTCTACCGGCCGGTTCGGGTGCGCGTTGTCCACGCTCTTGTTCTCGAGCTTCGGTTCCAGCTTGTCGATCCGGAACTACACACGCATCGGGTCCACCGCCTCCTGCTTCGGGCGAACCGCAATCGGCAGCATCGTGCAACTCAGCGTCATGGGCTACGGACATTTAGCGTCTGGGTTGTCCATCCGGGCCTTCGCGCAGCTGAGCAAGGGCGTTTCCGTGTTGGACGCGATGACCATGAGCAGCTCCTGTTCTTTGAGACAGTATGCCCGCTGCGGCAGCGGCTTCAGTCTGTTCTCCTGCGGCCGACTCGGAGCGTCTGCTTCGGTCCTCAGCTTCGTGCAGCTCGCGTCGCAACTGTCGGTTAGGTCGCATGCTACCTATGGACGGTACGGGTTCTCCGTGTTGGACTGTTTATCGATGAGTTCCTCTTTATCGCTCAGAACATACACGCGGGTCGGCAGCGGTTGCAGTGTTATGGGAAGGTTTGACACGGGCTCGATCTACCGCCTCTCCTGCGTGGATTATTTGAACCTCGGCAGTTCCCTCTCCATTCGCAGCTTCTCGCGCGTGGACGCGAGTGTGAGCTTGCTGGGCATGATGGCGGTCTCTTCCGCTTTGTCCGTCCGCTCCGTTGGCCGGTTCGGCTCGTCGCTCTCCGTCGCTGGTGCGGCGCAAAGGACCATGCTAAAAGCGAACCTCTCCGTGCTTGACGCGTCGATTCTCGGGTCCAGCTTCTCGCTCAGAACCTTCGCGCGCATTGGCAGTGCGGTTTCCGTTCTCGGGTTTACGGACTTCGGAAGCAGTTTGTCCTTACGAAACTACGCAAGACTAGGGTCCACGTTGTCCGTTTTGACTAACCTCAAAGTCGGATCCGGGTTCAACGGCGCGTCTGTTCTGGACTACCAAGCGCTCGGATCGTCTTTGTCGGTCCGCTCCATGGTGGAGAGTCAGAACAACCGCGGGCTATCCATTCTCGATTACATGTCGATGGGGAGCACTCTTTCGATCCGCTCCCTCGTCCGGTTCGGAAGCTCATTATCCGTCGCGTCCGGAATCATTTTGAACGGGAGCCAGAACATGTCGGTGAAGCAGGGGGTTTTCATCCAGGGCGCAACCTCCGTGTTCGACTGCTGCAACCTCGGGAGCACCTTGTCTTTACGTGCGTACGCCCGACTGGGATCCGGTTTGAGTGTCGCGGGGTTATGTGCCTTTGGCTCCATGAGCTGGATGAGCGTGATGGAATTCAGCAACATCGGTTCCAGCGTGTCGCTCCGTTCCTTCGCGAATTTGGGCAGCAGTTGCAGCGCGTTGTCTTTCGGCACCTTTGGTAGCGCTTTGTCCATTCGGTCGTTTGTAAGAACCGCAGACAGATCCTCCATTCTCGACTTCCTCACGATGGCCTCGAGTTTGTCCCTGCGGAACTTCTGCCGAATCGGATCGGACTTGTCCGTCGCCGGGATTACCAGCAACATTGGCGGAATGCTTTCCGTCATTGGCTGCGCACACACGGGTTCGTCGCTCTCTCTCCGGGGGCGATTGATGGCGATCGGGAAAAACATGAGCGTTCTGAACATTTTGGAGCTCGGGTCGTCTGTCTCGTTACGTCAATACCTCCGCTGCGGAAGTGACGCATCGGTAATTGGTAGAACCGCGATTGGGAGCTGCCTCCGGCTCTCCGTGATCGACTTCATGCAAGTCGGGTCTGCGATGTCGGTCCGGCAAACGGCGCGGTTCGGCGCGAAAATGTCGATTTTGGATATGGTGAACTTGGGCTCGGCGCTCTCGTTAAGGGAGTACGCCAGGTTCGGATCCAGTTTGTCGATGTTCGGCGCTATGAAGGTCAGCCGGGACGCGTCGGTGTTGTCTCATGTACACATGGGATCTACCATGTCGCTCCGGATGTACGCGAGACTGGGAAGCGCCGTGTCTGTACTGAACTTTTCGCAGTTCGGTTCGTCCATGTCGATCCGGAACTACGTCAGGTTCGGATCTAGCTGCAGCTTGGTGCAGAGCTGGAAAATGGCCCTCGACTTGTCCGTGTTAGGCGCCACGGAACTCGGGAGCTCGCTGTCCATCAGAAGTTTCGTCCGTACCGGCAGTGTCACCAGTGTCCTGCATTATCTCGAGCTCGGAAGTTCCCTGTCGGTCAGACAGAACGGGCGGTTCAACAACAAGTTGTCTGTTTTAGATTGCTTGCACCTCGGGGAAGAACTATCCGTTCGGCAAGCCGCGCTCTGCGGCAGCTCAGCGTCGATCTTCAACTTCCTCGCTCTTGGCAGTGGACTGTCCGTCCGCGCGTACGCGCGCCTCGGGTCTAAGGCGTCTATCTGCGGTCTGATGAAGGTCGGTTCCGTCGCGGCCTTCAGCTTGACGGATACTGTGTCCGCAGGTTCGTCTCTATCCCTCAGAATGACGTCGAAGCTCGGGTCCTCCCTGTCGGTTTTGTCGAACCTCAGCATGGGCTCGTCCATCTCGCTAAGGAACTTCACCCGGTTAGGCTCCTCCGCCAGTTTGGCCGGTGCGGGTCTGAACAGCATGCGGGGGGCGCTGTCGGTCCTGCGGGAAGTCTCCGTTGGCAGCAGTTTGTCCATCCGTGCGTTCGCACGTACAGGTAGCTGCATGTCGGTGCTGGACTTCACCAGTCTCAGCTCGATGCTCAGCGTCAGAACGGTGTCCCGGCTCGGCAGTTCCTGCAGTGTGTACGTGGACGCCAGATTGGGTACGAAGGCATCCATCTTGGACCAAGCAACCTTAGGTTCCAGCCTGTCCATCCGCGGTATGGTTCGGGTCCCGGCGACAGCCAGCGTCTACGACTGCTTGTCGCTCGGCAGCTCATTGTCGCTCCGGGCGTTCGCGCGGTTCGGCAGCTCGGTGAGCGTGTTTGGGCTGACGAAAAACTACGGCAGTTGCTTCCGCCTGTCCGTGGTGGATTACTTGACGCTGGGCTCCTCCGTCTCCATCCGGGGCTGCCTGCGCGGATCACTTTTGAGTAGCTCGATGTTCGACTTCTTCACTTTAGGCAGCAGTTTGTCGCTCCGGAACTACCTGAGGCTCGGTTCGAGCGTATCTCTCCTCGGGTTGACGAAGACTGGCGGGAGTGTGCACTGCATGTCCGTGATGAATTTCGCGTGTCTCGGCTCCTCCCTGTCCGTCCGGTCCTTCGCGTCGTTCGGCTCCTCGGTTTCCGTTTTAAACCACATCAACTTCGGGTCCAGCATGTCCCTTCGGTGCTACGCGCGGTGCGGCAGCAGCCTGTCTTTGCAGGGCAAAGCGACGTTTCAATCCTCCAACAGTGTGATTGACTACGTGTCGTTCGGGTCCAGCTGCAGTTTGCGGTCGAGCGCGAAGCTGGGCAGCCGGATCTCGACGTTAGGGTTCACGAACCTCGGCTCCGCTCTGTCCATCCGGCAGTTTGGACGGTTCGGATCTTCCTTGTCTGCCACCGGCTTGCACACGCACGTGAACCCGAGGGTGAGTCTGTTGGAGCAAATCCAACTCGGCAGTTCCATGTCTTTACGTGCGTTCACTCGTTTCGGCTCTAGCGTATCTGTCCTGGACTTCCTCCATCTCGGCAGCACTGTATCGGTCCGAAACATGGTTCGCGTGGGGTCCGGATTCTCCGTCATCGGACTCTTCCGGCCGGGCTCGGTGTTGAAATTGTCCGTGATTGACATGATGCAGTTAGGCAGCTCGGTGTCGGTCCGATCTACCACCAGACTCTCGTCCGGCTTCAGCCTCTTGCAGTTCGTCCAGCTCGGGTCCAGTTTATCCATTCGCAGCCACGTTTACGCGGGCATAAGGGCGAGTGTCATGGACTGCATGGCCTTGGGAAGCACGCTGTCGATCCGTGCCGCAGTGCGGCTCGGGTCGGGTGTTTCCGCGTTCGGGTTGTCCCGATGTGGAAGTATCATTTTGACTTCGATTTACGACACGGCGCTTCTCGGATCGTCATTATCTGTCCGGGGGGTCACGAAGTTCGGGTCTTCCTGCTCCTTCTGCGACTACCTCGGATTAGGGTCGACTTTGTCCCTCCGGACGTTCGCGCGGTTCGGCTCCGGCCTGTCCGCGAAGGGCGCGATCGAGTGCGGCAGCGTGATGCGGACGTCTGTTCTGGACTTCTTAACCCTCGGGAGCAGTATTTCGGTCCGATCCCACATCCGGATGTCAGGCACGTTAAGTCTCCTCGACACGCTCGCTTTAGGTAGCCAGCTGTCCCTCCGCGCGGTGGCGCAACTCGCGTCGGCGTGCAGCGTGTTCCGCGGCCAGGCGTGCGGGGGAATATCGATGAGCGTGTTGGATTTCCTTCACATCGGCAGCACACTCTCCGTCCGGTCGAAGGTGAACTTGGGAGAAACAACGTCGCTGTTCTGCCACTTGTTGGTAGGGAGCTCTGTATCTATCCGCAGCTTCTCGCGGATGGGAAAAACCTTGTCCGTGTTGGATGCGGTGCACTTCGGATCCACGCTCTCCTTCCGCCAGTTCGCCAGACTCGGCTCCAGTCTGTCCGCAGCGGGGGTAACGGATTTGAGTCAGCAACTGTCCGTTCTTGACCACGTTGCACTCGGCTCCGCGTTCAGTTTGCGGAACTTCGGGAGAATTGGAAATGCGCTGTCGACTTTACAGTTTGTCCACCTCGGTAGCACGATTTCGCTGCGATCAACCGTCCGGAGTGGGAGCCGCCTGTCTTTGTTGGACAATTTGGAGCTCGGTTCGTCCATGTCTCTACGTGCAAATGCGCGCATCGGCTCGACCTTCAGCGTGCTTGGGAAAAGCCGGCATGGTATGCGGATTTCCTTGTTGGATTTTTTCCAGCTCGGGAGTTCGTTGTCCCTCCGGTCTTCCACCTTCTGCGGCAGCGCGATCAGTGTATTAGATGCGGCCCTTCTCGGCTCCACAGTCTCGCTCCGCAGCCAGATGCGGCTCGGTGGGTTGTACTGCAGCGTATTCGACGCGACCAGTTTAGGTTCCTCGCTCTCCATGCGGGCCAACGTCCGGTGCGGCAGTACTTTATCCGTGTTCGGTGCGGGCTGCGTGGGTAGTCTTACCAAACTCTCGATCATCGGCGCCACTGCGATGGCCAGCTCGCTGAGTCTGAGACACGTTGCCCAGATGGGGAGTCGCTGCTCGGTTTTGGACTTCCTCTCAATCGGATCTTCTATCAGCGTCCGCGCGGCAACAAAGCTGGGCTCGACCTTCTCGATCTTCACGTTGAAAAGCAAGAACGCGGTTCTCGGTGGGGCGATGAGCGTCTTGGACGTTCTGGAACTCGGCTCGTCCTTCTCCGTCAGAAGTATGCAGAAGTGCGGCAGCCGATTTTCCGCCCTGGACTTTCTGCAGCTCGGGTCCTCCATGAGCATCCGCAATTACCTCCGCCTCGGCTCCGGCTTCTCCATGAGCGGCCAGATGAAGATGCTGGGCAGTTGTCTGACGTGTTCTGTGTTGGACGCGACGCAGCTCGGGAGTTCCTTGTCCGTCAGAGGGAGATCAAGATTCGGCTCTACCGTTTCCATGTACGACGCTTTTCTCATGGGATCATCTCTCTCCCTCCGCAGTTACGCCAGAACGGGCAGCGGGTTATCCCTCACCGGGTTTTCCTTCGTCAACAGCTGCATGTCGGTGTTGGAGCAGGTCGTCTTCGGGTCCACGATGTCGCTGCGCACGTTCGGAAGGTTTGCGGGGCAGATTTCCGTTTTCGACAGTGTTTCAGTCGGATCCTGTTTAAGTGTGCGCACATACTGCAGAATTGGATCTTCTCTATCCATCACCGGCTCGTCCCAGTGCGGCATCAAGTGCTCGGTTCTGGACCGCGCGCACCTCGGGTCGTCGATCAGTCTCCGGGCCTTCGGCCGAGCGGACTCAGGCATTTCGATTCTGAACTTCGGCAATTTCGGCTCTGCCTTGAGCATCCGCGCACTGACGCGGATCGGATCCGGCGTCTCCGTCCACGGGCAGATGAACGTGCTCGGCTCCTGTCTGCGTTTATCCGTCATCGACTGCATGAATCTGGGAAGTTCGCTGTCCGTGCGCACGCTCGCGCGGCAGCAGGCGTCGTGCAGTGTGCTGGACTGCTTCAACCTGGGAAGCTCCATGTCCGTACGCACGTTTACACGCATGGGGGAACAGGCTTCGATTCTCAGCTTCGTCGATTTAGGCAGCACGTTGTCTGTCCGAAGTCGGTCGAGAGTGAGCATGCGCTGCTCCACGTTTGACGCGGTCTCCCTCGGGTCGATGTTGTCCATCAGAAGCTTCGTCCGGGCCGGTTCCGGCTTATCCGTCTTCACAAACTACATGGCCGGCTCCTCGCTTTCCGTGCTAGACAGCACGCAGGTCGGGAGCTGCATGTCGGTCCGCGCCATGGCCCGACTGGGGTCGTACGTCAGTATTTTCGACTTCTTGGGGCTTGGTAGCGCGGTGTCGGTGCGGGCAGTTTCCAGACTCGGCTCTTCCACCTCCATCTTCGGCGAGTCGCGACTGGGCTCGAGACTGTCCGTTTTAAGTTTTATGACGATCGGTTCGACAACCAGTCTGCGGGCGCACGGGAAATTGGGCAGCCGCATGTCGGTCTTGGACTTCATGTCCATCGGCAGCTGTTTATCGCTTCGCTCAGTTGGCCGTTGCTCCTCCCAACTCTCGACCCTGCAGTATACCACCCTCGGCAGCTCGTTGTCGCTCCGGGTGTGCGGCAAGGTCGGCGAGAAAATTTCCCTCCTGGATTACAGCCACTTCGGGTCCTGCGTCTCAATCCGGCCATTAGTGCGTGTCGGCAGCGCTTTCTCGGTTGCGGGGACGTTTGCGGTCGGCTCGGCGTACAATTTGTCCGTCATGCACCAGGTGGAACTGGGGAGCAGCATGTCCATGCGCAGCTTCGGCCAGGCGGGCAAGAACTTGTCCATGCTCAACTTTGTCAACCTCGCCTCCGGGATTTCGCTCCGTGCGTTCACACGCGCCGGAAGCAGCGTGTCCTTGTTGTCAAGAGTGATTGCGACGGGCAAAGCGTCTCTATTGAACATGGTAACAACCGGCTCGGCGCTGTCCGTCCGGACCTATTGCCGGGTGGGGAGCGGTTTGTCGATCCTGGCGAAGGGCGTTGCGAGCGGTGCCGGGTTGTGCTCCGTGTTGGATAAGGTCACCTTCGGAAGCACTTTGTCTCTCCGCGGCGCGACGGTTAAATTTGGCCACCGACTGTCCGTGCTCGACCACCTCGCAATGGGTTCCGCCTTGTCTGTACGAAGCTTCGTGCAGGCGGGAAGCAGGTTTTCGTTGCTCGACATGTGTCAACTTGGATCCAGCTTGTCCCTCCGCGCCTGCGGCAGGATCGGGTCCGGATTGTCGATCATGAGCAACACCAGAGTCGGCTCCGTGTACAGGTTGTCCGTCGTGACCTCGACCATCCTCGCTTCCTCCTTATCCGTGCGGGGATTCGTGAAGGCGCACAGCGGCACAAGCATCCTCGGGTTCTTGCAACTCGGCAGCACCTTGTCCATTCGGGCAGTGACGCGAATCGGATCCGGTCTGTCTATCGGCGGACGGTCGCGGATCGACAGTACTTGCTCGGTTTTGCAGCAAATTGAGCTTGGCAGCTCCATGTCGTTGCGGAGTTCTGCGCGTCTCGGGTCAAAATTGTCGACATTATGCTTTGTCGCACTGGGTTCCAGTCTCAGCATTCGGTCCTACGCACGATTCGGCAGCGGTTTGTCCGCGCACGGCTTGCTCACTAGCACCGGATCGGTGTACCGGTTGTCCGTCATTGACCACCTACATCTCGGATCCAGCTTGAGCGTCCGCAACAAAGCCCGCGCCGGTCATCGAGTCTCCGCCTTGGGCTTCGTGCAGCTGGGGTCGAGCCTGTCTGTCCGTACCTTCGCGCGCCTGGGCAGCAAATGTTCGGTCGTCGGTTTGGAATCCATGGGCTCCTGCAAGTCCGTCTCCGTGATTGACTTTGTGCAGCTCGCCTCCTCGGTCAGCATGCGCAGCTTCTCGCGGATGGGGGCAGACCTCAGTATTCTCGATTCCGTCGTGTTCGGATCGAGCTTGAGTCTACGAGGAAGCTTCAAGAGCATGGGTTTGCACACGACAAGCTTGTTGAACTTCGTCACCCTGGGAAGTACGATTTCCGTCCGCCACTGCGGTTTATTGGGCTCGCGCGTCTCGGTCTTAGATCAGCTGAACCTCGGTAGCAGCATGAGCATTCGCAGCTTCTTGCGCAGTGGGTCCACGGTGTCCTGTCTTGGAAGCACCGTCTTCGGCGGACGATGCTCGGTCTTGAGCCAACTCGAACTCGGCAGCAGCTTTTCGCTAAGGCGGACTGCTAGAATGGGGAAATCGCTGTCCGTACTCGACGCGGTCTACCTCTCGTCCAGCTTGTCTCTCCGAGCGTATGTGAGAACTGGATCAACCTTATCCGTGATCGGCTTGACCAAGCTCGGCAGCTGCTGCAGACTGTCGATTCTGAACCAGGTCGAGCTGGGAAGCTCCATGTCGATGCGGCAGGTGATGCGTTTGAGCTCCAGCATTTCGATGTTCGACTACATGGCGCTCGGGTCCACCATTTCCCTCCGGGCGATCTCCCGCCTCGGCAGCACGGTCTCCGTCTTCGGAGCGAGTTCTAGGATCGGGGACTGTCTGTCCATCTTGGGGTCGGTTTCGCTTGGAAGCGCTCTGTCGTTACGAAGCATGTGCCGCCTGGCGGACTCCCTCTCCGTGTTCGACAACGTGGAGTTAGGAAGCAGTTTGTCTGTACGGAATGTGATCCGGTTCGCCGGCCGCTGCTCCGTCTTCGACCACTTCACCTGCGGGTCCAGCGTGTCGATCAGAGCGTTTGTACGCCTCGGAAGCTCGTTGTCCGTGATCCACAACACGCGCTGCTTCGGTTCCTGCTACCGCGCTTCGGTGGTGAGCTACCTGGCGCTGGGGAGCAGCATGAGCCTGCGCGGGGTGGCGCGGATGGGATCGACCTTGTCCGTGTTCGACTTCTGCGCATTGGGGTCCACCGTGTCGATTCGCGCGTATAACAGAATTGGCAGCGGGCTCTCCCTGTTCAACAAGGCTAGATTCGGGTCCGAGTTCAGTCTGCTTGATTCCATCACGCTGTCCTCATCTTGCAGTCTGCGCAGTAAAGCGCAGCTCGGCAGCACGTTCTCGCTATTGGACTACCTGAACATGGGAAGTTCCTGTAGCGTGCGGTGCCTGGCGAGACTCGGGTCTAGCCTCTCCCTCACCGGGAACTTTGAGCACAGCCGCGGAGAATTGTCGATTCTGGACTACGGCTTCACGGGTTCTGCTTTATCCGTCCGGTCGCACACGCGGATGGCGGCGACGTGCAGTGTCGTGGACATGACGATTCTCGGATCGAGTTTATCCTTGCGGAACTTCGTCAAGGTCGGAACATCTCTTTCTACCTTCGACTACTTCAACATCGGCAGCACGATTTCGCTCCGGTCCACCGCCAGATCGGGGAGTCAGGTGTCCGTCCTGAACTTCAGCAATTTGGGGTCATCTCTCTCCGTCCGGAACTACGCAAGACTCGGTCATTCACTCTCCGCGCTCGGACGGGCGGATCTGGGGAGTGTTTACCGGGTGAGTGTGATGGAGTGGACAACGGTTTCTTCCAATTTATCCCTCCGCAGCTTCGCGCGGTTCGCCGGCGAACCCTCGATTTTGGATACCTTCCACATGGGAAGCTCCCTGTCCCTCCGCGGGTACGTGCGGATCGCGAAGTCGATCTCCATTTGCGGACCGGAAGCTAGATTCCGCGGCGGCACCTCCGTCCTCGACATGTGCGCGATCGGGAGCAGTCTGTCTGTCAGAAGGATTCTTGAAGTCGGAACGAGATTTTCGGTGCTGAACTTCGCGCATTTAGCGAGTGGCGCGTCGATGCGCAACATGTGCCGGGTTGGTTCGAGCTGCAGTTTACTTGCGGTTGCGAGATTGTCAAGCTCGCTCTCCGTGATCGACAGCATTTTGCTCGGCAGCTCTTTATCCGTTCGCGCGCACGTGCGCTGCTCGATGGGCGCTTCTGCCTTGCACTTCGGGCACATCGGGTCGACGTTGTCACTCCGGAGTTTCATTCGTGTTGGATCGAACCTGTCCGTGAAGGGGTTGCTCCAGATCGGCAGCTGCAATCGGGCGTCCGTGATCGATTATCTCCATATGGGAAGCACGGTTAGTCTCCGTACGGTTGCTAGGTTCAGCAGCGCTATTTCCACCCTGAACTTCGTGTCCATCGGCAGCTCGTTATCCCTCCGGACCTTCACGCGACTCGGGTCGGCGTTCTCCGTCTTCAGCGAAGCGAACGCAGTCCGGTGCATGACGAGCTTTTCCGTGTTGGACGGCGTGTCTTTAGGGTCGGCTTTGTCCTTGCGGTCCTGCATGAAGGTCGGTAGCATGTGCAGCACCCTGAACATGGTGTTGCTCGGAAGCTCTTTGTCCGTGAGACAATACGCCCGCATCGGAAGCGGTCTGTCCACGAATGCACAAACCCGGTTTGGCGAGAAGATGAGCGTTTTGTCGTTCGCGAGCCTGGGCTCCAGCTTGTCCTTAAGGTCTAACATCCGTGGCGGCGCTGCCTTGTCGCTCGTGAACTTCTGCCACATGGGATCAAGCTTATCTGTCCGGTCGTTCGCCAGGTGCGGCTCGAGTTTGTCTGCCTTCGGGTTACATACCCACGGGTCGACCATGAAGATGAGTGTGATCCAGTATTTAACAATGGGTTCCAGCATCTCGATTCGGTCCTTCGTCAGAACCTCCTGTCGCGCCAGCGTCCTCGATTGCCTCCACATGGGATCCGCACTCTCCATCCGGACGTCCGCGCGCTGCGGCAGCAGTACCTCCGTGTTCGGCCGTTGTTTTGTGCAAAGTAGTAAAAGTACGTCCGTGCTCGCCTTTGTACATCTCGGCTCCAGCTTCTCGCTGCGCGGACAGAAGGTGAATTTCGGGAACACGATGTCCGTCTTGAATTTCAACAACTTGGGTAGTTCTCTTTCCATCCGGAAGTTCGCGCGAATCGGCTCCGGCTTGTCCTGCATCGGTAGCACGGCGATTGGGTCCTGCCAAAACTGCTCCGTCGTCAACTTCACAACTGCAGCGTCGACACTATCTCTCCGCAGCACGGGCAGACTCGGCGGCCCGCTGTCGTTATTGACCTTCACGCATTTGGCTTCCTCGGTCTCGGTAAGATCCGTCGGTAGATTGAGTTCCAGCTGCAGCGCACTCGGCTTGGCGAAGATGGAAGACAGATTGTCGGTATTAGACTACCTCGCGCTCGGGTCCAGCATTTCCATCCGCGGCGTCGGGCAGATGCAGGGGAAGATGAGCGTTTTGAGCTTCACGTTCTTGCGCTCTTCTGTCTCCCTCCGATCCTTCTGCCGAATCGGGTCTGGTGTCTCCGTCCGCGGGCTTCTCGCCGCGGGCTCCTGCTTCGCGATGTCCGCTGTTGACTATCTACACATCGGCAGCAGTCTCTCGCTCCGCGCGTACGCCAAACTAGGATCCGTGCTGTCCGTGATTGACTTCGTCAACGTCGGATCCAGCTTGTCCACCCGGGCGTTTACGCGGAAAGGTAGCAGCTTATCGATTTTCGCTTCTGCGAACGCTGGTGGTACGCTCTCCGTGCTGCAGCAGATCCATTTGGGGTCCTCGTTATCGGTTCGAAAAGTCAGCCGGTTTGGTAGCTGTTGCTCCATGTTGAACTTCGCGCACTGCGGGAGTCAGATGAGCATCCGGCAGTACCTGCGGGTGGGCAGCAGCTTCTCGATCAACAAGCAGGTGATGCAAAGATCGCGTCTTTCCATCCTCGACGAGCTCCATTTAGGGTCGTCCCTCTCGGTCAGAGCGGCCGGCAGTTTAATCCGGGCGGCCTGCGGGGTGTCAGTCCTAGACGCCGTCTACCTCGGCAGCACCATGAGCTTGCGGCGCATGACCAAGTTCGGCGACGCGATTAGTGTGGTTGACGCGGTCATGCTGTCGTCTACTCTCTCTTTGCGGAACAAAATGCGGGTTGGCTCCGCGATGTCTATTTTGGACTTCGTGCACTGCGGCAGCGCGTTATCCATTCGCCAATCGATGCGACTCGGGTCCAGTATGTCGGTCCACGGCGTTGTGGAGATCGGCTCCGTGCAAAAATTGTCCGTCGTCGGGTTCTTCGGCATGGGCAGCTCTCTCTCCCTCCGGACCTTCGCCCGGTTCGGCCATAGTATTTCCGTTCTGGACAACACGGTTTTGGGGAGTAGCATGAGCTTACGGTCTCTCATCCGGTTCGGCGCGCAGGCGAGCGTGCTCGACTTCGTCCACCTCGGGTCCAACATCAGCGTCCGGGCGCACGCGCGTCTGGGTTCGACGTTGTCGGTAGCCACCGCGGGGTTGTATGCGAGCGGAAACCGGCTTAGTTTGGATTCCTTTTCTGAAGTCGGGCCGCAGATGTCCCTGTTCGGCACGGCGTCGTTGGGTAGTTCGTTGTCTTTGAGAATGATCGCGCGGATGGGAAAATCCTGCTCCACCTTGAACTACGCGATGTTTGGCAGTACCTTGTCGATCCGTTCGTACCTCCGGCTGCAGTCGGGCTTAACCGTGATCGGCGCGGCGCGGGTCGGCATCAAGGAAACCTCTCTGATGGACTTCGTCGGTTTGGGGAGCTCATTGTCCATCCGATCTGTCGTCCGCGCAGGGAAGGGGTTGAGTGTGTTGGATCAATCCAGACTCGGAAGCACGATTAGTTGCCGTGCGTTCGTCCGCACCGGGAAAAGAATGCAGGTGACGAGTAGCGTGACCTCCGGCGAGAACCTTTCCGTCCTGGAGCAGCTCCACCTCGGATCTTCTTTGTCTCTACGGGGTAGAAGATTTAACGTCGGAAACCACTTGTCCGTCATGGATTCCGTCTCGCTTGGTAGCAGTTTATCTCTTCGGGCCAGCTTCCGCGCGGGCACGAAGTTCTCCGTTTTGGACTACTGCGGCATGGGCTCCTCGATGTCTATCCGACACTACTGCAGGATTGGGTCCGCTCTTTCCGTGTCCCTGCTCTGCCTGAAGGGGTCGCTGAACAACTTGTCCATGATGAACATGCTCAATTGCGGCTCCAGTCTGTCTGTCCGGAGCTTCGCGAGACTCAGCAGCGCGGTCTCGTTGTTAGACTTCACGACCATCTCCTCCGCGATTTCGATCCGCTCGATCGCGAAACTCGGCAGCAGCTACTCCATCGTCGGATCTTTGCAGACCGGAAAACCAACGTGTAACACCAGCGTGCTGAACTTTGTGACCGTCGGCTCGAGCTTGTCGGTTCGGCAAAAATGCGTTTCGTCGTCGAGATTGTCTCTTCTCGACTACGTGCAGTTCGGGTCCGCACTCTCCGTGCGCCAGTACATGCGCTGCAGCAGCAGTCTCTCCGTCAAGAGCATTGTCAGGACCGGCTCGGTGTACGCCTTGTCCGTGATGCACTTCAAGACCTACGGCAGCTCTTTATCTTTGAGAACTTTCTCAAAGCTCGCGGCAAGGACCTCCGTCATCGACTGCTTGAATCTCGGCTCCGCAATGTCCATCCGGGCGTTCGCGCGTTTGAGCTCGGGGTTGTCGGTGCGTGGAGATGGCAGGCAAGGTGGATTGCAGATTTCCATCTTAGGTTGGATGAAGGCCGGATCCAGCATGTCCATGCGGTCTTTAGCAAGGTTCGCCTCGGCGTTGTCGGTTTTGTCAGCCGTCGATGTTGGATCTAGCATGAGCATCCGCCAGTTCATCCGTCTCGGGAACGCGTGCAGCATGCAGGGCCACGTGTACACGGATAAGATGTATTCCCGCCTCTCCGTGATGGAGTACGTGAGATTAGGAAGTTCCATGTCCGTCCGGTCCACCGTCCGCCTCGGCGGCAGCATGTCGCTGCTCGACTACGCGCAGTTCGGCAGCAGTATCTCCATCCGGGCGGCTGTCCGCATGTCTGGTGGCGTTTCCATTCTAGGTAACGCGCGCGTGGAGAGCCAGTGCAGTGTCCTCTGCATGGCCAGTCTCGGCAGCAACTTGTCTGTCCGAACATCCAGCCGGATGTCGTCCCGAGCGTCGGTGTTGGACTTCCTGTCCGTGGGATCTGCACTCTCTATGCGCAGCTGCTTCCGGTACGCGTCCGCAGTGTCCGTCCTCGGCGCTGCGATACTCGGCAGTTCGCAGCTGGCCGGCCGCGGCATCGGCATGAGCATCATCAACTCCGTCAACGTCGGATCTTCGCTGTCCGTCCGGTCCACGGCTAGATTGGCGAACAAGATCAGCGTTTTGTCCTTCCTCCACTTGGGCAGCACCTTCTCTTTGCGGAAAAATCTCGCCATGAGCGGGAATCTCTCCGTGCTGGACTACACGCATTTGGGCTCTTCCGTCAGCTTACGGTCCACCGCGCGGGTCGGCGGGTTTCTGTCCGTGCTGCACGTGACGAACATCGGTTCGGGTATGTCCATCCGGTCGTTCTCCAGGATGCACTCCGGTGTGTCTTGCGTCGGGTTGTTCGCGTGCAATTCCGCATTGCAACTTTCCGTGATGCACACGGCGTCGGTCGGGAGCAGCATGTCTTTAAGGACTTTTGCTAGACACAGCAATGCGTTGTCCGTTTTGGATGCGGTGACGCTCGGGTCTTCCTTATCTCTGCGGCAGCTGGCGGCTCGGTGCGGCTCACGGTTGTCGGTGTTGAACTTCGTTTGCATCAGCAGCGGTTTGTCCGTACGGGCGACTTGCAGGTCGGGCGGGAAAACCTCCCTTGCGGATTATTTCGGCCTCGGATCGTCTCTGTCGCTCCGGGCGTTCGCGCGCGTTGGCAGCAGCATTTCGGTGTTCGAATTTGCCACCGTCGGGTCGTCGTTCTCCCTCCGGTCCTCCGTCCGCATGGGTAGTAGATTGTCCATCGTTGACTTCCTGCACATTGGCAGTGCGTTATCCATCCGTGGCTACACGCGGGTCGGCAGCAGTTTGTCCCTCGCGGGTGGTGCGAAGCTGAACTGCCAGAAGAGGCTCTCAGTCCTGGATTTCTTATCCATCGGGTCCTCCACCTCTGTCCGGGCGATTTCCAAGACGGGGTCGAGATGTAGCTTGTTGAACTTTCTAGAACTGGGCAGTTCGGTCAGTTGCAGATCCATCGGGAAGATTTCCTCCGGATTATCCGTCGTTGGAACTAGCAGGGCTTGTGGCGCACTCTCCGTCCTCTCCTTCGGCATCCTCGGGTCGAGTCTCTCTATCCGCTCCGCCGTCGCCGTCGGGGAGCGCGCCTCGGTGCTCGACTTCCTGCACATTGGCAGCGCGATGTCCGTGAGGTGCGGCATGAAGTTCGGCACTTACTTCTCGATGCTGAGTTACTGCTCTCTCGGATCCGCCTTATCCGTCCGCGGGTACGCGAAGTTCGGCGAGAAAGTTTCCATCCTCAACTTTGTTGAGGCCGGCAGCTCCCTCTCGATGCGCAACTTCATCAAGGCGGGCGACAGCTACAGCTCGGTCGGTTTGAACTTTGTCGGGTCGGCTTTGCGGCTGTCCGTCATGAACTTCGTGCAGCTCGGCTCCTCCGTCTCGTTGAGATCGCAAGCGCGACTCGGCTCCCGACTTAGCGTTCTCGACTTCATGAACATCGGATCCGCCATGTCGGTCCGCAACTCGGCGAGATTCGGCAGCAACTGCAGTGTGCTGGATACGTTCAACCTCGGGTCCGCACTCTCGTTACGGTCGTACGCCAACGTTGGTAGCAGAATGTCGATTATGGACTTCTTGCACATGGGCTCCTCGTTCTCCTTACGTAGCTTCGGAAAACTGGGGACCAAAGCCTCGATTCTGGACAGCAGCACGCTCGGAAGTGGTTTGTCGCTCAGGAGTTTTACCAGAACAGGCTCGCGATTCTCCACCTTCGACTTCTTACAGCTCGGATCCACTATGTCTCTGCGATCTTACGTCCGCATCGGCTCTGCGTTCAGCGTCCACGGTTGTCTAAGAACTGGCTCGGTGACCTCCATGTCGGTGCTGGAGCGCCTGACATTAGGAAGCAGTTGCTCCTTACGGTGCTTCGCCAACTTCGGCAGTCGGCTGTCCTTGTTCGATTCCATCGCCATGGGCAGCTGTTTGTCTCTCCGGAACTACGCGCGCGTCGGCTCGTCCGCGTCTATCCTCGGATCTCTGACGATGAGCGGAAGGATGAGCGTATTAGACGCCACGTCTTTGGGTAGCAGCTTCTCGCTCCGGTCATTGATCCGGGTGGGAGGAACTACCTCACTATTCGACTTCGTCAACACAGGCAGTGCACTCTCCGTCCGCGCCATCGCCCGCTGCGGCAGCGGTTTCAGTGTGGCGGGGAGTAATAGACTGGGGAGTCGGTGCTCCGTGTTTTCCCAGTTGCATCTCGGTTCCTCTTTCTCCATCCGGGCACAAAGTAGACTCGGCGACGCGTTGTCGGTTCTGCAGTTTGTCAACATGGCCAGCTCCGTCTCCTTGCGGAACTTCGCGCGGTTCAGCTCCACTTTGTCGATCTTCGACGCGGTTGTTCTCGGCTCGTGTTTATCCATGCGCAGCCACGCTAGGTTCGGCAGCTACTGCAGCGTGCTGAACTTCGCGAACCTCGGGTCCAGCATGTCCATTCGCAGCTACATCCGGATCGGGTCGTCGTGTTCCGTCCACAGCGCATCCTTTTTGGGATCCGTCTACCGATTGTCTGTCATCGACGCGGTGTCTTGCGGGAGTAGTTTGAGCGTAAGGAATCTTATGCAGTGCGGCAACAAGTTCTCCGTGTTGGACTCGATCTACCTCGGATCCAGCCTATCCTTGCGCAGCTACATGAAAGCGGGGAATCGTGTCTCCTTACTTGACGCATTGACGCTCGGATCCTCCATGTCCATCCGCGCGGGCATCCGTGCGATGCCGGGGAAAATGTCGGTGCTGAGCTTCGTGCATCTAGGGAGTAGCTTGTCCGTCCGGTCAGTCTGCAATGTCGGGTCGAGATCCAGCGTGTTGAACTTCCTCGCGTTAGGGTCAAGTTGCTCCATCCGGTGCCAGAGCAGATTGGGCGACAGATTGTCTATTTTAGACTTCTTAGCCCTCGGTTCCACGGTCAGCATCCGTTCGTTTGTCCGGTGCGGCTCGAGTTTGAGTGTAACCGGTTACGTGCGGTCGCATGAGGGCAAGGTGAACAAATTATCCGTCGTCCACATTGCGGACCTGGGGTCGACTCTGTCGTTACGGTCTATGGCGCGAATGGGGAGCAGCATGTCGGTCCTGGACTTCGTCACCCTCGGCTCAAATCTGTCGGTGCGGCAGTTCGCGAGATTAGGCAGCTGCTTGTCCAGCAACGGGCAGACGCGGTTGGGTTCCCGAGGCTCGGTCCTGGACTACCTCAGTATGGGATCGACTTTCAGCGTACTGATTGTTTTTTTTGCTTTTTTTGTTGAATGATGATGAGTAGATGTAGATATGTTGTCGTGCTGTCTAGGCGAATGAGCTTGTGGCATGGAAGTAAAACGTTGTCCACCATGTAGTATTCCTGCAAAAAGCTTTTAACCTCCAAAAAACATTGCAAAACAGATTCGCGGCATGTCAAGAGTCCACTGGAAATGTTCGGTCCTGAGCTTCGTCAACCTGGGCAGCTCCATGAGCTTGCGCTCGGTTGCGAGACTCGGATCCGCATTCAGCGTCGCGGGCACTGGAACCACGGGGAAGATCACGTTCATGAGCAAGTGCTCCCTGCACAGCCGTGTCGAACTGGGATCCAGTCTGTCTGTCCGGAGCTTCGTCCGATTCGGCAGCAGAATCTCGGTATAATTTTCGAAACTTGAAGATCATGAGTAAATGCAAAACACAAGAAAAACTAAAAACACGACCATACTTGTTCACTGAGTTGTGCAAAGAGCAAAACTTCATTTCGCACTAGTGCCAGATGAAAACAACAACTTGAAAACAAACTTCCACAAACAGGTTCTCGACCACCTTGCCCTGGGTTCCTCCTTCTCCCTGCGTGGACACGTCAAACCAGGAGCGGCGTTTTCGACCCTGTCGTTTACGCATTTGGGCTCCTCGCTGTCCATGCGGAAAGTCGTGAAGATTGGTAGCAGCGCTTCCGTCATAAACTTCGCCAGCCTGGGATCCGCGCTGTCGGTACGACAGTTCAGTCGCTGCGGTTCTACCATGAGCGTCCGGGGCTGCTCGACCTGCGGCGGGCTGGGGAGTGTCTACAAGCTCTCGGTCATCAACGAAGTGCTCATGGGTACGTGGTTTTTTTGTTTTCATCGATAGAGAAGGCTGAGCGGTTCTTTCCGCGTTTCAAAAATGCAGTTACAGACTTCGCTCTACTGCCACGAAATGTTAAATAGATCAAGACTCCAGACTCTAGAAGAAGAATCTGAATGCTACGCTTGCGCCATACCTACAGATAAAATACAACATCAAAACCAAAAATCAAAAACCCCACAGGTTCCGCCCTCTCCCTGCGGCAGTTTGTGAAGTGCAGCTCCTTCATCAGTGTGATGGACGCGGCTCACATGGGATCGGCCTTGAGCGTCCGGCGGTGCAGTACATTACATAACACGCTTTCCATCCTCCAGTTCTGCAGCCTCGGCTCCAACATTTCGCTGCGGGCTGCGACGAGACTGCAGGGCGGAATGGGGCTGTCGGTTTTGGACTTCGTCCAAATGGGTATAGAACTTTCAGCTCTTTCGATGTTTTCTTCTCACGTTCTTTCAGCTTATCGAATAGCAATCGCAATGATTTTTGCGCGTTTTCTATGCAACTTTGTTTGAGGAATTTCTATCCTTGATGAACTTGACTGCAAAAAAGAATACATACAATAATTGATGAAAATATCCCGAAATAAACTACTACAACAGGTTCTTCCTTCTCTGTGAGGACAAATACGAGGTTCGGGAGTCGATGCTCCGTTCTCGACGCCACAAGTCTCGGATCGTCCCTGTCCTTGAGGACCATGAGTACTTGACTTGTCCTTTTTTGTTGTCGAATTATATGCGTCGCCCTATAAGGAAAAAACTGGATTTTATGAATGCTGAATGAGGTAAGAAACCAGATCTGCAACTGTCATGCTGTACTACGATTATCACAAAAACAAAACAGACCGGCTTGGTGGCACGATGTCCGTCCTGGACTTCGTGAACATGGGTTCCTCGGTCTCCGTTCGTGGCTTCGCCCGCTTCGGATCGACTCTTTCGGTCGTCCACGGCAAATTCGGATCGGTATTTAAGAATGCTTTTTGATTTTGTCATGCACATGCTGATTCTCCAATTCACGAATGAAATCTGTTACGCATGTCATGCGCTTGCGAAATGAAAATGAAACCAAAGTCCAACCAGCTCACTTTATCAGTCACAAAGCACTTCCAAAATAAAAACCACACAGGCCCTGAACGTGCGCAGCACGATTAGTGCCTCGAATTTCGCCCACATCGGCAGCACGATCTCCCTCCGCGGGTACATGAAAATCGCCGATAGAATGAGTCTGGTTGATTTCCTGGAACTCGGATCCGCTCTTTCCGTCCGGTCCTTCTGCCGCGTGGGGAGCGGAGTCAGCGCGACGGGAACGTCAACCTGCCTCAACATCGGGGCGTCGCACATGACCCGACTCAGCTTGATGGAGAACCTGAACCTCGGCAGCGCCATGTCCCTCCGGAGTTCCATGCGCTTCGGGGGCAGGGCGTCCGTGCTCGACTACGTGTCGCTCGGATCAAGTATTTAAAGAACTGGATTCGTTTTCTTTGTTTTTGTTAGGCTTCTCTTTTAGAACATTCTGCTGATCATGTCAGAGCATTCAAATTATTGCGTACAGGCGGTAGTTATTTCGATGCAAATGGAGTAGCATTTGAAAAAATTTTCAAAAATCAGGTGTATCCATGCGCGCTGTAATGCGTCTGGGCTCTACGCTGTCCGTTAATGGTCTCGGTCCGCTGAATAGCCACGGCCTGTCCGTCATCACCTCATGCACATTGGGCAGCGCGCTCAGCCTCCGAGCAAAGTCAATGTATTGATGATTTTTTTGTTGTTGCCCTTGCCTAGCTTTAGTTGTTGCTTTTTCACCAGTGCAAATGTATTCGGCGTGCTACTGAAAAAACTCGAAGACAAAAACCCAACACAAAAAATGAACAGTGGCGCCAAGTGCCTGTCCGTGATAAATATGGCGGTGCTGGGCAGCACCCTCTCCGTGCGAGGCTTGAAACGTATTGGCAGCCGGTCTTCGGTGTGCAACTTCCTGGCGCTGGGGTCCACGCTGTCCGTCAGGGCGTACATGCGGGTAGGAAGTGCTGTCTCCGTGGTGGGTGGTCCCACGACCACGTCGGGCTCCGTCAGCATCCTGAGATCACGTACTAATAAGTCGTTGTTTTGATGTGTATCTGTTCCATCATCTACTCCTCGCGAACGGATAAAGAAGTTTTACAGTGAGTCATTCTTTTGCTCATCTTTGTCGAAACAAACTCGTCCCCGATAGTCAAGACACAAAAATTTTTGAAAAATCCACAAAAAAACAGTTACCCTGGGCTCCTCCCTGTCGCTCCGGAGCTTCGCAAGGCTGGGAGGCAACATCTCAGTCCTGGACTTTACCAATCTTGGATCGGCTCTGTCCGTCCGCAGCGCTGCAAGACTGGGAAGCAGTATTGATTTTTTTGAAAATTCTTGTAATGCTCAAGTCACATGGACATGAGCACAAAAATATCTCATGCATAGACAGCAAAAGTTGATGTCCATTTTGATAGACTGATCGTGATTTTTCGAAAATTCCAAATCAGGCTTGAGTGTTGCCGGAAGTGTCGTATTCGGCGGTGCCAACAGCGTCCCGGTCTACTTCAATTCCAACAAACAAGCCAACTACTTCAAGGAAGGGGTATAATGCTTTTTTTTGAACGACAACGATCTTTATTGTGCCTACTACTTACATTTTTTGTCATTTCTTGCGCCGCTGAAGTAGAGAAATAGCTATGGGCTCATTTGCTTTGCGATGAGTTTTTATTTATTCCCAATCCTAATTTAAAAAACAGACGTCCCCCATTGCGTGGGAGATGTGGCGCGAGCAGAGTTCAGTTTCTGGCCGGGCGATCTCGTTCTACAGCGGGGTGACCGTGGCGGGAACCCACATCGCCAGTAATATCTTCCACGGCACCTGGTCCAGTGACAGCGTGATTTCCACCATCTCCGATCAACGGCTCAAGAAAGAAGTCCGACCGTTGTACGAAAGTCTGGCGGAAATCAGGCACAGGTATCATACCGTATGAGATAGCATTATAGGATTTTGGTTTCTTGTGTCAGGGTCAGGGATAAAGAGAAAACCAGTTTCACCATCCTGACCCTCGTGGTTTCCAAATAGCATACTGAAATTCGTTTTTTGCCGTCTTGATGCAAACTTGTTACACAAGACAATCGTCCATCCTTGTAAAAATCTTCATCAACAGGCGTCTGTCCTACCCGGTCGACTTACACTACAACATGACCGACCTCCGGCCAGTGCACACTAACGTGACGGAAATCGCGGTACCAGATCAACATAGTATACATGCAGCGAACGACCAACCAAGACCAACCACCACCTGGGTCGTCACCGAGAACCTCCCGAACGGAACCAACGTCACCACGAGGTTCGATACCGAAAAGGAAGCGCTGATGTACGAGGCTCTGCTCGAGTTCAAGGCCTTGAAGCCGGTGAGTTACCACTTGAAGCGCGACGTGGAAGCGAAGCAACTCTACTACGGGTTCATCGCGCAAGAGTTGGGCGAGTTGTACCCAACGTTGGTGACCCAAACCGCTGCGGATAAATATGGTATTGTGCTGAGTTTTTTTTTCGCAAATAATTTACAAATGCTCGTACTCCATCTAGTGATCTGCATTCGGGGTGGAACTGTTGTGATGTAGTTACAACATGAAATAAATGTTGAAAAATTTTCAATTCCGTTTTATCTTCCTCTACCCTCCCCTATCACAGGTATCCGATACCAAGACATTATCGCGGTGCTGACCCTGATGGTGCAGCAGCGCATGCAGCGGCTCGATATCGTCACCACTCGGGTCGAACGGGTCACGGAGACCATTGTCACCCACCAAGCGCCGCAGGTGCACGCCCAGGCGGATAGACTCCGGGCGTTGGAGAAAGAAATCGCAAAGCTGCGCCGCGACGAAACTGTCGAAAAGGTTGCCGAAGAGCAGCTGAGACGCCGCAAAGCCGCAAAAAGCGCGCAGAAAGGACTTGCGGAAGGAGGAAAGAAATCCGGGTAAAGGAAGGAAAAAGCAAGAGTCATCCTCTAGAAGAAGGGATCGTAAAAAACAAGAAAACCTACAGGAGAAAATTGACCGAAGGAAAAAAAAAATGTAGAACAGACATCGAAAATGTATGTTGAAGTTATTCGAAAAAAAGTCAGTCAATACAGTTCTTTAGTTCGAGCACAATGATCGCAAGTTGAGAAGACCTAATTTCTAAACAAGCAGTAAGAAGCCAGTAATATTATCACACAGAAAAATCCTAAATATGTTACTCTTGTTTCGCTTTGACTTAATTCTACTTGATAATTGCTATGGAAGTGCAGTTGGCGGGTACGTCTATTTCACAGGTTAGGTGACTAAATTGAAGATTACCAGATACAACAACACCTTTCCTGGCAGTAGGCACAGCCAATTTGCACGCTCCAAAATAACACTCTGATAGATAGATCGCACAAATAATTTTCTGATGAAGATAGAAGATTGCGCGTTGAAGAAAAAATACCTGTTCTCTCTAAACTTACTTCTCGTTTCGCATTGACACTTTTCTGATGAAGGTTTAGTTAGGTTTGACACTTATAGCAAAAAAATCACTTAAATACGCAGGAATATCAAACAGTTTGATTGAAATTGACCCGTTTCGAGGAAAATGTTTATTTGCCAAAATCCAGCAGCAACAGTCAGACTTTCTCAATTCCTACCAAAACCAAAAGCACTACCAAAATTCATTTCTTTGACTAAGACTACCCAAAAGCTATCCAAAAGAAGCACATTGACCTACGGAGACCGCAAGCGACAAATACTTTTGCCATCTACGGAAATAAGTAGCCATACTCACTGCTATTAGAGATGAACAAGCTCTACTCCTCGGGCCGCGCTACTGCCAATAGCCTGCTCGAGGGTCTGGGTTACAGAGCCAAAAAAAAGCACCGGGTTGAACAAGCTGTGGGGAATTCCGTTGCTGCCAACTGCGGAGTTTCCTTTACAGGTTCGTCCAAAATATCGTGCTATCTTTCCTTTACAGTTTCACCACAGCAGCCACGTCTGCTGTGGTAAACAGATGGCTACGAATCATCATTTAAGCGGAGTAGATGAATCGCAGAAATTTTACAAAACGAAAACTGCTTGTCTCAGTCACGGTCAAAAGACAATACCTCAACCTAAAATTGCATGTCACAACAACTCTTAACAGGTTTACAGAAATATTCTTGAAATTGATACAGAGACTACTTTTATTTTGACTTGATTCACAGGATGATACAGAAATTGCGTCTCGCAGCAAGCAGCGGAGACCGAGTTTGTCTAATATTCTTATTCACAGCAGTAGAAAAACAAAAAGCGAAAATCATCAGGCTAGGTAGTGCACGCATGTGTGCGCTTGGTGGGGTCTTGCGCTGCAGGTGCATGATCATACTCCAGGCCTCCTTGCGTTGTACTAGTATCACTGGTCTTCCCAGATGACGCTCGGCTTTTCTTTCTATCAATTCTTTTCAGCCAAAGTAAGTACTTAAATGCTTTCTAGGACAAAGCAAACTGTGTCACAGTTAAAAGACGTGAACGATTTTTTTCTCTTGCATGAACTAAAAATATCAAAAAACAGTTTCACCCGCCAAAAGAATTTTCGCTCTTCAGAATGACACTTTATACTTTGGTTATTCCGAAGAAAAGAAATAATGCTCGAATCAATCAATAGCTTCTGCTGGAAGTACAATGTCGTCTGGTGTTTTGACGGCAGATGAACTTCTGTGGCCAAGTCATAATTTTGGCCAGTTCTTCTGGATCCCAGCGACCCAACCGGGTTTTTTGGGCCAGGGGCATGTTCTCTGCTGCAAAGTCGTTTCCTGGTCGTTGGTGATGTCGCTTTCAACAGTTTTCGTGATGCAAAAAATCTTATGTTGAGAGACCCCGAAGAATTTTTCGGTTTAATCCTCTGTCAGCTCCCGAACAAGTCGAGGCGAAACTGGATCCGCTCATTCAGCTACAAGATCAGAGAATATCGGCGACCGATTGATTGATCGGCCCGTCGGACAGTTGTCAAAGAAACACAAGAAGAACTGTACTTCATCTCTTGGCTGATGTTGAAACTGCAACCGAAATTATGAATCTATCTAAGTAAACAAAAACTATACAACTACACTGAAATAAAGAATACACTCTGTCCTCCCCCTCAAAAATCATGGCCGCGCCTGTACGACCCACCTCCGCCGAAAACTATGAGCTGTGCTCCGAATTCAAACCCTACAATTTGCCCTTCATCGAGGTGCGTCGGTACCAGGGCAAAACCGCATTTGCAGCCAAGGATTTCAACCCCGGGGACACGATTTTGGAGGAAAAACCCTATTTGCAGTGGGCCGAGCGGGAGGACGTCGGGGCGGGGATCGACAAGGTTGCGTTGCTCCATCTGTACAACGAGGAGAAGAGGAGGTACGAGATCAATCTGTCTAACGAGGAGAAGGAACAAGATGTTGAAAAAGTTGTACTAAAGTCCCACCTGCCCAGCATCGAGTTTTTCAGTCCCTGCATGTTCCTCGATTGGCCCAGTTTGGCAACCACGCAAGATGTACTGTTCAAAGCGTTTGACCTGTTTTACTGGCCCGGGGGAGATGAACAAGCACAAGCAGAACTCACACAAGAGAGTAGTGAAGCTGGAAAAAGAACCACCGAGCAAGCGAGCACTTCCGCCTCTTCGACAGGAACAACAGCTTCTACGATTAATAAAGAGAAAAAATTGGAGCAGATTCATAAAGAGGCTTTGAAGGTCTGCGACAGGATATGCACCGAGTTTTTGTCCAAACTTTTTAAGAAGCACTATAGTACTTCTTCCAAGAAGTCGTTTACCGCGAAGAATCTGTTCAACCTCCTGCAGCTGATCGACATTAACATTCACAAGGACGGGGAGGACAAGGATTCGCGGTGCGGAATTTTCGTGATCGGGTCGAAGTTTTTATCCACGGTGAATCTATTCCCGTACACGACGCACGACGTACAAGACATGCGGTCTCGGCATGACAAAACTTGGCTTCGACATCCTAGTTTAGCGTGACCAGTCATGTTCTCACACTCTAAGTTGGTGCAACTGAAAATTGTGATGCATCTTTCTTGGACACGACACATGTACGAGAATAAATTTGTATTGCATGACTTTCCCACTCTTGCGCGTCCAATGCCAGCTGGAGTTTGACGAGCGCGGGCAAGCTGAAGTACGTGGCAACGCGGAAGATCGCCAAGGGCGAAGTGTTTTCCTTTTCCTACGTGGGCGACGGGCTCAACGTGTGCGGGCACACGGTAGACCGGCGCGCGGCGTTGCGGAAGCTGGGCTTCGTGTGTGCGTGCGATCGGTGCTGCGAACTGGTGGATCGCAGTCGGGGTGGGGTGTGCAAAGCGTGCAAAAGCCACAAGTGCTTCGTGGTGAACCGGAGTCACATACTGCAGTTTACGAGGCAAACGGATGTGGACGATGAAAGAAATAAAGTGGTGGAAGCAGCGCTGAAAGACAAACTGGATCGGGCTTACCGGAAGAATGCTGGGAAGGACGAGGCAACCGCGGGAGCACCAAACGCTGAAGTAGAGGCTGCAGACATGAGCGAAAAGATCATACCTGGTAATGATTGAAGTCGGCAAATTGGTTTTCCTGATTTTGATCGAAATGAAATTCATTTTGCATTACCGCTACTGCTGGATTCCACACTGCTTTTTAAAATGAAGTTCTTTATGCGAAACAATTTGCTTTTACGCAAGATGAATAAAATTCAGACCAACAAACCCACTGAAAAATAACCCCTACACATCAGACTTCGCCGATGCGGATTTCTACTGCAAAGGGAAACCAGCTGCAATAAATTCGAAAACGTCAACAGCACCACTAGATCGCTATTTCTGCACGGATTGCGGCAATTTCAGCCAATTTCTTACCCCAGACCAGCTCGCCCGCGAGCAGCGCATTGGCGCGATGCTCCCCACGGTTTTAGACAGTAACTCCGCCGGAGCCACCCGAGAAAAGAAGGACGCGCTGGTGCAGGAAATCGAGGCGCATTTCGGCATTTACCACTATTCCTGGAGCCTAGCGGCGTTTGCCTGGTTGCAGTCGGTTTTGCTGGAGGTTGGCCGGACGGACCGCATTGATTTGAACTTATCTCAAGTGAAGAAAAGGTGCGAAATGCTGCGAGACACAACGAAAGTCTGCTTCGAACACTGCTGGGTGCAGCGGCTGCGATTGTTGGGCCTCGTCGCGCACTTGGAGCGGGTTCTCGGGTTGAAGGCTCTTGTTCTTCCGGCACCGGACCCCTTGGAGGTGAATGTCCCGGTCGTGACGAAGATGCTATCAAATGCAAAAATGTCTGGGTCTGGGAGATTCCGAGATTTGTCATGCAGTTTTTTCAAGCTCCCCCACGTCTGGAATGCAGGGCCTAGAGTCACAGGCTCTGCAGCTCCTTGGTGATGCGTATTCTGCATGAGAAATGCCCTCTCAGCATGACCAGAAGTGGGCACCTTTTCCACGTTCTGCATCACAGATCTTTTTACGATCCGAAACACGCATCACATGTTCGGATCCTTCCAGACGCAGACATATTTGCATTTGATAGATGCTGCGGCACGACAAGTTCCGCCACCTGGACATTTTTCTGTGGGAGCAACCATCGGAAAGGGTGGGTCTACTTGAGGGCGAAAAGAAACCCCCGGAAAAGGAGCAGGAAGACAATTTCTTCTGGTCCTTGGTGGACCGGCGAGGCATGGCGAGTGAGAAGTTAATGTGCGGAAAGTTTCAAACGCTGATCACGGGGGGATGATGTAAGAAACGCAGTACTGTAAGTATGAAAAACTAGCGCTAATGCAAAAAGTCGCAAGACAAACTGCATTCTTTGTAGAATCGACGTTGCGTCGCAGTAGGACAACGCACCGAGTACACGCATCGTAGTTCGTAATCGCTTGGCCAGCTTCTGTCGTAGACCGAGGCATCTTGACAAGAGAGCGGCCTGCACGTTGTTCGTATTAACGAGGCCTCCACTTATTCGTCGTTCGTTTCGCCCGTAGAGCCTTACCAATCGCACACATTCACAAAAAAATAGGATTCGGCGCCCTTCTAAGGGGTTAGCTACTTACATCTATTCGGCGTCTATCTTTGGGGCGATGCACTGGGACAGAAAAAATGACTAGTCCTAACGCAGAAGGTGAACAAATATCTTGACGTCGACACTTCCGCATCTAATAACCTCTGTTCGATGAACATGAAACTGAAAGTTAACCATAGAAGCTAGCAGCAGAACGATGAGTTATTTTCATTTTGCCACCAACTACAGCGCAGCGCCGATGCTGCAGGACGGACGTGGCGCCTACGCACACGACACTGACCCTTCGCGTTATTTACTGCCACACTACAAGAACACGACCAAGAGGATAAAGACGGATTTTTTCCTCAGCGCGATCGGGGGCGTGATGGAGAGTGCGGCAGCAACGACCAAGAGCATCGGCAAGAAGATGAACAAGCTGTACGAGTTTGCTTCGGCCGACTTGAGCGGTGAAGATGAAGAGGAGGAAATCAAGGTCGACCTGAAGGAGCCGCTCGTGCAAGTCACGCACGGGCACCCGGTTCCCGTGGACGACTTGCAGCTGAAAAAGCCGCGAATCGACTACGAGCTGGACCTGGTCCGCAGTCACCAGGCGATGGTGGCTGATTTGTTTCGCACCTTGGAGGAAAGCACCGCGGCGCTGCAACCAGGAGACCACCACGACAGCACCGAGGCGGTAGGCGGAGATGACCAAACTTCCGACGGCGCAGGAGGGGATCAAACACAAACTCCGCCTCCTCCCGAGCCGGTTCCCGGCGAAACCAAGCGGGAATTTGCAAGGAACTCACGAGAGGCGGTGGAGAAACTAATGGACACCACGAAGAAGTTCGAGAAACCGCTGGTGCGCGCGTACCTGCCGGAAGCGTACCCAGAGTCTGTGTTCGACGTGCGGCCCATGGAGCGACTGGAGAAGCGATTTGGCGAGTGGGTCTCGGATCAGGAAAATTGGGCGGGCATGTCAGCCGAGGAGAAGACGCAGGCGGCGAAACAAAATTTGAAGGAAAAGCAGGAAGCAGCAGCTGCCGCGGCGAAAGGAGAGCATCAAGTTGGGGGCGCAAAGAAAGCAGCGACGGGTGATGATGTTCCTGTGACTCCTCCTCCTTCTCGTACCGCCAGCAGTGGAGAGGAAAAAGCAACTGTGGACAAAGATGAAGACCATTTGAAGCGTGCGTTGCGATCTCTTCGTGCCCTGCGCGAAACCGCGCTCGGCGCGGACACGGGACTGCGACAGCAGATCCGCATGGCCCGGCTCAAGCACTATCAACTGTAAAAATGTCTGGGTCTGGAAGATTCTGACACTTGTCGTGCACGTTTTGCATGAGCCATGATGTCTGCGATCCATTCCCTAGCAATACAGATTTTTTGAGGGATTCTTGATGCCTATTCCGCACGACAAACACCTTCTCAGCGTAGCAAAAATTGCATTCCCTTTGCTACTCATGCAATACAGATTTTTTTGGAATCCAAATGTAGCATCACAAGTTGCATTCTTCCAGACCCAGACATGTTTGCATTTGATAAGCACGCCGCGACCACGAAAGACGTCGGGATCGAAGACCAAATATCAAAAGGAAAATCTTCCCTCCCCATATCAAAACGAAGTTTCTGATGCTGGATTTGAGTACACAAATCAGATTTGTCTTGCTGGAGAGGACTGCAGAGGACCCATGAATAACGTCCGTGCTGTAGGCCCCACAGCATGACAAACCGCCCGCATAATGCGGCGGAGCCGGTGGAATTGCCGTCTTGCAAGACAGACGCGATTTGTGGGCACAAATCAGCAACGCAAATTTTCGAAAACCTACCACGTCAATATGGGGAGGGTGGATTTTTCCTTGCGATACCAAAGATCCGCGATCGACGCGGCAAGCGATTTCATGTCGGACTGCCGACGGCACCAAAGGATGTTCCAAGTCAAACGCACCCGACAAACGGACGCGTTCGAGCACTTTTACCAGTCTTTGAAAACCCGGCTCACCGATTCGGACGCGGACAAGGAAAAACTGGGAAAGGCGATCGACGACGAGATCGACCGCATGGAGCGGAACATGCCACGGGTGGAGCGGGCAGATAGAATGGTGGTTGAAGACTTGCGCCGCATTCGCCAGCTGGCAACCGATGCGGCGACGTTTTTGTAGATGGTTCCTTGGTTGTACCCGTAGCATGCAGAAGTGCATGATCGAGGATGAATATGAACAAACAGAAACGCGGGCGTTTTGACGAGAAAGCTAGGTTGCGAATTGGACAGTTTCGTTTCACGCTTGAATGAACCGTTTCCACCACTGTTTCCACGGTCCGAAAGGAAAATTAGCTACTAGAAAGAGAAACGGCGCGAGCACGAAGATGATTGTTGCGTTTATTGGCCAGCAGGTGTCATCTCTCTGTTCTCTCTGCAACACATGAGTAGGTCTATTGTTCGTTGTCTATATGGAACAAAAAATTTCGGTTGTCCAGTTGTCACGATCGGTCCCCCGCTCAATCATGATCTTCGTCTCGTCTATCTCTTTCCCCCCTGTTCCGCGGTCTGCCCAAGTAGAGATTTTTGTTCTATTGGCTCTGTTGGTATCTTCGTTGCCAGGAAAACTACCTTTTTAATCCGACAAGATGACGTTCACCACCGAATACTACCGCCATCACCCCCGTCCGCGCCGCAGAAGTGATACGGTTGCTTTTGACCGTGTTGCTTGCCAGTGAGGAACCTCAGCTTGGGCGCCGCGCTGGAAGATACTAGGTTCGTGTTACCAGCATCGATCCTCTCTTCAGCTCGAAAAAGGCTCGCACAGAGTAGAGACGCGCTGGAGCAGAAGTCTACTGACTTCGGGGTCACACGAGGATAGCGGACCAACTAGTTCATCCACCCGAAAGACGACCTCTTCACCATGCAGCAGCAATCCGTAGACCCGAAAGCCTTCTCTTGGAAGGTCCATGGGATGGTATGCCTCGTCATACTGGACTGCATCGCAAACTCATTCACCGAGCACCTCTGGGGCGACGACAACGTGGGCATCGTGGTTGCGCTTTTTGCAGGTATAAAGCGATGCAACAGAAATAACCGTGATTTCATCCTTGCCTCTCGCTGGCTTTGCTGGTAAATTCCGCGTTCTCCTCGGTATGCATCGTTTCTTTGAAATGTGTTGAGCTTGATTCATTTGTTTCAACAGTCAGGACGAGGATGATCACATATCATAAATGTATAAATGATAAAAATCAGTTGTCGTTCTGTCCCACTGCCTGCTGCTTCTTCTGTACTTTACCCTGCTATGGCACACCTTCCTGCTGCGGTTCGGGCTTCTCGGTGAGGCCTTTCAAATCTTCCGGAGCATCTACTTGCTCGGATTCGTCCGCTTGGTGTTGATGCTCGCAAGTAGAATACCAAGGCTCATGGCGGCGGTCGGAGGCTGGAAAATAGCAGAGTACTGGGACGAAAGTCTCTACATAGGTATAACGTACGTACTTCACGCTTTCTACACTTTTTTTGATACATCCGAATATATTTGGTTGACCCCTCGTTGCACGGGCACCACCGGCAAAGCCGGTAGTAGGTACATCGCTACGATGGTTTTTTGTCGGAAAATGCCAAAAAAAATCCGGTAAAAATATTGACACCACAGTGCTTTACTGCCTGCATACCCTCGTGAGCGTCGTCTACTACACGGTTTACCTGCGCGCGACCAATTCTCTGGGGAAATCGCGGTTTTATTCTGCAGAGCTGTGGCATCAGTCACTGAAGCGGCTGTGATGTTGTAGCGCGTGGAAATAAATCAAAACGAAAACCAAAACGGATTACGCGACTTGCACCTGGAAGTTTTATTTGCGCGATGTAAGTACGAACAAATAAACAGCAAGGCTGAATAAAGAGAGCATCTTTAAGATGTTTCACTATGCAGCACGCCTGCAGCCGCACTAGCGCTAAGAGTAAGCGGCCAGCGGCTATCCATCATGTTTTGTGTTTGTCCAGGAGCAGCACTATGATGTGTAATAAAGCTTAACGCAGCACCAGCACATCGAGCTGAGATTTTATCGGTAGATGACTAAGATCATGTAAGATGGAGAGTGTGCTGAGGCTGTATCGCGAGTAAGAATCGGTTTCATCCATACACATCTGCTTGCTCTTTGGAACATGAGTAGACTTGTTCTATTCTATCGGTTTGATGATGCCCGAGCCCGATGCTGTTCGGTTTGGTGCCCGATGCTGTTTTTTTGCCGTTTGCGTAAGGAGATGATGACGAATCAATCCAAGTATTGTAGTAGCCAAAAGCGGGTTTGAATGCAGTTGTCGATAATTCTTCTACTCACTTCATCAGCCAGAAGCGATGGGCTATTTTTGCTATTCTTGCTTGATTAAAGATCATTCTTTCGTTCTTGAAAAACAACCAGTGAAGACCTCACCCGGGTTCTGTCGTGGCATGATTTTTACCCCAGCAATGGAAAAGGTAGGAGTCCAGCCTTTTTTAGAAGTTCTCCCTTTAGTTCTATCTCCTCCATACCATCTTGCCGGTCGTACTCCCACCCTAGGCGAACGAAATTTTTTCTACGTGTAATCATAAAGCCATTCGTCCTTCATACTCACACATTTCCTACATTCTACCCTGTTCCACTTTTTACTCGTCCACATGTTGTAACATGCTCCTGCCGCTACTGCCCCGCACCATGGCGACTTCCAATAACCCTCTCAACGACTGACATTTTTATCAATCTGAACACACATTCATGCCAACACGAACACCTTGAGGTTTCTCCTGCCATCGAAGAACCTGCATCGTACTATCAAATCCTCTCCAGCGGGGCATCCAGCATGTTATCCTCCTCGACCAGTAGCTGGTCTGCCGGCCTGATGGGACCAGCATCAGACTCTCACGACACGACATCTACTTCCGGCTGGCTCCCCTCCGCTTTAATATTCTCCCACGGCGACACGGTCGAGGACCTGTTTTTGTTCCTCGGCGGGCACGCGATTCTGTATGCCGCCTTCCGGTTTCTCACCTTTCCCCACACGGAGCGGCGCGACCAGGGCAACCGGTACTTCTTTTTCGTGAACTACCTGACCCTGTTTTTGGTCCTCACGGTGATCGCGCACACGCCGAAGATCAAGAACTTCGATCTGTTCAAGAATTTCGGGATCCGCGACACCATCTATTTCGCCCTGGCGGCCACCCCGTTCTCCTGTTTTACCGTCTACTTTGGAGACTGGGCCTTCAGCGCGGTTTATTTAGGGAAATCATTCGTCAAGCAGCACCGCAACGCTGTGTACCTCGGCAGGTCTACTTCGGGAGGTGGAAGTGGAACGAAGAAGCCGAGTTCTTTGCAGCGGGGCCCTTCAACCCCGCAATCCGGACACATTGTAACTAGCAGCACAGGAGGAGGACGAGCGGAGAGTAAAAACTCCGGTAGACCCACAGCGGGAACTGAGACTGCCAATGCATCATCAGCGACAGCGCCGGGCTCTCGGCGAGGGCTCACGAAGTCTATGTTTGACGACGGAGAGGATAATCATGATTTCAAGACAGATGATAGACCGAGCGGAGGCAGCGAGGCCAGGAGTCAGACAAGTAGCACAAGCTCCGTCCGCGATACAGTGAATAATAATTACAACAACGGCGAAGAAGATGATGTCAAAAATGCTTTGAACCTGAAAAACCTGGATGACCTGGCCCGGACTGTCGGTAAACAGATGAAGGACCAGATCACGGCGGCCGCGAACCCAAACACGGCGACCTACACCCTGCTCACCTCGGCGAAGACCACCGTGATTTTCTCCGCGCACCGCACCGGCCGAGAGTTTGTGAGCAATGCCACGCTGCTCACCTCGCTCGTCGCCCTGCAGTACTGGCTGACGCTGTTGATGCTCGCGGAGGACGAAAGCAGCAGCAGTTTGCGCGGCGGCTGGATCCACCATTTTTTCTGCAAGGACAGCGTGACCGACACGCTGCTGTCGCACCCGGTCGGCCTGCAGTTGCTCTGCACGGTGGACTTTTTCGGGCTGTTGCTCGTCAGTCTGGTGAGCGAGCGGTTCCTCGGACAGAAGCTATTACTCTCCTTCGGGCCCAAGTGGGAAAAGAACAATCGGTTTCTGGACCCGGCGACGCTGAAGGAGATGGTGCCGTGGTACGCGATGATGCAGGTGTTGACCGTCATGGACATCGGCATTACCAGCATCTTCATGGGTCGCTTCGACGTGCGCCAACTGCTCACCGCGCTCAAGGGCCCGCCGCGGGTGTTTTCCTTTTTCAAAACCTACGAACAACATCAACAAGGGGACTTGCTGCAGAATGGAAGCAGTGGTCTCCTATTACCTCCGCTTTTGCAACGGGGGGACAGTAAAATTAGCGAAAGGAGTGCTGTGAGCACCGGTGGTGGGACAGCAGCAGCATCGATCAACAGCAGCTCCATGCTCTACAGCAGTACCAACACGACTGCAGCTAATCCAGCGAGCAGTACGTCCAATGAAGCAAGGCGGCCGCGAAAGTTTCTCGGCGGCCGAACGAAGTCCTTCGACAATTCGGACCAACTGCAAGTACCGTCGCCTGCGAACAAAGACGGCGAGAGCACCAGGACCAGTTCGCAGCCAAAGTCGCCACATTTATTGTCCACCGGCGGCAAGCCGGTGGTGGACCGGCACAAAACGGAGTCGGCGATTGAGTTTCCCGCCAGCTCGCCGCTGAGCTCGCTGCAACGGCGGGGGAACGTGCGCGAGGTGGAGAGGCCGGAGACCGACGAGGAGGACGATCCGTTCGCGACGGTGTGGATTGATTTTGTGGCGGACACCGGGGACGGCTTCAATGCGCAGTACGCCATCGCGCGGGCGCAGGCGCAACCCCAACTCCGGGTGCGGGTCCCGACCGACCTGCCCCGCGGCGCGGCCATGATCAGCGAGGCGACCAGCGGGTCCGCGTCGAAAAAGGCACGGGTCGGGGGCGCGGGGAGCTACGTCACGCTGCCGCGGCCGAAGTACTATTTCCACGGGGGCGACATAGCCTACCCGAGTCCGACGCGGGAGGAGTTTCTGGAACGCTTTTTCTTCCCCTACCACCTGGCGCTGCGCGAACCCAAGGTGCCGCAAGGCGAGTCGAAGATTAATGGGACAAGTTCGTCGACTTCCAATGGAGCGACGAGCCTGCGCCTGGATAGTCAGCTAGCCGCGTCCACCTCACCGACGGGGTCGTCCGCTGTGTCGACGGGCAGTCCCGTGAATAGTGGCAGTACAGGAAGTTTTGGAGAACGGCGCGTGAGCGGTGCGTTACCTGCCGCATTGATAGTGCAAGACCAGCAAGGTGATATCATGCCGAATAATTCGAGTTTTGCGCCGGTGAAGGCGGTGAATTCGTCGCCAACAATTCTTTCCTCTTCCAACGTAGAACTAGCGTCCCTTGCTAATACGGGGGTGACGCAGCAGCAGGGAACAAACGACGCCACAGTAACGAAGCAGGAGCAAGACGTCGAAGAGAGTAAGGCCCGCGAGACTGAGGTGGTGGGACTGAAGAAGGCGACGTCCCTCCTGTCGAGCTTTTTTCACATCCCGCAGCTCGCGAATTTGCACGCGACGGATGAAAACAAGCTGTCTGAGGACTCCACGGCCTCCACCAGTAGCTCTGAGGCGGGATCGCCACGCGCCACGTCCAGTAGCGAGCCCACGGACCACGGAGAACTTCCGGCGCCGTTGTCACCGCGGGAAGTCGAAGAAAGCCTTGGCGAAGGTTGTACTAACGACGCCTCCGGAATTACAACTACGATGCAGTTAGCGGCGATCCGGGAAACGCAAACGAAGCCCAGCGTCAGCATTATTGGCGAGTTGAAGGCCAGGAGTAGTTCGTTTTCGCCGCGGGGTCAGAGTACGACAAACCGGGGAAGCAGCGCGTTAGACGGCACCACGGCGGGTAGTACCAATAATGCCTCGGCTGTGCAGCTTACAGGCTCAGGCGGGGGGAGTAGTGGCGCGCTCAACAAACTCACACAGGCCATAGACACCATAAGCGAAGAGCAGACAGAAAAGGACAATGTGCTAGAAAAGGGGCAGAACCAAACTTCTTCTAAACCCGGAGGTGGTGGTGCTTCTGTATCGATTCTGGATCCGAAAAACAACGACGGGACCACGAGCAGTTCTAGCAGCCCATTGACAACATCCTTAGTACAGCAACCGCCCGGCGGCCCAACTACGGCGATTACTTCTCCCGTCAATAGCCGGTCCGGTACTTTTAGTAGTTCTACCAGGTTCGCCGGAAATAACCGCGCGAGCATAATACGGCGCGGCAGCACCTCCGTGCACTTGGAGTGCATGCTGAAGAAGGAGAACGAGTACTCCCGGAAGTGCGGGCGGTCCAACGGCGGCCTGCAGATCGCCTCCCGGCGCGGTTACTACGCCCAATTCCTGAAGAACAAGGACCACCAGGGCAAGATCGCGAAGAAGTCGCCCATCCAGATGCCCACCGACAAGCTGACGGCGGAAGAACTGAAGGGGCACGAGGGGCCGCTGTGTTTCCTGGTGCCGGGGAACCACGACTGGTACGACAACCTGGACACGTTTCAGGACCTGATCTGCAACCGCGCGTGGCTTGGGGGTTGGTACATGCCGCAGACCCACAGCTACTTCATCACGCAGGTGCACCCGAATTGGTTCGTGTTCGGGCTGGACATCAGCCTGACCAACGACATCGACTCCACGCAGTTTCTCTACTTCAAAACCTTTGTGGAGAACGACTTGATTCCGAACGTCTCCCGGGTGATCGCGATCACCCACCGGCTATCGTATTTAAAAACGTCCCCACCTCATAGTTGTATATGCAAATTTGCATGCTGACAGTGTTTCTCATGCGGAGCCCCATGAGAAGCATTTTTCGTTCGTGTGCTGGAATTTGTCATGCTTAAATCAGCGTGATACACTAGATTTGTGATGCTGCTGAACTAGCCCAAACAGCACTACACTACGAGTCCAAATTTGTCATGCGAAACAGCAAAAACTTGTGGATTTGTCTAGCCGATTCCCCATCTTCTTGACTATCGGGTGGGGACGTTTTTATATAGGATACCGCCCGAATTTCAGCTTCGACGCCTCCAGCCGGGAGAAGACCGGGCCGTGGCTGATGCAGTTGCTGCACGGCGTGATGAAGGACGTGCTGGCCATGCGGTGGACCGGGGACCTGCACCACTACATGCGGTACGAGCCCGACCTGAAGATGGTCACGCGCGACGGGCTGGGGCAGCCGCTGAAGAGCAAGGCGGACGCGGTCCCGCTGATCGTGGCCGGCGGCGGGGGTGCGTTCACGCACCCCACGCCCTGGGGGGACCCGGAGCTGCTGACCAAGAACTACCAGCCCTACCCGACCGAGCCCAAGATGCCCTACGCGGGCTACTATGAATTGCAAAAGTATCGTACTCGTATAAATGCATTACAAATTATGTTCTCAGCCTGAGAGAGAAAATTTGAATTTGTAATGCAGATTTACCTCAAGAAAAAAGATTTGTATATGCATGACTGCAATACGAGCACGATACTTTTGCACAGGATAGCTACCGCGCCGCGGCCATGTACCCCAGTGCGGAAACCACGAAGCAAATGGCGAAAACCATCCCGTTCAAGTTATGCATTGCAAATATGTCTGGGTCTGGAAAGTTGGGACTTGTGATGCTAGCTTTGGATTCTAAAAAAATTTGCATTGCATGACCAGCAAGTAGTGCAAGAGGAGTCGAGTTCGTGCTGCGCGGGGAAGGCATTTGTCATGCGGAATAGGCATCAGGAAGCCCTGTAAAATTCTGTGATGCTAGGTCATGCATTACAGACAACCTTGGTCATGCCATATATGCATGACAAACCTGGCAATCTTCCAGACCCAGACATATTTGCAGTTGATATAAGTGGCGCAAGAGCAACTACCAGGCGGACATTGTGATCGGCATCGCCTACCTCTGCGCGGCCCTCGGGCTGTTCCCCTGCTGCTTTTTGACCAGCGAGCGGCTCAGTTTTATCGGTACGACTTCGTACTTGACGACGGCCTACCAGTTTCTGCTCCTCCTCCTCGAGGCCTACCACCACATGTGGCAGACCACCACGGTCGCGTTGGCAACCCACGTTTTTCTGCTCATCACCGGCATCGTCTTCACCGACGGGCAGCAGTGTGGGGTCTGCAAGCATGATTCCGTCCGCTGGGCCGTGGGGCTGGCGCACGCGCTGGTGCACAGCTTCTGCATCGTGTTTTTCGTCGTGTTTTTGGAAACCCTGCTCGAGCTGTCCCCGCAGAACCGCAAGCCCATCTCCGCCCACCCCGCCATCGTGGAGACGCTGGATTTCTACAGCGGCGGGGTGCTGCAGCCGCTCCTGTTGAACCTGATGCAGGCGGTGGAGCTCCCAAACCTGCTGGTGTCCACCAAGCACGCCATGTGCGCCGCGGAACCGGTCGCGCGGGAGTGGGTGCTGTTGTACAACCTGGGCATGTCGATCTACTTCTACGCCACGGCCGTCCCCACGGCGGCCTTCATTATGGGATCTTTCCTGTTCCTCGGCATGTACTTCCTCGGGATTCACCAGGGGGAGGCCTTCGTGTCCCTCCGCGACCCCGACCACAAGTCCTTCCTGCGGTGCCGAATCGGCCGCGACGGCGTGCTCAAAGGGTGGGCCATCGGGATCGAGCAAACGGGCGACGGCATCGGCCCGCACTGGGAGGTCGACGCCCTCGCGCGCACGAGGAAGGAAGATCCCTGGAACGACGCCGCGCCCTCCAAGTATTTGTCCAACAAGGTCAGCGAGCCCCACTTGGTGGATGTGTTCACCGTCATTCCCCCGCGGGCCAGTATGAGAAAAAAAAGAGGACACAAAGGACCACGATTAGAGTTTGCCTGTTCTTGCATGTTTGTGTTGGCGTTTCTGCTCCTGATCATGCGACCAGAACGTCGCCGTCGGTGGACCATGTTAGAGCACTTCTCAAAACAGATTTTGCAAGCCTTCCAGGTGGTAGTTCATCATCAAATTTGGTATTTGACCTCAAGCGAAATTCGTGGTAGCAAGGGTCCTTTTGCTTTTTCTCCCCATAACCGACGGCAGTCCGTCACTTGCGGGCGGGAGTCTACGCATGCAAAATGCGCTCACGGTCAAATGAGGAAGTTCAAGTTCTAGTTGAAAACCTTTTTCAAAAAACGAACGGCCAATATACTATGAAGAAACCTTTTCTCAGAAGAAATTCTTCTGTATTTGACATCCGATACCGGTCGTCAAATTCAAATAGATACTTCTTGTTCGCTGCATGATCTATCAATCAGGAAGCAGGTGAAATTTCTATCATGTTTGAAGCCAGAGCGGAAATTCAGAATTGTCCAGATTGTATGCCGAGCTTCTGATAGAAGTACAAAATGAACAAGATAAGGACCAAGCGCACTCGACGATGGAAAGCCAGGCCCCTGTCGACCTTCGTTGCCAACGTGGCTTTTTGGCGATTGATATGAGATACGTATGAAGAAATCGCGCACTTGTTCTGTAATGTCGTGAAAGTCCCGTGCGGACTTCTCTCGTAGGAGTGAGACCGATCGCTTTCAGCATGATCGCGTTTGAGTCCTTCGAGCGACATAGATACTTAGTTGAGTGGTGCAGAGAGATGATGAAGATGTCGGAATGAGAGAGGCTAAGTAAAGTCAACCTACTACAGCAACATGCGGTTCAACGATAATGCTTCTTCAGATCCGAGAAACTGACTGAAGAGTCGCGTACTTCTTTAGGAATGCTTAGATACATGAACATGCTAGAAAAGCAATTACAACCAAGAAAGATGAAGTAAAAGAGGAATCTCTCGCCCTTGCCGCGCTCGTCCATGTCGTCCGGTCTTTGTTCGACGCACAGCACACGTCGTGTGCGATTGCGTGTGGTGCCAAGAACTCGTCGTCCAGGCATGTCGTCAGTTCCTGAGTGGACGAGGGAGATAAGCTCAGCCCGTCGTTGCTTCGGAGCCGAATATTAGGTGGGGACCAGCGAGTGTTCATCCGGAACAAGAAAAAGATCGTCTTTTAGCAACTTCTACACCAGCTGATTTTTAAGAAACATCTCACCTCCTCAACATCCATGGAGCAGAAAGGAGGGTCGCACTCTTCCACGAGCCCGCGGCCGTGGCGGCCCCCGGGCCCGCGGGAGCCGCCGACCGAGCAGGAGCGGCCGGTGCTGGACATGGCGCGGGCGGAGGGCGTGGTCCGCACATCGGAATCGAGCACCATTGACCGGTTCGCGCAAAAGACCGAGCTCTTGCGGCGCCACTTTCCAAAGCACGCGTTTTCCAAGACCTTCGCGCGGCTGCAGGAGGCCGGTGCGGGCATTGTGTCCGCGGCCGGGTCTGCAGGAGTCGGAGGCGGTGCGGTCCACGGGCACCAGCAGGGAGGTGGTGCAGCTTCATCGCGGCCTAAAACGCCTGTCCTGCTGACGGGAAGTAGTAGAACAGCAATTATCGGAACAAGCGTCTCGGCGGGCGCGCTTGGCGAGGCTGTAATCCTGTCGGAGGACGCCGCGCTACTCGCGAGCGAACTTCTTCCGGGCGGCGTGCGAGACGATGGGGACGAGACAAAGCTGAACCGGGCCCATTCCGACATGAAAATCGCAACCGGGACAAAAACGCCAGAATGGTACTATGGGGGACGACCTAGTTGTGATCGTGATGATGTCGAGGAAAAATGATACGATGTTTTTGCAAATCCATGAATGAAAATGAATCCGAATTTCGCCCTTTGGACTTAACTCGCTCCGCTTGTGCAAGTCTAAGTTGCATCTAAAAAGCGCATATTGCAATCTGTTATCCGTATTTTCACATTTTGTTCCACAGGGTCAACGAAGAGAGGCGGTATCTGCGGTTGCACGGCGAAAAGAAGGGCGACGTGAATGCACGAGCCTTGGACCGCCGTCTCGACCAATACAGCATCGTGAAACCGGGTGGGCTACGGAAAGGGTATAGATGTATCATATGGATGAATTCTTGGAGGTCAATTCCAAACGTAACCGAATTGAGATTTATTTTTAGGAGCAGTTTTAGGAGCAGTTATCGTTGGTGTAAAAAGAGTCAAGTCCATAAACAACACGTCCCAGTGTCCCGTCGATGGAGGAATTCGAAGCGAACTACGGACCCAGCGTCGAGGCGGCGCAGCGCGAGCGGCAGATGCTGATCAAGCAAAAAGCGTCCGCGAAGAAGGAGCAGGAGCGCGACGCCGGCACGGAGACGCTGGCTATCCTGCTCGGGAAGAAGAAGGCGCAGTCGCCAACCAAGCAGAAGGCGACCAGCAGCGACCTGCTCGCATCTCTCGGGGACGAGGATTTCGAGGCCCAAATGCTGTGCCGCCGGCTGGACGCGCGCGCGGAGCGCGAAAGCAGGGTCCCGAAGAACGTGCACACGCGCTATCGAAAGGAAGAGGAACGGCGAATTTTCCAGCGCAACAGCCCTACGCGCACCACGCGTCCGCCGCCCAGTCGCGAGCGAGCCAGCAAGGACCAATTGGTACCGCCAAGTCCTCTTGTTCATGCGGAGGGGAGTAGCAGTAAGCATCTTCAAGGGGGTTCAACATCCGGCGCTGCAGCGGGACCATCTGTTGGGGATCAACATGCGGTCCAGTCCTCTTCGATAATATTACCCGCTGAGTCCTCCGCGTCGGGAGCAGGAGCACATGCTGCAACACAACCCGGCGAGACGAGTGTAGAAGAAGGCGCCGCTGCTCCGTCGAGCCCGGAACTACTGGCTGCAAACACGACCAGCAATACCGACGGAACAGCCGCGACCTCGCCGGCGAAACGCAGGTGGACCAACGCGGTGGCGAAGCTGTCGAGCGAAAAGAAGTTGCAGACCAGCCACACCGCGCTGGCCGAGGCAGCGACGATTTTGCTCGAGGACCCCAATGTGAAGTTGCTGGACCCGGACGCGGACCTGAGCGGGCCCATGGCGCAGTACAAGAAGCACTGCGACAAAAACGAACTGCCCCGGCTGGACCTGCAAAAAGTGTTCACAGAGGTCGAGAAGTACCGCAACCTGACGCTGAAGAACCTGGAGCTCTCCGTCCTGCACTGCCACAGCATCTGCAAGGTGCTGGAGACCAGTATCCAGTGCAAAAGAATTATCGTATATGCCAGTCTTGCATTACCATTAGGTAATTCAAATTCTGCATGGTAAATTTCATGTTGAGCAAATTTGTAAATGCGAATCACACTAGGGCGATGCTTTTCCTTTTGCGGTGCATAACCATGCCGAGTGCGCAGTTTCTGTCCGTTACCAACTGCCTGATCCCCGACAAGGGCATCGAACTGCTGCTGAACACCTGTCTGGAGTCCCTCACGTCGCTGCACCTGGAAAACGTGAACCTGTCCCTGCAGAGCATCCAGCTTTTGTATAAAGCCCTGTACCCCCGGCGGCGGCACTGCGTCCTGCAACACTTGTTCCTTAAGGGGTGCGGCCTGGGCTCCGAGGACGAGATCCCCGGGTACAAGGCCTGGGACTCCGACGACGAGGACCCGGACGAATATGACGATTCGGAGGACGAGCGAAGGCGGCCACTAAACGAGGACGACTACCATAACCGCGACGACGACGAGGAGGAGGATTACTACGACGACGAGGGTCATAACGACGACTACGTGGAGCGCACACCGGACACGTATGTGGGCGGTGCTGGCGGTGGTGCACCTACAACTGCAGCCCTCGACGACGAGGAGAATTTTCCGCCGCCGACGCTGCGGGGTGGTTCCGGTACAGACGCACTCACGCAGCAGTTGCGCGAGGAGGCGGCTGCGACCGGCGAGACGACGGCTTACACGGACAACGACCCCACGCGGCGGGAGAACATTTTGCGGGAGGAGGACTCCCTCGCGGCCGAGGACAGCATGCTCAGCGGACCCCTGTTCAGCGTGGAGGAGCACCCGGGCGGGGGAACAACAGCTGCAGCTGCACCGCATGGTCCAAGTGCTGGCCCCGATCCGGAGTCCACGCGGCGCGAGATCATGGGCTCGCGCGGGGGGTCCCGTGGCCACAGCCGGGGTGGCGGGATAAACAGTCGGGGAAAAATGGCCACCACCTACGAAGACCACGGGTTCGATCCTCGGGGTGACAGTGACACCGTGGTTCCCATCAGCCCCATGCACGACGACCGGCGGTCGGCCGCCGCTTCCTCGCCCCGCCACCAGCAGCACGCGCGCAGCGCCGTGGCGGACTACGCGACGCGGCGGGAGAAGTCGGTGTTTCAGGGCCTCGGGGCGAATTGCTACGAGGACCACCAGCTGGGGCGATACTGGATTGAGACGGTGGAGCAAGAGGAGGAGGAGGCGGAGCTACTCGACCGCGCGCGGGGGTACCAGGTGTCCGCGTCGCCTTCCAGTCGCACAGGGACGGACAGGCCCAACACGGGTGACCAGGCCGGGTCCGCCGCGACCACTGCGAACGACCCCAGCGAGGTGACCGCGTCGCGGCCGCTATGCAATACAAATTTCATCCCGTATATGTACGAGATGCATGACAAATTTCACCACTTTGGAGTGATGTAACACTTGTGATGCTAAAGTAGGATCGGAGCCAAGTTTTGTCTTGCAGAGACCGCGACGTTTGTAGTACGTGAACGGGGATGAACCATAATTTCCTGTGGATAGGCGCCCTCGCAGCAGGCGCCGACCGCCACGGTGCAGGTGGTGAACGCCACGTCGAAGTACCGACCCAACCCGAAGGACCCCTCGCAGCGCGCCATGCCGCCCGCGGGCAGCAACCCTTCTGACGTGCCGGACGACGGCCGCTTTCTGAAGAAGCTCCACCATCTGGGCGGCATTCCGGAGGAGCCGCGGTCGCCGCTCGCGGCAAACGACCCGCGGGCGGATGCGGAGTACAGCAAGTCGCCGCTGTTGGACTTTGCGAAGTCCCCGGAGTGCAAGAAGCTGCAGGCCGAGTCGCCCACCAAGGGTGTGGTGGTACCCACCACGCTCCCCAAGTACAAAAAGAAGTCGCAGATCGAGGCGGGGGATGTGCCCAAGCACCTGTTGGAATCCGGAACCGGGGGAAGCCGGGTTCCCAGTCGACAGGGAACTTCGGGTACTACGCGTTTATTTTCTTGCATAACGTTAACTGCGCGCGCGCACCATACATGCTAGTTGTAGTTTGTTAGTGCATGCAGGTCTCCATGAACATGGTCGAGAACAAATGGTTTCTTCGAACGGAATTATGTGATAAAGAAAATTGATTCCGTCTCCTACAAACACACAGCTTCCAGCCGCTCGGCTTCCACTCTGGCAGACAGGCGCGACGTCGTCGCGGGCGACGTGAACGTGCCCGGCGTCCGGCGGCACCGTTTGCACGAGGAGCCGAACCGCACGCGCGGCACGAAGCTTTGGGGCGAGCTTCGGCGGTACCTGCAGACGGCCAAGGGCATGGGCATCCGGCCGAACCTGGGTTGGAACGAGGACGAGTGGGGGGACGTGGGCGCGCCGCAGGACGGGGACTTTTCCATGGTGCACCACTACACCGTGCGCAAGGACCGGGGTAAGCAGGACCTGGCGTTAGTTGCCACCCGCAACCAGCTGAAGAAGGAGCGCAAGTTCTACCGCGGCGTGCGGGTACGTGCCGTGCCGGACGGGTTCGGCATGTTTTCGCACGCGCTGGACGTGCTGCGAGTCCGGAAGGACTGGAACGGCTACCCGCCGGACATCTGGCACCGCGAGGAGGAGGAGGTGGAGCACCTGGAGGGCTACCCCGTGGTGATGCCGGTGCTCGCGCTCTCCATGGTCACGCACCTGAACACGCTGGACCTGACGGCCAACGTGCTCAGTCCGCGCGGGTGGTCGGTGTTCGAGCAGCTCCTGGGCCGCACCAAGTCGCTGGAGGTGCTGGTGCTGGACGAGACCGGTCTGTCGGACCTCTGCATCCACCCGTTCTGCGCCGGGCTGCGGCACAACGTCTCGCTCAAGTCGCTTTCCATGCGGTCGGTGATGCTGCTGCGCGACGACAGTCTGATTTTACTCCTCCAAACACTCGAGAAGCACCCGGCGCTCGTGTTCTGGAACTACTTGGACAACGGGTGGGGCGAGAAGATGCTGGGCCTCACGTCCGAAGACGACGCGAAAACGGTCGCCACGGTGGTCCGGACCGCGGGTAGCTCCTCGACCGGCGGCTTCGCGAACACAACCTCCGGCGGAACGCTCAAGGACCCAAATTCCACCTCGGACATGTGGGCCACCACGAACCGCGGGTCGCACCACACGTCGTCCTCCCTCAGTCCGACCGAGCGCAACAAGTCGAAGCTAAACTCCGACGGCGGCGGGGCCGTCAATAAAGTCGAGGAGGAACGACACACGGTGATTGGGGCGTTTCGGAGTCTCCTCAACCGCGCGGTGCTCCTTAGTTGCATCCACGCCAGTCTCCCGGAGTGCACGCTGCAGCAGAGTCTGCTGAAGGAACGCGGGTGGCACAACCACTTCAAGGAGCGCGGGACGGAGAACGTCGTGATTTGGCGCGCGCTGTTTTGCCGGGACTTTTACCACTACCCCCGCACGCGGGTGGTTGCCGAGGCGGAGCGAAAGCAGCTCGCGGGCGTCGCTACGCGGGAGGCGCACTGGATCCGGGGCGGGTACCGGGACCTGGTCACGAACGTGACGAACGCGACGGGCTTGTTGCAGTCCGCGGTAGTCGCGGCGGAGCAGGCTGAGGCGCACGCCCTGATGAGTGGCACGACCGCGGGGAAGGACGCAACAGGAGGACCGCAGCATCACAATTCAACAGCTGGTGGAGGTGCACCATCGAAGATGAAAAATACATCAACAGCGGCCGCTGCGCACCACCACCAAGCCGACGCCGTGAAGACCACGAGTTCATCTTCGCCGCACTCCCCGACGAGCGGTATGCTGGGGATCCCGGACTCGGGAATCTTCGAGGCGGCGAACAAGGATTTCTGCGTGTGGTACTGCGACGCACTGGAGGCGCCCGCGCCCCTGCTGACCGTGCCGCACTTGGAGGCGTGCAAGCAGTTTTTGCAATCGCACGCCGCGGTGTCGTCGGATTCCCTGTACACGCCGCCCTCTACCACCAGCACCGTCGGTTTTCCCCCCGATCATGCGGCAGCTGGTACCATCAACAACTCCGGGGCGGGTATCAGCACACGGGGGCGGATGATGAACAGCGCCTTCGCCGCGGCCAGTTCGACCACCGGTGCTGGAGGTGGTCCAGTTGTAGCTCTGACAGCCCAGCAACTTTCGGCAACAGGCGCGGCCAACACCACGACCTCCTTCACAGACGCCGGGACCAGCACGGCGACCTCGAACCTGGAGCATCAGCGCGCCGTGGACTACTTTGAGACGTCGTACCAGACCAGCGGGTCGCGGCAGGGCCGCCGCGGGCGGGACGGCCGGCAGAAGCGGTCCACCAGCGTGGACTCGCAGACCGGGGCAGGAGACGGCACGATGAACGCGACAAACAGCACGCTGCTTTCGAACAGCAACCCGATGAACACGAGCTTTACCGCGTCGGGGAGCGGCACGATAGGTGCTGGCGGATTGATGCAGAACCACACGACGAGTGCCGGCGCGCCGGGACAACTTCTCGGGGACGCGACTTCGCGGCACCGGGACTCCGCCTCCTCGCTGAACAGCTCGATGCACTCCCTGAGCGTGAGTCCGAGTAAAAAGAAATCCCGGCACGTCGTGACCAAGCGGCCGGGGAAGAGAAACGCGCCGCAGGACTACTTCAAAAACCGGCCGCCGCAGGTGACTATGAAATGCAAATATGTCTGGGTCTGGAAGGTTGCAACTTGTCATGCTAAATCTGAAGCATGCAAAAATCTGTGTTGCATGATTACCAAAAGTCGTCCAGTTTTGACCAAGTCCGGAGGGAGTTTCTCATGCAGGATAGGCATGAGAGAGAGCGCGCAGAATCTGTCATGCTAGGCCCTGCATTCCAGACCTCATGGGTCATGGAAAAGCAGGATGACAAATCGCGCACTCTTCCAGACCCAGACACTTTCGCATTTCATAATGACCAAGCAGGAGCAAATCGAGCGTATCATGGCCAAGCAGAACGAGATATCACACAGAAAAAAACTGGCAGGGCATTTCTGTAATGCAAAAATAAAGACACAGAAAAACTTGTCATGGGTGGCCCGGAGCATGCTGTTTCGGATATGCAATAGAGATCTTTTTGTGTATTTATTTTCGCATTACAAAGAGAAAGATGCGCTGCCAGCTTTTTTCTGTTGGATACGAGAAAAAGGAACAGGAAAAGCAGAAGGAACTGCTGAAGCAGCAGCAACTCTTACGCCAACAGCAGTCCTCCGCCCACAACCACAGTTTCGGGACCTTCGACCTGTCCTCAGAGTTGAGCACCCTGGCGCAGGACCCCAGTCTGGTCGGCGGTGCAGGAGATAACAACTCGCCGCTTTTTAACAAAGAACAGGAGAACAATTCGTTGCTTGCTGCGCCGACGCTTTTTTCCACCACGACCCAGATGAACAAGATGGACCAAACCACAACTTCGCTGGACCACAGCGTGCGGTCCGGGGCCACGGGGGACAGTTCCTCGGGCGTCCCGCTGGGGCAGCACAGCGACTTTCACGCGCTGGAGCGGCAGGTGGTACCACACCCGATCCACTGCGCCAAACCGCACAACACGATCAAGCTGAGCCGGTCCTGGGTGGCGGACCGCGTGCAGATGCAGGAGTTCGTGTGGAACTTCCCCCGGTCGGGCAGCCAGAGCGGCCACTCGGTGCACCTCTGCGTATCAAATGCAAATATGTTGTCTGGAGGGTCTGGAAGATTGCCTGCACCTTTCGCATGACCCGTGATGTCCGTGATGCATGCCCCAGCATCAAAGATTGATGTTTTGCGGGGGGCATCTTGATGTCTAAACCGCATGAGAAATCAATGCCCTCTCCACGGAGCAAAAACTGGACGCCTCTTGCTGCTCATGCAATACAGATTTTTTTAGATTCCAAAAATCGCATCACAAGTTGCATTCTTCCAGACATCAGACATATTTGCAGTGCATACTGCGCCTCGTTCTACGACTACTGCATCGTGCCGATGAACCTGGTCCTCCAGACGAACCGCAATCACGTTTTCCGGGTGGGTTGCCGGGTGCCCAGCTACTGCGAATTCGTCTACTACTTCTTCTACGACCCGGCGACGCGGAAGATGTTCCACGCGCAGGACCAGCCGCACCTGAAGATTCGCAACAAGGGCAAGTGGTACCGGGAGTACTTTTTGAAGTCCGTGTCCAAAGCCTCGGAGGCGAACCTGGAAAAGCCCTCGAACGCGCCCGGGGGGATGGCGGAAAACGTCACGTCGATCGAGTTATCAAATGTAAAACTGTCTGGGTCTGGAAGAATGCAAGACTTGTAATGCTGAACTCGCATACTCCCAAACTCTGTAATGCGTGTTGCGGAATAGCGCTGCTTCTGTGTCATGCAAAAACGCAGTTTCTCATGCGTGTTGCACACCACAGGACCGTTGAAAAATCTGTCATGCTAGGCTGCATACTCTAGTCATTTTTTCATTCGTGTATGAGCATGACAAGTTTCCAGACCCAGACATATTTGCATTTGATACGAGTCGATCTTCGGCCTCTTCGACATCGACGACGATATGCCCGACTTCGTAAACTACCGCCGAATCCACCACTTCCACTACCCCACCGCGAGCCCCGTGGCGCAGGTGCAGCTGCACCACCGGGCGCCGATGATCGGGGAAGTTCACGACAAGTCGCTGGAGCATTTCCAGCGCGAGTACGTGGACGATGAGGAACATGACCGGCTCGACGAATGCTACGACTACGACATGAAAAAGATCTCGCTCGAAGGGATCTGCGGCGAAAACGAGGAGAAATTGTATCAAATGTAAAAATGTCTGGGTCTGGAAGAATGCGAACTTGTGATGCGTGTTGCGGATCATACAAAAATCTGTGTTGCATGACTTGCACAAGGTCCGCACTTCTGGCCATGCGGAGAGGACATTTCTCATGCAGAATTAATAGGCATTACCAAGGGGCTGCAGAACGTGTGATGCTACTCCCTGCATTCCAGACCTGGCGGAGCTTTGAGAAACTGCGTGACAAATCCCGGAATCTTCCAGACCCAGACATTTTTGCATTTGATAAACTGTTCCGGAAAACCATCAAGAAACACTACCTGGAGCTCTACCAGAGCTACGGTATAAATCATGCAGTTCTGTATGACAATGATTTCGCTAGATTTAGATTTTGTTTTTTTGGTTTCGTTTATTTCTGATGAAGATGGTCGCCTTCTTTTTGATGTCACTCAACACATGGCACAACTGCGATAACCAGCTCCTTGCATGTACATAGAGCCATGAAAATGAAGAAATGCGCCGGTCGTGTGTTGAGCATGACTCCCATTCCGGAGATTGAAAATTATACAATTCGTCATTATAACAGCGCTCCTGACGGGCGGCGAGCTGTACGTGCGGTCCGTCGACGTGATGGCTTTTTTTGACGAGATGGTGAGTGCGGAGGTTTCCTCCCTGGAACTGATGAAGTTCATCGAGTCCGTCGGGCACTCGGCCGTCCGCTTTTTCCGCCACGAGTTCGTGCATCTCTGTCTCCTCGTGGGGATCACCCTGTACCCCCAGCCGAGCACCAAGGACGCGCCGAAGTCGCTGACACTGTTGGTCGAAAAGAGGTTGCGGAAGGCCATTGGGTACCCACTCAACCCGTTCAGCAAAAGCGTCATGCAGAACCCCATCGTGAACAAAATGACCTACGATTGCATGGACATTCTCAAGGACGCGTACTATCGAGTTTGGTTTTTACGTGTTTTACTTTTCCTCAAGGTTCTTGTGTTGCACGACAACGACTTGCAGCTAATCATAATCGATCATACCTTGCAAAACACGACAGACAAGGACAAATGTAAGTACGTGGAACCCAAACACGACCTTGTCACATGTTAATAAATCAGGTATCTGCGGTACGGCACGCACAAGGCGGGTTTTATGCAGCTGATCTACATCCTGCGCATTAACGACCGAAATTTCACCGCGCGGCACCTCGCGTGCATTTTTGCCCTGGCGCAGAAGTACAAGCCGCGGGCGTGCGAGCAAACTGAGCATGAGTGCACGCGGATGACCTACCCCGAGTTCTGCGAGGCCATCGTGCGCATCGCGGCGGGCGGGCTGCCGCAGGAGGAGAAGCGGTACCGGGGACAGAACCTGTCCCTGTTCCCGCCGAAGTTGGTCAAGGTTTCGCGGGAGTTCTGCGTGCGGATTCAGACCAAAATTCGGGAAAACATTCGCAGGATGAACCAATACAAGATCGGCTAGTTTTTGTTTGTGGCACCTGCAGTCTGGGTTTGTCCCGTCTCGTCTCCGGAACTCCTTTTTTGCTACTTCATTTTGCACTTATTACACGACGACCTAGGCGCCGACTCTAGGCGTTCTTCGTTCTAGGCTGCATGCCTGTGTACCAACGTTCGTATCTTCCCATTACAACAAGAACCCCGTTTCGCGTTTCGCTATCGTTTCGCTGTTTGAAGCATTGTCCAACTTTTACGTAAAGCTAAAGAGATTAGGTGACGAAATTAGCATTAGGTGAGAAACAACATTGTGTCCATTGACGCAATAAAGTACTAGAACTGTTATGATTAGGTGACAAAATATCAATGACAGGAGCTTAAGGTTTATTCCCGGAGAGGGAACGAGCCTTCAAGTCTCGACGCACTTGATTCGGTGACTCCAATTATTGACGAATTTTCGAAAAGGTTCGCTTCTTTTCGCCCCTGAAAATAATGGTGATTCTTGTACGATGTATTATTCCCTGTGAACTGCGATTTGCACTTGACGGTGAAGAGAGTTTAAAAGTTCTTGATTTCGATTTTAAGCCAGAAAAGATGTAGTTTTCCAGCATCACGAGCTGCTGGCTCTCCATCAAGCGGGCGACCGCGTTCGAAGAGCAACAGAACCACAGTGTTCTTGGGCTGCCCCTCGTGTTGTGACTACGATCAACGTTAGCAATGGCAGTTTGTCGTCTTACTTGCCGCTGTGACGCCATTTATTTCGGCGCCAAGATCTTCTTCTCGCAGAAGTGATGTGAAGACTCTGTCAGGTGTCGTTATTTTCCTTTTTGGTTCTCTCAGGATCGAGTAGTCACAGTAGCCTTGGAGCCGCACCACACCGAAGATAGAAGATCTGTAGTTTCTCATCGTCATCGAAAAATTTTCAATAGATCCCCATGTTGCAGCAGGCGCACGCTGGACACTGCTATAAGCACCGGTCGTACCTCCACATGCATTTTTCGAGTCAGTCTTATTCTTCAGTTTTGACGCATGTAAAAGAAGTAGTGTCTTTTTCTTCCTCTTTTCACAAATCACAGCGAAGGTGTGATTGCAAATTTTCCTTCCGTTCCTAGGAGTTGATATAGAGCGCTGCTTTCTCCCACTCCCTGCATGTGCACCGCAAGAATCCTCGCATGGTCAACAAACCGACGGGCTTATTTTCGTGCTATTTCTAGCTTACCCTTTTCTTTGTCAACACCTACTTTCAATTTATTTTCCGCCGGTTGCAGGCTTTATTGGAAAAACGTCAACCACACATCACATCGAGCGCAACTTCTTCTCACCCGAAAAATGGCGAACTTGAGTCCGGGTCCCAAGCCCAAGCGGCAGCGGACCCTCGGCATCGTGCAGCGTGAGGTGGAGAATGGGGCCAAGATAAGAGTGGTCCCGGAGGTGACCTTATCAAATGTGAAAATGTCTGGGTCTGGAAAAGTGGAACTTGTAATGCGTGTCATGCATTCCTGGAAAATCTGTGTTGCATAAGCAGCAAAAGAGAAGCTTTCTTTGTCATGCGAAAACGCAATTTGTAATGCGTGCTAGGCATGATCAGCAGGCCTCTCAAAAACCTGTCATGCTTGGCTGCCATTGAAAGCGCTTCAATCATGCGCAATTCAGCATCACAAGTTTCCAGACCCAGACATTTTGGCATTTGATAGACCTCCTACGAGCACAACATCATCATAGCGGACTCCAAGGAGGCCGCAGAAGCGCTGGCGAAGGAGCGCGGCCTGTTGGGGGTGCGTGTGGACTTCAAGGGCGTGCATTTAGTGGCCGCGAAAAAAAGCGTGTCGGTGATTGTGGTCCCCAATGACACCAGTAGACACAACTCCACCGCGAGACCTGACTTTGTCGTCAAAGCCCTGCAGGCCGATCCGCTGCTGAATTCCAGGTATGAACAATTCGTAATGACTTACTTAATTCGAATGTGGAGCCTTGCAGGCAGGTTTTGTATTAGCACTTGTTTGTTTCAAACACGACAGGCCGATTGAACAACTTCCGTGGTTTCTTTCAGAAAGATCTCCGCTTTCGTTGCTCTTGCGATTTACCTGTGAAGATCATAGTACGCTCTAGTAAAGCAAATTTGTGTTTGCGACACCTACGACGCGGCGCGTGATAGCAGCACTTGATGTAAAAACACGACCGTATTGCAGCGCCGCGATCGGAGTGATAATCGCGAAAACCAACACGGTAAAAGACGCGATTTGGGCACTGTCCGTCTACCGTGCGTTCCCGTCCTGCAACCTGAAGACCAGCGAGATCAAAGACCAGATGATCACGTTTACCACTGGTGTGCCGAAGAGCGTGCAGATTGTGGGCGAGAGCATCAGAATAGCCCAGGTCCTGGTGGACCTGCCGCCCAGCCACCTGACCGCACAGACCTTCGAGGACTTTGTGCGGGAGGCACTGCAGTCCTACCTGACCGTGCAAATCGACAAGATCGAGGGGAAGGAGCTCGAGAAGCGGGGTTTCGGCGGCCTCTGGGGAGTCGGCAAGGGTGCGCAATTCAACGAGGGGCGGGCGCCCAGGCTGTTGATCATGAAGTATGCCGGCAGTGGGGACAGCACGAAGCCCTTCAAGACGCTAGTCGGGAAAGGTACTAGTAGCTCCTGGATCAGCTCTTGTTTCGTGTGCGAGCCATCGGCATGGTCATCGGTCCTGGTTGGTCGTACTAGAATGAGAGAACGCCAACTGGTGTGTGGAAGCGAGTCAATATAGTCCATCTCCAACTATCTACGATAAATTGAAGGTATCATTTACGACACGGGCGGACTTGCCATCAAGCCGCGCGACGGCATGTGCGGGATGAAGCGCGATATGGGTGGGTCTGCGGGGGTCTTCGCCGGCTTTCTCGCCACCGTCCGCGCGGAGGTGAAGGAAAACATCTGCTGTTTGCTCTGCATCGCGGAGAATTCCGTGTCGGCCACCGCGTTTCGGAACGACGACATCTTGCACATGTACAGCGGGAAAACGGTGGAAGTGAACAACACTGATGCAGAGGGCCGACTGGTCCTGGGCGACGGCGTGGCGTACGCCAGTAAGGACTTGAAATCGGATTTGATTCTCACGATGGCCACGCTCACCGGAGCGCAGGGCATCGCCACCGGGCAGCTTCACGCCGGCATGGTCTCGGACAGCGAAGTGTGGGAGGAAAAAGTGCTGGCCGCGGCGCAGAAGAGCGGAGAACTCGTGTGGCCGCTGCCCTACTGCCCGGAGCTCCACATGGAAGAGTTCAAGTCCAGCTGCGCAGACATGAAAAATTCGGTCGCAAACCGGGCGAATGCACAGGTATTGATGTGAGTTGTAGAATGTGGAATATGTAGCAGCATGGTTACGCATATACGATTACGAAACCCAGTTATGATCAGAACTCAAACGTAAGTAGCTGCAATGTGAAGGAACTACAAAACTTGGTTGTTTTGTCGGGAGAATTTTTTGAAAAGTACGAGACACACAACACTCACATTCTTTCAGGTAAGTTGCGCCGCCTCCTTCATCCGAGCGCACATTGAGGAGAAGTGGAGCGGCGCGTGGGTGCATATCGACATGGCCAGTCCGGCCTACAAGGGGGAGCGGGCCACCGGCTACGGCACTGCGCTCGTCGCCGCAATGCTCGGCGTGTGGTAAAATTCACCGATTATACGTCACAAGTCAAATAAGCGGTTACGCGATTATTTTTGGTGGAGGAAATAACAAGAGGAAAAAGCGTTTTCGAAAGCGGTCCATCCGGCCAAAGTGCCAATGCCGCTGCCGCTTTTTCATCTCTGTGAGTGGTTCATAAATTCATTCTCTTGATGAAACAATCTCATCATCGCTGTCCGTATTGCGGTCCCCAATTTAATGTAGACGCATTGTCGTGGTCCTGGTCCTGACCTGAAATGGAGAGGCGCAGCTTCCGGTTCTGATCGAAGGTCCAGGCTTATTGGTTAAGCTCTATCTTTACTCTATTTTCAATCAACCGTTCTTGCTGGTAGTGGTACAGTTCTTTAACGACGCAGAATATTGTCACGCTTGGTTCTTTGAAGGTCTTTCGTCGAAGGCAAACGCTCAGACCAGATTTGGCATTGACGCACGACCCGCAGATTTGCAAAGAATTTGAATTTCGCACACACAAGTTAACTACACAGTTTTGTTCTTCGTCCCAAGATGAAATGGAAATAAACTTGCAGTTCAACAGCTGTGGTACTGACAATGATCCAGCGCTAGTAACGAAGAGGATCAACTTCTGGGAAAATATATGTGCTTGTGCAACGGTGCTGATATAAAGTAACCTATGACCACTATTCGTAATGCAGCCAAGAGATTTGTTCACGATTATCATCCATAACGAAGAATTTTTGTGCTTGCGAAGCTGGTGATCACAGATACAACCGTGGTGGCACGTATCAAATAATGCCACGGTGGAGGAAATTCCAGCCGGAGCGTCCCATAATTTTTGATGTCATGATCGTGATCAGATGCGTAGTCGTGTAAAAGTACTTGAAAATATAGACAGGAAAGCGATGAATATGTAGCGACTTCTCGAAAGAACGCATGATCGTGGCCGCTGGAAGACAAATTTAGCACTTCGCAAAAGTAGTTTTTCAAGCAACCTAAGCAGTGCCTCGCGTAATCAAAGCATTTTGAACGAAGCAGCAGCACACCTAGCGAACTCGTACACACTGATAAATTCAAAATGTCCGCCAGTGGCGCGCTGCGTTGCCTACACGTGAGCGGCTTTCCTCGCGCACCCGCGTCTGTATTGTCCGATGAGGAGATTGGTGCTTTGTTGCTGTCCCATTTGGCGGTGCACAACATCGACAGCACTGCAGGGACTGTACTACCAGACGAGGAGGCCAGTGGTACTGAAGCTGCACCAAGTAAACCGGAATCACACGAATCGCATCCCTCGCCACCTTCGAGCACAACCTGCTCAAGAACCGCCGCGCTCTCACAACAAGAGCAGCACTGGCAGGACCACTTCGACCTGCGTGTGGTGCGGGACCGCGAGACTACTGCGTGCAAGGGCTACGCGTTCGTCACACTGCTCGGGAAAACCGATGAGGAGCAGGAGCGATTTCGAAACTGTGTGAACGAAATATCTGGGAGGAAATATTTGAGCAAGTCAAACAACAACAAGAAGATGACAGGAGATCACACGGCGGGGGCCGCATCTTTATCAGAGAACGAGCGAGTCAGCCCTGAGGATGCATCCAAGCCTGCGGAGGAGGTACGCGAATATACTACTGCTGAAGAAGAAGAAGACGCCCTGCAGCTGACTCTTCGAGCTGAGTGGTCCGAGCCGAAGACGAATAAGGCTGCGAGCGGTAGTGGTGGGAACAAATCGGAAAAAAGTTCTGGTCGCGGAGACCACAAGGGTCGGAACGATCATCTCCCGGACCTGCGCATCGGGCGAAAGAAGTATCCGTCTAAAGCGAAACACGCTGACAGCGTGACGTGTTCCGACAAATCGAAGGTAACATTGGACGCGAAGGGCTATGTGAAATACGTGGGCGACAGAGGTGTAAAAATCCCTAAAGGTGGTGGTATTACGTCTAACGCTCGAGGAGGAGGGTCGTAAGAAAAAAAACCGTGTGTGACAAGTGAGATACCGAGTTTGACCAGGACAAGCGAAAACGATAGGGCATTCGTGACGAGTCCGCGCCAAAGCCGAGTCCGTGCAGAGCGCAAACAGTGCTTGGGAAAAATGAGCACACTGACGAGGGATGAAACCAAAGTCGAGAAACTAATCCTGGCTTTGCTCCAGATTTGTGTAGCGTCTGCTTATTGTCATTGTGTCTAGCGGCCACTGACTATCACTATCGCAACAACACACGAGTTGAGCTCCAAAAAATGACGCTCGGCTCCGGAGTCCTTGTTCATTCCATCGCGAGGCGGGTGAAAACGGTGCGATACACATCACGTGGTGGAGCAGTACCACGCATCCCGTACCTGGATGAAACTGGTGCAACCTCCTTAACAGGAGATCACAAGGCAATCCGTCCCACGGAAAGCCTACCAAAAATGCTGCTTCGGCGTCGCCCCGCACAACCGATGAATTTCCGACGGAACATCTCCACCGCAGACCGTCCTACGGCCTCCTCTGCGTCCTCCTCCGTTACATCACAACAAGAAAAGGACAAACACCACCAGTCGGACATCCTCCTTTCCAAAGTGTCCTCCCTCGTCCAGGATGCCACGGCCCGCGCGCTCTGGGCCCCGCGGTCCGTCGACTTTCTCGTGTGGCGCCAGGAGCTGCCGGACCGGATTCAGTCGGTAAACTACCTCGCGAAGTCCACGGTACCCGGCGCGGGGGACGGGGTGTTTGCGGGCAGAAAATACAAGAAGGGCGAGCCGGTGGAAATCAACCCGTTCATGCGGATCGAGGACAAAAGAATCCCAATGGAATTTTCGCCCTACAAGTTCGACGACTTCACGTTCTCCGGCGGGGCAATCTTACCACCCGTGGAAGAAGAGGATACGGACGAGGTCCACGACGTGGAGGATAAAAATGGCGAGAAAAATGGTCCTCGTCGGTCCAAGCCTTTACCTCACCGTCCCTCGCAGGTCAATGACCACTCGCTGGTGATTATGGGTTTCGGCAGCTACATGAACCATGCGGAAGAGAACAACGTGGATTCTGGGTACTTTATCCGGCGGTTTGCGCTGTTCAAAGCGTTGCGCGACATTGAGGAAGACGAGGAACTCTTCATCCACTACGGGAAAAATTACCAGTACAGTTGGGACAGGAAGTAGTAGAATTGCTGCTCGTGAAGGCGGGTGGACTTCGCTGGAAATAGTGTGGAGGCCATGTTGATGAGTTTATTTCGATTTGAAATTGAAATCCATCTGTTGGTATTGAAAAACGGAAAACAAGAATGTTATATTTAGCGACCTGGATTATATTTAGATTTATTGCAATTGCAAAAGACAAAACGACACGAGCTGCTGCACCGTATTGACGCTCGACAACCCGCCTCACCAAAATGCCATAGCGACCAGTTTGTTAAAAGCCCCATTACGACCACTTGTGAATAGGTTTTGAGACCAGGAAGAAAACATTTGATCTATATGTTTCCTTTTAAATCTGTTGAGATTGCGATTGCGATCACGATCGGCCCAGTACATTCAGCACTCGGGAAGAGCGTTTTCTTCGTTTGTCAAACGTCATGCATTGTTGCTTAGCCCTGCCCATGCCTGTTTCGCATTGTTGCGTAGGTTCTTGTTCTCGTGATTGCGTTCTTCTCCTTGTGAGTTTCGAGCGGAGAGTAGCCGATGATACAAATGAACCCAAGAACGATGAAAACACCATCGTCTTCCGCACAAGCCGCTACAACTAGATATCGATAGGTGTACGCTTTTTCATTCTGCTTTTAGTTTTTCGATACGTGAGAACGATTTCATTTTTTGGCAATTTTTTTTGGAGAGGAGACAGACAAATTGGTTTAAAATCAGCGTATGCATAATTTGATCGGAATCGATCCGGTAGGCTCGCAAAATTGCATTTTGAAACGCCTTTAGTCCTTTCCTATCCTGGTACTAGATCCTCAATGAATTCATGAGGATGAGAATCTTTCTTGACATTTTTGTGATGGTTCCTATGAATGACTTTCCGTTCCATGTATTAACAGCCGATCTCGAGAACTAATAGAAGAGTTCAAAACAAGAGGAAGAGTGAATGAGATTTTCTATTTTCAACCGAGTTTTTGTTTTTTCTTAATCGATACGATTACGACAAAGTTATTATACATCAAGATGTCCAGCACCGGTAATAAGCCCGAGATGGAAGCGAAAATCCGTTCCTGGATTTTGGGTTTTTTGGAAGACTCGAAGGTGAACGGCACGCTGGAGGAGTTGCGGATGAAGAGTCTGTACCAAATTCTCCAAGCGCACAACGTGCCATCGTGGGAAGAGTACAAGCCGTTTGTTAAAGAAGTCGTTGCCGATTTCACCGCGAAACACAACGAGGAAGCCGAGGACACGGGTGAAGAGCCACTGCCGGCGTTGAAAAAACAAAAAGTAGAGGAGAAAGAGAAGCCCGCGGCAGCTTCCAAAAGTACAGTAGATTCGTTTACGACAGATAATTATGATAAAGAAAATCAAAATGGAGATTCTTTTTACACAAAAAAAATGAAATAAATCCCGCGCCACACAACATACCTACGCATACTTCCCACCTACAGGCGCTCCCGCAGCCAGCACGACCTCCAAATCCAGCAAGCAGGGCGCGTCCTCTCCCAAGCGCCCCCCCGCCGAGCAGGAAGAAGAGGAGGACGAGGATGACGGCAACACTTACATCCCCCTGGATTCCACGAAGCGCGTTTCGCTGTCAAATTTCAAGGGCCGGAAATTCATCGTATCCCACGAAAAAAGTGTTACAATATACACATTTGTAGTGAAATCAGCAACACAGAAAATTTCTCTGCATGAGAGAGAAAACTTGTAATGCAGAAATCCTACGGGAAAACACCTATGAAAGGAGGCTTCTATGCGTATCCGGCATGACAGAGCTGGTCTGTCTTGCTTGGCCTGCAACACAATGTGTAACTGTAACAGTTTTTTCTTGCGATACATCGACATCCGGGAGTACTACCAGGCGGACGGAGAGATGAAGCCGGGAAAAAAGGTATCCTGAGTAAAAACGTACCCACACCAGAGTTGTAATGCAGATTTGCAAAGACAGGAAGACTTGTAGTGCGCATCCGCATGAGAGCTATTTCCAATCGTGTTTTGGAATTTGTGATGCTGTGAACAGGGTCAGCAGATGAATCTGTGATGCGGCTGCACTTGCTAACCTGCACTACACTGAAGAGTGCAACTTGTCATGCGTGACTCACAAACCTCCTAGGTTTGTGTTGCAAAATCCCCATCCTGACTCTGGTGTGGGTACGTTTTTACTCAGGATAAAAGGGCATATCATTGACAAAGTCGGCCTTTGACAAATTCGTGGAATTCGTCCCGGACATCGACGCATGGCTCGGAAGTATAATTGCGATTTTTGAACAACTACGGATTACAATAGTTTGCCCGTAATGATATGTAGTGAGGTCACGAACGTTCTATCCTAGTTGTTTTTTTGCCACCTCACCTGCAAAATGGCCGGCAGTTTTCAAGCGGGCGGAAGTGTTTTTTGACGAAAAAGATTTTCAATTATTAAGCGGCCGGGGCTTTAGCGGCAAAGTAGCCCGGGCGGATTCTATCGATTCCCGCTTGATAAAACGACGCAGGGGAGCCGGCAAAAGGGGCGCCCTTCTGAGGCGCCCGCCGCCTTAGTTTCTGGCGATTTGGGGCGCCCAAAAAGGGGCGCCCAAAAAGCAGCAGTCCGAAAAAAACAGCGAATCCGCATGGTATGGGCCTCGTTTTGGCTCACATTCGGGCCCCGTAAAAGACGCCACCAAAATCCGCCATTTCAGAGGCGGACTCAAGGCCAGAAGATGCGGCATTTTGACAAAAAGAACAAAAAAAAACAAAATCCGCCAAAGGCGAAAAGCCAATCCGCATGCTACGGGCCAGATTTGGGGCTCCCAAGGGGCCAACCCTGGCGGGGGCCCTGGCGGGGCCATAGCATGCGGGAAAGGCTTTTCGACTCGAAAACAAATGGAGGCCAGCCCTGGGTCGAGATTTTCAGTGACCGCCGTGCCGTCGTGCATAACATTACTCGCGATGGCATGGCGGGCAAAGAAGTCGCGTCTTTTTTTGGCGTGAAGACAAAAAAACAGCCATGACCTCACTACCCCCGCTGAGGCGGCTATTATTGGTAATTTATAGTTTTTTTTGGAACTACTCAAACAGGAAAAGATGCTATACCCTCCTGTCTTTACAATGCAAAGTAATACTTTGCATCATAGGGTAGTTCTTTTTTCCGCTTTTTCACCCTGTGCTGCGGGACCGAATTGAAATCTTCGAGAAATTTGGAACTCTCCACTTAAATTTCATTTCTACCATCCAGCCTCATCCACCGACGGAAAGTTCAGGGAGCTGGACAACGCGAAGCGGGTCAGTATGACTTGCTCAAACGTTACAATCTCACGCGTTACAATAGAATCTGGAATTTGTGTTGCATGATCGGCATGACAGACTCGCACAGCGTTCCACCTTTTGCAATACAAATTTACCCAGATTGTAGTGGGGTTTGGAGGTCCGGAACTTGTCATGCGCAACCCTATGAGAGTTGGCTAGATGTAGATCATGCTCATCATGCAAGACAAATCTCAGATTCTATTGTAACGTTTGAGATTGTAACGACTGAGCGGGTTATAGTCAGCTACAACATTTTCAAGGGAAAAAAACTCGTCGACATCCGGGAATACTACCAGGCCGACGGCTATGGAAGTGTCAGAATCGAAATCGACAAAATCGAAAAATTTGTGATGCATAAAATGCACGACGCGAGGTATGTGTCTTGCAGAGCAGGCAAGTGAGGCCGATTGTAAGCCTGTTTGGGGTTAGAGCTCGAGCTGCTAAAGTAGCATGAGAAAACCCGTCTTCTTTGCCTAAACAGCATGACAAACTGGATTGAAGGACCACCAAAATTTGTCATGCGCCACTTAGAAACTGGGTTCCAACTGGCATCCATTTTATGCATGTTGACAAATCATTTCAATTCTGACGATTTCGATTCTGACACTCCCATAACGGCGAGATGAAGCCCGGCAAGAAGGGCATCAGCTTGAACGAAGCCTGCTACCAAAAGTTGAAAAGAAATAGGACCAGGGTACAGGGATGGATTTGAGTGCTGGGCAATTCAGTTGCCGCGTTCTTACTTATTTGAATTTCGTGCGATAGTTGTACCAGTCAATGCGATTTAAGTCCCCATCAATATCAGCGACGCTCACACCTTCCAGACTTCTTTTCGGGTCAGTTTCATTTCTGAAAGAACAAGAATGGAGAATTTTTTCAATTACGGATGGTGAAAAATATCCCGGAGAACAATCACGTGTGAGGACGCGAGTGTTAAGTACTGCCTTTTATCCGGCGAAGATCTTCTTGCGAAAAATCTACAGACTCACACATAGTGTGCTATAATAAATGTGGTCTTTTCGCTCCGGATCTGTTTTCTGTATGAACAAGGAAAGCCATCTCGAGATTCACTCGTCAAGAACATAGAAAATTGATACGAGGATCTTGATCAACAGCCAAGAGAAATCTTTCCGATCCGAAACGTATGGAATGAAAGGTGTAAAGATGATGGCAAATTATCCGGAAAAATCTGAGGATCACTAGGACAGTGCGCCATCGCGCATCAACATGAAGATTGATCGCTCTTCCACTGAAAATTATCTTTTGAGGATACTTTCCCGAAATGTAACTCACAGGTGCACTAAAAAAGTAAACTACTTGAAAATTTTTTGCTTTCATCATACGCTAACGAGGACTAGGAACGACAAACTAGAACATCAAACAGGACAGCATCCTATACAAGATTTACGAAATCCCATTTTTTTGCCGCAGTACTAACCTGACCACCATGCCGCAGGGCTTCAAGATAAAGGCGAGCAAGAACGCCGCTTTCACGGCACGGAAGGCGCACGTTAACGTGAAGAAGAACAAGAAGCGAAACACCATCGAGAAGATCGCCACACGGGGGATCATATCAAGTGCAAAAATGTCTGGGTCTGGAAGAGTGCATGTCTGTCATGCTTGTCTGGCATGACTCTTAAATCTGTCATGCACGTTACCCAAGAGCTCCATTTTTCTGTGATGCAGAAACGCAGTTTGTCATGCAGAATAGGCAACACCTAGAAGCTCAGAAACTTACTTGTCATGCTGAGCCAGCATCTGTGGCCTCATCATGAGACGCCATCCAGCATCACAAGTTTCCGGACCCAGACATTTTTACATTTGATAGATCAACAAGGGTATCGAGCACATCATCTCCCAGGCAGCCGTGGCGCCGGGAGCAGGACCGGGCATGAGCGTCGTGAAGATCGACGCCAAATTCCAGGCCACAAGTATCAAGGGAAAAAAGCAGAAGTCCCTCTCCGTCGGGGTGGGACAGAACCGAGCCGGGAAGAAGTAGAGAGGAAATATGAGGAGCTACCATGTGTGGCTTCTACTACTTCTTCCATTTAGGCATCATGCACAACGAATCGATCAGCAGACGGTTTAAATTCGACTAGCACTTGTTGCTGTGAGAACTGTCAGTGTAGAGATCAACAAAGACAAGAAACACCATCGCGCGCAACTACATGAAGGCGACTCAGCTACAGTTGATTTGCATGAAATTATGCATTCTTGGATGTGTTCAGTGTTACAAGAAAGCTTCGCACTCAATCGCCTTATCGCTTGTTGGTAGTTCGGTTTCGTCGCGCAGGTCGTGTTTGATTTAACATTCGAACGTTCGATGTTGGCAACTCATGGCTTCACTCTCGTCTTTCTTTGAGGTTAGCTTTGATTATCGAGGGCTAGCGCTCCTTGTCATCTTGTGGTAGGTCGGAATCGAGTTATCGTGACTGTCGCTATCGTACATTCGCTGCTAGGTTGAATGGCAAGACCTTCGGTCTTTCGTCGCCGAAAGATGCGGCGACGTGGCGGAGAGCTTCACAAGAAAGATAAAAATGAATCGGGACTACGACTAGTTTGTTCGTACTATGTTGTTCATCTTCTACAGTACTGGACCACTGAGCCTGCTGTCGATGCAGTGACTCTATACTGGTTCTTGTTTCGGTTCTCCTCGCAGTTCTCCCGCATCAATCACCATGACGAGGGCTCACCGATCGTCACCTTCGTCTACGAGCCGGGGCGAACAATTCTTCGCATTGTCATCTCCTGCTCCTTCGCATGATCAAGAACATGTCGCTCTTCCGCAAGAGCGTTTTGTTTCTATGGCGCCCCCTGCACACCACGGTCATGGTGCGCGCCACCTCCAACATCCCTGGACCTCGTTTTTCATCAAGTGCCCCCAAGGCTACATGTGCGCCTCCCAGATCGGAGTCATCGCGCCGGGGCACGTCGAGGGGCAGAAGGAGTCCGGTGTGATCAACGAGGAAAACCTATGAGAGCGGCAGGATCGAAATCAACAGAATCGAAATAAGTAATTTGTGATGCACAAAATCGATACCAATTGGGGCCTTAGTTTCCAAGTGGCACATGGCAAATTTCGCAAGCACCAGAATCCGGTCTGTCATGCTGTTTGGGCAAAGAAGACTGCTCCTGTGATGCTACTCTGGCAGCGCATCGCCTTCCCCTAAACAGGCTTGCAACCGGTCTCATTTGCTTGCTCCCCAAGACAGGCCATGCGTGCTCTGCATTTTGTGCATTACAAGTTTTTCGATTTTGTCGATGTCGATCCTGACAGTTCCATAAAACCCCTTCACGTTCGAAGAGGGTTGTCCCGCAAACGGATACCTGAACGCGCGGAACATTTGTGTGCCGGTATAAATTTATGTTTCATGATGTACAACTTGAACAACACCAAGCTTTTTGCTTTCTATGTAGTTGTACTTGATGTATCCACAGAACGAACCAGCGACAGCGACAACAATTGTTCTCTCGTCTACTTGACGGCCCACTGCTCACAATTGATACAGACCAACGACCCGGCGCCGATCAAGAGTCGCGACGAGTTTCAGCCCCCGTTCGTGGGGGAAGGATGCAGCTGGCTGTGACCGTAGTGCCACCGTGTAAACGGCGTCGAGCGACGGCAGTAGGTGGGCAGCCAGTTTGTTCTCTCTCCCGCAGGCGGGCGCTGGGGCGCTATTTTGCAACTTTTCCAAAAGGGAGTGGAAATGTCGCAACAAATCCAGCTCCCGCGCGCGGGGGAAAGAACAAAATGGCTGCGGCCGTAGTGCCAACGTGTAAGCGCTGGCTGCCACACGACGGCACTACGTGGGCAGCCATTTTGTGCTTTCTCCCGCAAGGGGGGGCTGGGGCTTTTGCAAATTTCCCAAAAGCAAGAGTAGCAAACGGCCCAGCTCTTCTCCAGTGCAACCGCCGCGCAAAGAAGCTCATCGCGCGGCGTCTCTTTTCGTTCTTTGCCCCGCTATTTCCCTGATTCGTAGGCGCGATTTTGCGCCGAGCCGTTGTCGCGAGGTTCATTTGTGTTGGGTCTAGTCTATGCTGGTTGGCATGTTGGAAAGAAGACCGATGGAAATGTGCAGAACGCATCAAAATGCCATCGGTCTACGTATGGCAACCCAACATAATCAGAACAGAGTCCAGATATCAATCGGCTTTTGGAGCGAAACACGAGGGGGCTACACTTAGGAATCACTTAGGCCAAATGGTCCTTTATTGAGAAAGTCCACTAGTAACAATTGATACAGACCAACGACCCGGCGCCGATCAAGAGTCGCGACGAGTTTCGGCCGTGCCAGACGTGGAGCACGAAGGGGTTTGACGAGCCTGCCTGCACTATCAAGTGCAAATATGTCTGGGTCTGGAACGAAGCAACTTGTCTTGCTAAATCTGAATAGTGTATAAAGTCTGTGTTGCATGTATGATTACCAAAAGCAGCTGTCCACTTACACTTTGGACCTAATCGAGAGGCAGTTTCTCATGCAGGATAGGCATGATAGAATGCTCACAGAATCTGTCATGCTATGTCCTACGTACCAGACCTCATGGGTCATGGGAAACCTGCATGACAAGTCTGGCACTCTTCCAGACCCAGACATATTTGCAATCCATATGCACCCACGGGGGCGTGACCGGATGCGTGTGCGTGCTGAAGAACAGTGCGGTTGAGTCCCCGGGCGCGCAGAACCGCGCGGGCACGCGGGAGTTCCTGCTGCCGGCGGTGGCGGGGGAGCAGCAGGCGATTGCCAAAAACGTGAACTACAAGCTAGAGACGGGCGGTGGCGCCGACAAGGAAGTCCCCTTCGCCAGGGAATCCGGTTTGAAGGGACAGAAAACGGCGGTGGATATACCAGAAATGAACTCGGGGGACGAGGAGGAACAAGGAGGCGAAAGTGCGGACTCCTCGGAGACGAAAGCTGCGAACCCGACGTTGCATGTGCGTCGGCACTACCCGGGGGACCTGCGGACCGGACTTCCGGGAATCACGGATAACACGTGGCAGCACAACATGGTCTCCTACATCCAGGGCAGTCGGTATCTGCGGCCGATCTCGCACCGCCAGTGGCTCGGCGAGGACCCGCGACTCGCGAAACCCGGCAAGCGGCTCACGCGGGTCAGCCGCGCGATCCGGGCCGCGCGCAACGTCATGCGCGACCTGGTGGACCAGGCCCGTGGCTTGGGGCTGAACCTGCGGGCCCAGGATTCCGCCGCGGCGCAGGCCAAGGAGGGAGACAAGGGAAACAAATTTTGCGCCAATTTGAAGAAAGACGAAAATGCGATGTGGGAAATCGCCAACGGGCTGCGGTTCGTGCAGCGGGCGAACCAGGCCTGTTTGCGCCTGCAGGAAGACTCTTTGCAGATGATGACGACCTCCAAAAAGGAAGACGAGTTGTCCAACGGTACCCCTTATCAAGTGTAAAAGTGTCTGGGTATGGAAGACGCCCAGAAAAGCGCCGGAAGTGCGTCGCTTTTATTTACGTGAGATTTGCGCGAGATTTGCGCGAGATTTAGAAAATAGTAGGAATGTTGCCAAATCCGTCGGGCAGCTTTTTGAGGCGAGAACCCCCTCCGTGAATATTTTCGAGTATTCAGGCGGACGGCCCGGGGCGGGGGTGCTGACTAAATTCGCGCTATAATCTGGCTAAATTTTTCCGCAGGCCGCGCAGCTTTTCGGCCCCACATTGATGGGCCGCGCGCCTTTGCCCGGCCTGCGCCCGCCTCGTGCGTGGGGCGGCCGGGCGCCGGGGGCGTTCCGCGGCTTCGCGCGAGGCCCTTTGCGCTCCTTTTTCGGCGGTGCCCCCCGTGGCGCCGCCCTCGTGCGATTTAAAATTTAAAAATTCGGAGTGGTTTCCGTCCGAATTTTTAAATTTTGCAAAGGCCGGCCCGCGCCCCTGCCGGCTTCGCGGCCCCGCGCCACCGCCCGCCGGGCGAGTTCGCCGCGCTGCCGGACCCCCGGATCCGGAATTCGGGGAAGCTAAATCGGACGGATAAATCTTCGTGATTTTCCGCAGAAATTTGGCTAACCGGACGCCTAAAATGCCGCTAAAAGTGCGCTAACTTCCCCGCTAAATATGTCGCTAAGTATGTCGCTAAATATCGCGCTAAATGTGCTGCTAAATCCGACAGCAGGGAAATCCCACTGGATTTGGATCCGCGGACCAAATTTAGAAGATTCCCGGTCGGAATTTAGAACACATTTAAAACGATATTTAGAAACATATTTAGACACATATTTAGACACATATTTAGAAGCATTCCAAGTGGATTTCAGCCGCACCTTCCACCCGCGATCCGATCGCGTGTGAAAGGTCCAGCTGACTCTCCGGGGGCGAAGGGCAAGGTGTTCTTCCGTCGAGCGCGGGACGTAAGCTCCGCGCGCAAGCTTGGGTAGGTCGGCGGGCGTTGACTTGAAGTTGCCCGGCCGCTCCCGGCAAGCAAGGTCCGCAGCAAGGTTCCAAGCTCCCCGGGCGTGATGGCCGGGTGGCCGCGCCGCACGGCCCGGGCCGAGCGAAGGCCCCGGCGCCCGCTCTGCGGCGCTTGGCAGAGCGGGGGCGGCGGTTGTTTTCCCGCGGGCTTTTTCTGCTTTGCCTCTTAGGCAGTTTCCTGTCTTTGGGGCCAAACTATTTAGCGGGAAAATAGAACAAATTTAGCGCGTTACACCGCCCCGCCTCGTCCGTCTGAGAGTATGTTCGCGAATGTGCTTGAGTTGGAAACATTCACGGAGGGGGTTTTCGCCTCAAAAAGCTGCCCGAGTTGGCAATATTATTAATATTCAGGAATATTTATTGGCGAATATACTTGAAAATATTCACGGAGGGGGTTTTCGCCTCAAAAAGCTGCCCGAGTTGGCAATATTATTAATATTCAGGAATATTTATTGGCGAATATACTTGAAAATATTCACGGAGGGGGTTTTCGCCTCAAAAAGCTGCCCGAGTTGGCAATATTATTAATATTCAGGAATATTTATTGGCGAATATACTTGAAAATATTCACGGAGGGGGTTTTCGCCTCAAAAAGCTGCCCGAGTTGGCAATATTATTAATATTCAGGAATATTTATTGGCGAATATACTTGAAAATATTCACGGAGGGGGTTTTCGCCTCAAAAAGCTGCCCGAGTTGGCAATATTATTAATATTCAGGAATATTTATTGGCGAATATACTTGAAAATATTCACGGAGGGGGTTTTCGCCTCAAAAAGCTGCCCGAGTTGGCAATATTATTAATATTCAGGAATATTTATTGGCGAATATACTTGAAAATATTCACGGAGGGGGTTCTCGCCTCAAAAAGCTGCCCGAGTTGGCAATATTATTAATATTCAGGAATATTTATTGGCGAATATACTTGAAAATATTCACGGAGGGGGTTTTCGCCTCAAAAAGCTGCCCGAGTTGGCAATATTATTAATATTCAGGAATATTTATTGGCGAATATACTTGAAAATATTCACGGAGGGGGTTCTCGCCTCAAAAAGCTGCCCGAGTTGGCAATATTATTAATATTCAGGAATATTTATTGGCGAATATACTTGAAAATATTCACGGAGGGGGTTCTCGCCTCAAAAAGCTGCCCGATTTGGCAATATTATTAATATTCAGGAATATTTATTGGCGAATATACTTGAAAATATTCACGGAGGGGGTTCTCGCCTCAAAAAGCTGCCCGAGTTGGCAATATTATTAATATTCAGGAATATTTATTGGCGAATATACTTGAAAATATTCACGGAGGGGGTTCTCGCCTCAAAAAGCTGCCCGATTTGGCAATATTATTAATATTCAGGAATATTTATTGGCGAATATACTTGAAAATATTCACGGAGGGGGTTCTCGCCTCAAAAAGCTGCCCGATTTGGCAATATTATTAATATTCAGGAATATTTATTGGCGAATATACTTGAAAATATTCACGGAGGGGGTTCTCGCCTCAAAAAGCTGCCCGAGTTGGCAATATTATTAATATTCAGGAATATTCATTGGCGAATATACTTGAAAATATTCACGGAGGGGGTTCTCGCCTCAAAAAGCTGCCCGATTTGGCAATATTATTAATATTCAGGAATATTTATTGGCGAATATACTTGAAAATATTCACGGAGGGGGTTCTCGCCTCAAAAAGCTGCCCGAGTTGGCAATATTATTAATGTCCAGGAATATTCATTGGCGAATATACTTGAAAATATTCACGGAGGGGGTTCTCGCCTTAAGAAGCTGCCCGATTTGGCAATATTATTAATATTCAGGAATATCTATTGGCGAAGATGCTTGAAAATATTCACGGAGGGGGTTCTCGCCTCAAGAAGCTGCCCGGGTTGGCAAGATCATTGATATTCAGGGACATTTATTGGCGAATATGCTCGAAAATATTCACGGAGGGGGTTCTCGCCTCAAAAAGCTGCCCGAGTTGGCAATATTGTTGATATTCAGGAATATTTATTGGCGAATATACATACTTGAAAACATTCACGGAGGGGGTTCTCGCCTCAAAAAGCTGCCCGATTTGGCAATATTATTAATATTCGCGAATATTTATTGGCGAATATACTTGAAAATATTCACGGAGGGGGTTCGCGCCTTAAAAAGCTGCCCGATTTGGCAATATTACTAATATTCGCGAATATTTATTGGCGAATATACTTGAAAATATTCACGGAGGGGGTTCTCGCCTCCAAAAGCTGCCCGAGTTGGCAATATTATTAATATTCAGGAATATTTATTGGCGAATATACTTCACGGAGGGGGTCCTCGCCTCAAAAAGCTGCCCAAGTTGGCAATATTATTAATATTCAGGAATATTTATTGGCGGATATACTTGAAAATATTCACGGAGGGGGTTCTCGCCTCAAAAAGCTGCCCGAGGGAGCTGGCAATATTGTTAATATTCAGGAATATTTGCTGGCGAATATACTTGAAAATATTCACGGGGGGGGTTCTCGCCTCAAGAAGCTGCCCGGCTTGGCAATATTGTGAATATTCAGGAACTTTCGACGGATTTGGCAATATTCCTAATATTTTTGGAAATCTCGCGCAAATCTCGCGCAAATCTCACGCAAATAAAAAGCATGCATTTGCGGCGCTTTTCTGGGCGTCTTCCATACCCAGACATTTTTACACTTGATACCCCTCCGGGGGTTGCTGGCGAAACTACAACTACCGCAGATGCAGCAGCTGCCCCTAATGCAGCCAAAAAAGCCGCGGACACTGCTGGTGCTGTGCCATACCTCACGAAGGCGAACATGCACGAGAAGCTGCCGCGGTGCCTGCGAAACGAGCCCTACGAGTTACCGTGGAGGCACGTGTTTGCGCGGATAGCTTCCGAGGCCGCGGTATCAAATGCAAAAATGTCTGGGTCTGGAAGAAGGCGGGATTTGTCATGCTAGTCGGGCATGACACGGAGCTCTGTATTGCGTGGCCAGCAAGAGCTCCTCTTATCTGTCATGCAAAAACGCTGTTTGTCATGCGGAATACGCAACAGGGAGCCAAGGGAAAGGGTAAATTTGTCATGCCTGGCGGCGCATTGCAGTGTGCTTTCGTTTCACTGACATGCATCACAAATTTCCAGACCCAGACATTTTTACATTTGATACGCGGAGTGTCTACAGACGTCGCCGACCGTACCCGGAAAACACGCCATGGCGACGGGAATTTTCACAAATCTGTTTGTGGAATAATAGAAGGTCGTAATTAATATCCTCGTAGATGTAGATGTAGATGTAGCTCTAGTTGTTGAAAAATGTTGTGGAGGACGAGAGAAACGGAAGAAATTTGAATCCTGAATGCATTTTCCAATGACATTGATAATAGGTCCATGAACATCTTCGAAGAAGTCAGCTTGTGCTGATACGCACGAGCTGTTATCCATATTTCACTGCGTCGTGTACGTCTACGGCGTCAACAAAGGCAGCACTTACACATCGTACAAACCGATCGTCGTTCAATGTCGTACAAATCGTTCAGAGTAATTAATATACCCAGACCTTCGTCTTCGTGCAGCACACAAGTGTAATAAACGATGCGAATACAACTTCCATGCGGTTTTGTTTGGTAGAAGTACCCAATGAAAATTCTGTATCGCGATATCAAAAAAGCACAGGACACCTGAGCAAATTTTCTCGCAGCCCGACCATCAAATCACCATTTTGCTCCTCCCAGCAACTGCTTATTTGCTCGTCGCAGTGACAAGACTTTATTTTTATAGATATCCGCCAACTGTACCACTAGTACCATCTTCACGAATTTGCTTTTTCTTGTTGAATCGTCAGGAGACAGACTTGGTCTTCACCTTCGACTTGTTCTTCACCTTCAGTAAGTACCATCTTCTTCGACTTGTTCTGCACCGTCAGGAGACAGAAGGAACAGCGCTTTTTAGTACTACGCGAAGGAGAAAATAAACAAGCACGACCATGTCGCTGTCCACGTTGCGGCGGGTAGCTCCGGCGGTGCTACTCGACTTTTACACCAGTGAAAACAACCTGACGCAGGGCTTTCAGGTCGTTTTGCGCCGGGCAGGGGAACAAGATGACGGGGACACGTGCGAGAACAAAAGCGACGAATGGCTGCCGCTTTGCGAAATGGGCAAGGACTGTGGCGTGTTTAAACAAATCGAGCAAATTGGCGAGCAGAAGCAGTGCACCATCTCTGGGTTGAAAAACCAGGCAGTGCTGGGCGGGGCGTTAATCAGAAGTCGTAACAAGTGTGAGCAAGACTGCGCGGACACCCCCGGCTGCCTCGGTATCGTGCAGCGGATCCGCGCCCAGCGCGACGCGTGTGCTCTGATGCGTGGCGCCGAAGATTTCGAACCTAAAATCGATGGATCGGCGAATGCCATTCAGCTTTCGAACTTGCAACTATCGATACCGTTGTTCGGTATCAGCCGCTATTGCGATCCAGAAACGTTTTGCGGCTGCGAAGCGATGCGGGAAAAGTGGTTGCCTGAGTGCGGGGCAGAGGATTGCGGCACTTGGAAGACATTGGACGCGGCGGCAGAGGACGCGGGGTGTTGGGTGGAGGACACGGGCGACACGAACGCGGGCAGCACACCCCTACAAGACATGCTGACACACCTGGCAGATGGAGAAGGAGGCGACAAAGATCGCGAGCTGTGCAAGCAGGAGTGTGAAGACAATGATGAGTGTGTGGGAATCGCGCAGTACTACAAGAGCAGCATCATTCGCCCTTGTGAAATGTTCCTCAAGAACAGCTATCAAATGTAAAAATGTCTGGGTCTGGAAACTTGTGATGCTGGGTGGCGTCTCATGATGAGGCTACAGATGCTGGCTCAGCATGACAAGTTTCTGAGCTCCTAGGTGTTGCCAATTCTGCATGACAAACTGCGCTTCTGCATCACAGAAAAGCGGAGCTCTTGGGTAACGTGCATGACAGATTGAAGAGCCATGCCAGACAAGCATGACAAACATGAATTCTTCCAGACCCAGACATTTTTACACTTGATAACAGCGTCGGCATTGCGGGCCCAAACGACCTGAAATTGACGACATTACCGTCGAACAACAAAGTCACGGGGATCAGTCGTTACTGCGGGAAATGCGAGACGGCTCCCGGACCTGTGGGTGGTGGAACGGGGATCGGTACGCCGGCTCCCGGACCTGCGGGTGGTGAAAGCAGTACGCCGGCTCCCGGACCCGGACCTGCGGGGGGTGAAAGCAGTACGCCGGCTCCCGGACCCGGACCTGCGGGGGGTGACAGCAGTCCGCCGGCTCCCGGACCCGAACCAGCGGGTGATGAAAGTTCGCCGCCGCCCGGAGACGTTGCCACCGACACTCACGTCACTGGCGCGGTGGATGCTTCAAAGCTCGCGACCCCGGCCCCTGTGGTCGCCTGCTGCTAGAAAAGGCGAGGAACCTACTTGAGGTGGAAGAACAACAGCAAAGGTGAAAGGCACCATAAAGTATGAAAAATAAAAAAATGTAAGCAAGTGTGCCAGGAGTAGTTAGCGTCGCGTTGCGTCGTGTTTCTTTTTGTTTTTTCTATATTTTGCACGACAGGAGGGGTGAACGTGAAGGTGGTATCGCTCTCGCTGTCGCGAGCTAAGCACGTGCTTGATGATTGCATTCATAAGCGCTGTAGTCAGTGCCAAGATCATGGTCCAGCAATGTTTTTCGAGTCGCCTTTTCATTCTTCGCAACGTATTCAGCTTTTTCTTTTTGCTTTACAATGTATCACTATTTCTACATCATTTTGCTGCTCTCGTATCACGAGGAACTACTCTATTTTGATTTTACATTGCAATATAAATAAGTATTTGAATTTTTTTCCACTAGGAGTTTTTCTCTACTACGACTCATTCCGTGTGAGAAGTGTGAGCTGCACCACCCCTAGAAGTTTTACACACAAGTCCCAAAAGAAATCCTCCCAGAATTGGAACCGTGACCACCCACGTCACTGCGTAAGAACCCAGAAAAAAGCACAAGCATTTTTGATTTTTTCTGCCACCCTGAGGAAGCAATTGAAATGTGGCGGATGCAAGATGAAACAAGAAAGGTATGATAGAATGTAACCGATGAAAACGACGGGAACCCCGCCGCTATCTGCTAGATCCAGCTCAGGACGATTTTGATATCTCGCTGCTGCAAAAAAATGACGCTGCAGGAGCAAGGCCGGACCCCGAATGCTGGAAATCAATTGTGAAAAGACGCACCTGCCTCGAAGAATTATACTTCATTTTCATGTGGTGTTTGAGTTTGTAGGAACCAGTTTTATTATTTGTTTTTGTTCCTTTCCACCGTCCACTGGCACTGAGCGTGAGCAGGCCCAGGCGGTTGTCCTGCCCGTTAGAGAGATCGTCCGCTTGTCGGTGTGCTCCGAGGGCGCAGCTGGAAGATCATGTGCTTTGGGCAGTGCCGATATTGTTTCAAAACTGCCAAAGCAGCACTCTATATATGTGGGACTTTCTGTTAGTTTCTTTCTAGCCCGTGGTAGAATCTCGAATTGCACTAGGCACCCATACAATACACTGCAAAACTATTTGACTTGATTTGATTGGGGCGGATGAGAAGGCAAAAATTTTGCTGTGGCTGTAGTGCGTCCACGAAGTAGATCCTTTTGTCTGCTCCGAACTTGACCTTTAACCGGAATGGTCTGCGACTGTGAGGAGGGTGAAAGAGAACTCCGGCAAAACAAACAACAATATACAATAAATCCAGCAGATATAGAAGCAAACAGAAAAATTGAAGCGATGACGTTCAACACCAAGGGAATGACCTCTCTGTACAGGACCCCATCTACCCACTCGCTTTTCGGTTTCTTTTTTTTTGTTGCCCCCGCCGGGCTGGCATTTGCAGTTACTTTTGGTGCTACCAGCCGCATCTTTCCTGCTACTTCCGATCTCGACGACGTATATGAGGTGCCTGGTTGAATTAAAAAATTGATTATTGATTACAGACGAGCGGCCCAGACATACACTTGCGTGTCTTTTTGTGAAGCTTGTGCCTGGGAGAGTGAGAGTGGCAACTAGTACTTAGTTCATACGACCCATCTATGGACCCTCCCGAAACTACCTCATCCTCTGCCTGGCTTTGTGAGCACCTTTCTGCTCGAGATTTCGAACAGAGCCGTCTTCTATGCGTCGTCTCTTCACCAAGGAGAGCGCCGACCGATTTGCGTTTGGGGCCACTCTGGTAGTTGGCGGCGGCACAGCGACGCATTACCTCCTGCGCGACCGGGAGTTTGTTGTTTCTCAAGATTCAGATTTCGAGCAGCGAGTTTCGTCTCTTCTTCCCTGGTGCTCCGTCGCCGAGCGCCTCTCTGGGTTGAAAATTATGGTAGGCGAGAAGTTACTTGCGGGTAAGACCGGAGAAGGTTCCGGCTCATCCACCGATGGGAGAATCATGCCAGCTCCTTCATCAGAGGAAAAAAAATCTCCGCAGCCGACGAAGTTTCGTTTCTCGCCGGAATGCAGTGCTTTGAACTTCAAATGTTCGCACTGGGGCATGACCGTGGACGGGACCTTCAAGAACTTCAGCGGGCATGTGCAGACGAAAGGTGACACCGGGATAACTTTCGTGACGCCAAGAAGCGAAAGCAGCAGCAGCGCTGTTGCAGGAACAGACGAAAGTAGCGAAGGTTCTTTCACGAGGAACAAAAATGCAGAGGATGAAGAGCAGGATTCTGTCGACCATCCTGGGTATTTCGAGCTGCAGCAGGTCAGTGTTTCGGTCAACGCGGATTCGATCGACACGCAGAGCTGGCTGCGGGACCGGCGGATGCGTAACGAGTTTTTCGAGGTGGAGAAGTTTCCGCTCATGACCTTCAGCACCAACAAGACAACCCTTCTCTCCGTGGCCAGCCACGTGCCCACGGCCGACGAGCAGTGGGAAAAAGCGAAGAACGCGGATAAAAACCCGCGACTTCTTAACGAGCACCGGGTCCCTGGGACGGTCTGCATTCGGGGCATCGAAAAACCGGTGGTATTAGATGTGGTGGTCACGAAACTGGATAAAGAGGAGGTGCAGGCCTTGGTGACCGGAGAGTTCAATCGCTTTGACTTTGACATACTCTCCAACTGGCCCACGTTGGCCGTTGGCAGGACAGTTTTCGTCAGTTTCTCGCTGGTGGGGAAGCGAGAGTAGAACGCCGGTGGATACTAGGATGATTTGCAGGGACAAAGTACGTAGCTGTGTAGGTTTTTGTTTCCCTGCAGCAATGCTTATGCTTTAGATATTGAACAATTCATGAAATGGTCCCAAAATGAAAATGGGAGAAAGTCTTCCGCTGCGGCCTGTTCCGGTTTTGTCTGTTGTTGGTTTTGCGTCTGCATGCAATTGAAGCCATGGAGAGACGAGAGATATTGAGACTTTTTGCGTAAAGATCCGATCTTACGTTGAGTCATTCTCTTTGCGTTCTCTGTGAAAAGGCTCGCAGTTTGCCTGCACAGTGCCATGATGGAGCTGCTCGTGCGGCGAGGTACCACGTGCATTCTTAGCGTGATTCCACGTGCTGGTTTTCCGGCGAACGACTACAAGCTCCGGTCGTGCACATCTTTCGCCAGCCCTCGAGGGCCAACACTCTCGATCAGGCGGTCACGCTGGCCGCTTCGCACACTGCACTGCGCCAAAAAATCCTGTTTATTTTCTTCATCTTCTATCTCCTTCTCCCCCTCCTCCCCCCGGCCGCTCCAAGGGCTTCGGTGTCTCGAACTCTGTTCCGTGCTCGCGGGACCCTCGGTGGGGCAGTTTCTCGCGGAACTGGGTTGCGACGTGATTAAAGTCGAGAATCCGAAAACCGAGGGTGACGTCACCCGAAGATGGAAAACGCAAGGCAGCAAGTGCGAGCCCTCCAGCTACTTCCAAGGCTGCAACCTCGGGAAGCGCTCAATTTCGCTCGATCTGAAAGCAAGTGAGGATTACGAAATTTTCCACAAGCTGCTCCGAAAGTCGGACATTGTGCTGGCGTCCTACAAGACGCAGGCCGAAGTACAGAGGTTAAGAATCGACTACGAAACGTGCGTGCAGGCGGTAGAACTTGATGAACTACAAGGGAAAATAAACAAATGTGGACGAGGAACGAACCCAGATCATGAGGAACTGAAATCGGAACAACAAGAAGAATCGTTTTATTCCAAACCACAGCACCAGCATCCTGGGCTCATCTACGGGGCGATAACGGGTTACGGTGGTACGACTGACCAGCGTGCGGGCTACGACGCCTGCATTCAAGCGGAGGCTGGCTTCATGTTTCTAAATCGGGAGTCGGTAGATACTACACCGCTGAAAATGCCCGTCGCACTGATGGACCTGCTCGCGGCACACCAGCTGAAACAGGCGATCCTGGTGGCGCTCTACGAGCGCCAGCAGATGAACAACTACGGAAGTAGGGGGAGAGCTGCACGAGAGGAAGCGGAAGCAGATTCAAAATTGGCGGGGGAAGGTGGAGCATCATGTAAAGCGAACCCAGATGAAAGCCGCAATGCACCTAACCTGCCGCGCGTTTTACCTCACCCACCGGCGGCCCACCATAAATTTGTCGAGGTGTCTCTGCTGCGTTCTGCGGTCACCGCACTGGCGAACCAGGCGAGTGCGTACGTTCTGGAAAAGAAAATTCCGCAGCCTTTAGGGTCGGATCACCCGTCGATTGCGCCCTACGGAACGGTGTTTTACGATAAGGAGCGAAAACCCTTTGTCCTGGCGGTCGGGACCGACGCGCAGTTCGCAAAGCTGTATAGCGAATTTCTGCAAGAAGACCAGGATGATATAGTTGATGATTCTGGTACAGACAGTACCGAGAGGACCCGGTCATTGTACACAGAAGAGACGGCAACATCATCATCCCCAACTACAGCATTACCCGCTGCTGTAGTTTCTACTTCACCGAATAGGGCTACTACCTCACTTAACGTTCCTGAAAAGTGGAAAACCAACGTGCAGCGCTGCGCCGACCGCGAGGCATTGAAAAGGAGTCTGCAACAAAGCTTCGCGCAGCGGGACCGACAGGCGCTTTTGGAGAAGTGCGGGCAACTGGGGATCCCGGCTGGCGCCGTGAACGACTTGCGCGAAGTTTTCGAACATTCGGAAGCGCAGAAAGCATTGGTGCAGATCGGGGAAAATCGATACGTGTCGCAAGTGGCGTGGACCGAGCCGGCAATAAGGATATGGAGCGAAAATGAAGAAAAGAATTCTAGAACAGAGATAGGAAATGCTTTCCAGAACAACCCCGGCATGATCACGGAGTTTTTACTTCGCCCCCCGACTTTCTCGGCGGGGGAGCATTCCGCAGAAATCAAGGCAGAACTTGTTGAGGAGGAGACCAGCGAAGTAGAAGTGCTTGCGACATCCGATTTTTGTTGACGAGCCAAGAGGTCGTTGCGGACGTTAGCTCTGTTGAATGAAGTATGGGGTGTTCAGTGTACCTTTTAGAATCTTCTGTTTTGTTGTGCAAAACAGAGTGAGCGAGTTATTCAGCCAGGTCCGTGGAGAACTCTGCTCAGGCTGCTCTTTATCGGAGAATAAACGCAACAAGTTTGCGTTGTCGACGAAGTCTGTGACACTGAGTGAGTAAGTAACTTCGTTTCATCATACTCGTGCTCGTCACGTTTGTCACCACCTTCACCCCCGCATCCCCAACTAAATTAATGACATCCCCGGAGGACGAGGATCGCGACGCTCTCGCGCGCGCGGGCACTTCGCCGCACTGGGAAGACGTTTGGGCGGGGGGCCTGCAGCCGGGTCAGCGCTTCGATGTCGGCAGTGCGTCGCCCGTGTTGACACATTTGTTGACCTTGCCCGAGTACACGACGGAAGCAAGGTACAATTTTGCTGGACCAGAGAAGAAAAACGCGTTGGTGCCGGGCGGTGGCCGTGGTTACGACGCATTGCTACTGTCGCAGACGATTCCGAATACCTTCGCCGTCACGCTGGACTTGAGCCAGACCGGGAGTGAAAGGGCGAAAGAGTGGCTCGGGGCGCAAGAGAAAAATGAAAACGCCGTGGCCGTTTGCGGGAACTTTTTCGAAGTATGTGTTTTTTTTGGATTCTTTTTCATGGAGGTAGGGGGTAAGGATGCAACTGCTCTCGCTTGTATTTTCTCGGCCGAAATACAAATGAAAACCAAAACTGTACGACGAAGATAATTAAAAACTTGATACTAAAACGCAGGACTTTCCCCACCTCCCCCCCGAGGGCTTTGACCTCGTCTGGGATTGCACTTTTCTTTGTGCCCTGGAGCCCGCCACACGGGAGAAGTGGGCAAAAAGGCACGCAGAGGTGATCCGAAAAGACACGGGCGAGCTGTGGACTTGCATTTTTCCCATTCGGGATAACAAGGACGGCACTGTGGAGCCAAAATCCTACGAACTTTTGACGGAAAGTCCAGGTACGGGGCCGCCTTTCGAACTCAGCTTCAGCCTCGTGGAGCAGTTGTTAACACGACAAGGTTTTGAACTCATCCGGCGTATGGAGCAACCGCCCTGCTTGCACATCGACACCGCAGCCAAAGCGATCGGGACCGGACCCTCCGCTCGCACCGAGGTGGCGTGTTGGCGACGGGCTCTTGGCGATAAGTAGAAGACTGATGAAATTCTTTGCATTTTATTGCGCGGCGATCTTCCCAACGGGGAGTGCCGCGCAATCGCAAAGCAAAAGAGCGAAGAAATACGCTCGAAGGCGTGTATGATTGAAGAAAAATATTAGTCTCTCCCTCCGAAACAATATACAGCTCGTTTTCCCATCAAGTTGATACTGCTGTTGACTAAAAGAATTATGTGGTTGCACCATCCGTCCCGCTTGCGCGCCTGGCGCTGCTAGAAGATGACAAAATGAAACTTTTTCAAAATGTAATTCCCATCCTACTCGCCCTCTGCGCACAGACGCCGTGCGTGATATTTTTGTCCTGCACATGATGCACACGCACGTCGTTCATCGTGCATTGGAACATGCCCTGAGATAATTCTGCGTTCCCAGAGTGATTGATGAAAGGAGCCTATTTTGCTGTTTTTTTTTATTGCCCGTGATTCATTCTGGACAACAAGGCGCCACCAAGAGCACGTGCTAGACACTTTGGTTGATTGGAGCGAAGCAAACGGGCACCAGCGAGCTGTTAGCAACATCAGGAATGCGAGAGAAAATTAGAACCACTGTGAGGGCCGGTCTGTGGCGGTCCCACGACTCTATGGCGGAGCAACAGCTTTCGACTCCGCCGTGCTACCGGGGTGCATAAATGTCCCCAGACGGATCCACAGCTTTCAGTCGTCTTTCACATCTTCTTTCCCACGGCCCGCGAGAGAACAAGGTGAGAGAACGAAAGCGAACAGGTCACGACTAGCTCCAGAACACGAAAACGATCCACGGCGAAAACACGAAACAGCAGGCAGGCTGTCCAGGAGAAACAACCAAGAGCGAGAGAAAATATTTTTATCCGGACCAGAAGCTGCTGAGATGTCGATAGATACAGATATTGATTTTCTCAGATAGAGATTCCTGATTTATCCCTTTCGAATATCTCGATTCAAGGTACAGATCCATAGATATTCGAATTCCCCGCCCTCCAGTGCTGCCGCTAAGTGGAAGAATCTCAAATCAAACAAAGACGCTAAAGTTCGTGTCTTGATTCCGTAGACGCGGACTTTGTAGAACAAGACGAAGGTCCGGCCAGAGCCATCCGAGAGAGGGTAGTAGCATGAAAAAATATGTTACCGCCCTGCAGAGCCTGATCGTGAAGAAAGCGGAGAGGTGAGCTCTGCCGCAAGCTGCTCCCGGGCGGAGGCAGCGAATTGTCTACAGAGTTAAGGGACAAGCACCTAACATATATGGTGCCCAATATGACCCTAAACTCGCCCAAGCCCCGGACCGTCCCAGCGTAGACAGCCGCACCACAGAGGGCATGCTTGTGAGCAGATGGAGCGCACCCGGCCGCGGCTCGAAGAGACGAAGCTGCAACAGTGTACCTCAGTGCCCGCGACTCAAAGAGATGTAGTTGCATTATGGCGCGATTGGTACAAGGAACGGGAGATAATGCTGGCCGATTAGGTGTTTCTCCTGAGAGCGGTGCCTCCCTGCTCGTTTCCTCCGGGTGATCTGCGAAGTCATGTTCCACTTGATAGCAATAAGTATAGCTTAAACAGGTGTGAAGGATCCTCCTCCTCCTTTGGTTGATTGGAGCGAAACATGATTTAAAGTTCGAGCTACACTGGAGAGAGAGCGACAGAGCGGAATTGTTTGTACTTAAAGCGACTTTATTCGTATATCTGCTTTTCATACAACCGATGTGTTATCCGACGTTTATTCCGTACTCGCGACTGCGATCTGCGTGTACATAATCGAATTCGAAACTGAAAACGTAAAGTCGTTTGACACCTTGCAATCATGGACTGGCAGGACGAAATAGGACGCCGGGTGCTCAGGTGGCAGACTCCAGGAGGGCTGTTCTCGAGGTATCAAATTTACACGTTTTTTGCAATTCGACAAGATTGAAAATTCAATTCACCAAACAGACACGGATATCGATATACTCGCATGATGACATGGGAATGTCGTGCACCTGTGCTCTGCTCTTCTACACTACAAGTACAAGTAGCAAAAAAATCCTCTGACGTATTCGTCGCACCTCTGTCAGGTTAAAGGCACGACGCTCGTCGGGTGGATCACCTCTGCTCGCAAGACAACAACCGGTGCGGTGCGACTACCCCCTGCCATGGAGATTTGATTGGGGTATCATTTCTGATATGTAGTTGACGGTGCTACTGCAAGTCGTGTACATAAGAAAGGAGAAACATCTATTGAAATGCTCCAACTTCCACAAATGTAGATTGAAGTACATCAAAACTACAGGTGGTCACGACCCAGCGTGCCCCATGATGGAGATGGTGATTACCATGCACAACAGCATGTACGCCATGTTTACCGGGATTGTGTTCTGGGTCTGCTGGATTTTCTTCCGCCCCCGACACAAGTGTCTCAACTTCGGCCGCTGAAGCATCTTTCCGGCGGTTGTAATTATAGGGATGAAAAATTTATGAAACTTTTCATATGTTGGCGTCGTGGTTTTGTACGCGTGCTTCTACTTACGTGACGTAAATAATGACCGTGCAGAAATAGAAGCAACACGCCTCAATAAAAAAAAAAACGAGACGGAAACAAAACGACTACAGCGAAGCCAAGGAACGAGTCCATCACTTCTGAAGAACACACAGTTTTTGTGTGAAAATATGACTGAACGCGCTTTCATGTTGGATGTGCAGACTCTCAAGAAGACGAGAGAGAGAGTGTTGGGTACGATAGCGAACGAAAATGGAACAAGAAGCAGCTTTTTTACCTAGCGGGTGATAAAATGCAGATCCACATCCACGACCACGACAGTAAGTAGACCCGCATCTTCTTTGTCCTTCACCCTATTTCGTTGTGGCTCTCTGGTGTCGAAAAACTTTTGATTTTTGCTTTTGCGTGCAGATAGATCATGTAGTTCACTTTAATACGGCGTTCAGACATCACGGCGATCCGCATCCGTGTAGTAGAGGATCTTCTATGCATAATTTTCACATGGGATCGCTCCTCGTTCGTTCTGGTTTGGATCATTTGATGTTTAGTGGGATCTTGGCTGGAAATGGAGTGCGGAGGAGCAAGAGCAGCATCAAGAACATGGGATTGATGCCTTCTTTCCGAAAGAGTGCTCTGAAAGTCTTTTACTTTTTCCATTTGCTCAAGAGTTGAAGGAAGGTGGTATAAAGATAGGACCAATTCAAGACGCTTCTTCCTTTGCAAGTACTTTGCAAGATGGGCAGATCAACACTAAAGGTGAAGATAAAGGGGGTAAGCGTAAGTGCATGAAATATGCCAATAGAAGAACCAAGCAGAAACCAGTTGAAATACAAAGGGCACCACTAGTGCAACTACACCATGGTGAGATTGAGAACAGTTCCTCTCTACAAGTTCCGGCGCGCTCCCTCTGGTGGTAGCGTAGTTTTTCCGGCTCCTGCCCGTTCTCTTCGGTCTTTGAGCACCACGGCTGCTGCGAGCAAATGCAAGTTTGCGCCACCGCCGCCACCCCCAGGTGGACCACGTAACAACAAGAACGGAGCTGCATCAGCGTCGTTTATGATCCGCAACAGAGCTGCTGCCGAAAGCGGAGCCGGTAGTTCAGCAGCCTCTGCTCGTCCCGTGGTCCGACAACTGACCCCCGCCGTCGCCGCGCTCTGTTCGGAGCATGACCGCAGAACTTTGGAGCTGCTGCGAGACGAGCACCAGGACAGCGTCCTTGCAGCCATCGGGGGCATGTTGAGCTGCAGCTCGTCAGGCAGAGAAGTTGTACTAGCATCGCCAGGAGATGTTTTATCGATCTCTCAAGCGGGAGTAGAGCAGGGACAACAAGAGCCGGAAAGAACTGGAGGATGCACGACAGAGAAGGACCGCGAAGTGGATGTGGTGCTAGCAAAGAAGCCACAACAACCAATAGAACGACCAAAGACACCTGCTCCAACACTAAGTCCTGACGCCATCGGTCGCCTATCGACACCAGTATTTCTGCACCTGCTGGAGCGCGTTTTGGATGAATACGATCTCCATGGGATGAATAATTATGGTGCAGGAGATGCAGTGGAACTACAATCCATTCCCGCAACTACACAACATCAACATCGAAAGGCCCACACGCTCTTCGACCTGGTGCTGACGCGCCACCGGCACTACTTTTTGGCGCAGCAAGACTTCTCGTTTTCGCCCTCGACAGACGAGACAGGGGAAGGAAGTGCAGACGCTTCGCTCTCTGGGGTGGTAAGTCGAGCGAACGAAGCTGGAGCTGGAACAGGTCATGAAGTTGTACACGGTGCGACAACAGCGAAACGAAGTTGCGCGCCATCTATTTCCTACCCTCCCGCCCCGTCCCCGGACTACTCCATCAACCCGCAGTTCCCGGTGGAAAACCTGGCAGCGAGCGACGTGATTGGCACTTTTCTCACCAAAGGAAATAATAACCTGACGCACGCAGCCCTCCGCACGGAGCGCGACGCCTACGCAGTGCTGCGGCTCCTGCCCACCACCACCGCGGTACCGCTCGTTGTCCCCTTCCTCTCGGAATCTATGCAGACGCAGACCCTTTCCTACAGCGAACACTTGTGGAAAGGGGAGGAAAACCTGGAACGGGACCTGCGGGTGGTCGCGCAGCACCAGGTCCGAGGGGAACGAACGTATTTTCTCAACATTTCAGACGAGAAAGAGGGTACGACAAGCCGGACAGCGGGGAAAAATTTTGAAAATGAAGACGAAGCGCGCGTAGCCTTCCTCACAGCGGAGTATCTGGAAGGCGCCCGCGCCGTGCAGCCCCGGGAGCACGAAACGCGGGACGAGATGCTGGTGAAATACGTCAAGCTCTGCGTGTCCAAGGCCAACCTGCCTTTCATTCGTGCGGGCATGGTGCCTGTGCTCGAGGCCTTCGCTTACTTCGCAGACAACCTCGCAGCGCCGGCGTGCGCGCCGGGCTTTCCGGGTAGATCGATCGACGGTCTTCAGGCCAATGTTCCGAATAAGCGGCTGTTTGGCAACATGCTGAAGAGCAACGACAATGTGAACTGCGGTCCGCCGCGAAGCCACATTAACGCGTTCCAGGCTCGCGGCCGCGCCGCGACGCGGCTGGGGGGGCAGTTCGTCGGTTTGTACTCGGATTATGTGTGCGACCACGTGGACGCGCTATCCGCCGCGGACTGCAGTCGCATGATCACAGCGCTGGGGCGGCGCGTGTTGCCAACAGACGAGTTTTGGATGTTCATGCTGGCGAAGCGGACCCAGGAGACCATTCGGACGTTCGACGGGCGGCAGATTGTCAGCGTGGCCTTCAGCTTCGCAGACCAGTATCTGGAGGATGATGATTTTATGAAGGTTTTGGTGGACGAAGTACTACACGACCGCCAGGAAGACGAGCCGGAACGGCGCGTTTCGGATCATGACGAGAGTATCGCTCTTGATGTGCATGTGCCCCCTTTGGAACAAAAGAAGTGGCACGCGCTGACCTCGGTGCAGAAGGTTGCGTTGTTGTGGTCTTGTGCGAAATTGCGGTATCGGGATGAAGAACTGGCGGAACGGGTGTTGCGCGAAGTGGGGTACCAGGATAAGGAGTGGTTTGGACATTTTAGCCCAGCTCATCTTCGGCCCGAACAAAGTGGATCTGCAAGAACTTCTACTAGCAAGCCGACAGCCACGAGCGCATCAACCCGACTGACTTTTTACCGGCAGTTTCTTTACGCTTTGGGGTTTTTGGACCTGCTGCACCTGCCCACCGCGGTCGACCGCGAGTTTGTCCGCGAGGTGGCAAGGAAGGCGCGACTGGGCGTTCAGGCAAAAGACGACGAAGACGAGTGGGCGCACACCGCCGCTCTGTCGGCACTCTACTTGTTTCCCTCGCCGTCGTGTAGCATAGGTACAGAAGAGAGGATAGCAAGAACTGCATCAATTTCAAAGAATGGATCGGGTGGCGGGACTATGCCGCGGCCTACAGGCGGAAATGGATGCGTTGCGTCATCTTCTGAGATGTTGAAGCAGGAGGTCATGGCAAAATCCCCAGACAGTGACCATTTGGCGACTGTGTCTGGCGCTACCACTGCGGCCGCAAAATCGCACGCCCCCTTCTTCATGCTTCTGGCCGCCGCCCTGGACATCATTTCCGTGAACCGGCAGTGGACCGCGTCGCGGCGCCCCAGTTTGGCGAGCCGGCGGATCAAGCTGATTTTGTCCTGCGTGCTGAACGGCATGCTGGGACCACTCACCGCGTTTCCGCGCAGCATTTTGAAGCAGTTGGCGCAGTGCGGATCCCTGTTGGACTGTCTGAACACGGGCGGCCACGAGACGGACTCCAGCGGCTTTCACTTGGAGGTGGCCACCGTCCTGGACCAACTGCGCGTCAAATACGGGCTGGAGAAGGCTGCAAGCCCCTTCGTGCTGGATCTCCTGCTCTCCCAGAACCAGGCCTTTTTCCGCACGGAAGAAACGGAGGAGGACCGGCGCCGGGCCGCGCAGCAGCTCGACCTGGAGCGCCGGCGGTTGGAGTACGTATTCGGGGTGGGTGCTGCGGCCTGAAGAATTGTTTCTTCGGGAGTAGTTTTTTTCGACGCGCAGCCCATGCAAGATAGAAAGAAAAGCCTCAAGGACGACGAGAGGGCAGCAAGAGGAGGAGCGCACTAGAGCCGTCGGTTTTCTTCTTGCATAGTTGTTGCAGAACAAAACACAAATCTCAGTCGTTTTTATTTTCTGGCAAAGATAAATCTAATGACACAGAGCAAGAACTTGAGCTACTGGTGGTGTACAGAACGCAAGCACGAAGTAGCATTCTGTACTGAAGAAGAAGATTGATACGCGAAGGTTGAAAGGGATGAGAGATTGTCTTTCAAGTTCCTTCAACATCTTGAGTAAAGTTCGCACAAGGTCGTTGTGCCAAAACCCTTTTTGCAGGACTCCGAACCCCTGTCTCTAAAGAATTATTCTGGTTTCCAATCTAAATGTCTGTATTCCTTTTGCTTGCTACGCCAAGCCGACGCCAACACTAGCTCACCACACGTCGGCCATTTCCTCCATACTATCTTTGTCTAAAGACCTTACAAAACAATAATGCTCCTGCGCGTGAGCGTAGAGCGAGGGGTGAGTATTGAGAGGCGCACTGTTGAAGGCGCGGAGGGTGCTGTGGTCGACACCTACTCAGAGACGAAGGTGAAAGACTTTGAACTCCGACTGAAACAGCACCTTTCTGCCAAAGAGAGAGCCTCATCGGCAGTCGGCCTCGAGCCAGGCGAGCTAGTGCAGGAACACAGGTGGCGCAGTACCGGCGTAATTCCAGCAGCTGACGGCAGTGCCCACCGCCGCGCCGGTTTTGATACAAAAAATAAAGGTGCTACTAAAAATACTGCAACTTCCTCTGCCACCGACCATGCAGGGTCAAAAGAAGAGCCGAATTTTTCTTCTACCTTTCGCTCGACGAAAACAAAAATGGCAGCCTCCAGCAGCGGCAATGACACGACTGGTGCCCCACCGCCGGCACTGCGGGTGTGCTTTGTCTGCACGGGCAACACGTGCCGCTCTTTTATGGCCGAGTACGTGGCGAAGGCGTTCCTTGTGGCATCCAGTGATGAAGCCGTCCGAGCAAAAACGAAACATTGGCACCTGTGCTCCCGGGGCACCAGCCTGCGAGAAAGCGTCCCGCACCCGACGGCGCTGCAGGCGCTGGGAGAGATCGCGGGTTTTCCCATCCCGAACCCGGACCTGGAAAAACACCGGCCCACGGACCTCAAAAGCTCGCCGCCACACCTGCTCGTCGAGCCAGGAAATGTCAGCCAGACCTACTACTTCTGCATGACCCGCCAGCACCGGGAGGCGCTGCTCGCCCTGCTCGGTCCGGCGGCGTTCGACGGCCGGGCGAAGGTGTTTCTGCTCGCGGATAATTCGGACGACATTAGCGACCCGTACAACGGCCCGATAACCGATTACCGTGACTGCTTGGAAACGCTGCAGAAATGGACGCGCGTCGTGCTCCTGAATTTGCAAGCGGGAAAAGAGCCTTTCGACTGACGACAAAAAGAAGCAATGTTGTTGTATGACAAAACTTAAACTTCTGAGCACCCCCAGGACCTTCGTTCTTTAAGTACCATTTCGTCAAGGATGTGGCAGCACTGCTTTGATGTCCACGGAAAGTGACTTAGTGTGACAGTAAGTCAAAGCGGGCTTAGAGCGGTGGATGTTCTTCATCGTGTACGGTGCCGATGTACCTATGTTCCTCCCGCGTCTGTGAAGTGTGGTTGCTAAGACGATCCCTGTGGAAAAAAACCGACAGAACATTTGTGAAGCACGCTTTCCTCTCACATCTGCTCGGATCATGATGCTCGAACAAGTAGCTCGTGTAATTAGCCTGGATCATGATAGATAAAGACGAAGATCAAGCTGCGTCACTTACAACTGATGGAGAGCTTCTTTACAGTTCTATGTATCATTGAAACGAAATCACAACCACGAAGCCAAAGCAACTTTCTTCTAAAGTATCCTCTTCGCTCTCGTCTCGAAGGAATGCAAGCTCTGTACTATATTCGTCTCCTGTCAACATCTCTCATGAAATTGTGAAATGTAGAACGAAATAAAGCTCAATAGGAAAAAGATAAACGCTACTCCTCCACGACTTTTTGATACCGCCCGTGGCGAAAAAAGAACACCAACAAGGTAAAGATGCGGCGTGGGATGGTGGGCCCGGGTGGCAAGGCCGCCTTGTTAAAGGAGCGCGAGCGGAAACTACAGATGGCCGGGCTGGGTGAGGAAATTCTTGCCATGAAGGTGGACGCGGCGAAGGAGTTGTGCAAAACGTTTCGTACGCAGCTTTCCGCGTTCGCGAGTACGTACCGCGACAAAATCAACACGGATCCGAAGCTCCGGAAAGATTTTACCGACATGTGCCTCGCAATCGGCGTGGACCCGCTCGCGTTTAGCAGCTGGCCCGGCGAAGATGAAGCTGATGACGAACAGCGGCAGCGCCGCGGCGTGGGGGCTTTTCTGCAAAAACTTCTCGGAACAACGGCAAGTCGCGGCAGCTCGAGCGCGCAAGTACTAGAGAAAAAAGAGCAAGAGGCCGTGGCGAGGCGAGCGCGCTCGCAACGAGCCTTTTACGCGGATTTGGCCGTCCGGGTGATGACCACCTGTTTGACCACGCGAAAACAAAACGGGGGACTCCTACTGCTCACTGAGCTGCTGCAAATTTTAAACGGCGGGAGGAACAACGCGGCTATTGAGAGCAACACGGGGGCTTGTTCTACTACAACTTCTTCGCAAACAAGAGCATCTTCACATGTAGCAGCTGCAGAAGAACAGCTCTCACAACCAAGTTCGGCGTCGCAAGAAGGACCTCGTCCCGCAACCACTGAAATAACGGAAAAGGATGTTCTCATGGCGGTGGAGCTGCTAGAAACGTCCTTCGGTTCCGGCGTGACCGTGAAGCGGTTGGCGAATGACGTCCGCGTGGTGTCGTCCGTGCCCGAGGAGCTCGACACGGACCAAAACTTGGTGCTGGAATTTGCAGGGCGTGAAGCCGGGGTGCTGCCGCGGGACGCGTTTCTGCGCGACGAGAGGTTTCAGCTGTGGTCCCCCAGTCGCGTGGAAAAGGTGTTGCGGTTTTTCGTGCGCGAGCAGCTGTGTTGGGTGGACCGGGACCCAGAGAGTGGGGCGGAAACCTTCTGGTTCCCCTCGATGACCATGACTTTGCTGCGGGTGGACCAAGACGATGGATGAACTCATTGCGTCTACTAGGTATAGGCACATTGTGAGTCGGATGGAAATTCGAACTCGTCTAATTATTTCTATTTGGTAGAAGAAGGAGTCGAAGTCAGTGAACGAAGATCAGATTTTCTTAGCGTTCCTTGCGAGATCTTCTTGATCTGGTCCGCGATTCGTGCTTCAAAGAGTTTTATTCGAGATAGGATCCTTATTCTAGCACCGCAACATGCAGCACGAAATGTGAAGATGCGTGACCTCGTCTAGATGAAATTCGAATGTGACACAAAATGCTCCTCTCTGAGTCAGTCACGAAGCCGAACCTTTGCGAATAGCTCTTTATGACGTTGCTCGTTATATACAGATATTTTCCTCTCGACAAAAGCCATTTTCATTTTCTCACCGTCTAGGTATAGCGTCGACCTCGAAAAACTAAAACTCCGTCAATCATGACGACCGCAAGCCCCGCCGTCGAAAATGCGAGCGGCCATAGTCCCGCCAGAAGTGCGGAACTCTTGGCTTGGCAGCCGCTAGTAGCCCGAGCTCGCAGCGGCAGCATGCTCACGGGCCCGCTCGGAGCTGAAGGATCTGCGGGAAAGGAATGGGACAGCAATAGTGGTAGTGCAGATCATCTTCATCTCCCAACCACGTTGATTCTCTGCGATCTCTTTCCCCTGACGCCGTCGCCGGAAGGGAACCTTCCTGACTTTCCGCTTGAGTTCCATACGTTGCAGGAGCTGGATTTGAGTGGGTGCGGTCTTCTCGCGTTGCCCGAAAGTGTGTCGCGCTTGACCGGCCTGAAGTGCCTCTTTCTCGGAGGGGTAGACGCACAAAACTCGTCCTCCAGCAAGAATCAGTTCAAAGCGTTGCCGAGTCTGGCGAACTTGAAAGAGCTAGAACAGCTGTCGGTACACGACACGAACCTACAAATTCTTCCAGCCCTCCCGGAAAATAAACTGGCGAGTCTCCGCGTAGATCGCTGCCCCCTCGTTGCCGAGGACTTTCCAACCGAGCTTCCGAGGACGCTGACGACGCTGCACTTAGAGGGCTGTCCTTTGGGAGGGTCGTTCGACGAGCCTGAAAAACTGCCGGCCGCTGTGAAGAAGTTGGAGGGACTGTTGGATTTGCAAATGCCGGATGGGTATCAAATGTAAAAATGTCTGGGTCTGGAGGTTGGTAACTTGTGATGCGCAAGCTGTATGTAGGGAGATCCATTTGCACGAAGTACGAGCGCACGGAAACACACTGGGCCGGCGTTGCAGATGAAACACGAAAGGGATTCCTGCAGGGTTCCTTCCATCGAGATGGCGTTTGCAGCTGGGTCGTTTTCCGCCTCATGGTTTCACCAGTCAAGAATCGGACGAACCTAGACGCCGCAGAGCTGGTGCTCATCAACTGGTTTAACGCAAGCGCAAACTCGCAGGGGAAGATAGCGGGCGAATTCTGCAAGAAGGTCGCAAACATCCGGAAGACGTATGTGATCACACGGCGGGAGCACAAGGCGTTCAAGTCTACAAGGACCGGCAGCAACGGCGTCTCCAGCGCAGCACCGCGACACGCTTTCCAACTCCTGCAGGCCAGGAACCTGGACCAGACCACCAATGAGCACACGCGCATCATGTTGGCTATGTCGAAGAGGTTGGGGACCAGTAAGGCAACCCAGGACAAGATACGCGCGATGCAGCCACGAACTGCGCAGGCCTTCCAGCAAAAAGCGAAGCAGCTTCTTGACCCCGGCAAGTGCTACATCTTCAACAGCAACTTCCAGCACTACGCACAGGGGAGGCAAGTAGTTGTAACAACAATCAAAGTCAACGATCTCAGCCCGGCCTTCCTCAATAGCGTGCGGAGATACTTCGCCCTTTCGCTCACGGTGGACCAGGAACTACGCGGGCCAGTACGGGTACTACGAGTCAAGAGAACTAGGGCGAGGAAGGTGCTGGATGTACTAGGAACAAACTTGAAGCACTTCCACGACCAGGCCGCGCACAGACTACGACAAGGGCAAGGCATGCACTGCGCGCGCGAATTCCTGAAGAACGAGTATCCCGACCTGACCACGATCGACGGACACACTGTCTGCGAGCCCGCCACGTCTGGTTTCTCGCTTGTTAGCATCGGGGGCAGAGAGATAGGGAACTGGAATCGCATTGGCACGCTCGCACCGACCCGAAGAGAAGTAGTGCAGTGCGTTACGAAAGCGCGGAAACAGTGGCAAAAGCAGAGCGGGGTGCTGAAGACAGGGAACGAGGTGGCGGATGTGTTAGTTTCTGCCCGGTCCACAGCATGGGAAAAGAAGAAGTCTTATGCCACGCAGGATGACATTACGGACGTCGCCAGGCAATTAGCTCAGCATCTGTACGTGGGGGAGGTTGACAAGTCGCGGTCTATCTTCTTCGCATGCCACAACGTAATCGCGCACTGCCTCCTCAAGCACATCGAAAACGATTACGAAATGATCCGCGGTTGGAAAGGGCTAGAAAACTACGACGAAAGCAAAGAGTTTTTTGCGCTCTCTGACGAAAACAAGGACAGGCGGAGGGGCGGAAAACCTTTGAGCCACATCTTCTGCAAACGCAACCACCGCTGGCCGTTCCTGAAAATAATGCTGACGGCCAAAATGTTCAAAGCGATGGAACAAGACGGCAAGAGGGACTTTGCATTGGAAGAGCTACCCGGGGCTGCAGTAGCATACAGACCAATCACGTCCTACTTCAAGCATGTTTACCGGGATTGGTTCCGGCAGGTCGCGCGCGTGATCCGTAGAGTCATGGCACCGGAGTGCAGCAAGTTTCTCTTCGCAACACAGCAGGAGGTGATAGAAGCTCTGGAGGATTGCAACCGCGTCTGGAACGCACTCACACCAGACGAAAAGGCCAATTGGGTCCTACTCTTCGAGACAGGGGACCTGAAGGACTTCTTCACGCGGTGCAACGTTGCAGAAGCAATTGAACTGGTAGAACGACGGGCAAACGACTATACGAGATGCGGCGTTCGGTGTTTTGCGGTTGAGAAGACTAGTCCGCACCTGAAGCGGGTGGAAATGCACAAGGCAGAGCACGCGCGGAAGCGGATCGGGAAACTTTACAACGACAAGATACAGACGAAGTCGATGATGGCGCGCAGCATCGCGAAACCAAGAAGGGGGATCAGATTTCTCAAGAAAAAGCCAGACGGAAAAGAGTGCTGGCACCTTCGCGCGGACGTCATCACACGCAGCCCGAAGATCGACGCGAAGTTTTCCGTGTGCAGGGTGATGGGCAGGGTAGTTCGACAAACTGGCGGGGGACCGATGGGCCCGCCGCTCATGGTGGAGATCTCGAACTGCTTCGGGATAGTGCAGGAAATGGGCGGCCGCATTGATCGCACCTACACCGGCCGGATCCTCTTCCACAAGCGGTACATCGACGACCTCGGGATGACGCGACTAGTACCGCGGGGCCAGGAAGTGGAGCCACTCCGGCGCGACTTCTACCCTGGCTGCACACTGAACGACACAACGAAGGACCGGGAATACGTAGGAGTAAACTGGTCACAGAGCTATTTCGGAACTTCAACGACAGCAATGCCGCAAAAAGTGCAAATCCCAATAGAATCCTACAGCACGAGTGCTGCGCGGCGGGGAATTGAATACGGCCGCCTGTGTTATGAAGCTGGGCTTCGCATCGACGCAGGGCGGGAAGCAGCGGACTGAGCAAGAGCAAGAATTCCCGAAAACTCCGAAAATGCTATAAAAGTAGCCTGATCAACGCACCTTCCCCCGGCGACGAGTTTTTTTTCACCCCATTAACGGCGTTTCGCGAGAAGTAGTGGAGCCTTGGTTCAAGTGGTTTTTGAGTTTGTGTTTTTTTCAAAAAGAGCGAGTCACATGAGATGTGGGCGTTTTCGTAGTGACAATTATTATATATCTCCCCACACTAAAGCTCGTTCTTAGCTGTTTGGTAGAACTTTTTTTCAGACACACGTCTCGCCTGGTCCCGCTTCTAATCTAACTTTTTTCGATCTCTGGTGGCCTTTGCAAGATCTCTCACTCGTGCTGTTTTGCACTTAGCACGGTATTCTCAATCTATACGTCTCGCCTTGTCCCGATGTAAAAAGGTTCGTTTTCTAGGACCATCGACGACCGTTTTTTAGTAGTAGTCATTAACTCCCCGGGCTAACACTCGTTTGTATCTTTCTCAGACGTACGTCGCGCCTTGTCCCGATGGAAAACACGTGCTCGATCTCTTCTGACCTAACTTTTTTCGATCTCTTGCGCTTTCGCAACGCCGTTGCACTTAGCGCGGTATGATCGTTTGCACGTCTCGCCTGGTCCGGATGTAAAAACACGCATATGCTGCCTTTTCGATCTCTAGTGCGCGCGCAGCTCCGTTTTTGTTTTGCAGAGAAAGTTTTTTTTTTTGATTTTTACGAGTGGTTTCACAGCACGACCCGCGAGCATGCCAATGTTAATGAAGCTCGTCGCTTGCTACAGGCAACGACCACAGGGTACGAAAAATAGCAGCAGTGGTAACTTAAGCCAGGCACTTTGCTTTCGGTTTACGTAAGTTGTTCGAAGTACAAAATTAGAGAGTAGAGGTGGCAGTAGGGGTAGAGAGATAGAGGGAAAAGTATAGAAATATCTTCGACAGATTGTGGTGCTGTTTTTGGATTCCCAAAAAATCTGTTTTGCATGAACAGCAAAAGGGGTCCAGTTTTCGCTACGCGGAGAGGGAATTTCTCATGCTGTATGGGCATCAGAAAGCATTTACAAAATATGTGATGCTAGAGCATGCATCACAGACTTCATGGGTCATGCAAAATATGCATGACAGACGTTGCATTTTTCCAGACCCAGATATTTTTGCAATCCATAATGGCTCGCATGTGGGAGAATTCTTCGGCACGCCGCTGCAAGAGTTGCTCCGGGGGCGAGGAAGTGCTGGGGGGTTGTGAGGTGGGAATCGTGGAAGATGAGGAGCGGTTTAATGTGACTTTCTGATGCATGGATTCCCATCTTTAACCATATCTAATATTCACGCCAATTTCTCGATCTCGGGGAGCTGTAGGTGTTCGTTGCAGCACGCAAGCACATTGATGTTTCCAAGAAGGCACAAAGTTAATCCAAATGTGCGCGTATTGTTGTCCGTTTTTGATCTTGGGACACACGTCGACACGGCGGACCACTCAAAGATAGAGTTGACAATTGTTCATGTAAGGCGGCCAAACATTTGCCACTGAACGAAGATGAAGATCAAGATCATATGTAGGAGCCTTGCAGCTGTGGGCAGTGTGACGAGCCGTGTTTGTCAAGAAGCAGCGTTTTCTTAGTTCGAGTATTTTAGCGTGGCAGCCCCGCTTTAAAGCCAAGCGCACTTGGACACAATACAAGCAGTGTGCGTGTCTTGCACCACGTCTGCGGATCCTCGATATTTCTAGCTCGCATGTGCCGAGAAGGAGCACGAAACAGACACAAGCGTTCTCCATGTGCAAACTTCACCATTCGTTCCACTTCCATCCGAAGATTGTGATTTCTTTGACGTAGTGTTATGACTGTGCCTCATCGTTTCTGTGACGAAAAAGTCACTGGAACAGTGTGAAACGGATTCGAAAACATTCTTCAGTTTTGAAAATAGTGATAGTGTTGTCCCTCTAGAGTGTGCTTTGTCGGGCATATTCGCGTACATTTTCTCACACGACGTAGTTATCATTACTTTTACAATTTGCACCTACAACTTAGACTTTCATCAGTAGATTCTGAAACTCTGTACACAACTTGTTAGACTTTCATTCAGTACTCAACTCTGAGTGAGCGAGATTTTGAAAAGCAAAGAAAGTTGCTTCCGAAGCTGTCGACCGAGCCAAGAACTACAAGAACACCCAGCGGCGTGTCCAGGGAAATGTACCCGAGTGCGACGGGCAACCCGTACTACGGGGGAACTGCGCCTCCGGCCACGAGCGCGTTTCCCTATCAGACGGATCCGAATGCGAACCCGCCCGCGATGAACCCGGCGATGAATCAGATCCCGACGCTACGAGACAGAGATGTAGGTAGCATAAGTAGCATATCGTTCAACTTGTGGTGCAAAAACAAGTAGATGATCACAATCCTTGTCATGGATGGGCCCAGCAAAGCCCAGCGGCAGCGTTCTGCTGTGCATGTCTATGCAAGGGAGTTTTGTTTTCATTTGTCTTGTTGTGTTTTGCACCAGCACAAATACGCGAGGATCATGCTACCTTCTTTTCTTTTTGATAGCCGCCGCAGCACCAGCAGATGTACCAGCAGGGCATGCAGCCGCCGTACGGCGCGCAACAGCCGTTTCCGATGCAGCAACAGCCATGCATGCAACCGCAGATGATGAACAACAACATGGTGCCACAGCACCAGGGCGTGCAGCAACACCAGGCACAGCAGCAGCAGCAGCCTTTGCCGATGACCATGCACATCAACGTCGGGGGTCAACAGCAAATGCCGCAGCCGCAGGTTAACGTGGTGCACCAGCAGCACCGCGGGAGTAGCGGTATCGTGACCACCGAAGATCCGCAGAAGGCCTGCCGGGCGTACCAGGCACGCGTGCGGGCCTTTAAGGACATGGTGGATCTGATGAACCTGCGGATCCGCTACGCCAAGGAACGCGGGCAGTGCTCCGCGCGGATCCAGCCGGAGTCGGACCTGCAGAGCTACCGGAACCTGTGCGGCGAGCTGGAGCTGGAAGACCACGAGATCGAGGCCTTTGTGCAAAACCGCGAAAAGTGCAAGCGCGACGTGGTGGCGTACTTTTTGCGCCACGGCTACGAGGTCACGGAAAAGCAGATCGGACCGCCCAACCGCTTCCTCTGGACCGTCGACGCCAGCTGGGGAGCCCCGAAGAAGTGCTGCTTTTGCGACTAGGGGATCGGAGATGTTAGTGTGGCTTTTGGAGACTGAAGATTTTCTGTTTCACTTACTCGCCAGAATCACGTCTCAGTAAGTCCGGTTCCTTGCCGTAAGTAGTACACCTCGAACTTATCCTTTGACGACATTTTTGTGCTGTGCCTCTTGCTGTAATAAGCTGAAACCTCTCTACTTCGACTTCTGCTTCTCCAAGTTTATCATCTGATTATACAAAGAACCGCATGCTTTGCAACCATTACCTCTAGTTCCCAAGAGCAGTCATTGTATTTTTGGATCGTCGTCAATGTCGCAAAGCGCTGCGTTTTGTGCAGTTTTTGTTGTAGACCTCAATACACAAATATGACCAGTAGCCGCTTCGCCTGTTGTCGGCTCTTTCCGCCACTAAATTTCTTTCTCTTTGCAGAACCAGTCTCAGAACCGAATTCCACAGAAAGATGGAAAATTTTGACTCAGCCGCGTAGCACTTTCTTCACTTGTTCATATCTGCCATAGAGATGAAACAAGCTCCGTCAGGCAGAGGTCCAAGCTGGAAGTGGGTGACGTTGTTCAGGCTCTCCTTGGAAAGGTGGCGCGCGTCGAAGTGAGTAAAATCGTTCAGTGCTTCGCCGTGTCCCAGATACGGGCGATTGGCGCATCCTTGCGCTTATGGATGTGAATAGAAGCCGGCGTGAAGGCGCAGGGAAGAAACCGACGAGGCTGATAGTTGCGCGGGTCCTCTCGCTGCCGGAGCAGCAGGGCGGCGCGCCCGGGGCCGAAGCCGCGCGGGCCACCAAGCTCGAGGAACGGGCTGGGCGAGGCGGCAAAATTTCGCAGCGGGCCCGCAGCTAGGCCGGCGGCCAAAGCGCGCCCGCGCGCAGCGCTTCCCGGAGGAAGGGAGTAAGGGCCGGGGCCGATCTGGGGCCGCGCGAGTGTCGCCAAGGTGCCCAAACTGCTCAAGAGCAGGGCGACCAAGCCCAAGACGAGCGCCCCGCACTCGGGTATTGCGGGCCTGCGGTCCGATAGGGTTTGCAGGCCCCCAAGCCTGATCATGTGGGTCAGACCTATGCTCATGAGCATAGTGGCTGCGTTGTTTAGCGAAATTGCGAGCCTCGACGACAGCAGGCCCTGGGATAGTAAAGGTTGGCGCGGGAGCCCATCGCGGGCGCCCGGGGGGTGCTGTTGTCGGGGGCAGTGGCCATCTGGAGCGGCCCCGTACGCCTGCAAAGCGAAACGGGACGGGTGGCCGGGGGCCTGCGCGGCGGGCGGCGCGCTTTGAATATGGGCGGGCTCGCGTCCGCAACGGGGGGGGGCTCGGGTATTGGGTAAGTTAAGGCTACACGAAATACATACTCAAGAACATACTTAAAAAATTCGCATGCTCTGCTCGAGGCGCGGAAAAAAAGACTCCAACTGGGTCTATGTTATGCAAGAATCAGAAGCGCGCATCTTCTGGATGGCTCGTCGCGACAAAAATAGACAGGAGCGCGGAGCGCGCTCGTGCGGAGTGCCTGCGGAGGCAGGCTGTATGAGATGCCGCTTCGCATCTGCGTGAGCGCGGTTCCTCTCTCCTTTAGACTGCAACGCAAACGCGCCCGCCTGCGGTGCCCGTGCTCAAATCCGTTTCGAGAACTATCAGCACTCAAGCTGGCAGAAAGGCACGCGGGCCCAAAAGGTCGCGCGCTTCAAGCTGCGCGCAGGAAGTGGCGCTCGCTAGTAGGCGAAGATATTCCCGGCTGGAACACGTCCGCCACCAGCAACTCACTACGTCTCTTGCTCCGGTGCTTGGCCTCCGTGTTTGAGCACAACGAGAGCGCAACGCCCGAGCCTTTCGGGAGGGCGCGGCGCTCCAGCAAAAAAACAAGCGCGAAAAAGAGCGCGCAAACATAGATAAAAAACGCGCGCGCGCAGGAGCGCGCAAAGAACATAGACCATGCCACGCAGTCTAAGAAGTTTATGGCTGGCCACAAATGGGGTCGCTTTTTGTGCATAATTTTCAGCGCATTTTCGTGCGCATTTTCGCGCGCGCGCAAGAGCGCGCGAACATAGAGCATGCCATGCAGTCTAAGAAATTTACGGGTGGTCGAAAATGGGGTCACTTTTTCTGCATAATTTTCAGCGCATTTTCTTGCGCATTTTCGCGCGCGCGAAAAAGCGCGCAAACATAGACCATGCCGTGCACTCTAAGAAGCAAGTTTATGGGTGGCGAAAAATGGAGCCACTTACTCTGCGTATATTTTTAGCGCATTTCCGTGCGCATTTTCGCGCGCATTTTCGCGCGCGCTTCCGCTCCCTCTGGCTCCATGGTTGAGCACGACGCCGAAGCGCAGCGTCTCATGTTCGTGTGCAAGCGGAGAGAGCCATCACGGTGGGCCTGCGTGGCGCCTGTGCATTGCGCTTTACCTTTGTGGCTCCGGCGCGTGTTCTTGCGCACCGCTGTGGCGTCAAGCTTTACCGCCGAAAGCTGCACTCGAAAAAGCGCAAAAAAGCTAGCTCGCAACAAATGTGCGTGCGTGGCGTGTTTACTGCTTGTTGTGGCGGTATTTGCTTTCTCTAGTGGCGCCGCAGGGGGCCCGCTAAACTGTTGTGGGCATGCTTGCCGAAGTTTGACAACCCCGGACCGGGCTTGGTTTTGCGGCGTGACACATTGGGCGGAAATAAGTCGTAGCCCGATCAGCGTGTGACGTCTGCGCCCTTCGCGTGTGTTTTTGGCCGTCCTGGTGTATTGGATTTCTGCGCATATGAATTTTTTAAGTATGAAGAAGAGTATGAAAATTGTGTACCTCTAAGTAAGCAACTGGGCCCGCGGCGTGGTTTGGAGCATTGTGCACCGGCGCGCAGCAGGGCCGGCCCGTCGGTTCCTACCGGGCTCCACGTGTCCCGCCCGCAGCGATTTTGTCTCGCGTCCGTGGATCAAAACAAGGGCAGTGGCAGTTTGAAAACGTCCCGACGCAGCCGAGCCGCGTCTCAAGTGCTGCAAGTGCGGCGCGTTTTCGGAAATGGGCCGGACAGTGCTGCCGCGCGCCCCGCCCGCCTTGCTCTACTGCTTATTTTCGGCCCACCCCCTTCCGCTATGTCTATTGCAGCCTGCCCGGCCGTTTGACCTATCGGCGCTCGCAACAGCTTCTGCGTCCGTGCGCGTGCTTCTCCGCCGGCACAGCCGAGCCCGCCAGCCACTTGCTTGGGTTTGTTCTCTGATGGCCTTCGACCCGGCAGTGGTTGCCCGGGCGCGGTCGGGCGACTGGCGCCCGGTTTTGCGCCGTGACAACCCGCGGCGGGCAAGCGCGGCGGCATTTCCTGCTCCTGTCTGGCTGTTGGTTCGGTGGGCTTTGTTTTCTACCGCGCGGGCGCGACCCTGTCACCAAGTTCGGAAGCTATTGGCGTAGCGCTGTTCTTATGGCTCGCCGTTATTGAGAAATACTACAGCCCGGCGCACGGATGATCCGTGATTCCCGACGGGCAGGTCCATGCGCTGAAAGATCTGCACAAATAGATTGACTTCAGTGTTTTTATCGTGTTCCTTTTGGAGATTTTACTTGTGTTGAGTGTGCATGTCCTGCACCTGCTGTTCATGAAGACTGACGATGCAGGGAGAAAACAAAGTGTTTTTGTGACGAGCAGGAGCTGCATCTCGAATTAGCCCGATCACACTTCTTAGATAATGGTCTTTATTTCCTGATCCATTTCAATTTCTTGGTGGCCATGTGATTTGTGAAGAGCAAGAAGATGAAGCCTCGAGCGCCAGCGGGGTCTCTTCCTAATAAAAGATCAACTTATGTTGAGTGTGCAGCATTATTCTGATGGACTTAGAGACTGAGTGAGATCGTATCGCATCTGGAAGATTTTGGTTTTTGCCCTATGTATTCCTTCTGCTCTCACTCGGCTCTGCAACAGCGGTTGTGAAGCTCTGTCTGCGTTCTCTAGGACAGATCCGACGGCAAAAACATGCTTCAACACCAGCACTAAGTGTAGTTCAGTTGTTTCTATAAAGTTTTGTCCGTGCTGACCCACTTCAATTTTGAAGATTTTACATATGCAGTAATAAAGTTTTGTCCGTAATATAATTTGCAGGGGGCTTCGCTGATTTAAGCAGATAGACCTCACGTCCATAGCATACAGCAAGACAAGCGGGGCCTCCTCGCTGCAACTATGCTTCTCGAAATTTTGGGTCCGCCGGCACTACGCGCTCTCCTGTTTTTCCTTTTGATTTGGCTGAGCCACACACAAGATAGCCTTTTTTTCTGGTTCAACCCACTTGTTCTGGTGTTTATCGCCTACCCCGTCGTCCTTTGCTTCTCTCTCTGCTATTGGGCCGGCTACGCACCAGCCGACGATCCGTTTTCCTTCTACGCCACCGCAGCTAGTCTTTTTGACAGCGCTCATAGCCTCGCGTGGCGTCTCCTGTACGGGGAGGACTATGATGAAAAAGGGACGACCACGAGAGCAGCTTCTTACGGCGCGACCGTGGGGACCCTGGTAACGCAGTACGCTTTCGACGCCACCGGCGCGCTTACGTCCCTGTTTCAGAAGGGCGAACCGCAAATAAGAGCAGGACCATCGTGGCTGTATTCGACAATCACGGGGTACGGAGACCGTGACAGCGGTGGCGTTTCTTCTGCAGCAATAGCGTCAACGACCTTCGTCGAGCACCTCCTGTTTCTCGTGATGTGTGCCGGATGGGCCGGAGCGGACAGCTCCGTGCGCGTCAATTTTCTGCGGTTCCTGAGCTTCGTGGCGCGCTGGTTCCTCTCTCCGGACCACTGCGTGTTTGCCTTCTCGCTCCGCCGCAATCCGATCTTCCAGCTGCCATGCTTCCTGCTGCTCTGGCCGTTCCGGATGGGACGGAAGCTGATGCAAGGGAAAGATGCATCACGTGCTGGTGGCCACAATAAAATACATCCTGTACGAACACACCTGCGCGCGGAAGATGATCGTCCTGACGGAAATGTCATCCGACAGCCCAAAAACGCCGCGGTGCTTGGAGCTCCGGCCGCCGAGCCTGCAACCGCCAGTACAAATACAGCCGACTTCTCTACCGATCTGCCGCTCTTGCGCGACGTGCCGGAAGAGAAACTTCACAAGGATCCGAAAGTGCCGTATTTCGGACAGAATTTCGTGAAGCACCACGTGCCGCGGAACGGGACGCACAAACTTTATTTGGAGCAAAAGCCCTGGAAGTTCAACCTTTTCGAAACCTACGACGAGGCCATGGAATTTTTGACGGCGGCAGTTGCGGACTCAGTGGACAACAGCACAAGGTCCACCTCAAGGGTTGTTGTGCCCGCCTCGTCTAGTACTCCACCTTTAGCACCCGAGGACGCTGCTCCTTCTACTTATGGACGAAAAAACTCTTTATCCTCCTTTGACGACATCCCGGTGCCGAGCCACTGGGAGCTGCTCGGGTATGATCCGCCAACCTACACGAACGTCGTGTACCCCTGGACCCGGTTTCCCTTGGCGCAATCGGTGCCGGACGGGCCGGTGAATCCCTGCGGCGTCTACGCTACCACTGTAGTGCTGGACGAAGATTTTGTGGAAGAGGAGAGTTTATCCGCTATTGGTGCTGCTTCCTCTACTTCCAGATCCACTTCCGGTGCAGGGACAGCCGATGGTCGTGACACGAACTCATCTGCTTCCCCATCCTCGCAGCCACATCTGAAAAGAACCCACATTACCTTTGAGGGCGTTGCGAGCTCCGTCTACCTGTATATCAATGGAATTTTCATCGGGTACGGCGAAGACAGCATGACGGAGACCGAGTTTGAAGTAACAAACTTCCTCTTGCCACCCCCCCATCCGAACACGATTATCGCCGTCGTGCCGAAGTTCTCTTCCGGGAGCTATCTGGAGTGCCAAGACATGTGGACCTTGAGCGGGATCTACCGGCCGGTGTTTCTGGAAGCGTTTGGTTCCCGGAATAAATGCCAAATCCTGGACTACAAAACCATCGCAGACTATGCGACCAGGACGTTGTCGCTGGAGCTAGAGTTGGACGTCGGGGAGGAGAGAAATCTTCGTGATGACAAGGCAAATGAAGTGGTCCTCGCACCAGATGGAGTTGAAGGTCGTACAGAGCCAAACTCAAACACAGGTGGAGACAACAGCGCAGCTACAACCCAAGTAGATCAACAACATGATCATCCTGACGAGCTGGCACTGCAACTGACTGTGACCATCCAGCGGCAAAAGGATTTTCCCGCGAGCCCCAACGTCGGGAGTAAACGGTTTCCGGCAGCCAGGCGCACGGTGTTTCATCAACTGCTGCAAAAAACGACACGAGGACGAGCAAATAGCACTTATAGTGGCTCTGCAGGCCCGGCGGGGGCTCCGGCTCTCTCGACGCAAACAAGACTTGTCACAATCGCAAATGCGGCAACTCCACAGCGCGATGATCCAACGGGAGGTGAACATCTTCCAGCTCCGTCGGCTACTTGCCGTGTATGTCCGGTGCTGGAAGGAGAAGGAGCTGCGCCTTTTGGCCCAAATGTACTAGGATCTCCAGCCTCGTCAGGAGACCCAAAAAATACTGACCAGACGAGAACGAAGTACAAGGTCACCTTCTTGCCCCGCGACGTGCGCGCGTGTTTGGACGAGGGCGAAGTGTTCCCTTGGTCGCCGGAAGATCCGCAGCTGTACCTGGTGGAGATTTGTCTGAAAGAAGTTCTCATCACGCGACGTGGACGAAGGGAGGAAGACAATTTTGATGAAAAAGCAGACGTGGACCTTGACCTTGTCGAGGTGATAGAGGAAGGACTGGTCCTCCAGGAGGAAAAACTGAAGGTTGGGTTCCGAACGGTGGAGTGCGGGACGAATTTATCCCATCCCCCCAACGTGTTATGCGTGAACGGCCGGCCGATCGTGATCAAGGGCGTGAACCGCCACGAATTTCAGTGGCAAAGGGGTCGCGTGCTCTCGGAGGCGGACATGCTGCAGGACCTGGCGCTGCTGAAAGCGGGTAACTTCAACGCCGTCCGCACGGCGCACTACCCGAACGACCGGCGCTGGTACGCGTTGTGCGACGAGATCGGGCTGTATCAGAGTGCAAAACGCCCGCGCCCCCTCATTTGTACGGCGTGAGCGGCAATACAAACGCCGGCACACGACATGAAGCCTACGCATTACAAGTTTATGGGTCTAATGTAGCTGCACTGTTTGGGTAGCTTCCGGACTTTGTCATGCATAATAGTGATACAGGGCAGCGACTGTATTTGGGATTCTGCATGAGAAATGAGAATGAGGGGGCGTTGTGCACTGTCATAGGCTGTTCGTCGTAGACGAAACCAACATCGAAACGCACGGCATGGCCCTGTCCGGCACGATGGACGTGCTGCACTGCGACCGGGCGCGCTGGGGAAGTGCGATTCTCTCCCGCGCGCACGCGTGCTTCGCCCGGACGAAAAACCATTGTTGCGTCATCGGCTATTCGTTAGGGAACGAGGCGGGGTTCGGCCCGAATTTATTCGCCAACTACCGGTTTTTCCTCGAGCAAACCACGTTTTTGCACCTCCACGCCTGCGAGCGACGGAGCGGGATGAATGCAGATGAACATCATATGCTTGGACAGGCGGGAGAACCGCCACTGTACTTGGACAGGCGGGGCCTGCGATGGCACCGCCAGACGTCGACAGTACTGTGCGAGGGCACGGGAGCGGTCGATGGTACGCTAGATGTGCAGACTGAGGACGACCGACCGTTGCTAGGCAGTACCAGTACAACAACGGGCGGTGGTCCAGCACCCGATCAGGGGACGATTTCATCGAACTCGGCTGCCCGCGGCAGTCGGATACTATCTTCTGGTAAAGAAGTAGGCCCGAAGCCGAACTCGTCGACCACAGGAACAGGAAGTACACCGGACGGGCCTGCAAGAACTGTAGTTCCAAGCCGGCAGGACACGAAAAGCGTCTCCGCCTTTCTCGGCCGGCTCCCCTGGAGCCCGCGAGCGGATTACCCGCTCGAGACGCAGTTGAAAACGCACGCGGTAGTATGCAAGAAAAAAACTGTGTAAGTGTAAGTCTGTCATGCAAGAAGACATGATGCAACACTGTTCCACTTGTCATGCTAGCCAGCCATGACGTCCTATTTCATAAAGAGTTTTCACGTACTGTCTGTGCATGACAGGATCACTTTGTCATGCAGAGCAAATTTGCCATGCTGTCACCTGAAGACAACTACACTAACGCAGTTTTTTCGTTCCATAGCTAGCGTCGAGCGTGAAGGCGTTCCAGGACTTGCTTGGCGACGATGTGGAGAAGGAGTTCCGGAAGGCTGCAATCGACATTCGGCCGACTTCTGTGCACGACTATTCCGCCCAGATTTTCCGCACCCACTTATGGCGTTCTCAAACGTTACATTCTCAACTGTTACATGATTTGACATGCAAAATGACCATGAGCCACAAGACGATCCAGCTGCTTCGCATGACAAGTTCTCGAGTGGCTAGCCAGCGTCTAAATCTGTGCCAAATCTGTCATGCAAGACGCGCAAGCTCCCTCCTTTCACTTTTGCCATTCTTGCATCACAAATTCATTTAACAGTTGAGAATGTAACAGTTGAGAACGCCATACCACTTCATCCAGTATGAGGGCGGGAAGAACTACAGCAACGACCCCGTGTTCAGCTGTGGCGATGGGTCCACGCTGTGCTCCGACCTGATCTGCCCCATGTACTGGGCGCCCTGGGACCTGGTGGAGATCGCGGACCGGCAGAAAACGCCCTGGGACATTGCAGACAGCAAGTTCCAGAAGCCGATCATCCAGTGCGAGTTTGCGCACGCCTGGGGCAACAGCTGTGCGTCTTTGGAAAAATTCTTTGCATTGTACTACGACGAAAAGTACCCCAGCATCCAAGGCGGCTTCATCTGGGAGTGGGCCGATGCGCAGCTGCAGGTGTGTGACGACATGCGGAAGCGGTACGAGAATGTCACCATTTTTCCGCCACCAGCGGCAAGGAGAAGAGGCAAAAGCGGTGCATTTCGGCGGAGTAAAAGGAATTCGCAAAATTGTAACACAACCAACGGGCCGCCGATAGCGCGGCAGGGAGGTGGTGAGAATAAGGTTAAAGATGGGCAGGACCACCACCAACATGCGGGACGAGAAGTAAAACAACAAATAAACCAGCTAGAGCCGCTTTTGGGCCGCGGTACAACTATAAACGCCGCAGCCGCAACATCTTCTGTCGATGTGCAACATGCTGTGATAAGCAGGAAGAATTCGAATGATAACGTTGAAAGGTGTTTCTACGGTGGCGATTTTGGTTCGACGAGCGGCTGGGAGGACAATAGTTTTGTTGCGGATGGACTGTTGCACGCGAATCGTATCAACGCGCACCCAACGTACTACGAAGCCCGGTCTCTGCAACGGCCGGTTTTCTTCCGTTTCTCTTCGAAGATGCACGAGGGTAGTTGTTCCTCTTCTAAATTCTCGGTTTCCACGGTGGCCGTGCAAAACCGCTTCGACTTCTCGACATTGAAAAGCGTCGATTTTTTCGTCGAGATGCGAGACTCGATCTTGTCGCCGAACGGAGATCATGAATTGGCGACCGCCCAAACGGTGTTGCTACCTGTGTCACTGGAAGATCCCGATGTGCAGCCCAAGCAGTGGACAAGCATTATCCTGCCCGACCGCGACACGCTGGCGCGCCTCGCGACGGCCAAAAGCAGTGGGAAGCAACTACTAGGACCCCCGGAAACATCAAGTACTAAAGTAGACAGTGACCCCGCCGGGTCAACTAGTACTACATCAGCTGGCTCAGCACCTCGTGGACTGCTCCTGTTTGAGCGCAAGTGGCGCCCAAGACGGCTCTTTGCCGTGTACAATGCGGCCGCGGAACGGAGCAGCACCTTGCTGCAGCGGCTGGGGTCACGCCTGGGGTTGACGCGGGAGGATTTGTTGCTCGGCGAGGTGTTTTTCCCCGTTTTCAAGAAACACGCGGACGAGCTGTTTCATTGTCTAGCATTCCGCGATTTTAACTTGGCGCAGTCGCGGAAAAAGGCAAGAACGGTACAACTGAACACGATCTCTGAGGGGGACGAGCAGGAAGAGGAACTACAGTCGACGCTTGTTGATAATTCCCTAGGAACTTCTGACACAACCGATGGGAACATGAATAACCCACTGAAATTCGATTTACCTGCTCCTCCTGAAGAAGAGGCATCTTCAAACACAGGTCGTTCTACTCCTGTCTCAACATCATCCGGGCTCACTCTCGTGGAGAACGTGCGGCTGCATCCTAGCCAGGAGGTTCTCATAGAAAAGATCGAGTACCACTTTGTCCGCGCACCGGTGGAGAACGACCGGGGCGGTATGGACGTGGAACTGTGCACCGGGGGCCGCTGGCTCGCGCACTACGTCTTCGATTTTTTGGCAAAAAAAGTCACGAACAAAGCGCACGCGGTTCTCTCCTACGCCTGGCTGTGGCTGAAGGTTTTCAAACTCTTGCCCAGGGATAAATTTTTGGTGGAGCGCGTGAAAGCCGTCGAGAAGAAGGAAAAGGAGAACTACCGGAAAAATCGGGTGCCTTTCAACCCAAACGTCCTTTTACAAAACGTCGAAGAGGACCACGACGACGGCAGGACGAGAACAAGTAGGCTGCGGCACAGCGGTGGCTTCCGTGTGACATCCGTGAAGGGGCAGCCGGGTTCTTCCGGGCAGTTGTTGAGCGGTGCAGCAGTCGTGTCCTCTACAACAGGCGTGAAAGTCGACGCGAGCTACGTGGTGAAGCTCCGCAGTGAGGTGTTGAGTGTGGATTTGAAAACGACCGTAGTTTCAAAACAAACGAAGACAAGCACAGCACCTCTTACAGCGACCGCCAGCACAAGGAGCCAGCCTGCTGCTCCTCCCGTAGAAATTGCCAGCCGAGTGCTCGCCTTCTCATGCGAAGTCGACTTGACCACCTGCGTCACGGAGCATTTGCCGCGGGTCGGCTTGCGGTTCAAGCTGCCAAAGAGGTATAACGCCTATGAGTACTTCGCAAAAGGCCCGTATGAGAACTACGCGGACCGGCACAGCAGTTGCACGGAAGGCTTCTTCACCGAAGACCTGCGTACCAAAGTCTGCCCCTACGCCAAGCCGCAGGAGTTCGGGGGCAGGTCGAGCGTCAAGTGGGTCCGGTTTCCGGGTGTAATGGGAATAAAACTGGTGGAGGACGATGAAATAGTAAGTGGAGCGGGCAGAACCAGAAATTATAACTCGTCGAGGAATGTTGATAATGATGATGGTCCTTGTGATGTCTCATCGCTCTGTTCGGTCTCGCACTACAGCACTGAGCAGCTGGCCACGACGGCGCACGCCCATGATTTGGTACCGGAGGACGCGACCTGGGTCTGCATTGATGTGGCGCACATGGGGGTCGGAGGTGTCGGCGGCAAGGGAAACGTGTGGGGGTTTGACCCCCAGTTCCTGTTGCCGCCAAAAAGGCTCTGGAAATTTACCGTGGAGGTGCATTTCTACTGCTAGGTAAGGGCGCTGGTTGCAAAAGGCTTTTTAGAAGAAGGAGCGCACCAGGTACAAGAAACTGAACAGAGCGTACTTCCTACTCGAAGCCCATTGAACGTCATTCCATGCTGAGGCTGCTACTACGTTACTTTCATCCTGCAACGCGCGCAAGAGTTAGAATCGACCTGGTTGATATGAGCTGAGTGGTGTACTAGATGGATACAATCGCCTATCGCAATCGCTCGAGATAATTACCACTACCACTTCGTGATCTCGTTGAGTGGTGTTGTTCCCGAATCATGTGGATCTTCAGTAAATGAACTTGAAGAACAAGTGCCCACGAGAATTCAGTAGATTCTTTACGGTCCAATCGTGAACGAAGAGACGATCCCTGCACGCTTCTGAGCAGAAGAGATGAAGAAAGCCCCCACGGTTCAGAGCTGGAGAGAGAGCGAAGAGGGCGCTCTTCTTGTTTCCTATGAATTTTGATTCTACATGATGTTTGGTTTCATTCTTGATGTTGTTGTGATTGCGCTTGTGCAGTTTGAGTTTCTCTTCACTTTTTCGGCAATATGATCTACATGATGAATGTGAGTCACAATCACAATCATGCAAACACCACCCTTCATCCGTGCGCTTCATCCGGAATCTTATGTTCTAGTAGGGTAGAAAAAGAAATGAGGGATATTGCGCTACTAGCTTGTCATTTCGTCGTTGTTTGTCGTCTGTTAAACTAACTTAAACACGCCAGAAGAAAGTTGAATTTGTAAAATTTATATTATCTGAAGTACGACCAAAAAATCGTCAGCGTCACATCGTTTCGTCGTTGTCACATAATCGAAGAGCCTCGTCTCGTCGCGGTGGCCGCCGCCACGGAGAACAGCTGATGGTGGGTCCTTCAGCTTCAGGGCCGGGTCAACAGAAAGGCGGCAGTACAACTTCAGCGAGCAGCGTGTCTGTGACTGGCAATGTTGCACAACCGCAGCACGGGAATAATATTAAAGGCGGGTCCACGACGCTGGGCGCGACCTCCGCCCAGCCAATGATGATCCGTACATCAGTCGGTGGTCCACCCCACGGCCAGCCGCAAGCCGCGTACCAAGTCCTGTCGCAAAACGGAGGTGCCCCCGGCGTGCCGTACATTGTTGCGCACCCAATGCAGGGGATCACCTCCGGCGGGGTCTATTACGGTGGCATTCCGGCAAACCTCGTGCCTATGCAGCATCTCCCTAACCAACATCTTGTTCCCGGGGCGAACCCCGCCGCAGTCTACCAACAGCAGGCCGCTGCCGCGGCTAGTACCAGGATGCAGTACGTTGTTCCTGCGGGCGGGGGTGGAGCTGCTTATCCGATTCTCGTGAATCCCCAACAACATCATTACGCAGCTGCCATGGTGCAGCAGCACCAGCACGGACAAGCCGCACTGGCGCATAACCCAGGAGCCGCTTTGTATCACCACCAGCAGATCCCGCCGGGTGCTGTCGTGCCGGTCCTGGCCGCGATCAACTCGTCCAAGCAGACGGCAAGCAGGGGCGGCTCAAAACAGGCAGTGCCCGTTCTGGTCGCCGCACCGGCTCAACAACTACATCAACCTGTAGTTGTTCCTACTGCTGCTGGTGTTGTTGCACCAAAGAAGAGCACGCCAATGAATCCCAAGGCGGCAGCCTTTCATCCGTCCAGCGAAGGGGCGGCACTCTTGTCCTCGGCTACTGCAGGAGGTGCGGCTACTTGTTCCTCCGCAAAGGACGAAATAAGAACCTCAGGATCTTCGAAGGATGCTGCAGCAGCAACAAATCCCACACAAGATGATCTTCGAAAAGGCAGTGCAGCGGGTGATCAAGAAAGGGTTCGTGCAGGAGCTGCAGGAGAAGAAGATGCTTTACTTGTTCCCGATGCGGAGGATGTGAAAAATGCGAACAATGACGTGAGTTGTGTCACAAACCTCAAGACGCATGATCAAATCTCCAGCAAGCAGACGTCGAGCCCAAGTAACAAATTACCTGAGGGCGGTACTACTAGAACTACCGGCGAGCAGGAGAGCGTCGTTGACGGAAGCACAACTCAAGCCGACAAGAACGGTACGGCAGTTGGTGGAAATAAAGAGGTCGTGAACGATCAGGCTCCAACCGGAAAAGTAAACAGTAAAACGACAGCGGCTGCTGGACTTGGAGCTGCAACGTCCTCTGCCGGGGCGAACAAGAAGTCCTCTACTTCTACTTCAAGAACTACGGGCCCCTCCATCTACCACCGCGTCTTGGGAACAACCGTAGGACTCCCAGCTGTAGTTCCGGAGCAGTCGGGAGCTGCCCGTCCTCCGGTGGCCATTGTGCAGCACCCCGCTGCGGCGCAGTATCATGCCGCGTTCCCTCCCGGTCCCGGGGGCGGAAATTGGTACGCCATGAATCCCTATTACGCAGCGGGAATCGCGAATCCCGCGGCGCAGCAACACATCCAGCAGCATCTGCAGCAACACGCGGCCGCCGTTCGGCACTACCATCAACAGCAGCACAACATGACCTCCGGGAATAATGTTGTGACAGGCAGCACAACAGGCGTTGCAAGCGCAAGTGCTGGTGCATCTGGAGCGGCTGTGGGGAGTTCTACTTCAGGGGGACATTCACAACAACTCCACCATCACGGGGGAAATCATACTGTAAACACAGGAGGACCACCAGGAGCCGCAGCTGGAGGCAGATCCTCGACATCGTCGTACCAGAATCAGAACGTCGACGGTACAACCTCCCACAAGAACCACCAAGGAAGTTCGTCGTCCAATAACCGCAAAAACAATCAGCAGCCGTACCACACGGTGACAGCGTCGGCGACGTCTCTTGCCGCCTCTGGACTGACCGGCAGGAATGGGCACGACCTGGACGTCCTCGGGCCGGTGGATTTGGAGGACCTGTACTTGTTCGACGCGTTGGATCCGGATTTAGACTTGACCGAGTTCCCGGACGCGGCGGTTGCCGTGATCGAGAACTTCCGTGCCGAAAAGGACATGGAAAACGTAAACATCGCACCCTGGTTGGTCGGCAGCGTTACGGTGTCCTCGCGGGGCGGGTCGTGCAAGAGCAGCCCGGTGCAGCAAGTGCTTTCCCCCGATGCGATGGCTGCGGCTGCGGCTGATGGGAAAAGGAAAATAGTAAAGGCGGCTGACGAGGAGAGGACTACTAGAACCGAGGGACAGGAAGTAGGTGCGGTTGAAGATCATGATTCCTCTGCGTCAGTCACCGTGGATTCTCCGGTGATTTCTAGTCGGGAGATGATGAAACCCGTACAAATGGAGGGGAACACTACTTTGACGACTCTGGAGGAGGAGAACACGACGGCCTCCTGTTCCGCTTCGTGCAGTGGGGCGGCGTCAGACAGCATGGTGGAGCAGCTCGTCACGGTACAGCAACCTGGGGGTGGTGTTTCTACCTCATCTGAAGGATCAAAAGCTATCACAACTTCTACAAGTACATTTCCCACCAGTGCTGCGTTCCCGTTCACAAAGATGGGTGACGAAATTATCCAGGTAGAACAGCCAGAGGTGACAACTTTGGAGGAGTTCCTGGGCGAGGCCGTGTCACCGTACGTTGACCCGAAATCGGCGTCACGGGCGACAAATTTGGTCGAGCCAACATCCACTGGCAACAAGAAGAAAGAAACAACCGCTGACGTCGAAAAATCTACGCAGGAGAACGAGGATAAAAATCAAAATGTTGGGGACCCTGTCGTCGAGAAACCTCCAGCCTCGCTGGAGATGAAACAAGAAGATCCAGTGGAAATAAAATCGCAGGGTGATAAAAATGCAGACTCAAACATTGAACCAGTACCACAAGAACAGCAGCAGCAGCCGGCACTCTCCCCGGCGGCAGGCCGGACCTGTTGCCCAGATAAACCAGCTCACGGCTCGTCCCAAGGAGGACGGGCCGACAGAGCTCTGCTACGGAAAGTGTACGAGTGGTTTCAGAAGCACGAGATCTTCGGGTTTGACATGGAGTGGCGGCCGGAGCCGAACAACGGGAGTCTGAAGCACCACCACGGCGTGGCGTTGATGCAGTTCGCGGCGGACGACGGCAAGCAGGTGCTGGTGCGCACGACGAAAACGAGCGCGTGCGGCGCCGAGCTCGGCGAGGTGCGGGCCCGGAAGCGGCTCCCGCCCTTTTTGGAGAAGAAGTTCGCGGTGAGCAAGTGCATCTTCCCCGTGGTGGGCGACTGCGACAAACCGCGCCTGGAAGCGAGCTTCCGCGTCAAGGTCGGCAACATGCCGGACCTGCGCCACATCTTCACGCAGGAGACGGGCCGGAGGCGGGGCCGCAGCCTGGAGCAGATGGCGCAGTACTACTTCGGGAACGACGTGCTGAAGGGTTACAAGGACAAAAAAATCCAGATCTCCGATATGCGGCGTTCAGATGTGAAAATCTCAACTGATGTTATTTTTTCACAAATAAAAGCTGCGGAGGCTTGCGCTTGTCTTTGTCACGTGAAAGTCGCCCTAGTATTTTTCAAGCCAGCGAGCCTATCCCCAGTGCAATGCGCATGACAACAAGTCCGGGAGCTCCAAAGAACATCTCACTAGAGTATGAACTGAAGCTGTATTGCGAAAAGCGTGGAGCTCTCTATGTTTGTGTTTCTCATGTCTGAATTCCATGGGAGACAATAAGAATAAAGTCCTAGTCCTACGTCCAAATTTATCTATCATAGTGAAAAGAACACCAGTTGACATTGCAACGCCTGACCGGTTTATACCCGACTGGTCCGCCGAGGAACCGCTGTCGGCGCACCAGATTCGTTACGCGGCAAAGGACGCGGAAATGGCCCTTCGGCTGTTCCGACACATGAATTACCGGCTCGCAGTCAAGGAGGAGCGGCAGAACCATGGGACAAATAGTCAAGGGCAGCACCAGGGAGCATTGTCAACGTCCTCTGCTGGGAACAACCATGCCAACAACCACAGCTACGGAACCAGCAGCGGACATTACAATTCTTCTGGCTACAACCACTACGGGGGTCAACACTACCACCAATCTTCTTGGGGAGGACAACAGCAGCTCCCCCGAAACTCGCACCCGGGAGCACAACACGAGCAAGGAAGTAGTGCGGAGACCGCTGGTGCGACGCCGATCGGGGGCACGACTTCTTCTCACGGAGGAGCGAGCACGAGTGGCAATCCAAATGCAGCAACGACATCTGCAGCAACACCCGGTGCCGAGACTGGGAAGGGCGGTATCAAGGCCGTGATTTCCTTTTCAGTTTTTGTCGTTTAGAAGTGGTTGTGTAAAATCGATTTACGTGTCCTTTTTCATGTGCTATGTATAATTAATCGACAAAATCACTATCACAGGCCACGCCGGGCATCCGTACCACGGTAGTTCTGGGAAGCCCCGACGGCCATCGCAAGACCAGTCGTGGGACGAGTATGGAAGTTACAAAAGCAAGTACACTTCTTCTACTGCCTCCCGCCGCAAGCCCGCCGCTGAAACTCTGAAGGCGGAAAAAAGCGGCAAAGCCGCACCAGGCGCTGGGGGACGACAATTTCAGTGAGATGTAATTTATTCAGTGAGGTCTAGATCTTCGTAAACGATGGAGTGCAGTTGAAGGATTTTATTTCTCAGTGTGCAACCTTTAAGTTGAAGAACCCAGTTGTTTGTGCAGTTGCTGACCACGACGTTTTTAAAACCGTTCGCGTAAATATGTTATGACGTTGTGCTAGCTACAGCTACACACCTTTACAATTCAAGCGTCAGCTTTAACCGGTGAGCGCGGACCCGCAGCAATGTGCATTTTTTATTGCACTCCTGGATCGGAAATAGTCACTAGCGCTCTTGCCGCCGCTGCATACAAGTAGGACTCGCACCTAAATCATGTTGTCGCCATTTGCGTAGTACTCTTGTATGCGGTGCGTGGCTACATCAGTCGATGTGTCTTCTGCTCTGCGCTTTTTTTCTGCGGCTTTTGTGGAAATTAGACGCTGTGTACTGACTACATGCCCGAAGAACGATGGCAAAAAGGCTGACAGTTTATTGGTATTGGTAAATCTAAATACCAAATACAGGTACTCGGTTTTTCTTCAATTTTTACTTGCGCTGGTCAGATGTCTATTTGCATTTCAATTCTTTCCTCTACTTGTATTTCTTTTTTTTTAGAGAAAAGCCAGTAGCTCGTGCAGGATGAACGCAGCCTGTCACGCGCACTGCTCCTGCAAAAATCTCTAGAGCTTTTGAAAATTCTGCATTTCTATTGCAAAACCACAACTAGTAGAACTACACCTAGTGGTCTACTAGGATTCGCTGCTGCAGCATCAGCTCTGCGCGCTGTCAAAGGACGGCGTTGTAGTGACTGGCCTAATTCTGAGCTTAAATCGCACTTACAATGAATTCAATTTCATTTAATTCTGGTCCTTTATGTGAGCCACGACCGGTTGATTGATTTTCGTGCAAGGGTTTTTGTGATTTAATTTTTAGCAAAAAAAGTTATTGCGCCCTGCTTGCGGCCAGTGCTGTTGCTTATGAATTACCAAACTCCAGTTGAAGTGAGTTACTTACTTATGTCGAGCCGGAAGATTCATTTTCATTTTTTGGCTCGACAACCGCCTACCGTACTAGTTTTGCCTGTGCAACCTGCTAGTACGATAAATATGATATTTTTTGGGTACAACTTCACTTGACACGACGTGTGAGTACATGACGAACAAGAGCTACAAAATATTCTCCATCGGAACCTAAAACAAAAACCTGCCACGTAAAAGCTTCGAGACTTTCACACGCACATAACTCGGATGTAGATTTTGTGTTCCATCGGCAGTCTGGTGCGAAGTTAGCAGCTGTCCTCGAGTAGTTGTTGTGAATAATACATAGGGGTAATATAATTTGATAGCTCTACCATGATCAAGATTGCAGCGCAAGAGGTTGTACTTTTTGGATCGCGTTTCACGATTCTTTCTTTCGGATGATCAGGACAACTGGACCCCTTCCCCAAGCTGCGGCAGCGCTCGCGAACCGTGCATGCGCTAGGTGAACTAATACTAAGCACTAGTGTAATTTACACCTGGATCATTCGATTCATTCGTTTCCGTTCTTTCGGTATTTTTATCGCGTGTGATCAACAATCAAAGTCCTCATGTGTATCAAAAATCTACATACCCCGTAGCATGAGCTAGAAGTGGCGGCGCTTTTTTGATTTTCTTTCGATATAGATGTTGCTTTGTCTTTGCGATAAAAAAGTCACGACGATCTACAGCCGCATGGTGATCTTAGGCATTGGTTTGGTGCTATTGTTCATCTTCTGTTGGACCGGAAGTTTTGCGAGCGCTAAAAAACGGTCTGCAGATGTTGACGTCGATCTCGGTGAACAATAAGCATCGCACCTTACAGATTCTTGCGACAAATAAACTTGAACTATCCGAATTAGTTTTTGATTGATCAAAACCCGGCGAAAAACAAAAAGGTCCGGTTTTGGAATATTCTTTCTCAACCGATCCACGACCCGCCAGTTAATAATAATAGTATTGAAACCTCCGACCAAACCGTAGTACGAACTACCAACGAATTTTGTTCTCGATAACTGACTAAGTTTGATTACGCTGTAAGATTATTATCGTTGGCATTGGCTGCTTCCAAGGTATCTATATACAGAATCCAGCACTGTGCCTTTCCCTTTTCCACTCCTACAACTCCAGCAGCAGCCACTCCCCTTCTTGGCAGCGCTTCAAGAAGATGCAGATCAAACAGGTGGAGAACTTCATCAACGGCGAGTACGTCGCCGTTGCCGACCCGGTGGATACCGTCGAGGTGACGGACCCCGCAACTGCGCAGGTGATTGCCGTCGTGCCGGTGACTTCCAAGGCTGGGGTGGACGAGGCCGTGGCGATCGCGAAGAAAGCGCAGGTAAAATGGGGCAGTTTGACAGTGAAGACGCGAGTGCAGGCGCTGTTCAAGCTCAAGCACTTATCACACACAAAAAAGCTGGCAGGGCATATTTGTAATGCGAAAATGAATACGCAAAAAAATCTGCATTGCATATCCGAAGCAGCATGCTAGGGGGCCACCCATGACAAATTTTTGCGTGTATTTATTTTTGCATTACAAATATGCCCTGCCAGCTTTTTTCTCTGGGATAGTACTTGATGGAGGAAAATGCCAACGACATTGTGGAACTGGTTAAACAGGAACACGGGAAGAACAAAGCAGAAGCGATGGCCAGTTTGATGAAGGGTAGCACTTATGAAGATGATACGAAGAACAAATAAAAGTATAAGTACAGGGGTCATTTTTAGGATCAGGAGCTCCACCTCCTGTGCAGCATGAGTCGATGAGAAGTTGACGGAAGGCCGGTTCTTCTGAAGCAGGTCGAAAACCAAAATACATTTTGACATTAGCGATCAGGGCCTTCTAGCGATACTAGGCCTACAGGCGATAAAAAAGCCGTTCTGTACATTGTACAGAACGGCTTTTTTATCGCCTGTAGGCCTAGTATCGCTAGAAGGCCCTGATCGCTAATGTCAAAATGTATTTTGGAACAAGAGGTCTGAATACTAAATCGCACTTAAGTACATGCAAAAATTGTGGTAAATTCTTTTCCCTAGGTATCGAGACCCTGGAGTGGGCCACCTCCTTACCGCAGCTGATTTGCGGTCGGTATCTGGAGGTATCGCGGGGCATCACCTGCCGCGATCAGCGCGACCCGTTGGGGGTGGTGTGCAGCATCGTGCCCTTCAATTTCCCGGTCATGGTGCCGTTCTGGACGGTGCCGATCGCTATCGGCTGCGGAAACGCGGTCATACTGAAGCCCAGTGAGAAGGTGAGAAGGTGTTCTGGGCTGTGATTTTTGCTCTTTGCTGGCTCTTTGAATTGTTGACTGTAGTTCCTCTTGTGGTAATACCTATGTTATCAATTTAGTACTATGGTCTTTCGAAAAAAGAGAGAGGATTTTAAGCAGTACTAGGATGTATAGTGCTGTGCCTTGCAACATGAAGAGATAAAATGTTTGCTTCAGGTTCCCCTCACAATGACGTACATTGCCGGTCTAATGAAGAAGGCCGGCATTCCCGATGGTATTTTCCAGACGGTAAACGGCACCAAGCCGACCGTGGACGCGTTAATGGAAAACCCCGACGTGAAAGCTGTCACGTTTGTCGGCACATCCCACGTTGCCAAACTCATTCAGGAGCGGGCCACCTGCCTCGGGAAGCGGGCCCTGTGTCTGGGCGGAGCGAAGAACCACCTGTGTGTGCTACCGGACGCGGACTATGATATGTGTACTTAAATTTTTTGGATTGACGTTGAGTTGCCTTTGTCTGTTCTCCCCCTGACATACTAACTCCTTGTACGGGCAGCTGCACCTGCTGAGAAAAAGAAGAAGGCCTGAAGTTGCTGGTCGTTGATGTCCCTTTTTTCATGGTGTGCTTGGCAGATGATCGCGAGGATTTATCTCACATCAGTGAACAACAGGCACCTCGGACATTATGAATTCCTTCGCCGGCTCGACGGGACAGAGGTGTATGGCAGCGTCAGTGCTGATCATGGTCGGGGATGTGCAACCAAAATTTTTGGAACTGCTCGTCCAAAAAGCCTCGGTATAAAGTAGATCTGGTTGTCATGATTTTTTCCGTGATGTTTTTGTGACACCCTCAACATGGGTTTGGATCTCTTGTTTTGCGTTCAAAAATGTTTTCATGTGTTGTATAACAGGGTGTAAGGAGTTTGACTTTGAGTTACTAGTTGTTGCAGACAGACTTCATCAAAAATACGAACAGAATTATTACGAAAAAAAATAAATGTACAGGCATTGAAAGCCGGACAGGAAACAGGGGAAATCGGTCCCGTGATCGATCAGTTGAGCAAGGACAAGATTCTGCGATACATTAACGAAGCAGAGTCTCGGGACGGAGCCAAGGTGCTCGTAGACGGCCGCAGCTGGCAGGAGAAACAAGGGTAATTATCTGCAGATTGAAAAGTAGTCTTGATTTATTTGGCCACGCTTTAATCGTGCTTTTGCTTTTGGGCTGCACCAGCATCGGCTGCGTCCGCACCAGTATCTTTAGGATAGCCATTTGTCTTGGCGGGGGTCTACAACTACTCGACTTTCCCCCCCCCCCCGCGTTTTTTAGTTTAATCACGTGCCAAAAAAAAATCAGGTTTTGGGTCGGCCCGACCGTCTTATTGCACAGTTCCGCGGAGGATGCCGCCGTGAAGGAGGAAATCTTCGGCCCGGTATTGTCTATCGTGCAAGTTGCGACCTTCGACGAGGCCATTGCCATCGAAAACGCCAACCCCTACGGCAACGCCGCCTGCATCTACACCTCCATCGGCCAGCACTCGGATTACTTTTTGAAACGGTTTTCCGCCGCGATGCTGGGTGTAAACATCGGCGTACCGGTGCCGCGCGAGCCATTTTCCTTCGGGGGCATGAACAAGAGCAACTTTGGGAGTTCGGACGTCACCGGTGAGGGCTGCATGGAATTCTTCACGCAAAGGAAGAAAATCACGCAAAAGTGGGTGCCCCCGCAGGACCGGTCCGTGGTGACCAGCAGTTTCATCTCATAATTTTTAATCGTGATTTGCGTACAATGACAGATTTCTATCTTTCTTGTCGAGGACTATGAAATAACCGATGCTGGACGAGATTAAAGATAAACAAACTCCCATCTGTCGACGACATGAAAGAAGATCTTAATGTTCTTTATTTCAGCTTCCCTAACTATTTTCCCGAAGTACGATTCGAATGGTGCTGCCCGTGCCTCATCTACTGTGCCAATGAAGAAGCATTTGAATGGATTTTAGGACAACTTTTAAAATGCCTTCGTCCTGTCCTACCCAGAAGATTTTCCTACTTGCGTCTGTACGTCATAGAAATGCTGTCCTCGTCAAATGTATGTTAGCGCTAAGGCATGATCCACGAAGCCTATTCTAGGCATGGATCTGCAACGAGACGACCGCTCTCGTGTGGTCTCACAAAAGTGCTGCACTGAAAGCAGCACGTGGCACAAACGATGAAAAAGAGAAGGACACTTTCACGACAGTTTGTTTTTTCAGCCATATGTGACAGAAAATCAGACTAGCGCTGCAAACTAGAACAAGCATAGCCGTGTGCTGAAGTTCTTGGGCAATCGCAGGCCTAAGTATCGTATGGAGATATTTTCAGGTTCCATCTGTTCTCTTTCGTCCAAAGTCGCGATGAAATGCTCGCATCTGGTATTATCGTGGGCTATCGTCGTACTTGTAAAGGTTCATCTTCATGTCGTCGGGGGTAAGAAAAAGAAGGTCGTTCTGAAGAAGAATTTGCCGATGGCCCGGGGCAGTTGGCGTGGCGCGACCTCTACACATCATAAAAAAAGCTTCGTGGGGCGCCTTCTTCATATCACTCACTGACTCATCGCTATCCCTGCAGAAATTAGAGTTTCTGGACCGTGTCGGTGACTCATCGATCAAGCAACAGAAAAGCGCTAAGCATGAAAGATTGAGATTCACATGGAGTAGTAGTTGAAAGCTAGACAAGAGCTGCAAAATCGATAAATTTATATATTTTTTCTGTGCCTACAACTCCTCGTCCTGGTTCCGTGTATTTGTTACTAGAAGCGCAAATAATTTATTCGAACCGCTCTCTTTTCTCCTAAGTGCAACTTTTATCAGGATGGCGTCTCGAAACCGAAATTGGATGGCGCTGGGTCGACTTCCGACATTTCTGGGTTTCTGTTGCTTCATTTTCCTGAACGTTCCTCCCTGCGCTCGAAGTTTGGAGGTGGAACATAGTACACGACGACACAGTGAAAATAACCTGGAGCACGACAAGGACAAGAGGCAGCAGCAGGCCTCCACAGCCGTCGAAGAACATGAGGGGGAACAAATGAAGAACCAAACTCGCGAAAAAGAACTGGTGCAGACCACAACAAGTGCGGCTTGGCCGCGATGGCAGCGGATGAAGGACCAATTTTGGAATGCGACAAGCCGGATGAAGAACTTTTTTGGAAACGCGTTTGCCCGGGCGAAAGACCGCGTGACGGGGGCGGTGACCGATACCAAAAAGTCGGTCGGCAGTGCCGTGAGCACGGCCACCGACACCGTGACCAGCGCCACCCATGCCGCCACACAAGCCGCCCAATCCGCGACACACGCTGTTAGCGACGCGATAAACAAGACTGCATCCGCGGTTAAGAATACCACCGTGTCCGCCGTGGTGCACCTGCAATCTGGGCTCGTTGTCAGCAACGAAAAAATGTTAACCGTGGTCAATTCGGCGTGGCAGGACGGGCGGAAGTTCTTTGAATCGCGCGATTTGAGGCATTTGCTCGGTGTCGAGTCCGCCGGGAATCTGTTCCAGGCGCTCCTCCTCCTCGTGAACCCGCGAGGACCACACATCGCCGCCGTGTTGGACGGCTTCGTGACCATGATCCTGCGTATCCACGAGAGCGCGCCGCCGAGTTTCAAAAAGCTCATTTCCGACGAAGAAACTGAAGTGGACGACCCGCCGGAGCAGGGGGTCAGCGGCGACAACAAAGTGTCCAAGATTCAGGCCGTGATCCATCAGGAGCTGCTTCACGCACTGACCGGGGCCCAGGAGTGGGCGGACTTCGGGCGAGCAACTGTCAACCATACACAAACTTTCCTTCACGTCCTAACGACTCTGCACTACAACCAGGAGGGAGGACCCGCGCCGGAGGGGAGAGGTGGAGCAGCAAAAAGTACAAGAACTTCGGCTAACAAAACAGAAGATGTTGGGAATGAAGTGACTGATGATTATTCCAGTAGTCCTCGTGCCGGGACTTCTGTGGGTCAAGCGCGGCCGGCGTCTTTTCTTGACGAAAGGAAGCTGCAACATCAACTGAGAGTTTTTACACACAAAAACGGCCACGAACGCCGGCAGAGCATCGGCATTTCAGTGGCTTCATCCGCTTCTTCGGCGAAAGCATCAAAAACAGAAAGTGCAAAGCCTGGTGGTGAAGATCTTGCGCCGAAGACCGAAATGCAGAAGTTCTTGGACCTCGCAAAAATGGTTAGCAAAGCCGCCGGGGTTTCCACCGAGACGGAGCGCACGCCGGAGCGAATTGATTTCCTCTACGTGGTGGGACGCACGACGAAGTTCATGCTTCTGGCCGCCGCGGCGATCGACGTGATGAAGTATCTTGGCGGGGCGCTGGGCGTCGGGGCGCTCACCGCCGCGGGCGGGGTGCTGGCGAGCTTCATGCTGAAGCTGTTCTACATGCAGTCGCCGACCGAGCTGCTCCACGCCGCAGCCGAGGACATCACCTCCGGTGACTCCTTAGAGACGACGGTGGACGGGGCGAAGAGCGTGAACGAGTGGATCGGGGGCCTCAGCAGCTTTATTCCAGTGAAAAATCACCCCTCCCGCCCTTGAGTACTCAAGCGGAGATTTGTGTAGCATGATTTGTGATTACAAATCACGTTGTCATGCTAGAACAGAAGAGGTTCTGAGCAGAGCCTGTGGTGCTGGCTGGCGTGGGAAAGCCTTGCTGCGCCTTCAGCATGACAGGAAGCAACTCGAAGCGGGGAACAGCATCACAAATTGCCTGCAAGCGAGGCCGCAGCGGCGTCTTTTGGCCTTCTAGCAATACAAATCAACATGTGTGCGCGATCCTAGCATTACAAATTTTCTTTTCGTTATGGGGAGCTGGGATTTTTCCGCAGAATATGCTTCTCCGGGGCCGCGGTGCCGGCGTTGTCCGTGTGGACGTGGTATGCATCGCAAAAGTATCGTACTAGTAAAAATTGCATTACAAATTGATATTGAGATTGACATAGCATTACAAATTGAATTTGTACTGCGGATTTGCCTTTAAGAAAAAGATTTGTAATGCGTAAACGCAATTACAATTTGTACGATACTTTTGCACTGCATTTGTGCCGGTTCACGCCCTTCTCGATTCTGGTGCAGGCCACCAAAGCCATGACCGGGGTGGCGAGTGTGGCCAAGGAAAACACCTTTACCGTGGAGGAGATGCAGCACTTTCGCGACACGCACGGCCCTATCAAATGTAAAAATGTCTGGGTCTGGAAGATTGCGAGATTTGTCATGCTTGTCTGGCATGACCAAAAAGCTTGCGATGCGTATCCAAGAAGAGACCCTTTCGCCTGTCATGCAAAAACGCAGTTTGTCATGCGAAAAACGCGACACAAAGAAGCGCAGATATTTCTCATGCTTGGCTGTGCATTACAGAGCATCAGCATTCATTATTCCCAACGCAGCATTACAAGTGTCCAGCTCCAGACCCAGACATTTTTGCAATCCATAGGCCCGCTCAGTTTCATCAACTACGACGCGTGGCGCTTCGAAAACGGCCATGCGGAAGATGAGGAGGGTGTTGACGCAACAGGGTCAACATCAACACTCTCGTCGTTCGACAGCGCCGGCGACGTGGGCCTTGCAGCCTCCTGGGCCGGCGCGGAGCCCGCAGATCACCAGTCGGCCGAAATTTGGCCCGACTATGATTCGGCGCAAGACAAAGACAACCATGAGGCTGCGAATAGAAGTGGTCGTAATGTTGTTGTAGCCGAAACAAAGAGCTTCTATATGCCGTCGAGCGCCCGAGCCGTCATGAAGTTGAAGAAGGAGACAAAACTGGCTCCGGAGGCTCTTGCCAGCATCTCCTCACTCGTGGAGCAGGCGACCCACCCGCTCTTGCTCAAAACTGTGGTGAAGTCCAATTGCAAGAACGATCCGGTGGCGGAGCTGCAAAGGCAAACAGCTGCTCCGGAGGTGGACCAAAGGAAGAGCAGCGGTATCATGCCCGGCGCTCATGAGCATGTTGCCAGCACTCAACAGGGTATTACAAACACCGCGCGTCGCCCGCCGCCCTACAACGCAGACTTCGACGGCGGGTGGTGCACGGTGGATCTGAATGAGTGGCAGGGCACCTGTTTACTGAAAATATCCAAGTGGGCGATTCAAGGCGTGCCCGGTTGGGGCCAGCTGAATGAAATGCCTGCGTATCTGGGAAGGGAACGAAATGGTATTCAACGGTCTTCGTCTTCCTCTTCGCAGCAGGCAGTCGTGGCCGGGACGACGAACAAGCATCAAAATGTTGCAGTGTCCACGGCCAGCCCAAATACGGGAGAAGAACAAAGTAGAGACGAAGAAGAACAAAAAAGGTCTGCATCCTCTGAAACTGCAATGCGCGGTAGCAAGCATGAGGATGAACAAGATCAAGATGAGGAGATCAGCAAGAATAATTACCGATCCTTTTTCGCCCTGCGTGCGTTTTATATGGAGAGAAAAAAGTTTGTCACAGTCATTAACAAGCAGGTTTTGCATTACAAATTTTTTTAGCATCACAGCTTGTCCTTGTATTGCAGAAACACTAGGGAAATCCCTTATGAAATGTGGCTGTGATGCATTTTTACGCATAACAGAAAATTTTGTATTGCGAAAATGCGCATGAGTGATCGTGACGAACTTTTTTTCTTTGATATTTTATTGGCGAACGCTAAAATCTTTCGTCGGGCACCCGTCGATATCAAAAGAAAAAATCCCCCCTCCCCATATCGAAAACGAAATTTGTGATGCTGTATTTGAGTACACAAATCGACTTGTAATGCTAGAAGGCCAAGAGACGCAGCTGTGGCCTCGTTTGCAGGCAATTTGTCATGCTGTTTCCCAATTCCAGCTGCCCCCTGTCATGCTGAAGATGCAAGGCTTTCCCACGCCAACTAGCACTACAGTCCGCATCTTTTCCCTTCTAGCATGACAAAGTTGATTTGTGACCACAAATCTGTATCACAAATTTCTAGTTTGAGTATGGGGTGGGGGGATTTTTCATTTTGATAGTCGAGCCCGGGACATTTTGGGTTGCGGTTTCCGGAATTGCCGGCAAACATCACGGCTCGGGAAGCGATTTCGGCACTGGCGACCGCGTTTCTCGAGCTGGAGCCGGCGGAGCGACTGCGACTGCACGCAAAATTGGCAAAGACCGAGAAACAAAACAACGACTTCGCTGTGGAGCACTATGGATTTTTCGAACTGGATGCCATCGCCCGGTACTTTCCGCCGAAGAACGCTGGTAACACGTCGACCAGTGAAGTAGATCTGGAAGTAGATCATCATCGTTATGGCGTTCTCAACTGTTACATTCTCAACTGTTACATGAATTTGTGATGCAAGAATGGCAAAACTGAAAGGGCGAAGATTGCGCCTGTTGCATGACAGATTTGGCGCAGCTTCTCATCCTGTGTGTCCCTTCGGAAATTTGTCATGCGAAGCAGCTTGATCGCATCGATTCTGATTGGAATTTTGCATGACAAATCATGTAACAGTTGAGAATGTAACATTTGCGAACGCCATAATCGTCCAGGTGAACGAGAAAGCGCAGACCAAGAACGACGTGCGGGATCTTCGAAGAAGCAGGATAGGAAAACGACAGAACAGGAAAAAGTTGAAAATCTACAAGCTGCGACCAGAGCCCGGCTGCTGGAAATATTTCCCGATGCGGTAGAGATCTGTGTCAGCGAGGAAAGAGAGCACGAATTTCGCAAGGAACTGAAGGAAAAGCGGTTCGCCGCGATTACTCGGGGACCGGGCGCAAAGATGTTCAATGTAGGGGAGTATGTCCTGTGAATGGACATGTCTTCATCTGGGTGCAGCTCTGGAATAAAGAAGGCGTTGCAATATTAATCTCTTGATGTTGCTCTTGCGCATTTCTTGAGATCGCACAAATGTATGACCTCATCCTCATGTATTGGGTTGGCAGCAGAGGTTGGCGCTGCACAGTTCTTATGACTGAAAGAAGGGACTCTACTATGTAATCCTTGTAAGTATGTACGGGATCAATCATAGGTGCATTTCAAAAGAACTTGTCCCGCAATCGAGGCTGTATAAATTGTCGGGCTTGAAGATGATGTTCCACTTCCATCAAAAGTGTCTCTAGAGCTGCTGTGTGTGGGCCACACGCGAAGTAAAACTGCTCGAGCAACACAAGCAGCTGTAGCTCTACTCAGGAGCCAGACACCCAGATGACAGCATTTTTCGAGTCAATACAGACGCGGTCACGGTGTGTGGGCTGCCACGGAACCACCCGCGGATCGCTTTTCTCGACTTTGCGCAGGGGCAGCTGCGGGGGAAGAAAGTTCTCGCGAAACGGGGGAAAATCTTGTGGCTGATCTGGTTCAGCCCCACCGACATGTGGTGGGTCGACCAGCGCTACCTCCGGAAAGTGTTTGCCACCACGGAGTGGCCCAACAGTGATGTGTAAGGAACGCCAAAAAGTGTAAGTTGAGTACAGTTCTTCTCTAGGCACTTTAATATGTCGCAGGAGAGCAAACAACCAAAAAGTGTACAGACAGGCTCTACTCGAGCCTAGCTCCCTTTTGAGGATCTCCGCATAATCGCAAATGTAGTTTGCATTTCTTGCCATGCAGGCCAAGAAGTCTATCTTGTGTTTCTGCATGATCATCTACATCTGCAAAGTGTGTAAAGTAAGCAGCCGGGAAGAACATCAAACACTTTTTTCTGTGCGATAATATGTGCGAGACGAAGACGAGTGGGACGGACCAAGTCGCGTCGACCGTGCGGAACTCCGATGTTGCCTACGTAAAAAACAACCTAGACGACGCAGTTTTGTTTACTGCAAGTGCAACCGGAAATAGAACCGCCCCGGGTGAAGGTGATCTTCATGAAAATCAGAAATCGCCCAAGCAGATTGCCTCAGACGTGCTATTCCGGCAGAGGAGCAGTCGGGCTCGGGCAGCCGAAGGTACTAATAGAGGGGAAGTGCAAAGTCAAAGAGGTGCTCGGTACAGTCGAAAGAACTCTACTTCGACGACGGCCAGTGGAACAAATAGGAGTGCAAGTGACCGCAAGTGGTCCACCTCCACCAGCGCCAGTGCGTCGTCATCTTTTACCGAGCTTGGACGTCGTGGGGGTGGTGTTCTGAGTTTTGAAGTGACGCATGATGCTGGGGATGCAGATGGGGATGTCCCCACTTAGAGGTTGGGAAGATGAACAGAAACTCCTGCAAGTGGAACAGAGCTGATAGATTTGCGATCATGTCGATCCTGTATAGTTAGAATAAAATGCTCGCTGCTGAAGCTATTGCGTTCCCCAATCGACACGTAGTTGTCCGCCCGCATGTTTGATGCCTAGTGCCTTGTTCCACCTCCTGTTTGTTCGCTCCTTTAAGGTGGTTACAACCCTTCGCACTGAAACTAGTCCGGCCAGAAGCACTGAAGATCGATCTGACGGAGCCAACATCAAAAGTAAAGAGCGGGCTGCAGGAACAAAATGGACTTCAGCCATCGCGGCTGCATCATTTATTGCCTTATTTCCATGGTTAAGTTAAGTACTAGACGTTGCACACGAACACTGGGTACGTACTTCAAAACGAGTGGCGGATCGATCAGTGTCGTGATTTCATCGGTTTCTGGTGCCGCCTGCGGTAGCATTCATTGATCTTCAAGGTGTGTAGTCCAATGTCACCAAGGTAGATCGATGTCGATGTCTTAGATTTTGAGTCCTTGCACCTTTCCTCATCAGGCACGTCTTCTCCCTGTTGAAAAATGCACGATCAGTGTGTAAGAATATCAAGTAAGTACCTATGCCGATAACATGTCGATGTACGCGATCAGGTCCAAGTTCAGCAGGCTCAGGATAATGACGCAAAACCAAACAACCGAGCACTTCACAGCATTCTTGTTGTTTTCCGTGTTGGTACAAAAAGGCTGAGGCTTTGACCACTATATTGCCATCGGTACTGATGTAAAAAAGTATGACGTCGCAAATAAGTACTAGCAACCTGACGTATGAGTCCCTGGGTGCGCAATTGGTCCGCGATGCCGCGGCTGCGAACCTGGCCGACCCAATTTTGCGGCACCCGGACACGGGGGCCACGGTGTTCATCGGCAGCGAGCGCGCGGCCAAAAGCGAGCCGCTGCTGAAAGCAAAGAAAATCTCGCGGATCGTCAATTGCCAGGGCAGCCGGGGCCGCAACTTTTTCGAGCACGATCCGTTTTTCCAGTATTACCGGTTTGACGTTTCGGCCTTTCACGACGTGGACGATATCGTCGAGGAGAGGGCAGTGTGGAATGTACATGTGTCTCGGTCTGGAAGTAGATTGTTTTGATGCGAGGTTTCTTTGTCATGCAGGTTCTCCATGGTGCCCCTCCCCGTCCCCCTTGAGGCCTCGAATGCAGGAGGCAGGAGAAGTGTCACAGACTTTACGAGGTCTTTACAATGCCAATTGAATTTTTGAATAGGCCCGATTCCGCATGAGTAGAAACTTCGACGTCCTAGCAAGTTGCCCGAACAAGAAGTGAGCAGCTTTAGTTGGCAATGATGCAACGAACGCAGTTTTCTGCTTGATGTCGCGCAGTACGCATCACAAGTCCCGACCTAGACAATTTTGCAGTGGATAAGCAGGGGACAAGGCTTTTCAGTTCTTCCAGCCCGTGTTCCGGTTCATCGACCAGGAACTCGTATCCTACAGAAAAGTACAACATGATCCATACGCGAAAAAAAATAAATTTGTGTTCTTACGGTCCGTTTCAGTGTCCTACTGGGTTGCGCTCATCTGCTGCTTTCAACCTGCTTTGTTACGCCTAGGCACTTATGGCTAAACCGCATTTTTGCGCATGACAGAAAATTGCCTGTCTCATCATGGTCCTCTCCGCACCACTCAGCCTTCAGTGAGAAAACAGACTGTTTTTTTTTTCTTCTATGGGTGTAGTAAGTACCCCTCTGTAGGATCGATAAATCGCCGCTGGAAACTCGGTTTTGATCCACTGCCTCGCCGGGGCGCACCGTGCGGGCTGCACTGGGGTGGCGTACTGCATCTGGAACTGCGTGCAAAAATTGGCTCTTGCCGGGGAACATGATGAACATGTTGCAGCAGGTGGTCGTGGTGGAATAGAAACTACTACCCAGCGAAAAATCTTTCCAATGGTGGACCACGATACTGGTACGACCAAGGCGATTGAGCTTTCCGTCCGCACGGCAGGGGCCTTTACGGTGGAAAAACAAAAAGAGCAAACCGAAAGAACACCAGGAAGAAGTGTAGTTGTCGAACTGCACCAAGATGAAATAGAAATAAACCCAGCACAGAATATTTTCAAACCGGAACTGTCGGAAAAGGTCTTGCACTACGTACAGGCCTTATCACAGTGCACAAGAACTCCCGCTCGTTCTCATTTCTCGTGCAAAATCCCAAATCCATATCTTATCCAGTTGCTTCCTTGTGTCACTATTATATGCATGACAATAAATTTCGGAAGCCCAAACAGTACTACATCAGGTACATGAATTTGTCATGCATAGGATCCATGTGCGCTGGTGTTTGTATTGCTGTGCATGCAACACAAATGACGTGGAGGGGGAGTTCTTGTGCACTTTTATAGGCCTGCCGCCCAGTAGTGGATCCGATCGGACGCATGAGAGAGCTGCTGCACGCGCTGGAACGTGGCATTGCAAGCCATGTCGCGAGGGAAAGAGGATAACGATAAACTTCATTTTACACAGAAGACTGCTGCTCAAAATATTCTATTCAGGCGAGTTGATTTCAATTTCTCAGTGACGAATGGGTGCAGAATAGTACATCATTTTTGGAGCAGAACTGCAGTGCTGGAAGGGCAAAACGTCTTCCTGGGACGCATCGCAAAAACCAATTGTCTTTCTGACATTTGTACTTACTAAAAGAACAATGAAGACTGACGTCGGAAAAAGAAAGAGAAGTACTAAAAAAAGAGGACGAGGCCCGCAAACGAGGTCGAATACTTGCCATCTGGTGGCGTTTCTCTGCATGTCGTGTTTCAGTCGAAAATCGTTTCACTGGAAGTATCCTGCTGTGCTCATCTTTTCAACTTTGCAAGCTATCAAATTTTGAAAAGATGCTCTTTCTGCATCTTTTCAAATTTTGATAAGTGGCTGCTCACTTTCCAAATTTTGAAAAGATGCTGCAGGAAACATCTTTTCAAAATTTGACAACCCGAACAGCGGAAATATCAAATTTTGAAAAGATGCTCTTTCTGCATCTTTTCAAATTTTGATAAGTGGCTGCTCACTTTCCAAATTTTGAAAAGATGCTGAAGGAAACATCTTTTCAAAATTTGACAACCTCAACAATGCAAGCAGTTGCTTTGTTGAGGTTGTCAAATTTTGAAAAGATGTTTCCTTCAGCATCTTTTCAAAATTTGACAACCTTTTTGACAACCGCTTCGATGAGGTTAAAAAAGAGCTCATTAACTTAAGCTAGTCCCCACGGTATGGTGGATTTTGATAAACCTTTTTGGCAACCCCTTTGATGAACCTAGACAGAGAATTGCTGACGAGAGTCCAAGGCTTTAACTTGCGCTCCAGCTGGCGGGTCGCCAGATGGTAAGCAAAGCCGTGCCTCTGGCGACACCTGTTTCTTTGTTTGCCTCTTTTGTGGCTCCGAAGATTGCGAAGATGCCCCCTCAGCAAGTTTGCGAATTTTGAAAGCACAGGAGAGCACAGCAGCTTTTTCGTCTGTTGCTTTTCAGATTTGAATAGATGCGCCCCGAGGCATATTTCCCCGCTTCAGCCGTGTCCACATTTGAAAAGGTTGCGCCATGAAACACGAGCCACCTCGTCAGGGGTTGCTCGCTCCTCAGGTCTCCCGGATCTGCCGATCCCTTTGGCTTCTCGGACAGCTGTGGTCTGTGCGCGCCTCCCTATTCTCCCGAGACCTCCCATTCCAGTTGGCTTGTCCGAGTTTCCCAGCCTACGCCGCCTGTCCTCATTTTATTGGGCGCGCGCCAAGTCCTGAACCGCTAGGGGTTTGGGAAGCTGCGCAGAAGATGCGCCGGGCGTTGTTTCCGAATCAGGCCCAAGCCAGGCCGGGGCTGATAAGTTAAGAGGGGAGGCGCAGCCTTTCGCTTGGCTGCGCCTTGTCGAAGGTAAATTGGCCAGGGGCATTTTCCGCGTTTGTCGCTATTGCCGGGCGCCTTTCCTTACCTGCGCAAGCAGAGGCGCGCTCAGGGTCCATGGCCTCATATGATTGGGAGGTTCGTTTGGGTGGCTTTTCTCTTTGGGGTGTTTGGCTTGCGTTTCTGCCCCGGGCCACGGGGAAGAAATAGAACAGCCCGGCTTGGCGCGTTTGCAAAGGCGGACGCGCAGCCGCCATCGAAGAGGCGCTACGCGATAAGCGGCGAGGGCGCCGAGCAATCAACTGGCCAAAATTTGAAAAGATGGGCGAGAAGGTGGATATTTTAGGGCCTTCAATGTATAGCTAAATCCAGGTGTGAAGGATCCTCCTCCTCCTTGTCGTGTTTCAGTCGAAAGTCGTTTGCTGTGCAGCCGCGGCCTTTACCCGCTGTCGTAACACTTAGTTATTTTGTGTGGATAAAAGATTTTGATCCCACAGAGCCGAAAAACAAATAGGTGTCGGTGTCCTTGTCGATGAATGATGAACATGTCTGCCGTTTAGTACTCTACCGCAACATCAGCTTGAGGTAGTTTTATGCTGCTTTCGCAGACTCGCAGACCGAGAACAGCACCGGCGGTCACAAGAACTAAAATGGCATCCACAAGGTCCATCATGTTGTGTCGGTTTAAGATAAAAAATAAAGGTGCGGAGGCCGGGACTGAGCACGAAGCGAGGCTGTCGTCCTGCTCCCATCATCAGCGTGGCACAGCAGCAGGTCCATCTTCATGGCTTTTCCGCAGCAGGACAAAAACACGCAGAAGGGGGTGCAAGAGGTGGAAGCAGATGCAGGAGAGCGTCTTTCTTGGAAGTAGAAAAATGCTTTGGACGTCGCGAGGAGGACCTCCGAATGCGCTTCTAGTACATCAGGGTGGTACAACAAGAACAAGAACAACCCTCGCGGCGCTTCTTTCTTTGTTCTTTTGTTTGCAGCTTCTGACGTTTATTGCTTCATCATCATCCGCGGTGCATTTACGGAGCTTCGCGCTTTTTGAAAATACTCGCTATGGGCTGGTGCAAGTGGTCGTCGCAACTGGACGAGCAGCCCAGGAGGAGGAGTATCGCAAATTATATGCATCTGCGGTCGGAGAAGACGAAGACGATCATGCTCTCCGACCACGGAAAATAAAGGAACAGAGAAGTAAACTGCGCCACACTGCTCGGTCTCGCTACCACATGGACATCAACATGCAAGAGGAGGAAAGCGAAACTACAAGCGCCGAGGAAGACGAGGAACTTCCTCGTGTTCCTCGTGCCAAAGCAGCATCCCGTGAACAATCCGAAGGTGAACGAGAAGGAAGCGGCGAAAGCGCCAGGCTGCGAACGAGGGCAGTGTCAGCGGCGAGGACAACAACAAGAACAACAACAACTCCCAGCTCATCTTCATCCCCGGTCGACGTCGTCCAGAACAATTACGTGGGCGCAGCAGCCGCGCGCGGTCGGGCCCTTCGAAGTAGAGATGTTGACCAGGAGGAGGGAGCTGCGGCCACGGAGATGTTGACGTCGAGCAGTAGGTCTGGATATATTCCAGCTCCGTCACCACGACGACGACCAGCACCAGTGGCACCGCCACCGGCGCATGAAATATTAAATTCTGACCAGCACAAGGAGCCAGCGTATGCGTATGAAGGTCGTCTTCGTCGGGCAGGAACTACAGGACCACCAGCGAGTTCTCTGGTTCATCGTGACGGAAGCCGAACAACAAGCTACCAACAGCAGCAGACGGCGAGGACCACCGCCACTCGCGGCTGGACGAGTGCCTGCACGCTGACGGAAAGTGCGGACGGAGCCTGCTTTGATAAGGAGCCGTTTGCGAAGAAAGTGTACAGCAGCGCGGATTCCTCTCAAGATCGCACTGCCGTGCCCGGCATCGGCGGTACCGTCCCCTGGCTGCCGCAAATGGACATGAACGTCGATTACGCGAAAGATGCGCAGCTTCTAAGTAGCCGGCGCCGCCGAGGGGCCCCCACGAATCCACTACCACCCCCATACGGATACTTCGTTCAGACGCAGGATTTCGATGGCGGTAACTGGCACGCCGCTCAGCAGCTGTGTCGCCATGAGTGCGAGCAGAACTCCAATTGCGCCACGTATGTAGTTGTGGGGTATGATGGCGAGGTGTGGTCCGGACCAGAGTGGTCCTGTAAATTGTTTACCAATTGTTACGAAATAAGTTCGAATTATGACACGTACGACGAGGTCCGCTACCAATGCCGAGACCCCTACGACGGCGGGCCGAGAGTGGACCATCCAGACCACCACTCTTTTTTCGGTAACCACGCAAATCGAGTTGCCGAAAGGCTTCATGAAAATTACCCGCGGGCCGCGGGCTGTTCGGCGGAGTTGTTTGCGTGGTGCGTGGAGCCCTGGGGCGACGAATGGTTTTGGGACCATGGAAATGGTATTTGTCGCAGTAAAGAAGCGTCGTCGGCGTACTCTAATCTCTATGTCCCCGTGCCCCAGACCGCTTGCGGCCCGTTAAAGAGCTGGGCGCGGGCGTTTCGCGACAGGGGCGTGCTGGCCTTAGATTGTCTTTCGACGAGACACAAATACGAGGAGTTCGTGTATACGATTTGCCCCGCAGAAGGTGGCGTGTCCACGTTCTCAGGCGACACACCCATCAAAGAGTACCACTACTGGTTTTGCTCTTCGAAGCAGAACCCACAGTACTCTACCGTCGAAAACGGGGAGCCTTGTCGTTGCCAGTTTCCCAACTGCAACCGCCTTCCTCCGGGTGAAGAGATCACCCATTGCACCTTTCCGGGGCGGAAGTTGTGCCGCGACGGAGCGACCTGCGTGCTCGGTCACCAGAGGCAGTCCACGATGGGGGACCATTTCGTGTGCCGCACCAAGTTATGAAATGCGAATATGTGGTCGTGGTGTGGGTCTGGAAGGGTCCGAACTTGTGATGCGAGTTGCGGATCGTACAAAGATTTGTGTTGCATGAGTGGCAACAGGTGCTCACTTCTGGCCATGCTGAGAGGGTATGTCTCATGCAGAATAGGCATCACGAACGGGCTGCAGAACCTGTGATGCTGGGACCCGCATTCCAGATTTGAGGGAGCTAGGAAAAACTGAATGACAAATCTCGGAATCTTCGAGACCCAGACATATTTGCATTTGATACAACTGTGATCTCCTGACGTGCTCGGACTGGCAAATGGTGGATAAGCCCGGCCGGCCGGAGTGGTGCGACGCAGACCAAGGGGAAATCGGCGCAGCGGGGAAGTCGAAATGCGCAACAACCTGCTGCACGGAGCCCTGGAGACTATGTAACAAGTTTGCGTGCGAGGACAAAATAGAGCCGACGTCCGGGAAAAAGTACGCCAGCCCGAATACCTGTGCAAAGAAAAAAGTGGTACAGTTACGCATTAAGTATGTTGCAGACCAAGCAAGGGAGACAAGGTCTGTCGTGCACAAAGTGCTTCCGAGCCTCGTTTCATACCTGTTTTCCCTTACAATCTGTGCATCGCAAAGCACAGAAAATTTGTGTTGCTGAAGTAGCAACAAATATGTAATCGTAACACTTTTTGTTTTTTCCTTGGATAATACCGTTGTTCCTGGGGGTTTGTGCAGTTTGGCAGAGCCTGCGTGCGTCCAGCGGTGTTGTCGGATGCCCTGCCACCAGATAGCACACGACTCTAGTGTATGGATTGTAAAAATGTCTGGGTCTGGAAGATTGTCAGATTTGTCATGCAGGTTTTCCATGACCCACGAGGTCTGGAATGCAGGACCTAGCATGACAGATTCTGCGAAGCCTTTCCAATGCCTATCCTGCTTGAGAAACTGCCTCTCGATTAGGTCGAAAGTGCTCAACCTTTGGCAATCATGCAGCGCAGGTTTTTGCCTGATTCAGATTTAACATGACAAGTTGCATTCTTCCAGACCCAGACACTTTTGCATTTGATATGGTGGCACCTGGAACGACATTGATGCGAACGACTTCGAATTCCAAAACACGCACTGCGCTGGTCCCACCTGCCGACGGACTCAGATAAACGACGAACCAACTTGTCTCCGCCGAAAGTGCAGCAGTGTCACGTGCCCTACCGGCTGGAAGACGAAGAGTACAGGAGTCTGCGTTTCCGCGGGGAAGGATTGTCAGCCCGGACTGGGTATCAACTGCAAAAATGTCTGGCTCTGGGTCTGGAAGATTGCCAAGTTTGTCATGCATATTTTGAATGACCCATGATGTCTGTGATGCATGCTCTAGCATCACAGATTTTTCGAGGGCTTTGCGATGCCTCTACCGCATGAGAAATGTCCCCTCCGCGCAGGACAAACTGGAGTCCTCTTGCTGGTCATGCAATACAAACTTTCTTTAGAATCCCCAAACGAAAGTTAGCCGCTGCCGCCCTCGCTCGGCAAGCGGCAGACGAAGTATAGTGCGAGATGAAAATGCTAAAGTAGACGAATGAACAGTAAGTACTGTGAGATTTTCGTGGCCACTTCGTTCGTGTTTCTCTGTACGAAAAATGAGCACGCTTGAGGTTCGATGAGGTTCGATTTTTAGAGTAAGGAGAAAAGGAGGAGATTAGATGCAATCGACTCATGTTTCTTATCGCGGTTACCTGCGTTAGATAAGTGTTCGATTGGTTAGAAAAGAAAAGAAAAAACCTAATCAGAAACGAACCTTGAGGGGCAAATGAAGGGATGTGATGTTGCTGCTTCTTGGCGCATAGGTCAAACATCACCCCGGATGCCCCTGAGGACTTTTATTTTCTTTCTCAAAAATAAAAAACAGCATCTGTTCCTCTTTTTTTTTCTAAGTATGCTAAGGTCAAGAAATAAGAGACAAAGCAAAAAGAGGACGGGATAAGAAAGAAAACTCAGCAGGGGCTCAAATCCATACTTAGTACAAGACCGAGGAGATCATGAACACCGAGGGCACGTGATTCCGAATTTTTTCAGGAGTAAAAAAAGGGAAAACTTTGAGCACAAATCAGATAGGCATAATGGTTTGTGTGTGGGGCTCCTTTTCTTCTCTTGCTATTTAGCTACAAGGCCTGGCAAGGACTGTTTCTCTCGGAATTTACTTCTGTTCCCTCCACCGAGTTGTATTTTTTGAGAAGTCCAAGCTAGGTGCGTCTGTGCAATAGGAGACTCATCTTACCTCCTAGTAGCTAACGGAATCACGTGGCGCACTACTATCAAACCCGCACCGATGTCCAGAAAAGAGTTTTTTTGCTGAATAGGAAAAAGAAAGCAACAAAAGCTATAGAGAGGAAGGAACTCACATGAGCAGCCCATGTGAGAATTTTTACATGACAACAAAAATCCCCCCCCTCAACAGGAAAGCTCTACCTTAAGTCAAAGAATAGAAATAGTAGACGACTGCTGTGGCGTGTGAAAAACAATTGTGTACAAGGTTGGCAGAGCAGAATACGACTTCACGAGTGGCCCTGAAGGTTGTGAAAAAGTTTCTAGCGAGGCCTTTAGGACGAAATAAGCACTTTCACATCATGAAATCGGCCAAACTGGATACCGGTCGCGCAGAAGCAGATGAAAACGACGACGAGCTCTGCAGAACAGCGCGAGATGATCTGGGCCTGAACCTGGAGAATGAAGAGGAGGAAGGAGGCTCACAGAGAGGGCTGGATGATCTGGCTGCAGAAAATCGAGTACGTGGCCAAAATCAAGACCATCAGGACCGGGGACATGATGGAAATCGAAAAGAATATCTGCTACCTCCGCTGGAAGATGACGATGGTGGAGAGCGAGAAAATGGAGGACGTGCATCCGAATCCAACCTAGGCAGAAATCCGGCACTGCAGGACAGCCGGAGACAAGAGGAAGACCAACGAAACGACAGTGGCCAAAATGGTGGACACCAGCATGCTGGAAGCGGAAATCTAGAAGAAGATGTGAGGCAGGAATACGACGAGCACTTTCTGGTCCACGCGTGGGTTTATCAGGAGGGTATGGAAGATGATAAGGAGCTACAGAAGAAAGTTGCAGAGCTGGGTCATGAACAAAAGCAGACCAAAATGAAAAGATGGCACGTCTGTGGTGGATGTTTGCATGCTGTGACTGCTGAAAACCAGCTTGCGAAGCACTTGACTAGGTGCAAAAAATCCCACCCAGAGCGCAGAAGCTCAATGACTGACTGCGACAGGATGAGTAATCCAATTGAGATTACACGCATGACAGAAGGCGAAAATATTTTGAAGCCTTGGCAAAAAACGAAGACAAGACTTGTGATGAGAAATGGGACACGTACAAAACTGACGTGGATTGTGCCAAATTACGACGACATGCATGACAGAAATAAGCACAAGGTGGGGAAATATGTCTGCTTGCTCTGTGGGGTGACAAACAGCGACGATGCTGAACAGATGGACAAACACCGACTTTGTTGTAGAAAAACAGTGGGGAAGCTCTTGCAAAATATGGCGGATGGGAAAGGAACGGAGTGGCAGTGTCCGGAGTGCTCCATCTACGCGGCAAATGACGGGCATGCGCGTCGAGGTGTGCACAAGCTGCAAGACAGGATCTCGACGGGTAAATACACAAGTGAAGACGCAGAAGCACTGGTGGCAGCTGGGCTAGAGTATGAAAATGTTTTTCGTATGACTTCCAAAAAACACAAGAAAAAGACACTTTTAGAAAAGGTAGTAGTCGGAACATTTAATACGCAGGCACTAAATGACAAATCAGGAGCAAAAGCCTTTGTGTTGAAAATGTTAAAAGACAAAAAAATAGGAATTGAGATTTTGGGGCTACAGGAAACACACATGGATGACATTTTGGATGAAGAATTTATAGCGCAAGTGCTTGATTTAGGATTCCATGTGATTATTTGTAAACAAAAAACACGAAAAACATTGCGCGGATGCTCGGCGTTGTTAGTTAGGTCGTGTTTTGACTTTGTCGGTGTGACGGCAGCAGAAGACAAGAATGCAGTAGAAACATCAGGCGCCCTCCTTCGGGCAGGGGGCTACACTTTTGAAGTGTTGAACTTCTACGCGCAAAGCAATGCCCTAAAAGGTGAGATGCTCTCTGAAAATGCTGCGATTATGCTAGGAGATTTCAACGCCCGCAGCCCGGCCTGGGATGCAAATGCCCGCCAGGAGAACCCAAACGGAAGTATCCTGAAAAGATGGCTACATATGAATAATCACAAGGATACTTTTCAGGTGGTGAACGACAGAAATGTATTCACACGAACGCCAAAAGATGATCGCAAGACTTCTCCCGATGTAATAATAATAAACAAAAAAGATTTCAAAAGTGAGGAGGAGAACTCTCATGCAATACAAGCCACGTGCTCGGACCACAATTTTGTTTATGCGAGTCTGAATTTTTCAACAGAGGTCCAGGAGGCTGTTGAGTGTGATGTGGTAGATGAAGATGGTGGCGAGTTTTTTTGTGACATGGAGCCTCGATTTGAGCCACGATTCCAGTTTGAAACTGGCACGCGCATTGAAGACATGTGCTGGACTACAGAGTGCAGTAACATGCTTGAGGTTGCAATGCATGACAGCAAGTTTTTAAAAGCGGGGTGGTCAGAATTGAACGAAGATGATGCGCAAGCAGAGCTGAAAGCTTTTCGTGATAACCTGCTGCAGGCAGCAATGATGACAATTCCCCATACCCAGAAAGACCGCAACGCGATCCCGAATGAGGCCAAAAGGCAGAAGAAGGAGGGTCCGGGTGCAGCGAGGGATAACGGGAACAGTGAAGATGTTGCAGAACGTGTAGAAGGCGGGGGTGGAGTGGCAGCAACGCAGGACGGGGACAAAGAGGAGGGACAGAAAGAGTCCTCCTCAGACAAAAAATTACTTTCAGGTACAAAAACGACTGGAGCAAGCCAGCGCAATCAAGTTCAAAATAGAGAACAGCGAGGAACCACGGCGAAGGCGCCTGCAAGGGAGTCGGGGCATGAGCTCCTGCAGGAGGACGCGCGGGACTTGAGCATGAGCGCAATTTTCGGGGATGGAGCCCTGCAACAAGCTGCGTCGAGCTCTGCTGCAGGATCAAGATTAGCGTCAATGGAGCCGAGTATGAAAATCTCCTTGGAGCAGGATGATAGTGAGAAGTCGGAGGATGACGACACTGCGGGCAAGCTGGAAGTGGATGAGAACGAGGTGGAGGAGAAGAACAGCTTGGATGTAAAGTCGCCGCGTACTCTATGGAAAGAGATAAACCGACGACGAGGAAGGAGAACATGGAGAACTTCAGCGTTTCCGCGTGCTATGATTAAACGGGAAAAACGGCGTGAATATGTTGAAAGAGTGACGGGCAATGACCCGGGATCTAATGCAGCTGCAGACAAGGCAATTAAGAAAGAAAAACTAACTAACAAACCGCTACCGTCTGAAACAACGACAGACAGAAAAACGATAGTGAATATGTTTCACGCGCTGTATAAGCAGCGACCAAAAAAAGTATACGCGGACGAAAAGTTGAAATTTCCTCACGACCAAAATTACATAGACAAACTCCGGGAAGAGGTTAGGAACAGCGCGAAGCGACGCGCTTCTTTAGGAGTCTTTAGGGAATTGACCAAGCTCGAATTTCGGGCAGCGGTCAACAAAATGGAAAAAGAAAAATCGCCGGGATATGACCACATCCCACACGAATTGATAAAAGCGCTCAAAGATGAGAATGAGGAAATTCTTTTTAGGCTCTTTTACATCCTCATAAAGTATGATGCCTTCCCAGCGATAGGAAACCTAGTGAACATAGCCCCGGCACAAAAAACGACAAATCTGCCCTATGCAGAACAACTCTATCGCCCAGTTAGCCTGCTTAGCGTCTTCTCGAAGTTGTGCGAAATCATCATAGATAGGCGCTTTAGTCTCTACTTAGAGGGTTTTAGGTGGGAAGGAAACACGCTGAAGCACAGGGATGAGGTGAATAAACTTCCAGTAACTAGCTTAGCCTATAGGAAGGGTTTTAGCAAGGAGGATAGTGCAATTAGGATAATAGATTTCTTATTTGCAAAACTTATAATAGGCTCGGAAAACGGCGGATGGTGGGACAATGATGAAGACAAATTTGTAGGGTTAGCAGATAACATTTGCGGTTTTGATGTATGTGACCATCAGACGATGCTGATGACAAATTTGTATTTAGGGATTCCGCTTGACCTTTTCGGGGTTGTCACGCAATGGCTGTCAGGAAGAACAGCCAAGATACGAGAAGGTGATAGGTGCTGGCACTTAGTGCCGGGGGTCCCGCAAGGATCCCCCCTTAGTGGCGGCGTATTTAACGCCCATCACATACCGATGCTTAGGATGCTAGAACGGTTGAACAAAGGCAACGCAGTAGTGATACAGTACTCGGATGATAACTGCCAGGCAGGATACGCAAGAAACCTAGCAACCAACAGAAAAAACTTAGTGTCGCAAGCACGCAGCTACTATATATTTTTTGAAACCGACAAAAGCGAAGTCGTGCTATACAAGCGGGGTTTTGAGGACAGACGAGTAGAAGCAGCGCGAAGCTTAGGCTTTTTATATGATGGGGCGTGGACCTTTGAGAGTATGTATGAAAAAATTATGGAAGACATGCTGCGAGAGGCTAGGGTAGCGACGGGTCTGAAATCACTTAGGCCAAGCAAGAAGTGTGATGTTTTCGAGGCGTTGTGCTATAGTGCCTTAGCTAGTAACGGGTCACCAATGTACCCGTACTTCACGGAAGCTAACAAGGTCCAACTCGAGAAGTTGGTTGCGAAACATTTAAAATTTTTGTTAAATTTGCCAAAGACAACCCCTACGAGTGCGCTTTATGAAGCAGCAGGCCTAGCCAGGCCACATTTACTCTTCCTGGTCGAGAACCTGATGCACTTCTACAAAGGGGCAGCGAGAGGATCCTGGCCGCTGGATGGGGAAACGGTTGACCATCCTGCGGTGCTGGGCATGATCGACGCAGTGGACTCGAATCCCATTGCCAGCACACCGGTAAAATTTGCATGGACGACATTTTTTCGCACGATCTCACAGCGAAAACTGCCTGAAATTCATGCAGCACTGAAAAGCCAGCCACTGAACCTGACGAGGAAAGAATGGACAGGATTCAAAATTTCCGTCAAAACGATGGATGACATAGGCCGAGAGAGTGGCTATGCGAAATTGTCTAGCATGAAAGATTCCAGTGAGCTAAGTAGAGCCAGGCTTGCGATTGCTGTCAAGCAAGAATACGAAATAAGAAAAAGGCTGCGAAACATAGACGAGTTGATAATGTGTGCAGATGGCTCAGTCTCAGAGGCAGAGAATACAGGGGGGTGCGGGGGGGCAACTTTCTGGTATGCAAAAGAGTGTGAAAATATGCCGGATGATCCGACAGACCCGGTCAGCGGGATAGCAGGAGTGGAGCCGCTCTGTGTGAGCACCGCCATTGTGACGAGCCCCCTGCCGTTTCTCAAGGTGGACAGTTTTGACGCGGAGTGCTTTGCACAAGTGAGACAATTACGAAAAACGACGGAAGTATGCGTATCCACAGGATTGCGAAGGCTCATAAAAAAATTAGGCATGTACTCGGACCCGAATTCAATACTTGAAGCCTTTGCTAACTACGACGACAGTTCTAGCCATCAGATCTATTTGATAGCGCAGGAGATAGAGCTTCTGCGTGAAGCCTGCATGAACAAAGTGCCGAGCTTTGATATGCATGACATCTCCACGCGAACGATTGCACCAGAGCGGGAGTTTGAAGTTGACATGAGATGGCGCCCGGGGCATTCCCGGCTTTATTTCAATGATGCGGTCGACGCAATCGCATCTGCTGCGATCTTGAGGTACAAAAAAGCGCGACAGCTTGGTCTTGAAGCTTATGCGTTCAAAAAAATCATCACGCCTACCATTCTCCGTCGCTTGCTAGAATCGTCTACAAGTGACTGGTGGGGTCCGGACGACTTCAGCACTTGTGCGCCTGTCCTGCTAAAACGTGCAAAAAAATTGGGTCCCTTTCGTCCTAAAAGTGGCGCGCTTCCTTCTAGGCTTCTAGAGGTAGTCTACTACTACTTCTGGCGTGGCGCTTTTCCGGAAGGCATGGCTGCGGCGGGTTTGTATGAATACGAGGAAGGTATCTACTACCAAAAGTGCACGCTGTGCAACACAAAGTCAACATGCCACGCAACGCATTTGCTGTGTAAATGCGAAAAGCTCGAGGACTGTCGAACAGAAATTTTTGGTCTCCCACGAATTCCAGAAGAAGAAGAAGTAATGATGCTGAAGAACCCAAAAAAAATATTTTCATACCTGCTGTGAGTGCACACAAAGATGCCAATTTTCAAGCAGCACATCATCGACGACATTACGAAGCGGCTGCCTTACACTGGGGAAAGTGTTGAGAAGAGTACGAAGGCAAAAGTACAACTACCAAACTTTTTTCGCATGCTTAAGACCCGCTACAGCGTACTAGATGAGGAGTTTAAATGTGTAGAAGATTTGGCTTTTGGTGAAGAAAATAGAATCTAAGTGTAAAAATATAAGTTGGATGGTGTCAAATTTTAAAGAAAAGCTATAAGCAAGAAAAAATAATGCGCAATTGATGAGTTTTAGTTTTTTGGAAAATAAAAGAAGAACCGCATGGCAGTAAAAATGCGAAAATTGTTTTTGAAAAATGAAAAATACTTTACGAGGGCTGGAGTATGAGAAGCGGCGGCGTGGATATCTTTTCTGGATGTTGCAGCTGGGGCTTTGGGACGAGAAGCAACAGGAGTAGTACGCGCTAAAAGGATGCAGAGAGCCGACTGCAAAAAATCCTTATGTTCGGGAGCTGAGCCGAGCAGCCCCGACCCCAGCAGAGCACGGACTGCTGGAGGCGCAGAAGGTCCTACGCCTATCTACCAAGAACTTGCTGCAAGAAGGAAAAAATATTCAGAGTAAAGCTTTGGCTCCTTTTGAGCGATTTTGTGGCAAGTAAGTGGTGATCAATGAAACCCACTACAAAAATGAATTGTCACGAGGCAGCGACGATAAGACTTTTCTGTGTCATAGTTTTGTAATGCAAGATATTGCCTTGACAAGATGCCACGAGAACATGACGTCAGGTCAGCACTTGGTGCGAGAATTGAAATGGATTTTACCATTCAAATTTTTTTGCAAACTAAAAAAGCTTTTCAAGATGACACAAAACGAAATGAAAGACAGGCAATGGCGAAAAATACAATCATGAAAGGGAGGAAGGGGAGGACTGTTCCAGAACCAAGAATATGCGGGATGATTCTCTTTGCGAGTTTTCTCTACGAGTGGCAAAACGGCATGCAGCTGCAAAAGGAGGCGCGAAAATATTACAAAGACGAGATGATGGCGACAGACAGATTTATGCGAGGACTGAAAAAAGGCAGAATTATGAGGACGTCGAAGGAGCGAGAGACGCCAAGGCGCAAGCATCTATACGCCGAAATCACTGAGGGAAAACAAATGGAGCTAAAAGCATAAGGAAGTGTGATTGTTTTGCTGTAAGATTGTTTCTTTCTAAAACCCCACGTCTCTAGCACCTATGTAAAATTCCCCGTCGAGAAAAACCGAAAAAAGAAGAAGCTGAGTATGGTAGAGCTTTCCTGTTTCCTTCTCTCTATAGTACGGCCAAAAAAGCTAAAGCTGCGCTGTAACATTGATGCCCGTCACATTCCCTCCTAGTTAGAGTCCACAAAATTGCAAAGACTGACATAGTCGCTTTTCCGTCCGTTAGGGTAGATAGGAGGTGTCAGGGGGCGAGGTAGTGTAATAGGAGCACCATGGAGGACGCAGACAGGCCAATATGGTAGGGGTTTGTCCTTCCCTCCGGAAGTGTTTTTCAGTATCCGAAAGGTAAGGCTTCATCACCGACAACGACTTACATACGTTGGAACGACGTAGCGGCGAACCGATGTAACGCTGTCAATTGGCGACAGAACCTATGCACAGCTAAGGTTTTCTTGCCACGGTGGTGTTGCTCACTCCGTACCGGGTCCCGTGCGAGCAACCGTAGCCAGCGGAGTGGAGAGGGAAACCACTGTTCAGACGATGCTGAAGAAATTCGGCAACGATTGGATCCCGGGATCGCACCCACAGAACTTGTCCATGGACCTGTGAAGAACATGACGGCAGCGAACTCCGATCATTCACACCACATTTCCGATCTGAAGTTGCTATTGTGATCTTTATGAGTTTAAGGCTAAGATTATGTTTTCAAAAAAAAAAAAAAAAAACTTTCTGTAGAATCCAGGGACAGCATCACAAGTTTAGAATCTTCCAGACCCAGACATATTTGCATTTGATACCGGATCAATCACACATGGACGACCTCGGGGCTTGCTGCCAAGAACGATGCACCATATCAAAAAGGAAAAATCCCCCTCCCCATATTGACAAGGCAATCGAAAATTTGTGTTGCTGATTTGTGACCACAAATCGGCTCTGTGTTGCATGAAGGCAACCCCACAAGCTCCGCCGCATTCTACAGGCGGTTTGTCATGTTGTTGCACCTACAGCGTAGACGTCTTTCATACAAAGCGCCTAGGCCAAAACCTGTCTACTCAGGCTCAAGATGGGCCTGCAGTCCTCGCCAGCAAGACAAATCTGATTTGTGTATGCAGCTCCAGCATCAGAAGCGTCGTTTTGGTATAAAATAGGGAGGGGGAGTTTTTCACTCTGATACACCAGGCGCGCAAACCATGTCCAGACAACGGTGTGCGCCGGCGCCAACAAGTTGATTACGACAGACACCAATAAAGTTTGTTCGACCAGCCAGTGTGGTACGAACGACAAAGGTACGTGCTGCGATACGTCGCCCTGCACGGAGCCTACGCTTGCTAATGCTTACGGGTATCTAACTATGAGAGTGCACAACTCCCCCTCTCCCTCATTTGTATATGCAAAATCCCAGATCCAAGCAGTGCCTCTTGGCACTGTTTGCATGACAAGTTCTGGTAGCCCAAATAGCACGACACTCCAGTGTTAATTTGTCATGCAAAACCGGCATTATTGCTGATGCTTGTATTGCCGTCCATGCTATACAAATGAGGGGGAGGGGGAGTTGTGCACCGTCATACTAACCTTGACGCCCTGGGCCGACGTCCTCGTTCAAGAGGACGACGCGAGACCCGGGACTTCATGGGCACCGCCCCACCTATCAAAAGGAAAAATCCCCCCTCCCCATATCAAAAAGGACATTTGTGATGCTGGATATCCGTACACAAATGCAAATCTTGCAGTAGAGGACTGCAGGCATATGCCAGGCCTGATTCGAGAGGTTTCGACGTAGGCGCCTACCTAGCATGACAAACGTCCAGGCTGTAAGGCCAACAGCATCACAAACCGCCTGCATAATGCGGCCGACTGTCTGAGTTCGCCTTCTTGCTGCAACACAGAGGGGATTTGTGGTCACAAATCTGCATCACAAATTTTCAGACGAATGCGTTTTCAATATGGGGAGGGGGGATTTTTCCTCACAATACCGCCCGAATGACTTCAAGTGCAAGGACACCCACACGACTGTGAATAACGCGCCCCCCCAGTACAAGTGCGCGGGAGGGGGCCAGGAACTCCAGCTCAAAGGCTGCAGGGAAAAATGCAGCGCCGCGAAAACTCGGACTGTCTCTCCTGGCAATGTAGAAATAGACCATTACTTCATGTGTGAGGTGTTGTGGCGCAAGGACAAAGGGAATTTGGACATAAAGTCATACCAAGGCAAGACCCACAACGAGTGCCTGCTCTTGTGCGCACAGGAAAGCACTTGCAACTGGTTTGTGCATAAGCCCTCCACAAATCACGGCACATTGTCAGCAGAAACGGGTAAGTGTTGGCTAAAGAAATCCAACAGCAATGGCGCCCACGATCAGAGCACGCATAACCTGGGCCTAGTTTCCGCAGACTGCCGAAAACAGGTTCTGAAGGACTTGCTACCCAAGAAGCTGGGCACTCCTCCCTGCGCAGAGAACCACTGTAAACCGGTGGATAAGGACACGTGCCTCGTTATCCTGAGTAAAAAAATCCCTAGTTGATGTCATGCAGATTTGCAGTCACAGGAAGATTTGTAATGCGCGCCCCCAGTCGAGGGGCATTTCCAATCGCGTTTCCGACTTTCTAATGCTGTGAACAGGATGAGTAGGTGGTTTTGTGATGCGGCTGCACTTGTTCATTCTAAACTGCACTACAATACAGAGAGGAACTTGTCATGATGCGTGACTTCCAAAGCTTAGCGGCTTGTGTTGCGAGATCCCCATCTTGACTCTGGGGTGGGGACGCTTTTACATAGGATACTCGTTGCTCGGTGCCGCGAACCTAGCGACAAAACGGGGTACAACGGGCCTCTTGCGGACGGAAAGGCGAACAATTGGGAGTGGCTGTTGCGGAACCACTACGGCAACCCAACAGATTATGGAAGCTTCAGGACCGAAAGCGACAAAGGTGCAAAAATTTCTGACGCATCAAAGCGACACTTACCAGTTTGTTGGGCCCGCAGCTTAATATAGGGGGCGCATGACAAATTTTCCCCCTGCTTGCGGCGACGGTGCAAAGGTTTTTGATGAGGTGCAGTCGGGTATGCATGGCAAATTTCCCCCGCGCCGGAAGCGAATCTGTCATGCCGTTGAGGCCACCAATGTCATGCCGTTGAGGGCAAAGGAGCTCCCTTCTGTCACGCGAGTCAGCAGCCCAAATCTTGACCTCCCGTAGCAGGACGATAATTATTTAGTCTGCCCCCTTTACTGCCTCCTCTGCAAATGCAATACACGCACCCTTTGCGTCGCACTTCAATATGCATCACAAATTTATTTTCAAGTTTGTCGACTTCGATCCTGACAGTTCCATAGAGACGGCGGCGGGTGGAAGACAGCGAATCCTAATTACATCCGTTGCACGACTGGGTGGAGAGGCGCGGCTAAATACAACTGCCCCGGCGCAGACCTGTCCCTTGATGTCAAGGGCTGCAAGGAAGAGTGCAACCGGGAACCGAGCCATCAAACCACCGTGTGCACCGCAGGAGGACGAGCGAGCCACTGGTTGACCGAAAGCGCTGACCTGCTTTGTAGCGGCGAAACGTGCGCGAGCAGTGATGCCGTAACGTGCTGCCCAACTGCTGCTTGCACACCACCAACCTCCGCGGCGAAAAACGGATACAAACGCAAAAGCGGCTATCCTGAGTAAAAACGTCCCCACACCAGAGTCAAGATGGGAAATCTGCTACACAAATTAGCCAGCTTTGGTTGCTTCACATGACAAGTTTTTCCTCGTAGTGTAATAAATCCTGTCAAGGTAATTCAGAAGCATCACGGACCTAGCCTATCCCGCTGATTATACATAGCATCACAAATTCCAAAACCCGACGAGAGAATGCTTCTCATGGGGCTCCGCATGAGAAACTTTTTTGGCATGCAGATTTGCATGACAACTCTGGGGTGCGGCAGAAACGTGTTCTACTTGAGCAGCCTTGCCAATCGTGTATCTGTACCCCGCGCTTCCGGTCATGTGTGAAGCAATCTTCATGGTCGCCAAATCCGGCGGTCTGGTGGATCAGCATTAAATCTCGCACCTCTTACCTTTAATTTGGATGTTTAAACATCACTTCAGGCTGGCGCTTGTCGCTTAGTCAGTGCCTCCAGTGAATGGATTCATCCAGACAGTAACAACTGGCTTGCCGCAGGCTGCAGCTTTCTCTTGTAGTTGTGGGCCTGGCTGTACATCCCCGTTAATATAGCGTAATATAGTGGTTGCGAGTTGGAAGTTTGCGAGGATTAGAGTAAGGAATTGTTGGTAAAAAAAGCGAGGTGTTGTTCAGTTGGCACAGTATGGATGGTTGCGAAGTATGGTTGGTGGCGATAACAGAGTTGGAATATAGTTGCCGGGAGATGATGGTGATGGCACTTTGGTGTCCGCCCAACCCACCCGCCCGGCGCGTCAAGCCATCTGCGGCCATGGTCCAATGGGGGGGCAAATTGTGTCGCATTGTGTTTAGCATGACAACTCTGGGGCGGGGACGTTTTTCCACAGGATAGCGGCATCACCTGGGAAATGTTGTACCGTCCCGACCAGTATCCTCTGCAAAAGCTAAGCATCGTACTCGTAGTAATTGCATTTATGCATCACAAGTCTCTTTCTCAAGGGCAAATCAGCATTACAAATTCAATGTGTAATGCTGATTACAAATTCAATTTGTAATGCTGGGCTAATTTGTAGTACTGCAATTTATATATACTAGTACGATGCTTTTGCATTGCATAACCAGACCGGTCTTGCGGCACGCCCTGGCGAAGATCCAAAAAATCCGGGTGGCAATACACTGGATTGCGACACAGCTACCCACCATACGGCCTCCACTCCGAAGTTTTCGTGCCCAACCGCCTCCTCTCGTTTGCGATTGTCTGGCTGCAACGAGAAGTGCGCACACAGTACGATGGAGAGCTCACAGTGCGGCGCGCACTCACCACCCGACCAAAGCAGTCACTGGTCAATAAGCGAAAGTGGCGTCTTATGCAGTGCAAAAGTGCCGTACTAGTATAAGTTGCATTACAAATTAGCCCAGCAAGACAAATGCAATTTGTAATGCTGTTTGACCTTGAGAAAAGCATCTATATTTGCAATTAGTACAAGTACGATACTTGTTTTGCACAGGATGCGTCTGCGAGAGCAACAATTGCGACTTCGACGGCATTGACCGCGACACGTGCTGTCTCATGAAGTGCTCCCACCCACTCAACCAGAACAAGTGCCCGTCTAATAGGGCGTTCTCAAATGTGACATTCTCAACTCCTGTTGCATGAATTTGTAATGCAAGAACGTCGGCAAAAGAAAAAGGAGGATGATTGTGCCTTTTGCAATACAAATTGTGCGCAGATTTTGGTGCTGTTTAGCCCTTCGCAAATTTGTCATGCGAAGCAGCTTGATCTTGTGAATGATCGTGCAAATGCATGACAAATTCATGTAACAGTTGAGAATGTAGCGTTGGTTTGAGAACGCCATATCTAAGACGAGGGGCGGTGACGCCACATGCCACATATCGCACGAGAATATTAAACTGCGTTGGTTGTAAAAAGTAAGGATACGCATAAGTTCATTGCATTCAACATCTCGAGGAAGGAGCCGCCCATACAAGACACGACTGCAACACTACACTTGCCATGCCAGCAGGCAACCATTAAGCCGTCGCTTCATAAGCTGTTTTATTTCACATGCTGGCAAATAAGTAGGCACGACAAGCCATGCGACGCTATCAAAGTTAGTAGCACGCGGTTGCACGACCAACAGAGTTTTATTTATTTTCGGTGGATACGACAGTAAGGGCGATGACTGCGACATCCAGAACAACGACGCTGACAAGCATGCTTGCTGCATACAAAGCTGCGGCGACGCCGAGACGGGCAGCAGCCCTTTCTGCGCTAGCTTTACCGGGAACAACCCGTATTTTTCCAAAAATGTCATGGCGGGCCAGAGCGTCACAGACGCAACGTGCGGCAGTTTTCAATGCACGGGCACGGCGGACCGCGACATTTGCTGCGTGCAAGGCTGCACGGAAATAAAAAACGACCAAAACAACAAGAAAGGCTACGTATACCAGAAAAGCAAGCTCTTGAAGCTCGCGGAGCCAAACGGCAGTTTGACAATGTCAAGCGCCAACTTGCAGTGTGATCCCGAAACCCACCGCACAGCTCCGGCGCCTGCTCCTTGCGCACAGTTCAAGTGTCCGTTTTCGGGAGGAAAGTTGGTCTTTTCCGGATGCTTTGAGCTCTGCAGCGCTGCGACAAACTTGTGCCAAAACGCTGGACGAACAAAAAGGCCGGTGGACGACAAAACGAATTTATTCTGCCTCTCGATACTACAATGAAAAATGTTTCCACGACCCCGGAATTTGCAAAAGTTTGCCATGCATAAGGTTCTCAAATGAAGAACTTTTTATCTTCTATGCGTGAAAGGATTGCGAGCCTTTCGGATCATGCAGAATCTAGGTGCGGTGGAAGGTGTCTTTTGCATAAACAGATCAGGCAGCGTGCTGTTGGGCTCCTTTGCAACACAAATCTGAGCTATTCAGGATGGAAAATTTGTGATGCTGAGATATGCCAGAGCCAGACGGGGAATGTAGTTTCCATTTGAAGGGATTGCAATACAAATGGTGCCAAGTTCTGGGGTGGGGGCATTTTTCATTGTAATACTCGAATGAATGCGACGGCACATCTTATTATCTTAATCCAAATACGTACCGAAATCACGACCTGAACACGTGCTGTTTCCCCAAATGCGGCACTAACCAGGTTCCCCCCCAGGGGCGGTTTTTTGGCACTAACCAGGAGTGCCCCGGATTCGAGGCGGGGTTCGTCCGAGGCGACGCGGCTAAGAACCCTGTCGGCGACTGTTTATTACAATGAAAAGCTGTCCCACCCCAGAAGTTGCAAACATTTATGACGCAAGGTTTCCACACGTTGGGAACTTTTTGTCTTGCATGAAAGGACTATGAGTCTTTCTGACGTGGAATTATCCATTCGAGCGAGGCATCTTTTACATAACAGATCCGGCTGTTGCTGGGCTCTCGTTGTGCAACACCAAAAATTTAACTGTTCAGCATTGAAAAGTTGCGATGCTGAAACATGCAAGATGGGGAGAGAATGTTTCCATTGCAAAGCTTTGCAAAAATACAAACGCTGCCAGGTTTTGATGGGATGGGGGCATTATTTTTCACGGTAATACTATCAGGAGAAAAAAGTGTTACAGTAACACATTTGTTGGAGTTTCTGCATCACAAATTTTCTCTGTGTGGCAGAGCAAACTTGTAATGCGAAGATCATAAGGGAAAACAGGAAGGAAACGAGGCTCCCAGGCATTTCCTGCATGAGAAAGGTTGCCTGTGTTGGTGGTCTTGCAACACAATGTGTAACTGTAACACTTTTTTCTTGCGATAAATACTGTTCCGACTTTGACTGCAATTCCGACGCGGACAAAGCCTCCTGTTGCACCCGGCGTCGGGTTATGGATTGCAAAAATGTCTGGGTTTGGAAGATTGCAACTTGTCATGGTAAATCTGAAGCATGCAAAAATCTGTGTTGCATGAGTGCCAAAAGCTGTCCACTTTTGACCAAGTTGGAAGGGAGTTCCTCATGCAGGACAGGCATGGCGGAGACCTCGCAGAGTCTATCATGCTAGGTCCCGCACTCCAGACGACCTCAAGGGTCATGGAAAATCTGCATGACAAGTCTACACTTTTCCAGACCCTGACCCAGACACTGTTGCACTTGATACGGGTGTGCCCGTTCCTGAACGGTGTCACGGCGGACGTCCTCGGGCTTTTCGTGCTCAAAAATGATGCAGACAAATATCCCATGTCCCGATATTTTGGAGGCGTGGGCGGTGCGATCACGGCGAACGTGACTGAGCTGAACTGCTTGGACACGGAGATCTGGCAGTATGGCGTTCTCAAATGTTACATTCTCAACTGTTACAACATGGTTTGTCATGCACATTTACAATCAGAATCGACGCGATCAAGCTGCTTTGCATGACAAATCCTCGAAGTAGAGCCAAACAGGCTCAAAATCTGTTCCGAATCTGTCATGCAAGACGCGCAAGGTCACCCCACCCCTGTCACTTTTGCCATTCTTGTATTACAAACTCATGCAACTGTTGACAGCGTAACGCTTGAGAACGCCAGAGGCAGGTTTCCGAGGCACCTCTGTACTCGACGGAACAAAAGATGGGGCTGTGCGAGGCGGCGGAAACCAGCGAATGTCAGATGAAAACCGATGACGGTAAAGAACAGCTCCACGACGACGTAGAATCCTGTTGCGAGTCCTATGAGGAGATCGACGGCGCTTTCTGCAACTCTTTCTACACCCCGCGGTTCTATTTCGGGCTAGAAGAGTATGGCGTTCTCAAACGTTACATTCTCAACTGTTACATGGATTTGTGATCCAAGAGGAGAAATACTGAAAGAAAAGTGGCAATATTGCAGCTTTCGCATCACGGATTTGCCACAGAACCTCATGTTATTTAGCCCTTCGAAAATTTGTCATGCTAACCACATTGATCAGGTGGAGGCTGATGGCAATTTTGCATGACAAATCTGCTTAACTGTGTGAATTATTGTGTCGGCCCGGTCCTGTTTAGTCGCAGGTCGGTGTCCGTGAGATCAGAATTCACATGTTAAGTAACGCACACCGGCTCCTAGCTTAAAAAAAATGATGAATTTATATGCGAATGGGGCCCAATCAAAAAAAAAAAAAAAATTTTGCATGACAAATCCGTGTAACAGTTGAAAATGTAACAGTTGAGAATGCCATCAAGATGCGAAAACGGCGTGTGACACTGGATTTGTGCACAGTGACGGAAGTGTGGCGACCACGCTCTTATGCCAGGAAAAGTAAAGTGCTACAGTTTTACGAAATAAGTACAGGCACTAAACACTTTTGTGCCCCTGCTGTTGCAGGACATGCAAGGCAGACAACCTGTCCTTCTGTCCTGCCGAAAAATAGGCTTGCGCGCCTCGCTTCATACGTGTAGCTTTCCTTTAGGATCTCTGCGTCGCAAGTTTTCGCTGTCCTGAAGCTGCATGTGCTGCTGAAGTAGGGTTTCGAACAGATGTAGCTGTATCTATACACTTTTCCTTGGCATAGCTCTGTTACGGGATCCAGCACGATGGTAACTTTTTCAATGGAGACCGGAAAGAACATTACGTGGCACCCGCAAACGCAGGACCTGCAACCGTGAAGATTATCCCACAGAAAAAAGCAGGCAGGGCAGGTTCCTCTATTGTGTATATGCAAAACATAAGAAGCATGCAAAAACGAAATCTGTTATAATGGGCACGCCCATAGCATGGTGCTTAATAGGGCACGCAGTGCAGGTCTTCCTGTCGTGTATTCATTTTTGCATATACAAATTATACATGTGCTCCGGTGCCTGTCTCTTCCAGTGGGATAGCGATCAACGCCGACCTGGAAAACTTGCAAGATCTGGGCAACTACGCGCTGCTTCTGCCCCCCGGTACCGTGGTCAATAGTATTACAAGTGCGAGTAATAGCTATTCCACATTATACGAGTACAAATTGACCGCGGAGAACAGCAATGTGCGCAGCGAACACGCTTTCTATTCCAGTATCGGGATGCAGCCAAGCTGTATCCAACACAAAAATTTTATGGCTGTTGCAACTTTTTTGGCGGAACAGCAGTTGTCCAAACCTGTCTGGCATGACAGCAACAAAAACCGGTCATGCGCAGATTGATAGTACATGAAATTGAAAACGCGCATGAAATGACCCTGGAATGCATATACCAGCATAACAGACGCAATCACGACCTTGCATGTAGCGCATCACAAAGTTACACCTACAATCCTTTTTTTGTTGCATAAGCTGCGCATTCAAGATCTTCGCGAACGAAGACAGTGACGGGGTATCATACAACGCCTCGGCGATCGATAGGAGCATGTCGGCAAACCGGGTGTGGCTCAAGCGCAGCCGAATACCGTCCGGCAGCAACAGCCCGCCGCAAAATGTTGATCTCCAGCAGGCTCTGAGCGGCGTGAACCAAGCCATTGACCTGGCGCAACTCTTTCCGCCAGCGGCGGTCGAGGCGAGGCTCGCCGGGCAGTCCGAAATGACGATCCGGATGACGCTGAACGACGACGACATGGAGGAACTGCGGGCCGAGCAAAAAGCGGCGGCCGAGGCCGCTGCCGCGGCCGAGGAGGAAGGTTCTTCTATCTTGTGTAAAAACGTCCGTCCCAACCACGACGACCCCATGGTCAAGAGGGGGAACAATGTATGATCTTCATCTTCTGCTAGACAAGTCCACAAGTTTTGGGACTGGCACGACATGACAGGTTCTTTGGGGACGCAGTATAGTCCGGTATATCATTACGAAAGAACACGACTAGAGAATACCCGTAATGAGGAGCCGCATTTTTACAGATCGATGTTCTGGGCATGCAGATTTGCATGACATCAACTGTAGTGGGGGGGAGGCAAACCCGAACGCAAAGTGTCGTGTCGCACTTCTGTTTAGCATGACAACTGTGGGGTCGTGCTGGGGACCACGTTGTTCCTCTGGATATAATCTTCAGCCACGAGTTCTTCGTTCGTGCAGTTGCTGTCGTCAGAAAATAACAAAGAGCTGGCACCACTTGAGCAAGACCATCTTCCAAATCATGAGGCCGCTGGTGGTCGTGACAACGCGGAGAGGGCCGCGTGGTCGGGAAGAAGAACAAAGGTGAAGAACCTAAGACGAGTCCAGAAACGTGGCAAAAGATCCACCAGGAGGAACATCGAGACGTCTGCCGCACAGACAGGCGAGGGAGACGACGAGGGGGGCAGTGCTACTCCTCCCGCAGCTTCCGAGCAAGACACGACTTTCGATGGGAAAGTGCAAAAGGCGATCGCCAACAGCTTGAACCTCTATGTAAACGCGGCCGGAGAGACGACCGCTGCAGCTGATGCCGCCGCTGCTTCCGCTGATACTAGCGCGGCGGGAGCCAACGGCACAGAATCTTCCGCCGCCGAGGCTGCGGAGGAAGAGGCAGGAAAAGCTGGATCCGCCGCCTCGTTGTCCTCAACCTCATTGATTCGGTATGAATTGTAAAACAGAGCATCGTACTAGTATAAAATGAAAATCGCATGACAAATTTCCTCAACATGAGAAATAAATGCGGATTTACCCTAAGAAAAAGATTTGTAATGCAAAATTGCGATTACTACGAGTACGATACTTTAACTTTTACACAGGATATTCGGAAGGAAGGCGTTCTTCGACGGTCAACATCCCGGACGTCGAGGTCCTTTTCCGCGGCGCGGAAAAAAGAAAAACAGGCAAGAGGGAAACGAACCGCCGAAACCAAGCGGCAGAACCCGGAGCGTATCATCGTGACTCATGGCCACGCGGTGGAGTCCTCCGACGGTGGGGGGGCTATCAAAAGGAGAAATCCCCCCTCCCCATATCGAAACGAAGTTTCTGATGCTGGATTTCAGTACACAAATCAGATTTGTCTTGCAGTAGAGGACTGCAGGCATATGCCAAGTCTGAGCCGAGAGGTTTTGGCGTAGGCTCCCGGCATGAAAAATGTCGACGGTGTAGGCCCAACAGCATCACAAACCGCCTCGTCAATAATGCGGTGGACTCTCTCAATTTGCTTTCTCGCAAGACAGACAGGATTTGTGGCCACAAATCTGCATGACAGATTTCGAGAAGGATGCGCTTTCAATATGGGGAGGGGGGATTTTTCCTCTTGATAGGGGCGGGTCTTTCCTTCAACGTCACGCTGATCTTTTATGGCCTTCTCAACTGTTACATTCTCAACTGTTATAAATGATTTATCATGCAAACTGCACATCAGCATCCACACGATGAAGCTATTTCGAATGACAAATTTTTGAAGGGCTAAACAGCTTCTTAATTTTTGCGTCACAAATTCATGTAACGGTTGACAATGTAACATCTGAGAACAACGCCATATCTTCAAGGGTTCGAAACCCGCGGCGGGCAGCGAGCTGGAGCAGAAGTTTTTGCAGAACCCGGCGCTAAACGAGCTCATCCGGGAGAAGTTGCGCGAGCATGTTCTCTGGGAGCAGACGAACAGCTCAAACACCTCGATCACTTTGGGCGGAATCCAAATTGACTTCGTCCGCAACGTCACGCTGCAAAGCGGAAGTGGCGGTGTTTTGCCAGAAGCGGGAGGGGGCGCGGGCAGTGACGACGTTGGTGCAGCGCAAGAGAAACAAGACGCAGGAGGGGAAGCAGCAGCTGCATCTTCGGCGTCCTCCTTGTCCTCCTCCTCCTCCCTCATCATCACTAGAAATGGCAACAAGGTCGAGCCCGAGGAGGCGATGCGAAAGTGGCTAGCTGTCGCCATAGAAGACGAGCTGGATGTAGAGATTGGCGTATCAAAGTGAAGAGCGCCCCGTCCTGCTGCAACAAGTAGTGGCGCAGAAAAGCGTTTGTATTTTTTTTTGCAATGAAGCTTTTTGCATTTGCTGTTGCTCCAGCAGCGTAGCTACAGGCAGACTCTTCATTGTTGTTCCTGCAGTTGTGTGCATATATCATTATGCCAGTTTCTCTCAATGGAGTGCTTGGGTTGGGGCGCAGCTTCTTCCCGTTTTGATGTCGCAAATTTCTCGCCACGAACTCGAACGCGACCCAAAAGGCGTATCAGTCGCGTGTCTTCCGCGCGCTCCATGCCGCGCAGATGCAGAAGCGGGTGACCCGGAGGGTCGAGCGGCGACTGGCGGTCCAGCAGCGCGTGTGGCATGCGCGCCGCCACGCCGAGATGTACAACGAAATTAATCCTGGAGCGAAAGTCGATACCATTGTCAAGATGATGGACCACTACGACGAGAAAGAAGAAAAAAGACGTCAAACAAAGATGAACAAAGCCGCCGGACGACGGGGGAAGAGCGTCGACAACGTTGTTCCGGCAAAAAGGAAAGATTCTGACCACGACGAGAACAAAAACCAGCGCGGCACTCTCGACAAAGATGAAAATACAAACGGTCCTCGGCGTGGTGACGAGCGTGTGACAAGAAGTAGAACGCAGGAGAAGAACAAAGACAAATCTGCCTCGCTTACCGAACTACTTCTGCAAGATGATGATGAAAGTCCAAGAACTCGCAGTGCAGGGCGTCAGAACAACAGTAGTACCAGTACCGCTACCGTAGCGAGCAGTTTTTTATCGCTTTCCAGTGGGCCGCCGTTTTACCTGTGGTGCCTTCTGAAGCCCTCCGCACTGGAAACGTTGGAGAGCTTCACCAATCCGATTCTAGTCCTGTTTGAATACCCGAGCGGGTTGGGCCTCCTCGTGCTCTTTGTCCTGTTCGGGTGCACCTTTCTGTTTGTTTGCCGCCACAACATTTTGTGCACGCGACGCCCGAGGCCGAAGGACCCGGCCTTGGCGCTGCTGGAGGCCGCGGAAGCGGAGCACACCGCGGACGCACTGGCGGCGGTCGCGGGGGCGGCGTCGGGGGGGAGGAAGAAGATGAAGGCGAAACTACAGTTGGGAAAGGATGCCGGCATGAAGTTGGACCAAGCGGGCGGCGAGTTTTACACGGCGCAGCGAGGGGGCGCAGCCGCGACGGCCATGCGCAACAAGCCCGGCGGGGGCTCTCCCGGAGCGGCGAGTGGCGGCTTCGGGGTTAATAAGGGCTTCGCCGGCGGCAGTTCGGCGTTCGTGGGGGCTTCGTCGGCCGTTGGCGGCAGTAGCGCGGCGGTGTCGGGCTCCGCGGCCTTTGGCGCTCCGGCTGGGGGCGGCTCCTCGGCATTTGGGGGACCCAGACCTGGTGCCGGCGCGAACTCAAGCGCATTCACAGGAAGTGCGGCGTTCGGAAAAAAATGAACAGTGGACTTCGGATTTTGTCGTGACGGTAGAGTGCGGCTTTTATTTTGGGTTCTTCTCACGAAGACGCTGTGAAAAAATCTGGCTTCGAAGGAACGTAACGAACGCTACAAATTTCATGTACTAGCAGTTCAGTAACAGTTGTGTCACATCACTGAGATGACGATGTTGTCGATGTATCATGAGTAAATTACGGCTGCGGGATAGCCACGGGAGTAGTCAAACAGCTGCAGCCAATTTGGCGGGATCGCAGCCTCCCCCCGCATTTGAAAGCCGAACTGTATAGATCCCTGTCTCTTAGTGTAGTGCTATACAACGCAGAAGCGTGGTCGCTGTCGCCGGCGGGCGACACAGCACTGCGCAAATTCCAGCACAACGCGCTCCGCCAGATCCTGGGGGGGCATTACCGGAACGAAGACCGGTCAAGGGCAGAACTATGCGAAGAGCTGGGGGTGCAGCTCATAGAAGACGAAGTGCAGGGCAAGCGGATTGCTTGGGTGGCGCACGCCTGCAGGGGCGACTGGAAAGAAGGGTCAGTAGGCAGAATAGAGAAAGAAATCCACAAAAACACGCCGTGGGGTCGACAGATAAAGCAAGACCTCGAGGCCTTTGGGCTAACGCTGGAATTAATCAAGGAACAAAAGCCGACCGGGATAGCAATCCGGGCGACGCTGAACGCAAAGAGGAAGATACAGCCGAAAAAGAGAGCAAAAGGACAGAAAGCAGGACAACCAAAAACCACAAAACGCACGGCGATGGAGCAGGAGCGAAGACAACGACTGGAGCAGCAGAGACAAGAACAGGAGGAAAAAGCAAGGGAAACAATAGCACAAATCAGCGGGAAAGTGTGGACAAAGCGGCCCAGGTCCAAGTACAACTTCACAGCGCAATCGGAACAAGGCTCAGTAAACTTCCGCGTCAGTAGTTTTAATTTCTGTGAGAATTCGGGAATGGAAGAAGCGACGGTGCTGGGTGTCATTTTTCAGAAGGACAGACACACAGGGACCTGGAACACCGCCTAGCCCATTACCTGAAGTGAGGCCCGCCACGGGCAAAAAAGGATAGCAATACGCTGTACATCGCAGGCAAGAAAACAGAGGAGTCAAGAATTTCAGACCACGCGATAAAACAGTTGTAGTAGTAGTAGTACGGTTGCAAACGCATGCTCTTTGTCCAGGCACAGAAGAAGCAGCTTCAGTTTGTAAAATTCCCGCGTACTTAATCTGCTTGTTATTGCCGATGCGAAAGTGAGCCGGCGACTAGTTTCACTTGATTCATGATTACTATCGTGGAGCTCTACTTAGTATGTACCAAGCTGAAAATCAAAATCCTGAAATGATGAAAGAAATGTAGCTACATCACAATTTTTTATGAGAAGTAGTCCAGCCTAGGTGTCGCTCTACTAAAGGAGATTTCTTCTTTTCGATAAAAGTGCAAGTGGTCGTAAACATAAGTAGCTACGCAGTTGCAAAGAAAGATCAACTTGGTGTAGCCAGTACTATCGCAACGTCGACCAAAGGGTACACAAGTACTTTGGAAAACTTCACGAAGGAGAAAAACTATGCAAAACTATTCCGGCCGTCTTCTTATTCCGGTATTGTATAGCACAGAGACGGACGCGGCCGAGAAAAACGATGAAAAAATATCAAAGCAGATATTGAATATATGAAAATGAATAAAATCAGCTACAGTTTTCACTCATTATACTAGATACACAGATACAATCAACGAGCTATTGCTATTATACCTAGACAAAGAAGGAGTATGTACTTAAATCATAGACACCCTAACAAGGCGCAGTTCGAGAAACCCTAACAAGGCGCAGACCTTTCGCTACAGCAAAAAGGGAGCAAAGGAAAAAAGGGCCTGAGCCCGGAAAGCGCTCAAGAAAGGCCGAAAAAATGCTGGAAGAAAGGCGGCAGCGGTTGGAGCAGCAAAAAGCCGAACAAGCAGCGGCAATGGCGGACCTAGTGGAAAAGCTCTCTGGAAAAAAGTGGGTAAGCTCGACGAGCAGGCCGGGGGCGTGGGAGGTCGAGGGAGACCCAGAGGTGATTTTCGAGATAGGCGACGTTTTCTTCTGCGAGAACTCCGGCAGAGAGGAGCTAAACGTAGCGGGGGTGTGGTTCGTCAAAGAAGATGATGGGACGCGGGTGTTGAGATAAAAGGGGCCACGCCCCCCGCGGGGAAAAACAGAAGATGATAGTAGTGCACGCACATCCACGATACGTCGATCGATTTCAGAGCCGTTTTTAAACTGAAACAGGCTCCCGTAGCCATTTTGGCTCAAGGAGCCTAACTTAGTAGAAACCTGTCGAGAGCGGGGCCCTCTGCACGGGGCCCCTGGAGAGTATGTGTAGGCAGCCGGGTGCAGCCGGCTGCGCCCTAGATTCATTTATGCTACTAGTGAAAGTCACCGCCGCCGCCACCCAAGATGGTTCCATCCGGCACCACCGTGCAGCTCTGTGACCCGAGGGAGATAGTCACCAACGCCAAACTCCAACCTTCCTCCGGCAGCGTCTAGCGCGAGGCCGTGCAGCAACAAGGGCAAGCACGACGCGACCGGTGGGGGTTTCTCCCTCCACCGCCAGAGGCAGTGTGGCGCGTGCCGACCTTACCAAGACCTCCGCGCACCGCCGGAGGATCTTCGACGACGGACCGTACCCGAAGCAAGCCGACTGCAGATGGACTAGCTCGTCGTGGTATTTTTTCAGCGAGCGGCGGAACGTGTACTCGTGGCAAGGAGTCTCTGCCCGAAAAGCTTCCGCAGGCCGTGATCGTGCACACTGACTCTGGGCAACTTGTGGCGCCAAAGATTTGTCGTCGGGGGTTTGTATGTGCGTGTGGTTAAAGTGGAGTATGGATAAATTTAAATTTTTTTTAACTATTGTTTTGTGTTATGCGTGGCCTTCTTCTTCGTCTTCATCTCCAACTACGCATATTTTCATTTTGAAGTGTTTGTCTAGTTTGCGGATAATTTCGTTGTCGATCCCCGTGAAGCTGTCCTGTCATCGTTCAACAAGCTCTCTAATATCAGGCTTACGACGCGACTGTGCTGGGACGGGGCAAGCGATGGAACGGCGACGGATAGTTAGAAGTAGAAGTAAAATCACCAAAAGCACACAGCATAAGTAGTCTTAGTCGTAGACTCGCAGTGTTAGCAATTAGCTTTTTGTAGCGCCACCCGTTGCGCCGGGCGAGTAGTTAGCTCCGTAAACGCACTGCGAAGAAGGTAAAGGGATGCTTTTCTCTATGCCAAAAAAGGCTTGAAATAGTCCATCCCTCGCGCTGCCGTTGTGCCGGTGGTCGTGGCGTCGGGCGGAGGTTCGCGGGTGTGCCGGTCGTGCACTAGAAACAAAAGCGTGTATAATAGTGCCGTGGCCCTCCTTATATAGTGCCCGTTCGTGTAGTTAGCATTCCGCGTATCGCCCTCCCATAGTTTAGGTTTTGTATTTGTAGAGACGCCTGTGCGGATCAGGTGCAGTAACCAAGCTCGGCAAGTAGCGCTCCGCGGGGAGGTAGTTTCGTGTAGTATACTACAAGTTGGCAGGTTATGTCGCCACAGTGTGTCGATCAACGAGAATCAGGAAAGCTGTAGCCCGAGAAGCCGAGAGGCCGAAAGGCTGAATAACGACCGACAGGCCAAGGGGCCGAAAGGCAGAGAAGGGGCCGAAAGGCCGAGAAGGGGCCGAAAGGCCGAGAAGGGGCCGAAAGGCCGAGAAGGGGCCGAAAGGCCGAGAAAGGGCCGAAAGGCCGAGAAGGGGGCGAAAGGCCGAGAAGGGACCGAAAGGCCGAGAAGCCTCTCTTTCTCCGATTTCCTTTTTCTCGGTTTCTCTTTCTCGGTTATCCTTTCCTCGGCTTCCCTTTTTTCGGTTTCGCTTTCTCGGCTTCTCTTTCTTGGTTTCTCTTGTCGCGGTTTCTCTTTCTCCGATTTCTTTTTTCTCGGTTTCTCTTTCGTCGGTTCGGTTTCTCTCGCCCCGGTTTCTCTTTTCCCGGTTGCCCTTTCGCCGGTTTCTCTTGTCGCGATTTCCCTTTTCCCGGTTTCTCTTTTCCCATTCCCGGTTTTCCTTTTCCCGGTTTCT